TGTGTGTGTGTGGATGCGTGTGTGTGTGTGGATGCGTGTGTGTGTGTGGATGCGTGTGTGTGTGTGGATGCGTGTGTGTGTGTGGATGCGTGTGTATGTGCGTATGTGTGTGGATGTGAATTGCGCGAGCGTAGCGAAACTCTTAGAGAAACGTGCGTGTGTGCGTGCGTTCACGTAAGGCAAGAATCGAGGCTCGGAGAAGAACGTGAGGACGTGAGAGAGACCTGACCTCAGACTGACCTCAGGCTGTGAGATGAGGATACTGATCAAGCCAAGCCGCGTCAGTGAACAAGTAAACAAGCAAGTAAGCAAGCAAGGGAGAGAGGACGTGAAGATGTGCAGACAGAAGACAGAGAGGACTCTCACATACCTAGTAAAGTCTAGAGACGCTTCGATATCAGTGTTCCAAGACTAGGTCGCAGGTAGGGAAAAGGTAGGAGAGAGGAAGAGGGAGCTCACTTGATATAGATGGCGGCCAGGCGGAGCCAGGGCCGGCCAGAGTGAGGTGTGGGAAGTAGCGGTGAGAATAAGGCAGAATGAATGCCAAAAGTGAATCTAGGACTTGTTGATGATGAAGATGATGATGAGACGAAGAGTGAGGGAATGAGGGAGATGACGCGATATTCGTTGCTTGGGTTTGTTATAGCGATATTCACTTTGCTGCACTGAAGAACCTCATGAACTCATGAAATGAACCATGTCGATCTCTTGCTTTTCATCTGAAGAACACATTAGGTCAAACCCTTTCGAGCAGCCAAAATCAATGGGACGACGTCTCTTCCCAAACCTGCTCTTCTGAGCCTTGGCCCTATAGAGCCCCAAACCCCTTGGAATAGCTCAACGCCAGCTCCAGCTTCTGCCGCATCTTTTCCTGCCCTGCATACTCCGGCAGCAGCAACTTGCCAAAACAAGTACTACTCGTCGGCAGCATCTCCGAGTCGCCTCCGTTCCGCACAATCGCAAACATCATGCTGCCAACCCCCCCGACCGGCACCCTATCACTCGCCGTCACAAACTCCAGTAACTTCGCCTTCTGCACATCGTCATACTCCAGCACAATGTTCCAGAACTGTGCGATGGTAGGGTGGTCCGCCGCATATCCATCTTCATATTTCGCAACACACTTAAGCTCATTCATGTCGATGTACTGATATCCCTCAATCACTTTGCGCAGACCGACGGGGTCGAAAAGCGAGAGAATGGTCGGGTCGAGACACCTCAGGAAGCCCTGACGGAATGCATGGAGCTGCGGTGCGACGGACTGGTATACGAGCCAAAAAATATAGTCATTGACGAACTGCGCTCGAGTGTCGTTTGTCACCAGAGGAGCCTCGTCAGTTGATCGAGGGTCCACATACGTGCGATCGTTTCCTTCGTACACCTTGTTGAGTACCTGCAGGCGGTCTGTACGTGGATTGGTCTGGCTGCTTGCCGGGTCAAGCATGTTGACGGTGATTGTCTCGCCAAAGGCGTCAAACGTGAATTCGTGAGAACCGCCGTAAATTTCACTCACATCGCCATCCTCCCAAGTCAGTAGCTGGTGGAGGGACCTCGCGAGATCTGGCCAGCCGTCCTGCAGTAATGACAAACATGAATGTGTCGTACTCAAGTCTAATAGAAAATAGTAAAATACGATTGGGAACGTCACCGGTAGCGTGATCCCGTTGTATACGGCCAGGGAGAATAAGAGACCAATGAGTTCGCAGTGTGCTAAAGAGGCCGGAGACGCTGGTTTGAACCATGTCATGCGTGTGTGTGGATCAGTAGTGAAAATTCCGTTGTCAGGGTTAAATGCTTCTGCAAGAGCTACGTGGAAGAATTCTAGCGAAACACCGCCCTGATCGACGCCATCTTCACCCTCGAGAGCGCCAATGCGTACCTTAAGAGGTCTCAAGAGTTGGGATTCGCTCAAGTGCCAAAGCTGGTTGAAACTGTCTTCTAATGCGTGGTTTCTGCGAACATCCAAGAGTAGATAGCGGGATAACAGATCCTTGAAAGCTGAGTGCCATGGTGAATGGTTGGGCCGCGCTAGCACGTCCAGCATCTGATTAAGACAACGAGAACGTTCCGCTGTCTCATATGTACTGAACATTCTCGAATAGTTGAAAGTCCGAAAGAGTACCAATAGTTCCTTGGAGCTGTAGAGAAAAGGATAGTTGAGAACATGTCTATGGTTTGGAGTAGGAATGTGTCTTGCGAAGTGTCCGGGAACTTTAACCTTGTCCAGATTGGCATAGAAATAAGGTATGCGAAAGAGTTCAGCAGTCAAACCAAATTGATCGACCGGTTTCTTGTCGTACAGTATTTCGTCTGTCAGGTCGGGCATTCGAGGACGGTACCACGCTAGATTCAAACGTCAGCACACGTACCTGATAGACTCATAGATGGAAATACCCATTTCGTTCATCATGTCAATAGCACCACCTACGACATTCCACCTCTTGATCAGCGGTTCTTTGTCCCAGTGAGTCACGCAGATGGTCTTCAGCCATTCCAGCCACACAGCAGACACGGACCAGCCTGGTCCATCGTGCTCTTCTGGGGTATCCGGCTGACAGTCGATAATCTCACGGCGACACTTCTCTGCTTCTTGAAGATACTCCAAGACCATACGCATGAGATCAAATGCGGTATTGTTACCTTCAGTCCCTTCAAGTGCGTTCAGGATCTCAAAGAAACAACGCCGTGCCGAGATTGCGCGTATCAATCTCTCGGCCAATCTTAACGCGGGCTCATATTGCATCGCATCAATTATCTCTATCAATGACTTTACAAGCGGTCTTGGAAGAGATTTTGTTGCCGAAGCAGGTATGTGAACACCATGAGACCGTTCTCGAACTAGTGGCCACACTGATGGGGAGCCTCTGGGCACCTGAGATGTCAGAGCATGGATGCAGATGATAATGACATATGCCGCTTCACAATCAGGTATATAGCGAGGGCCATCAGCCGACTTCTTCGTATCAAGACGTGCTGTGTGGTTTTTACCGCGATCTCCATAAACAGACGTCTGAGGGGTGCGTAAACGAGGTTCTTTACCGTCTACAATGATCTCTGGCGGCGGTCGAAAGAGAGGTTCCAACGCCTCCCAAAGACAATCGAAGATGAAAGCTCCATTGATGCGAGACCATCCTCTAAAAGCACTCTCGAGCTTCGTGGGATTTAGATGAGACAGTGGAGACTGAATAAGAGGACAGCCACGATCGGCAAAGGAATGCAAAAGTCTATCTATGTCGCTCAATGATCGTCTAAGAAAGATCTCTGCTGCCGCGATAGTAGGGTCTGGTGCCTTGAAGTAATTTTGAGAGTATGGAGTCATATATCCACGCCAAAGCGCTTTGTCCAATCGTGAAGACGACGAAAGCAAGACCTTTAACTTCTCCATGGTCGCGCACGTCAACGTGCGAGGTGGTATGAACTTTTCGCTTCCGTGCCGTCTAGGTGTAGGAAGCTTTCTAGGTGTGTCCCGAAATTCCCTGCTAAATGATGACTTCATGTTGTCCGAGGCACCGCCTGCTTCAGAGATCCCATGGTTAATGCCCACCTTGGTCGATGCGAGTTCGCTTGGGAGCTTGAACCGCAGTGTGGACTGCTCACAACCAAGTCCGTCATCCAATGAGCCTTTCTGTCCAGCAGGAAGAGCCCCATCAGTATCGGACACCCTAATATTTCGCTGTTCCAGTATATCTTTCTCTTCTTTGTGAAGCTTTAGCTTCGACTGAGTCTCATCATTATCCACCGGAATGAACTGCGAGCAATTTTGCTGGACAAATGGATTTGCATGGCTCGAAAGTTCGACAACTGGAAAGCGCTTGAAATAGAAATATATTAACGCCACTGTGTCGAACAGATTTTGGCTCAATGATAGCTTATCTAGCTGTGGCGCATGCTGCGCGTCCAGCTTCGACCAGAATGTACTTGATTTTTTGTGTGGTGTTCCTTTTGGCTCATGCATCTGAGCCGATCCTGTGTCGTGCCGCGAAAGCCATGATGACGCATCACAACCAATATCAAACGGGGATACGTGTAGCGCATGTTGGCAAAGGCCGGCCCCCGGATCATCTTGAGCAGCGAGATAGTACGCAAGCATACGGGCGGTGAGTACGGTCGGCGGCTTATAAGGCGTGTCTCGGACTCGTATCTGGGCGCTTTTACACATGGGAGTGGTGCAATTGCGTTTATGACATCCATAGAGGATCTGCGACATATATCTGAAACATGTTAGGCCGTTGTCAGCGTCTACGGTTCCGGTCGGCTCACCTCCGTACGAGGTACTGGAACGTGATACTCCTTCTCATGCGCTTGTCTTCAATATCTGAGCTTAGCTCGCCATCAGTGCTATGATGTACAACAGCCGTAAGCGGTGTTGGCGCGGGGCTCATCGTTGGATCGGCTGGACTCTTTGCAGCTGATGGTCCGGCTCCGTCTGGACCATTGGTCCACGATGAAGTATTTCGCATGTCATCTGTGTGGAGGTATATATAGTGCTCTACAGAGTCTTCGTGGCTCTGCTTGTGGAGCGCTGTTATATAGGGGTATAGAAGGTGGGAAGATACTGGACGCGTTCAAGCATCATCGCAAGTATCGCATTGGCGTTATTAGGCGGCGCAAGGTAGGTAATGAGGAACAGTGGATGTATCCAGGATCGAACGAGGAACTATGCGGTACGTACCGTGCTGATATATTCCTAGATGACATATATTACGAGTCACGCTACTGAGAGGCTTGAGACATTACACCTAATTATGCAGGTCTATTATGTACATAAAGCAGGTAGAGTCTTATCAGCTTTGGCTTACATGCTTCCACGCTGACAAGCAATATACAAACATCTGTGTCGAATAACAAAATCGCACTACTTTCTATTCTGATGATCTCATATGCTACATTCTTCATCCTATCTTATCCAAGTTCTCTACAATTTCGGTACACTGTTAAGCTTTTCTTCGCCCCTGTACGACCTTAGCACCATCTCCATCCGAGCTCCAACAGGTGTGATCCTTACAACTTCCGTTTCTTATTGATGAAGCTCCTCGCCGCCTGACTACTCTTCCTTGCCGCAAACTCAAAGCCGACAATTGGCCCGACCAATATATAGTCATGTGGTGCATTCTCCTGGATGTCCAACGCTACCTCATTACCCTCCTTCTTTAGTTCCTCGTATAGTTGCGTGTCGTCACCGAGAAGTACCTCGCTGCCACCGACCGTGATCCAGATCGGAACAGTGCTTTTGAACGGGTTGCCGAGAGGCGAGATATACTCGGCGAACTTCGCGCTTGGCGACTTCATGGAGTCAGGGATGTATTTCGAAATGCCCCAGGCACCGAAGGAGGAGTGGATATAATCAGTCGCATAGTTTGGCGCCATCCGGGTGCGAGCTTGATCATAAGAGCCATGAGGCTCGACCCAGGGCGAAAACAACAAACTGGCACCCGGCGCCGGAATGTCAACCTCCTTTCCAAACTGTGCAATATATCTCAACAGCGCCAAGCACAGATTCCCACCCGCCGAATCTCCCGAGATGATGATGCGGCTCGCCGGAACCTCCAAGTCGTGAAGCGGGTACAGATACGTCGTGACGGCGTCCTGGAACGCAGCCGGGAATTTGCCATTCGTCGGCGCGCCAGACAGTCTGTACTGCGGAGCAAACACAAATGGCAACTTGGCATGCTTGTTGAGCGTCGCGCCTGCAAAGCCTGCGTCTCTCTTGCGGCCATCACCAATCACGAAGGCGCCGCCATGGAAGTGTAGACCGACGTCTTTACCCTTGAGCTCAGCTTTGGTCGGGGCGTGCGGGTACCAGGTACCGCCGATCTTGATGGGCGACACATTTCCAACGCGCAGGGGACCGGTGTAGTACTTTTCACTTGCGGGCTCGACGGTTAAGAATTGCTTGCCCTCAGCGCCCGGAGCGAGTGGGAGGGGCACGTTCATCTCGACGGCGCCTGCGTGATAGAGGAACAGACGGACAATCTTGATGCCGATTGCTTGCCGGAAGGTCCATTTTGCGTTCGGGCGGAGGTTTGGAATGAGGTATGATACAACGAAGAGGGGGAAACGAGACAATTCGAATGCTAGAGCAAGGAGGACGTAGATGCCCTTGAAAGGCTGTGAGGTAATCAGTGCCATTGCCAATCTTGGTAACCAATTTTCTCGAATTTCGTGAAAAGATACTGTGTACTAAGAAGCTCGAAACACACAGAAACGGGAGTCCTTGAGAGAATGGTCAAGGCAAAGTTCGGATCACCGTGGGGAAGAGCAATATTTGAGCTCATGGTTGAAGCTACTAAACGATCATTTTAGCTGCTGTCGTCAGATGCCTCGGTACGCTGAGACCTTCTACGGAGCCGTGCCCAAGGAAGAGATCTCGACATTGCGGGGGTCTGTCTAGGGCTCGGGATGGTCACGTGGAGTGTGGGAGAACTGGATTTTGCCCTTTGGCATGTGATTCTCTGTCAGTAATATAGCTCGAGTCTTAATCCAAACAGTTTGAGCACTTCTCGTGATGATGTATGCTTAGTCTCATACTATGTAGAGCCTGTACTACCATCACAAGCTGCCAAGAGGTTCTATCAATGCGGATGACGGGAGGTACAGGCACTTGCCAAGCAAATATCAATATCTTAACAATACTCGTTTGCTACCCAACTTGGAACTCAGACTCATACACGTCACGATACGAATACTGTGAATTAATACAAAGTCAAGCAAACGTGATGATATATTTCAACTCGCATATCCCTGTTGGGAATCACAGGCCCCCTGGACGACATTTAGACCCTGGCTGAGAAGTCACTGCATTAGTGCCTCTTGGAAAGGCCTAATGTCTGCCTCAGGTTTCAGGGGCAGATAAGGCAATGTACGGACTCACGTCGCCCAAGTAAACCCTGCGAAGGGTTTGAGCCACGATTTGCAATTCATGAAGCAGCAATCTAATATATAACCAACAATCTTTGCATGTCTCGTGGTCGCGTCGAGTGAATTGCTTGGCGCCATTCGTCTCTGACAGCGCGTCGGCTGCTTTTTACTCAGGCAGGCCAGGGCTAATTAATTAGCTACGCCGTAATTAGGGTTGCATACGGCCCATGCCTGTACTACAAAGAGTACCACCATCAGCTTCAATAACACGGATTTTACAAAGTAACAACTTCTAATTTGGCCGTTGACGGCGAGGTATAAAACAACGTGCCCACAAAGGGCTGTGGCATTATTGCCACCCTATATCCCGAATTTCGCTAGATGGCGATGCCCTCTAAAGTGTAGAATTTCCAAAACTTTTGTTTATAATATCAGCTGGACACCGTCTAACCCTGGAACGTGTCTCCTAAAGTATTAATGCTCATGGCCATTCCGCGGCCCAAATAGCCATCTGCGTGTGCCTCGAGCCCTTCCATAGGCATCATACTGAGAGGTGATGCCTGGTTGCTCATCATGTGTTGCTGGTGGTGCTGCGCCAAGCTGTGGTGGCTACTTCGGCGTGATAAGGAACCTGCATCCCAGAATACTTGCTGATGGTGATTGTGATTTTGGTTCTGCTGCTGTTGCTGTTGCTGTTGCTGTTGCTGCTGCTGCTGCTGCTGTTGTTGTTGATTATGATGGTGATGATGTTGGCTGTGATGGCCCTGAGACTGGTGACTATGTGCCTGGTGGTGGTTCTGCGGGGGATTGTTTTGCGTCAAGTTTGACATATCCTCAACGTCGACATCACCTTCCGCATCCTCGTCATCCCCCTCACCGTCAAAGTCGTTGTTCGCATCGTCATCCATCACGCTGTCTGACGTTGCCGTGGTAGATATCGAGGGGATGATGGATCGTGATGAGGTTTTGGACAAGCTAGTGGAAGAGTTGCTCGTAGATACTGGTCCTGTGGTTGGGCTCACCTGCACCGATGAGTTATTGGTGGATCTACCTTTAGGTATCCTTACAGGCCCGAGCTGTGGGACAGATGATGTTGATAAGGATCGTTGCGCTTGCATTCCATTCGACTTGCTCCGGTTCTCACGGACCACATACCGCCACTTTTCGAGTAGTCGATCGTAGTCCAAGCTCATTGAGTCAACATGCTGTCCATATTGTTTCCTCAGTTCCTTGGCCATGTTTGCGGAAATGCGTGGCATGGCCGGATTTGCCTTGTCCGCGGTTGTAGGCGGGCAATTCCTCTTCAACTCGTCTATTTCCTGCTGTGCAACCTCCAATTTCGTTTGCAGGTCTCTCTGGGACTCTTGAGCGCGAGCAGAGAACCTTAACAGCTCCAACTGCCAAGCTTCCTGCTTCTGTTTCTCGGTCAATTTCTTCCAATGTGTCCAGGCAGCAGTCAAATGCGTTTTGACTTTCTGACACTCTACATCAAGGATTGGAGGTGTGGTCAGGGGTGAAGCAGACGCCGGGGTGTTTGGTGCAGTTTGCGTTGATTGTCCCAGTAAATGCTGACGTTGATAGCTGACTATGCGGTCGCGTGCTAGCTTTTGTAGAGTCTCGTGGTGCCTTTGCCCAGGTGGTTGTACGGACCAAGTGTCGTCTGCAGTAAAAGGTGTGCTGGAGAAGAGGGTCGGAGGAGTTTTCAACATATGTAGACACAGACCAGGGAAGTTGAGCGAACAGAAGTCGAATTCGAAGAGGCTAAAATTTCCACTTCGCATGCTAAAACCTTCAGTCAGTATTGAGCTTGCAGAACTTGGGTGATTGGTCATACCTTGCGTCACGGACATTCTGCAGCAGCTCTTTCAGAGCAAGCTCTGCCGCTTTGCCATTCTCCCATTCCTCGGAGAGCTTTTGTCGCTGCTCGAATTCCGTCTTTTGCTGGACGTGTCTTGAAACCTCTCGACGTCTTTCGGGCACAGTATTGATAGTGGGACGCGGGGCAAGATTGTTGATCAAGCCAGTGGCTTGCCAATTCAGCTCATTGAATCTGGTACGGACCTTCTCATTCGGACCAAGGGTATGGGACGGTGATTCGGCTGTGATGGGCGAACCCTCGTCTCTGGCCGATTCCTGAGGTGTGGGCGCTGCTGTGGCGGGAGCCGAGTCCTCTTGCCTGGACCAGACGCCGGAAGAAGAATTCCTCACTTGCCGCCTTGTTATGCCTCCTCGTAGCTTCCGAATCTCATCTACATTATGTATACCGTCAGGTGGCTTGGCGTTCTTGGGCTTTATGTATAGGTCAAGATGACGGCCGAGCGAGGAGGAGGTAAAGGCTTGACCGCAGTAGGGACAGTTCTTGTTCTTAGGGGCATAGTACTTTGGGCCAGACGGTTCGGTTTCAGGGCGAGGTGTCGAGGTTGTGGAGTCGCTCATGGTCGACATAAAACCCCCCGGGGGCCCAGCGAAGGAAGCTTCGGGTTGTAAGCAGAAGCAGAACACAAAAGCGAAACGAGCGTTGCCGCAGGAAGCAGAACAGGAACCGCTGGAAAGCGGAGCGTAAGGGAAATTAAAGCATAATAATTGTGAGAGGAAGCACCAGTGGAGAAAGAAAAGGAGAGAAGAAACAATTGCAGACGAAAGCAGAAGTAGACTCGGACGCCTGTTGAAGAGCTGCCAGGGTATACGGGACGGGGAAAAAGGGAGTGAAGCTAGGGGGTCTCGGTAGCGCGTTCCCGTCAACGACCTCGCCCAGGCTCACTACGCGGCCAATGCTGCAGCGGTCGCTAGATGTACAGTAAGTATTAGCTCCCGTTTCCTGTTTATTCATTTGCTACCTATCATTCATTCATTCATTCATTTACAAGAGGCCATCCATTTCCCCTGTCTGGCCTTGGTTCTCGCGGCTACTCAAATGCCTTTTGACAGCCATGCCTTTTTAAGAGTCCTCAGTTCTGACAATCTGGCAGACCATTGACACCATGAGTCATTTGAATCTACCGCGACGGGAAGACCAAAATACCCGGAGGACAGTTCCGGCATAAGAGACGGTAAGTACTTCCGGAATATGTAACTTGCTCGGACCCTCCCGTCTACAGACCGATCGAGTCTGACAAGGACATATATATGTTGCTGCTCCTCATACCACCATGAAACCTGTCCCTGGCACTTCATATCTCTTCTTCACTTATCTGATTCAGTCTGTCAACAAGGAGTTCCAGGCTGTAGAGATACAGACCGTCCTCAACACGGTACGGAGTCTCTTGAAACCGGCTACTATCATTGTACGATGCGGTTCTAGGGAGGCAGACCTTCTGGATGCCAACACATGTCGAGCTCCCATTAGACATTCGTCGCCACGTTTTCTTCTAGGTCTCTTACCAGTTCAACGTGTAAGACGCGCATTGTGCCATGCTCGTCCTATCTCCGATCGCTTAGCTCGACTAAGCGGTGACTTAAGCACGAAGCCAAAGCAGAATGAAATGCTCGCGACTTTCCGGAACACCTTCGTGACTAGCTGACGAGTCGTCTAGGTCCTTCCACGCTTTATATGGCGTCATTGGGCCTGCAATACAATGCAATACGTCGCGTGCGATCCAGCCAGTGGTCGTGCCAGACCGGCAGTTTCAAACAAGCCGAGCAAGAGTTTAGGTGCGATTTCAATGCTGCTGATACGTCGATAACCAGTGTAGTCATAATGCCGATGAACTCCCAGCTCCTATTGCAAAGTTCAAATCACGTTGTGCCAGCAGCTCTTGAAGTGTCCATCTACAGAAGACCTGAAGAACAAGGGGAGAAATTTTATTTTCTTTGTGACGGCCCCTCCTTCAGTCCTGCATGAAGCATGAAGCAGGGATAATATCAGCAATAGGCTCTAACTCGTTGGTGACGCGATCAGTCAGAACGTCCGGGAGGCCCACATGTTCGAGAAAAGAGAACTTCTTACGAGTTTGACATGGAAATCCATATGAAGGCTGATAAAGATCCTACGGGTGGGGCTTTGATAGCCATAAGATTGCTACTCACACGGCCACAAGCTGAAGCTGCACCCGCAATTTTGCAAGCCTCATGAACCGGTATCTCGAGGCATATTTAAAGGGTAAATGATCTATCAGAGAAGACCAAAAAGATTGTGATGTTTGACTGGTCAGATAGGTCTGTCTCCAAAGCAGAGTTGCCTGGGCACACCAGCACAATACAGCAGACCAAACAAACAAGGACATTATTCGTATGCACAAGTCCTTGCTAAGAAGTGGAGAGGACGAGGGATCCCTGATATGACTACCTGGATAATTATTTAATTAATTAGTATGAATAGTCAACAGCCAAAGAAAGCAGGATGGCTGGAGAATTTGAGGACTAAAACGAATAGCGGGCTAAGGTAGCGCCCCCCCTCTCTCCCTGATAGATGACGCTTAATCCCACGACAGGGCTGGGTGACTCTCTACTAACTACATGCTGTTCTTGAATATATTGAGAGAGAGAGTGTGTGTGTCTGTATATATATATGTGTGTGTGTAAGTGGCCAGCGATGTTAATTAATTACTCCGACGGTTTGCTTGGGAGATTGGTTTGTGACCTGTAATTATTACACAGGATCGGTAAAGATCGCTTCCCTCTCTGTCTTTTGCTTCTCTGCCTCCCGCCGCCTCTGCCCTGCCTGCCTAATACTAACACTATCACTACTACTGCTACTACTCCACACTAACCCTCTTAGCTCGTCGAAACCACCTCCTCCACCACCACTTCAACGCTCGCCCTATACACACACACGCACACACACATTCACTCTCCCACCCACGCACTCTACCTACCTACCTTGCGCTCGCCTCTGTCCGCCATTCAGCCATTCTGTGCGTGAAGCTGCCGAGAGACATGTCCAGAGTGTCTTAAAGTCTATTCCTCCATGTCGACCTTCTCATGAGCCTTATTCATTCCGCTTCCCATCGCCTCCAAGCGAAGCCTTGTCGCTTCGGCGGCCTTTGTGTGACGCCAATCCGCATCCAACACTGCCGCCATGCAGGTTCGTTCACCCCTCTCGACCATATTGCACACTACAAGATGACTCTGGCTCTGTACCGCCTCGTCCATTGCCCAATCCCCTCACCAATCAATCCTGTTACGCGCTCTCTTCTCAGCGGCGACTTCACTCCCTTTCACTTCTTGCTCGGTTCAATGCTGACAGCCTCTCTTCATCTCTCGCAGACTACCAAAACCGAACGAGCCTTAGAGCTCGACCGCCTATATCAAGCCCGCCGGGGCCATACCCCACAGATATCCATAAGCGATGAAACTCACCATATAACGGAGGCTATCGGGGACATGTACGGGCGTGAAGATGACCACTTTCGAAAGCGGGACCCTAGACCTTTGAGCTTTGTCAGTTCTCCGCAAGGCGAGAACTTCGAAAGCAATCCGAGCCGAAGCCAGATTCCTCGAACTCCATCGAACGGAGCACCGATAAGATCCCCCCTCAGTCCGACGAACACGCGAACTGCATCGACAAATCAAGATAATGGACATCCCTCTCCTCCTTCCCTCAACCGGACCAATTCAGACACAGCCCAACAACAATTTCCCATCAATGACCTGGACTACGAGTCCAGCCCTGCGGCTGTCGCCCAGGAGCTTAGTAACCTTCAAGCAATACGGCGCATGTCAATGGATGTCAATAAGTCTGATCCCGATCTTCCATCGTTTGGTGGTGGCATCTCGATACCTCCGATGGCCCCCTCACATGAAACCGATGAGAACGATGCATCGACATTATACTGGGTACCTGCGTCGCTCCACCCAGAGCTTGCGCCGAAGGAGTTCAAGACCTTCATCGAAGAAAGGGTAGAGAAAATGCGAAGGCGGAACAGCGGAGGTGAGGACAGCCTATCCCCTGACGGCCTTGGACGTTCAGGATCCGGAGGAGGCCTGCGAAGAAAGAAGTCAATGTTGTCGAAACAGATCAACAGTGGTACTGATTACAAGGATGGTGCGGATAGACTGGAACGTAAGAAATCCGGTGCGAATCAACTACCAAACGCCCTCGAGAATATTTCGGAGCTCGAGCATTTGGTCAATGATCCTTCTTCCATAGTGCAACGAACGAGCGGCGATACCTTGCGTAGATCAAATGATTCTGGGGAGCAACCTGACGATATGCCAATTCTACCTGCAAAGTTAGGTACCCCTTTGTTGAAGCGATCCATAAGGACAAACTATCGCAGGGGTAGCTTAAGAAAGGGAGAAAGAGTTGGGACGACGCCTCGTAGACCAGGGTTCAGAGGTGCCGAAACCGATACGGAAGAGTCCCCAGTGTCGTCACCAAGTACCACACACAATCCCGACTTTCCTGGTGCACCGTTGACTAGGGTACAAACTGAACCCTTGAATCGCCGCCCTTCAGCAGCAGAGAATTTCTCACGGCCTACTAGAAAGCGTTCTCCACCAAACCAAACGCAACCGTACCAGACTCCTTCGACCGACGATAAAGAAGCTTCAGGCCGACAACAGAAATCTTTCCACTCTAGAATTGCGTCAAACGGACGTACGACTGCAAATTTGCCCGGCTACGGACCTCAGCAGAAGGTCCCCTCCATTGTAGAGACTCCGCCAGCAGACACGTCGAAAAGCGGTGTCCAGCTTCCGGCGCGATCATCTTCTCATGAAATTCCTCCACACTTGAACTCCCAGCAACCACAGCACACACCGCCTCCAGCAGGTCCGCTACCTGCCCGCCCACCGCTCATCAAGCAAGCTTCGAATGCAAACAGAGAACCGCCCATCAGAGACAGGCCACCGTCGAAGCCTACCAACCAGACCCTGGAAGATATCATCTCAAAACCCACCCCGCTTCCCGGGAATCTGAGTACCAGGACTGATACTCTCTCATCCATTCCGTACGATGATAAGAAGTTGGAGAAGAAACCTTCACGGGAAGGGAAGAGTGGTGAAGGAAGTGGCAAGAAATGGTGGTCTTTCGGTGGTAGCGACGACAAAGAGAAAGACAAGGAAGAAAAGGATCTATCGAAGAAGTCGTCAAAATCGAAATTCACAAAAGCCAACATCGACAAATCTCATGATAATACACGCCTGGACGTTCTTCAAACGTCGATTGATGGCTCTAAAGGTCGCGAGAGCCTCGTTCTGGACCGAGAAAACGTCAAGTTAGACGAAGAGCGTCGTAAAGACAGCAATCGTAAAGCGTCTGGCAATGAATCAAAGAAAGAGAAGGGGGGCTCGACGTTTCTTTCATCTCTTTTTGGCAGTACGAAGAGATCTGAGAAGGAGTCTGGCGGTAAAAGAGCGAGCTCTTCAAGGGGAATCTCACCAGAGCCTCCACTTCGAATTCTCAAGCCCGATATCGATTACAATTGGACACGTTTCTCGATCCTTGAAGAAAGGGCGATCTATCGGATGGCCCATATCAAACTTGCAAATCCTCGTCGCGAGCTTTACTCACAAGTGTTGCTCAGCAATTTCATGTATTCATACCTTGCGAAAGTCCAGCAGATGCATCCCCAGATGCAGATAGCACAGTCGCCAGCGCAACAGAAGCAGCAGCAGCAGCAGCAGCAAGCCCAGCAACAGCAAGCCCAACAACAGCAGACGCAGCCAGAGCAGGCCGACCCACAAGGGTCTCAACAACGGCGCCAGACGCAGTCACGTCAGAGAGCAGACCAACCTGAGGAGTTCTCCCAGTATCAGCGTTATCAAGAGGTAAGTGTTTCTATCATGGGCTAGATATCCGTTCTTATGATCTCTGTAGCAGCAAGCGCGCCTTGACACGTCTCCGTCCACGCTGGACACCAGCAATCATGGGCCCCTCAGGCCGGATCCGCCTTCCCCCGCCGACGATCGTGATCAGCAACGTTCCAATTCCAGACCCTCACGTCAGCAGGAATATGACCGACATCAGAACAGCAACGGATATAGTGTTGCCAGCGGCGATCGATACATGGGCAACCATGGCAGCAGTTCCCAGCAAGGATATTATCAACAAGACCTTTTTGATGATAATGACAACACTAAAGACGACGAAATGTGGTGAAACGACTCATTGCGTACAACCATGCACACAACCACACCTTTTTGTTGGCTTCGCCCGCGTATCCCATGACCTCATCTTGGTTATACGATGCCCATTCGGAATGGTAGTCCTTGGTGATTTCAAGTTAAGGAGTATATCCCTCCAATGTTTTGACCCAAGGAGTTCGCAAGACTTCCGACGCAAGGGCAACCCCCAGACTCGCACGCATCCACTAGATTCGGACATATGAATTACCTTGCCCAGGTCCTTGTCCCGGCGCACACACGTCCTAGTGACGGTCGCTAGAGAGTTCTGTATCATATCTCCAGATTCGTTGTCCATTTCTCCTCGAAGCCATGTTCATCCGCTATCATTTCTTCGATTCTGTCATGCACTCGTTATTGGTACGTTGATGGTAGCATCATTCATGATGAAAGGAGTATTTGGATTACGGCGGTGCATTACACGGTGCGAATGATTACAAATCTCGCAACATGTAGATCATTATTATTAGTGACTCAGCGACTAGTTGACATGGCTAGTTAGTCGCGAGTGGCGGTGTTGGAGAGGGATAGAGGGGAAGTAACTATACGCTGGCTATATGCAGCGATCAATCAATTGATTAATACACACGAACGTCGACTCGTTCACGACTGATTGAAGTCTTGGGGAATCGATATGTGGGCTAAATGTATTTGAATCAATCGACATGACGCAAACATGAATACCGACATACAGGCAGGGTAGGTACGATGCGAACATTGATTGTCCGACAGTCCTCTTCTTGGGAACCAGGTAGAGAAGACTATCCGGAACAAACCTTGGAATAAACCGACGACCCTACCTACATACACCAGACATTAATTCTTAACTGTCCTACCGAAAAACCCTAGCGTCCTATACTATATACCCCTATATCAAAACACCAAACACCGCCGTTCAGTCCCTCCTCACCATCAGCAACCTCCTCGAAATAACCAACCGCTATACCATTACCACCGAACCGCATACCCTGCGCAGGCCTACCTACCTATCCTATCCATCATCCTTTTCACCCCTCCAATAAACCCCGAAAAAACCATGCATACCACCACTACACCACCACTACCAGACCCAGAACAAGGCATCTTCACGGACTCGCAAAGCACACTCGGCGCAGACACGCTTGTTTCCGACCTAGCTGACGAGGTAAGCTGAGGCGAGGTGCTTGCTTGAATGAATGAACGAACGAAGACAAGCAGTGCTAAATGGAATGGACTAAGCAGCATTCCCACACCCCAGACGACACAGACTCAACCCCAAAATCCACAAATCTTCCAACATTCCCCGCCCTCCTCTCCGCCCTCCGCGCCGCACACCCCTCCTCCTCCCCAAACCACGACAAAACCACCACCACCACCACCACAACCACCCTCCTCTCCGCCCTCGAGACAGAACGCAAAACACTAGACCATGCGCACAGCACGCACGTGGAGATTTGTACTGCGCGCATGGATGCGTACGGGAGGTTGTTGGGGTGGTATAGGGTGGAGTTGGGGCGTAGGCCGCCGTGGTGGATGGTGTGGGTTATTTGTGGGCTTGCTGGGGTGGTGGTGGGGTTTTTGGGGGTTGGGCTTGTTTTGTGGGGGGTTGGGAGGGTGTGAGGAGGGGTGAGATGTGAGATGTGAGAGGGGGAAAGGAGTTGGGGGGGAGGAAAGTGAAGGGGGAAAGGGGGGGAGAGGAAGGGGGAGGGAGGGTGTTTGGATAGGCTGCCGTTTGGTATGTTGAATGAGTGGCTGCTTTAAGGTCTGTCTTGTATGGTATGGGGATAGGTAAATGACTACAGTGCGCATGTGAGAGATTATTAAATTTCAGTTCGGTTAGACGAGGATTCACGACTGAGTGTTGGAGATTGATTACATGCAATGGAAATCGAATTCAGTTATTTTTCTAATACACACACACTCACACCAGAAACGCCCTTATCATGCTTTGCTTTGCTTGGCTCTGCTTTGCGTCTCAACATTCCATTCCATTTCCATGCCGTTGCGTTTAATATATGACCGATATTACCCCATGTTTCCGGAATTATGCAATAGAATAAATACATTACGGATGATCACTGTTCTTACATGACAGCTGCTGCAACAGCGGCAACACCCGCTGCATACATCCACCCGTCGACACCCTCCATCTTGGTCGCTGCCCCGGTAAATGCTGGAGGCGTGGGGGTTACTGCCCTGGTTGGTATAGTAGGAGTTACACGTGTAGACGGAACAAGGCTTGTTGCGCAGACACTGGCCATACTACCGTAGCCCTCGCCAGGCACCATGACGCATGGTGGGGCTGGGCCAGCTGGTGGTGTTGGGTTAGGACCGACTGCGGGACCTGTCGGCGCTGGACCTGGACCACCTGTAGGTGCAACTTGTGTTGGGGGAGGGGGAACTTCAATCCCCTGTGAGGATGGAGCTGGGCCAGGTCCTCCCGCGGATGGAGACGGGGGCGGAGGTGGAGTTCCATCTGACGATGGTACAGGTGGAGGAGGAGGAGGAGCACCAATAGAAGACGGCACTGGTGGTGGTGGTGGTGGTGGTGGAACACCACCAGAAGATGGTACAGGCGGTGGAAGTGGAGTATCCCCAGACGACGGCGCTGCCGGTGGAGGTGGAGGTGGAGTAACCCCTGAAGATGGCGCTGGTTGTTGAGGTGGTGGAGGTGGAGCACCACCAGAAGATGGCGCTGGTTGTTGAGGCGGTGGGGGTGGAGCACCCGCAGACGACGGCACCGGTGGCGGCGGATTACCTCCATTTGGTGGACCAGGAGACGGCGATGGCTTCTCGAGTGTGATGACACGCGTGGATTGGGCAGTCTTTATGATGGTTGTGACCAAGGTCGTGTCAACGCCATTGCTCGCTGGAGGAGCCGGTGGTGGAGGTGGTGGCGGCGCTGGTGATGGCCCTGGGTTACCAGGTGTTTGATCAATAGTACTTGGAGCGAATGTGAAATCGGGCTGGTCTGTCGAGACAGGACACACAGTAACGCCGATTGAAATCAACGTGGTCTCTACAATGGTCGAATGAGCCGGACAGTGAACGACGGTAGATGCACAGGCTGTGATAGTATGTACAGATGTGCTGTAGATGGTCGATGTAGTCAGATCCGCAGCAGATGGCGCTGGCGTTGGTGCAGGCGTTGGTGCAGGCGTTGGTGCAGGCGTTGGTGCAGACGTTGGTGCCGGCGTTGGTGCAGGTATCGGTACTACCGGCGTTTCATTTGTTTCAACTGCCGATGAGGATGCTATACTAGCCGCAGGAGACTGTATGGACGGTATCGCATCGGGTGGAGGTGCTGGTGGAGCACTGGTTTCAATGAAAGCAGAGGAAGCAATAGACGAAGGAAGGGCAGGCGTCTGATCAGGTAATACTGCTGAAGTGGGTGTCACTGGGCACACAGTGGTACCAATAGTTATGACGGAAGTCTGAACAACAGTAGATTGGGCGGGACAGTCGACGACTGTAGGGGCACAGGACGTAATGGTGATTAAAGTCGTGCTAAGAATTGTCGAGGTTATGAACTCAGTTGGCGTCGACGTTGGTATTGGGGCCAGTGGGGAGGTCTCGACGACTGAAGACAGTATTGAGGAGACCACACTGCTTTCACCCGTTGGCGCTGATTGCTCGGTTGGGACGACGACGACGACTGATGTCGGTGTTTCTGCGCATCCACTGGAGCACAGAGTAGTTTTACTTGTGAAACCAGGCGGTGGCGCTCCTGGGGTAATGTCGTCTGGGCAGTACGTTACGGTCTGCGTGACGACCGAAGTGATATATCCGGTCGGGCACACATCTGTGACTTCCGTAACGATTGTGGTGACGAGCGTCACGCGACTACTGGAGGGCATGTCTGTTGTTACGGGCGCAGTGGTGATATCAGAGGGAGTGATGACCATGGAGGGCGTCGGTCCGGCAATTGAGGATTCTGCAGAGGAAACTGCAGATGTAACTATGGGGGTGTTGGGGCCGCCTTCAGAGGAAGGGCCCGTGGATACATCCGTGGGTGATTCCAGATTTGAAGAAACAAAGCTTTCTGCAGCCGAAGATGGAGTCTCGACTACTGAAGATGGTGTTTCGACGACCGAAGACGGGGTTTCGACGACTGAAGATGGTGTTTCAACGATTGAAGATGGAGTCTCGACTACTGAAGACGGAGTCTCAACCACCGAAGACGGAGTCTCAACCACTGAAGAAGGTAGAGCGTCAACAGCTGATGAAGCAGCTGTCGAAGGATTACCGTAGCCACCATCCGGGGGAGGTGGTGTGGCATCTGATGGACTTGGTGTAGGAGTCGGTGTAGGGACAGACGGAGTTACAACATCAGAGGTCGGGCCACCATAGCCACCGTCGTCAGGTACATCCGTCGGAGTGGGCGTGGAAGGTGATGGGGTTTCAACGACCGAAGATGGGCCACCATAGCCACCATCATCTGGCGGCGCCGCGTCTGAGGGCGTCGGACCGGAAGCGGGTGTCGGCGCTGATGAGTCTTCCACGACTGAGGACGGGCTGCCATACCCACCGTCATCATCTGGAGGGCTGCCATACCCACCGTCATCATCTGGGGGACTGCCGTATCCGCCGTCGTCATCCGGTGGGCTACCATATCCATCATCCTCATTTGTCTTCTTGACGATAGAGAGAGACCCTAGGATGTCGTCGTATCCGCCAAACAAGGCATTGCCTGCATGTCTCTCTGCCAGAGAGTCGACTGATGCACTGACAACGGAAGAGAGAAATAGCGGAGAAATGAAAAGAGAGCCGACACCCAAAACGAATGGAAGCGAGGGCATTGTAAGAACGTGTTGAAGTAGAAGAAGGCTGGAGTATAAGAGAGAGAGAGAGAGAGAGTATGAAAAGAAAGAGAGAAGGAATAGGAAGAGTGACGAGAAGAGGAACGGAAATGCGGACGAAGAAATGGAATGTTTGTGAGAATGAGAGAGAGAGACCACCTGGGCCTGCACGACTCTATATTACTTTCCAAAGTGGACGCATACCTACGTATCGGAGCCTAATTGGTAAACATGTTTGGTTCATCGCCTTAACTGGGCAAACATGTGGATGGACAAAAAGCAGTAATAGGCGCTGAGAGACAGCTCGGTTCCGCAAGCCGATCGTCGAGAAGCAGAGACTAGGCAAGAGACAGCAAAGCGGCCGCCCAAGGGGGGGTATCATGGCGGCAACATGTGGAGCGTTCTACAGGCTCGATGCGAGCGTGAGAGTGGATTCATCGAACACCGGAGAAGTGAAGATGCAGAAGAAGGAGAAGAAGGATGAAACGGAAAAGCGGATAATGGATCAGCTGAAGTCGAAGCGATGTTGATAAGAAGCCTGTGATTGGTCAAACGACTGTGGAGCCGCCGAGTTCAGCGTTTCGCCGTAGTCACGTGCCCGAGACCTCGTTGGCCGACACAAAACCGTCTTCCCCTCTCCACTGCATCTTCTTAGCTTGGCGGCTGCATACAGAGAGATACACAGCAACGGCGAACCAGTATCACTGGTGACTGGCTACATGCTCCCCTCGATTTAGACATTTGAAAGACTAGATCGTCTGGTCGACCAAGAACGAGTGCAAGACTCAGGAAGTTGGAGTTCCGGATGAATTGAATCCTTCTTCTTCTGATTACTGGACGAGTCAAATCGTCTAGTACATCCTTCTCAGCCCTTGGACATGTAGAGTTTTAGAAGAAAAGAACACAGACACAGGCGCCCTGTCACATATAGACTTTCATATATTTATTGGCATAGCACTGGCTACTATTGGCCCTGACCTGCAGATACCCGCCGCCGGCTCCACATGTCGTTCGTTGTCGTCATCGATCAATGGCACTGCTTCTAAGATATGCCCATGAACATCAAGAAACATACACAAACCTCGTAGCCACATTGATTACTCAAGTCCCATCCTTGTACCCATCCTAGCATTCTGGCTATCATCTTTACATGATCTTCCGCATTAGTCCCCATCTCCTATCCCCACGCAAATCGCCCTCCATAATGCCAGTCACAACCATATCCGCAGAGACCCATGCAAAGTCCTCCTTTGCTCACAAACCCAATCCACACCACACCAATCTCTCGTCTCAGCACGACACGGAGCAGACCAACACCTCGACTCCCCACGAGCGCAACCCAGACCACATTCCCCATACCAACCAAACCGAGGATTCATACGTCCTCACCTTACACACCTCGCAGAAGCACCACTCCACCATGACTTCACTCCGCAAAACCTACTTCCCCCCACGCATCAACAAGCTCGGCGCTCACATCGCGCTCTTCCGCGCAATCCCCGGCTCCCATCTCCCCACGATCAAGTCTGACATCCGCTCCCTCACTGCCCATACCAGCTCTTTCCCCATCCGTGCCGACGCCCCATTCCGATTATCACACGGCATCGCGATCGGAGTAAGCGACGGCGGTCCCGAATCCAAACGGATCCACGCCGAACTGCGAGACCGATGGTATGACGTCCTGAGTAACCAGGATCGAGGCGGGTTCAGGGCGCATTACACGATCATGAACAAAGTCGACGACGAACAGGCCGTTCGCCAGGCGTGGGACGAGCTATCGGGCGCCTTCAAGGGCAGCGACGGTGTGGTTGAGGGACTCGCGTTGTGGCGGTATGAGAAGGGGTGGTGGAAGGACCGCGAGGTATTTCGGTTTGCGCATTGAGGCGACGCGTATATACAATATACGTATCCGAAGCATTCTTCACACTTGACTCTGGCGAGCAGTTGGTTGGAGCTCTGATCGAAGGGAGCCAATCAATGACACTCAATGCGTCCCGGTCAGCTGAAAACGGCAATTATATGCCATCGTCGAAAACAGGGCGATCGGACAGCATGGCCCGTGTCTGGAAAGAGTGGAGCCTTGACGGATCACAGTGATTGGCTGCCTGGTCATATTTGTGTCAGAAGCGGCAATTTTCGACCATCGTTGAAAACAGGGCGTTTGGACAAATGGGCAACATGGTCCGTGAGCGGAAAACAGTGGGTCTTTGGCGCACCTCTCTCATTGGCTGGCTTGCTGGCTTCAAGGACCGTCCTCCATACTCCTGTCGACGACCATGCGTTCAGACAGAGTTTCTGCAAGTTAGTGTTTACTCAAGGACCAAGCTTGTAGAAACTACCCGCGAGGCTCTGACCAGTATAGATACATTTTGATCATAGTCTTGTATCAGTGTAAACCTCACTCACAATACCCAGAAATGACGAAAAGGCGCAACCAAACAAAGGTACATTCCACAACCATACTTCCATTCATCTAACCATCCATCATCATCCTTCTACTACACTCTACTCTCACCAAAACAAACGCACCACCAGCCAGCCTTACCATACCAAAACCGAAACCAAACCCAAAACCCAATCCCCTGACTCGCCGCCCCTGCGCGGCTCCGCCCGATATCACACCACGCTCACGCCTCTCTATCCCTGCAGACAACGCTCAAAAATCGTATCGCGAAATTTACGATATGTGTGACCCCTTCGCAATGTCACTTTCCAGCGAGTCAAGTAGTCAGACCCATACCACGTTAGGTGGAGAGCGAAATGCGTCTTACAAGAGTGGTGTGCCTGTGGTGTGCGTGTGGTGTGCGTGTGGTGTGAGGGTGTATAGGGCCTTCGAGTCTTCGAGTGTGAGAGAAGGTCGGGTAGATAGAATGTCTATATACATACACACATATAAGTATATATACACTGTCACAAGTATCTCACACGCCTTATGAAAATACTACACACCCACTCTCTCTCATCTCTCTCTCTCTCATCTCTCTCTCTCATCTCTCTCTCTCTCATCTCTATCATCTCTCATATCTCTCTCACCCCCACAAACCCCTCGCCCAAGAACCCATAAACACACAACCAATCCATGGCCTCCTCCTCCTCCTCCTCCTCCACATCCTCCTCCTCCCACATTCCCACCCTCCGCCGTCTCCGCGCCTACTTCAAGGAAGACCACCCCTACGGCCGCTACCCAGTGACGCAAAGCGCATATCCCGCAGACTATCGCGCCCTGGCGCGACGATTCATGCGGGTGAGCATCATGTATGTGTGTTTCTTTCCTTCTTTCTTTCTTTCTTTCTTCCTTCCTCTTTCTTCCTTACTCTTTCAAGAACCCTAGCTCCTGGGGGGCAGCTGTGTGATTCTTGTAAACTGACTTTTGTCCGCCCGGCTGGGCGGGTGGTGAGATAGATATTTCCCTTCCGCGCTGCTGATTCTTGCCTGGCCGGTGGGCGTGCGATGGGTGGCCATGGGACGGGACGGGAGCAGGGACGAGGGGTTCTGGACTAAGCCAGCGTGGTGATGAATTTTTTACTTTCGCGGGGAGGGAATGTAATTGTTGTATGTATATCATCGATCTAAAAGTTCTATGGAAATTCAGATTTCTTGGCCGCCTACTATTCTATAAAGATCCTCATGGTAATTTTGGCATTCCATCAAGTGTCTAGTAGACCTCCAACACATATCGTCCCTGATCCTTCAGCGTTTCGATTTCTCGCCTGCTGTTGATCTTCTTCGCGTCCATGCCCTCTGCCCTGCGTTCTTCCTCGACTGCTTCTTGCAAGACCTGCGTCACGTCTGGCACAGGCCATGTCGGGCCACACAGATAGAAGCTGCCTTCCTCCTCCAAGTACGCCTTGCGAATATTGCGCAGTGTCTGGCGCATGCGATCCTGAATGTAGATCTTCTGCGGCTGGTCACGCGAAAAGGCACGGCCGAGCAGCGTGATGACGCCGGCATCTTGGTATGCCTCCCACTCTTCGCCGTACAGATACTCCTCTCGCTGGTGTCGTGAGCCCATGTAGAGCATGACAGCGCCGATATCGTGGCCCTCTTGCTTCTGCAGCGCGCGCTCCTGTACAAAGGCACGGAACGGCGCGAGACCCGTACCCAGACCGGCCATGATGATGGGCGCGGTGGTCTTGGGTGGCAGCTTCATGACAGAAGGCTTGACGGATACAGTGACGGGTGCGCCGACGGGAAGGCTATTGAGGTATCGCGTGGCTTGTCCGAAGCGGTCGCGGCCCTTGGGATCGACCCAGCCGACGGTAACTATCAATAGTGACACTGAGGTAGGAGTTACGCGCTGAGATGAGGCGATGGAGTATTCGCGACGTTTCATAGGCGAAACGATACGGACGATGTCGTGGAAAGACGGGTGGGCCGAGTCGAATTCGAGAAGAATGTCCGCGTAGGTCGTGGTGTCGACTTCGGCACGGCGTTGGAACTCTTGGACACCTTCCTTCGTGCTGCCACCAAGAGACAGAAGTTCATCTTGCTGTGCCTTGTCGGAGGCAAACTCAGCTAAAGCTTCATAAAAGCGCTTTGGTGGGCGACCGAAGATGTCAACGTTTTGGACAAGTGCTTGATAGATGGTACGGTTTTCAAGCACGTTCGGATCTTCACGCGAGGGCACTTCAACGACATCCTCGGCATTAAGGCCGTACCATTTGATGAACTCCTCAACTTCAGTCTTATCGTTCTCTGCATGTACACCCAAAGCTTCACCAATGGCGTACTTGAGACCAGAGTCGCCAAGATCGAACTCGATATGGAAGATGTTGCGATCGTAATCGAGTGGAGTCAGGCGGCGGCGCTCCTTGATGTGCGAAACGTATGTCTTGACACCCAGATCTGGGCGTAGTGCCTCTTTAGTCCCGTAAGCCTCCTTGAAAGCAAGACCCTTCGCGACAGTGGCCCAATCCTTGAGGAAAGTCTCGGGCTCAGGCTCAATTTTCTCGAAAATTTCAAAACTATTGGAATTGATGTTCGTCGGGAGTGAAGCAATCTCTACGTCTTCTTCAATAGTCGCCCATGATTCCGGAATGCTGATTTGGTGGATCACCTTGTCAAGGTCTGCAGCTAAAACTTCCAGCATTTCTTGACTTCCATTGATGGCAGCAAGCTTCTGCTGACCGGCGTTCAATGTGTCGTTTTGGGCTAGACGCAAGAACACCAGTTGCGTTAGATAAGTCTCCAACTTGGCGTCTTCAACGACAAGCTCACACGCAGTTGGATCATATACAAAGAGATTGATATTCTTGGACACGATCGCTTTGCGTACGACAGCAGGTATCTTTTTCTCGAGGTCCTCGTCTTTCACACCCGGCAGCTTTATAACGAGTGTAGCATTGAGCTTCAGAGTATTCAGAATGTCGAACTCCTGAAGTAGAAGCCCCTCTGCAACGAGAGCAAAATCGGCTTGATCTATCGAGTAAGACGCTTCGATAGATTTCTGTGACGTGCGAATCTCAGTCTTCGTAACACCACCTTGAACGAGGTTATCGTGACGCGTGCTAATCGAGACATTGATAGCAGAGTCCTTGGACAGGAGGTTTCCGATGACAATTGGCGCATCCATAGAGGCCGAATTATCGCATTGCCAGAATGAGTATTGTTGGGTCTCGGAATCAAGTCCGTCTAGTGTGGAGTCAGCAGCGACAGCAAAGCCCTGGTTGCCAGTAGCTTCTTGAAACACTTCTGCCATCAATTTGGGTGACCAAGTTTGCTCTCTAGAGTATTTTATATCGGCCACCACAATGGGAGCAGGACCACCAAACGTAAAGGTTGTAGCCGCCAGGACGTCAGAATACAGTCGGGAATGTGCGTCTACATCGGCAACAACCGTTTCGTTCTCAACCTGACCCAGCACAGCCACATTTTTGACAGTCTTCGGCAGTGCAGCCACGAATTCTTCCTCGACGAATGGCCTATACACGCGAACGTTGATCAGACCAACAGTACCGCCTGATTTTGAGAGAGACCTAGCAACCTGTGCGCCAAGCGAGGCCTCGATCGTGCCAAAGACGACCACAACAGTCTCAGCTTCTTGGTGGCCATAGTACTCAAAGAGTCTGTAGTCAGTGCCCAGTTCATCGTTGAAGGCCTTCAAGAGCTTTACAACGCGAGCTTCATTGAACGAGTGCTTCTTTTCAGATCCGTCCACGCTTTTCAATATAGCACTGTAATTGTCGAATAAGCTCTTTTGGCTGAGTACATCAATGACGCGTGTGGTCTCGCGCCCGATACTGATACCATCATAGGTGTGGATGGTCGGCATGATGCTAGAGACTAAAGTCGAAAAGAGTGACATGTGCTGGACCTCGAACACAGAGGCACTGGAAATAAGGCCAAGGCCAAGGTCTTCGGCGATCGCGAATGAGGTTTCATAGTCGGACACAAACCCAGACTTTGAATCAGCGACATAGTCGACCGCTGCGACATGTGCGACAAGTGGGTTGGCAACCGAGTACAAGAGAGCCAGTTCATCCAGCGCGGGACGAAGCTGCTGCAGACTTGACGAGGATGCGACAAGCGTTTGCGGAATATGACGTTTCTTGAGATCGAAATCCTCAGAAAACATGTAGCCCAATGCTATCGACCCTGCGCCTGTACGCGTCTCCATAGCCGAGACGCCTGTAGCGTAGCCGTACGCATTCAACTCCTTCTGGGCAGACCATGTCTTGAGTGCGACGTCGAGATCGAACGTGTCCGGAGAGTAGGAAAAGATCTTATCGGACAAAGTGTAGGCGACCTGCTGGACGAGAGTCTGAGCAGTGAGGTAGGTAGGACCACTGATTGAAGAGAGAGAGACATCCTGTCCGAAGGGTAATGTGGTAGACTTTTCGACGAATTGCTTGAGCTCTTTCTCTTGCACCTGTATCGCCTCTGCAGGTCCTGCCGATTGGGTATCTTGCAAATGCATGTTGTTTGCGAGATTCCAGGCAAGAAGATTGAAATGAGGACCTGGACGAAGTAGCAAGTGTGGAGGAGGTAACTTCGCCTTCGCGCAAAGAGTCGTGCACAGTGGACTAGAAAAGTTTCGGTAGCATCAATAACACCATCACTCTCGATTACCGACTTCGGCAGGACAAGGATCTAAATGTCAAATGCCGACAAAAGCAGCATTCTCATTGGTTGAAGTCGCTGCATAAGTGCTGCAGGGACGCAAAAAGATGCTAGACCCTTCATCACCTGCGATGGCGTGCTTGTCCCCGACGGCATTTTCGGCTCGGCAGAATGTTTAGTCATCCATCTTATATTGGACCTACGTAAGGTAATTAGGGTTCTAGCTAGATGCATCATAGCAAGCCATTTGTCGGACTAGCATTGATGGCTATTTAGTCACGCAGGAGTGTTTATTACTTCGATCGCGGAATGATGTTTATCATGCAATCCCTTTCAATAACGTGAAATTGTGCTACGCTTGCGATCGGAACATATCGCAAATCTATGATGCTGTCAGGCAGGGGGTATCAGGAATCTATAAGTTCAAGCGATGAAGATGAATAGGAACGCAAAATCTGCAACCCTACCCCTAGGTGAGCGAGTAACTGATGTCGTATGTCGTGTATGTTCGCCGGTGAACAGATACGATCGTGTAACTTTAGCATCCTGACCTTTTCATCCTCGTTCTCCTGGTGTGGACGGCCTGCGGTCCCTCCATCCGCTATCTCGTCTTCTTTCCTCCGTCAGCTCCACCCTTGGCGAGCTGCTCGGCGCTGATGCATCCACTGCAAATGAGGACACACCTTTATGGCCGGTACCGCTGCCTCCTTTCGCGTTCGGGGCTGTTGCTCTTCTAAGCAATGGGGAGGGTGCTGCACGATTATGCTGCTGCGTAGCCATGCCAGATTCACGACCAGACATCGGACCATCCATAGCACTTCTTCGGCCGGCGGTCAGACTCGATTGCGATCCCCAATGTTGGTGGTAGGTAGGCGAGGGCGAGGAAGGCGAGTGTCCGTGGTATGGAGTACTCTGAAGTAAACGTGGGCTGTCGCGTGGCAAAGACGTCGGAGACGGCGAGAAGCGCGTGTCTGCATCATGAATACCACGGCCACCATCGTAGTACCGATCATCACCAGGGTAGTCTTCGCTGGTGGCGTAGTGTCGATTGTCATAATTCTTGTCGTCGTGTGCTTGTGCGAGGTATGCCTCGCCACGGCGCTTTATGGGGCTCTCATCGTATGGATCGAAACCAACACGACGCCGGGCATCACGACGAACACGTTGCCGGAGATCAGTATCGCCGCCAGCCCCGACCGTGGACGACTCGGAAAGGAAAAAGGTGAGGAGCTCGTCTGGAATGGCAAGATGAGATGTCTGCTGAAATTGCTGTAATGATGTGAGGCGAATGAGCATCTCCAGTAGCGATAGCGAGGTACGAATAATGGGCATAGGCAAGGGGTTGACGGTTGATTCTTGAGAAGTGTAGGAAGTGTGCTTGTCAGGTGAAAGGATCACTTGCGAGGCGACAGAGTCCTTGCACGGCGTTTGAGGCGTCGGATTTGATGCCGGGGAACTGCGGAAGTTGAGTCGAGAAAAAGCAGACATGAGAGTCGGCTCGACGGATGAGCGACGAGACCAAGAGTGCTGGGACGCGGGAGTCCCGGGCTGTGAGGACGGGATTTCACTTTCGTCCGCATCACCGTCGGAATCTGAGTCTATCGTGTCTTCCGTGTATACTTCAAAGGCGATCCATTCCGGGTCGAGATTAGGAGGTATTCGTTTCGATTGAACAGATGGGCTTTCTCCTAATAGTGTCTCACTTTGAGGCGTCTGGGGAGCGGGAGATTCTCGGTGCAATTGGGCATCGATTTCTGATTGCTCGTCCGGGTATTGTGGAGTTGATGGCAGGTCTTGCGGGGGACTTGAAGTGGCATATTCTTCGTATTGGTCTGCCGGAGGTGTCTGGCGTTGCATCATTCGACGCGGAGGAATTGCGTTGATGTCCCGTTTAAGTAGGAGGACGGGACTGTTCGTCTCGCTGTCAGTCCCAATATTGAGCAATTTCGATGTGTCAGCGTAGAATATTTTGGATATCTCGTGTACGGGAATCAACTCGCGTATACCGGGCCTTTCGACACCCTCGTATGGAGCCGCGGGTTCTTCGTCGTCGTGTACACGACCGTCATCATAGTCTTCTACTATTAGGAGTTGATAAGCATATTCGTATGCTTTGCCGTCGCCAGACATGTTGCCCGCAGTTGCGGACGAGGCAGAATGCCGTCGACCATTGCGTGAGCACTGTTCTCCTGGGTAGTCATACACCTGATCCAGAGGCACGCGTTGTATCTTCAACCTGGCTTTATGTAAAACCTCCTGCCAGGTGTACTCTCTGCTACGTTGCTCCTGGGGCACGTGTCCGGCAAACAGCATCCACATCGAGACAATGAAGTCAGGACATATCTGCGCGCCTCGGGTGGGATTGACAGAGTACTGAGCATCACCTGAAGTGAGTAAGGTACTGGCTTGCAGTAGCCTGGAAGGAGAGATATGATCCGGCATTCTCGTTGTGAAGTTGACTCCCGAGGTTGCAATTGCTAGATTGATGTCAGGGACTGACCTTTCGATATGCTGAAGAAGATTTTTGATATCCGCAATGATCGATTTCAGCTCCATTTGGCTTTGTACTGCAGATTTCGCCCTAGAACTACCTTGCCGTGCCAATTCTTCATCAGCAGCAGCTTTTGATAGGCGGACACCGAGAGTCTGAATGTCCCAACGCAAAGCTTTCGTCAAAGTAACTGCGGATTCGAGAGTCGTGTTGCCACGAGCTGCCATCATCTCGATCATGTCAATGGATGGAGAGATAATCTGCCATTGCGGTCAGTGCATGTTGTAGCTATCATCTAGGGTTTATTGACTCTGATTTTGCTTTCCAGACGCATCTGAAGGTTAACCAGCTCTGTCTTATCGCTGCTGCTCTTGACAGACTATATACAGTTTAGTAAAATGGTAACATTGCATTTCAGCCAAAATCTGTACCTTCAGCAGCCGACCACATTGCTGTATGGCGAACCCGCTCGTTATCGTTATGCCAGTTCTGATGGCATAGTTCATAGCCTGCTGGGTCACCTTTGCGCCATGTTAGTATAGGATCATTGCCAAGGTGATGGCAGTGCCAGCCGCCAGCCCTGGCATCGCGATGGTCCTGGAACCTATTGAAAGGAATGTGCTCATGTCTGACCTTTGAAAGAAGAACCTCCATCTTGAGCGTATGTTGGAGGACTGATATGAGGCCGAGTACGCTCAGGACGCGGAAGATTAGATGGAACAAAGCTATACTGCGTTTTGCAAGCGTCTTCAATGCACGGAATGCAAATCGCGCCGGAACTCCTTTTGAAATGGCATGGAGCTGGAGGCGAACAAGCTTCTGCGAAGAATAAAGCTGAAGGCGCCCACGTCGGGTGAAAAGATCATGCATGCGACAATGTTGTGTACACACGGGGTGTAATGGGGACTAAACGGTCTACTGTGTATATTTAATGTCAAGTCCATCCATGGACCCATGGATTCATGTCACGACTAACAGACAAAGCGCGTCCATTGTTTTGTGCAGGAAAAGGGCTTTCACGTGACTGCATAAAGAACATAACTTATGCACAAGTTCCTGCATAGTGCAGCCTAAGGACTTCCCAGCCTCCCCCGCAGTGCGCAGAGTGTCCCGCGCAGTGAGTCGCCACAATATTTGTGCCCCACCAGACCTTTAGGCTCGAGAAAATCAGCCCAACTTCTTATAACAACCAGATCTTAGTACAACACCGTCTTCGCATCCAGTCCCTTCATTCATTTCTTTCACTTCGGGAATCACACTATATCTCGTCACTATGGCCGACTTGAACTCATGGGAAGAGGACGAGCAGCTCGCTCAGCAGACTCAGCAAAATTTAAACGTGGGAAACCCGCAAACAAACGCTTTCAGACCAGGAGCCTCTTCCTTCACGCCAGGAGCCCAGTCTTTTACGCCGGGACAGCAGTTCCAGCAATATCCCCAGTATCAACAATACAACTACGGCCAGCAGACCGGGGGACAACCAGGTTATCCGCAATACCAGCAACAGTATGGTGGTCAGCAGGGGGTCTATTCACAATACAATCAAGCTTACAATCAAAATTATAACCAATATGGACAACAGCATCAACAACAGCAGTACGGTGGCTACCAACAGCCACAGCAACCAACACGTGTGATGGCACGGCCACAAGGCAATGACGCTGCACAATCACCCGCGAACCCATCTACCGAAGCACCCAAAGCGAAGGTCCTCTCGATCGGTGGTGACTCGGCGCCCAAGGCGAAAACACTGTCCATTGGTGCTGACGGCGGTGCGAAAGTAGAAACTTCAGGAAAGACAAAGGTGCTAAGCATTGGGACGCCCGCAGTGCCCGCAAAAGAGAAGTCTGAGAAGGTGGAAAAGGCCGAGCAGGCACCGGCGGAAGCAGGGGCTAAAGCTGCTGCAGTTAAGGCTATCGAGAAGACGGGCGAGCCTACCGGAAACGAACCGACGTCTGGGAGGACGTCGCCAACTCCTTCGTCGGGTCGTGATAGTCCCACAGGGAAGGAAAAGGCCGCTTTGAAAAAAGAGGCAGATGCCGTCGCGAAAGAGCAGGAAGCGGACGTCGATGAAGCGACTCTTGCTGAGATGTACGGCAAGGAGCATGTCAACGTTATCTTCTTGGGACACGTCGATGCTGGAAAGTCGACACTTGGAGGTAGCATTCTTTATGCGACCGGCATGGTGGATGAGCGGACCATGGATAAGTACAAGCGGGAGGCTAAAGAGGCGGGCAAAGAAACCTGGTATCTTTCATGGGCACTGGATCTGAACAAGGAAGAGCGTGCACAGGGTAAAACTATCGAAGTAGGACGTGGTTTCTTCGAGACAGAGAAGCGAAAGTACTCGGTCTTGGATGCACCAGGGCATAAAACCTATGTACCAAACATGATTGGTGGTGCATCGCAAGCGGACGTCGGCATCTTGGTCATCTCGGCACGTAAAGGCGAGTATGAGACTGGATTCGAAAAAGGCGGACAGACCCGCGAACACGCTATGCTTGCAAAGACACAAGGTGTAAACAAGCTCATTGTGGCCGTAAACAAGATGGACGACGTGACTGTGGAGTGGAGTGAGGACCGGTTTAAGGAGTGCACAACAAAGCTTGCACTGTACTTGAAGGGTGTGGGTTACAATCCCAAGACTGACATCACATATATGCCAATATCAGCTCAGGCCACGATTGGTATCAAAGACCGCGTGCCAAAGGAGACTGCGCCCTGGTGGAACGGTCCATCACTGCTCGAATACCTCGACAACATGCAGACACTAGAGCGAAAGGTCAATGCACCATTCATGATGCCAATAGCTGCCAAATACCGTGATCTCGGGACCATGATTGAGGGCAAAATCGAGTCAGGTGTCATACAAAAGACGAAGAGTTACCTTATGATGCCTAATCGCGCCACCGTGTCACTTTCAGCGTTATACGGCGAGACTGAAGATGAAATACCACACGCCACATGTGGTGACCAAGTCCGAATCCGAATCCGTGGTGTCGAAGAAGAGGATATTCTACCTGGTTTTGTGCTTTGCTCGCCGAAGCGCCCAGTCCATAATGTCTCTGCATTCGAGGCACAGATTGTACTCCTTGACATCAAAAGTATTCTGAGCGCAGGATTCAACTGCGTGCTACATGTACACTCAGCAACCGAGGAGATTACATTTACGAAACTGTTGCACAAACTTGAGAAGGGCACTGGACGCAAGAGCAAGAAAGCTCCAGGATTCGCCACCAAGGGTATGTCCATCATCGCTCGGTTGGATATTACTGGTGGAGCAGGCTCGGTGTGTGTTGAGAGATATGAAGAATATCCACAGCTTGGACGATTCACATTGCGTGATCAGGTGAGTGACTTGCGATGTACATGATATCGTCAACAGGACTGACCACAATTTCAGGGACAAACAATCGCCATCGGCAAGATCACAAAGCTGATCACCGAGCCTTGAATCATGGAGACTTGGTTATGATACACCATTGCATGTCTCGAGTAAGGGCTCATTGAAGCATAGAGGTTGGAGACCATGCATGAATATGGAGCATGTTCAGGAGTACTCGTCATGCCTTTTTTGGGGTATGATCAGGTTAAGATAGACAAGTTTCAAAAAATAGTCAAACATATTTTGAGCGTCATCGGCGTTACATGGGTTGATATTGAGCTTGCAAGCAGGAAGCTGAGCAGCGTATCGTGCCGTGCACAGACAAAGCAGATAACAGATATGATCTGAATATATTCAAAAAGATTTCACGCTAACTCGGGGGTATAGAACGCCAACCTAATGCTAATACCAACACGCCGTTACCATGCGTCCAGAAGCCCAAGCAGCACTTATTCAATCATTCTGACTCGTAAGCCACGAGCGCGGATGCTGTCATCTCCTTGTCTGATTCCTGGTTGCTCGTAGAGACGAGAGACTTCTTGATTCCCAAGAACGGCCTTACTGGCTTGGGAGTTTTGCTGATTCGGAAAGGATCCAGTGCCGCACGTGTATTTCCCTGTAGCTGTTTCTGAAGCTTGACTTTCCTCCCAGCAGCCTCTTTCTTTGCCTTCGTGAGACCAATCATAACACCTTCTTTCGCATCCGAATCAGCCAAGGCGAATAGAGGTTTCGCAGCAAGGTCTTCGCCATCCGCAGCGCCAAACTCAATAAGCCCCGCGCGCGCACGATCACCCTCCGTCTCATCCACAATCTCAAACTCCTCTCCAAACCCATACCTATCCCGTATCCTCCCCCGCTCCTCCTCCTGCCCAGCCCTCACCTTCCGATCCTTCCTAAACCCGCTCCTCAGCCTCTTACTCGCCGCATACGGATCCTTCCAGTCCTTCTCCCGCGCAGCATACAACTCCTCCACCCTCTCCCTACTCTCCCGCACCTTCGCCTTCTCCTCCACCTTGCCCTCCAAGCTCGCAAACGCATCGCTCCGCCTCTTCGCCCGCTCCTCCTCGCTCAGAAACCTGCCCTCACCTACCCCTCCCTCTTCATCATCAGCAGAAGCAGCAGCAGCCCCATAATCCCGCTTCCGGCCGCCCTCGTACACCACATAGTCTGCCCTGCCCGGATCCGTACGGATCTCGACCGCGCCCCCGCACACGCTGTGCTTCATGCGGAAGCTCCAGATCGGCGTGGAGAAGTACATGCCGATCTTCTTCTTTTCGGCATTGAAGCGTACGCCTTGTGGGATGATGGTTTCGGCGGGGCAGTGCGCGCACCAGACGTGGAAGGGCATCTCGAAGCGGACGATTTGCGAGCCGGCTGGGGTGCGCTTTTGGGTGGTCTTGAGGGTTGAGGAGGAGTTGAAGCGGGGCGGGGAGGTGGTGGAGGGCGGGTAGTACCGGCCCATGTTGAAGCCCTGCATTGCGGCGGTTTGGGACGCGCAGGGCGTGGGAATGTTAGGGTGTGTTTACGCGGTTGTGGGTTGTTGTGTTGAAGAAGTGTCGGCGGCGTAATGGAGTTGTAGAATTCCAGGTTGGTGCTTAGAAGGGTCCACGCCAAGCTATCTATCTAGCCAATCAAATTTGTTTTAGTGGCACTAGTGCCCTTGTAGTCAAGCCTTAGTCGAGGAATGGTTATCAATACTGCAGAAAGATTATACTGAAATTGTCATCGACATTGCTAAGCTATACACGTAACTATACTGATAATATTGCATTGAATGATATGGCCTATTGTGTTCCTGCTATGTCCCAGGCTTGCTCGATTCAGAGATTCTTGAGCCAGACTTATATCAGGCATGCCTCCAGTCATGAAGAAGAGGAGAGTGTCGGCCAGCCAAACGCCCCTTGAAATACCCAGATCCCGAAGCCAGTTCTCCTGAATAAAACACCGGAGCCTATTGCGGCTAGACAAAACCAATGAAAATTGCTTATACGCTATAGAATGCTGGGACTCGTATGTGACCCCAAAAGACGACTTCAGATCTCGTCCATGTTTCCCGTTGGCTCTTCATCGCCGGACTCGTAGCTCCCGACAGAGCTCATCTCGTCGTCCTCCCCGCTATCCTCGTCGGCCTCATCAGCAGCATCTTTGGAGGCGTATTTGACCACATATTCCTTGACTTTCGCGTCGTAGCTCTTTGGCTCTCGCATGAGCAAAGCCGCTGCTTCGCCGTTGAGTGGATCCGTCGGATTTGGGTAACGAAGGAGTTGAGGCAGGAAGACTTCGAAGATATTGACCATGTCGTACATGGGCGACCATGTTTGGTTGATAACATCGAGACAGACAGAGCCGGACAGCTCATCAATGTTGGGATGGAATATACGGTTTACGAAGCCAATACTGGGACTCTTGTATGGGTACTGGTCAGGTAGTTCAACATGGATCTTCCAGAGACCACCTTGGAATGGTGTCTCTTCAGGACCCTTGAACCGAACGTAGAACTCTTGCATGTTGTCATTGACCAGAGTTACCTCATAGTCGCTCATTAGCATCTTCATGACATCTGTCTCGATCCGACGCTTCGGACTGCTCATCTTGCCGCCTCTAATATGTTTCGTGTCTGGCTGGCTCGATGGATTACAAGGACGGAAGTAAAGACGTGATCGATATCGAAGGAGGCTCTTCTACAGTATATCCCTCTCTGGCTCTGGCCGGCTTCAGAGACTTCGTAAGTTAGGTATTCTCCTGCTGGTGGCGCTGTGTTGAGGTCAAATGAGTACCGTGATCGGAAAATGGCTGCTTAGGAAAGCTTCGTTGCGATCTAGGCTCCAGGAGGCTGTGAGTGCTGTGGCTAAGGCAGTTTGTAGCTGGCGAAGAAGTCAAGCAGGACAAGGACAGATGTGGTGGATTGAGTATGTGATAGATAGAAGAGCTGTAGGAGTCAGAGTGCTTGAAACGTGGATGATGGACACGGCGGGCTGCGGGTATGGTCTACCTAGCTGGTCAGGGAAGTCGTCACGCAAGCAAGGAGGCACGGGCAGATCGATGTTAACGCCGTCTCTCTGTCGGTCATACTGTCGGTGCGCAGTGGGGAAGAGACAGGAGACCGCATGACCGTACATCACGTGGAGCAATCGGATAAGGACTCTAATTACTGTTCTTGTTACGGAACATACTGACAGATGATTCGCAGGTCTGATTTGCGCATTGAAGCCCGACAATGGCAGCTAAAGGTCCCGCCGCAGTTTCATGAGGATCTTGGGAGGGGCCGGGATGAGGGGGATAATTATAAGGCATCCAGGCGATAAGGCCAAATATAAGGCAGCTATGTGCTAATGCGTGCGCGTGTTGTCGCGTTGCTGGGAAACGCAACTTGGCGGCAGCTGCCTAGAACAGAACTCTGTATACTGGGACGGACGAGCGACCACACACTGCATCACCAACATATATCTAGCTATTCCTAGGTCTACAGCGCATTCTGGCTGAACGGTATGTGATTCACAGCTCTTTTGCTGCCTTCTACCATACAATTCCTCATTGCAATGATCGATCCTAATTGCGTCACCCCAATATAGGCATCGTAAATTCCAGCCTACCGGGGGCCCTTTTCGTCCGCGAAATACTCTGCACTCGCCAGAAAAGCCCCGATTTCCGTCTCCACGGTATCCTGTCCGGCTGTCGGTCGAGTTTCATCACTCCGAAAGCAGCACAAGCAGCGACACTTGCATCAGTACCACAACTTCGCGGAACAATCACAGAAAGAGGATGGCGAACGATCCGAGGCAGAAGAGCAATGTGCCTCTTCAACCATCATCGTCGACAAATCTCAACGCTCGTGTGGAGACACCAGAATTTGGCAAGACCAGTCCGATACGCAATCCTCTCAACAGGGCGAACAACTACAACCACGTTTTCAATGTTCCAAAACCTGGACAGCCACGGGCAGAGCACCACCGTGCTCATCCGCCAGCACAAAAGGCACCAACTACCCCAGAAAGCCCGTTCACACCCGAGGCGAGCAGTACACCGTGGAATCGGGCTGCGCCGCGACCACTGGGCGCAGACGTGCCAACAATGTCTTGGGATTCGATGAAATTCCCGGACGTGATGGAAATACCACGCCCAGCAAACTTCCCAATAGCCCCTAAAGCGAAGCCCGTGCCTATATCAAGACCAACGAATCCTGCACAGTATGATTCGGTTCGGATCATCCCCATGCATCCCGTTCATGCTTCTTCGCAGATTCCTGTCGATTTGACGCACAGGGACGAAGATGACAGTTTTGATCCCAACGCAGCTCTGCAGGATGATCGATTTGGTGCCCCTGATCCGTTGATGTACGTTGATGCCGCGAAAGCGAGTGAAAACATCAAGGCTTTGCTGGAGGGTGCTTTTGAGAATGATGATGATGATCAGCCCAAGATGCGACTACGAAAGAGGAAGCAAGCAACGAAAAAGACAGACGAGCTGGAATCGCTTGCCAACAAGCTGAACGCCCTGAAGGTCAAGGCAGAGTCACAAAAAGACGAAGCCGATGAAGAAGAGGACGAGGAAGATGACGGATCGGTCGAGGGCCTGAAGGTCAAATTGCTTCCGCATCAAGTTGCCGGTGTTACTTGGATGCTAGACAAAGAGGCCGGCGTACGCAAGAAGAACGGGGTCCTTCCTAAAGGCGGCATTCTGGCCGATGACATGGGTCTTGGTAAAACGATACAGTCACTTGCCCTCATCTTACAGAATCCCAGGCCATCAGAAGAGGAGCTTTCAAAAGACCCCAAACGCAAGATTGCTCAGGACGTAGCCAAATGCACACTAGTGGTAGCACCGCTTGCGCTAATCAAGCAATGGGAATCAGAAATCAAGACCAAAATCCAATCTGGATATGAACTTAAAGTCCTTGTCCATCACGGCCCTTCTAGGACGAAGCGCGCTGCGGAGCTCAAGAAATACGATGTCGTAGTCACGACTTATCAAATTATGGCATCAGAACATGCAAATAGCGAGGCGGATGGCAAAGGCATTCAAACTGGCTGCTTCGGCGTCAACTGGTATCGTATCATCTTGGACGAAGCGCATACTATCAAGAATCGGAACGCAAAAATGACGCAGGCCTGCTACGCTTTGAGATCGCATTACCGATGGTGTCTCACTGGAACCCCAATGCAGAATAATCTTGATGAACTCCAGTCTCTCATCCGATTCCTTCGCATTAAGCCATATAACGAGATGGTCGCTTGGAAGGATCAGATTACCGGCCCCATGAAGAACGGACGTGGAGGACTCGCGATGAAGCGGCTTAATTTCTTTTTGAAAGCCTTCATGAAACGTCGAACGAAGGATGTTTTGAAGGAGGAAGGCGCTCTGGTTCCAGGCGGCAAGGTCAAAGAAGGTGATGACACACCTAAGTTCAAGATCGTAGAGCGCAAAGTTGAAATAGTTGTTTGCAAGCTGAATGGTAGTGAGAGGCGTTTCTACGATCGCCTGGCCGATCGTGCAGAAAGTCGACTCAAAGAGATGATGGGTGCGGAGAAGCAGGACTATATTGGTGCTTTGGTTCTACTTCTTCGACTGCGCCAGGCCTGCAATCATCCAGAGTTGATGACGTACTCGCTGAAAAGAGATAAGGATGCTCTGACTACCGGCTCCAAGCCTGATAATCAATCAGCCCAAGGCTCAACTAAGGATGACTTGGACGACCTTGCCAATATGCTTGGAGGTCTTGCAGTCGAAACTAAGCAATGTGACGTGTGTCAAGTGGATATGTCGAAAGATGAGACCGCTTCTGGAGCAGTGCGCTGCACAGACTGCGAGAGCGACCTTAAAGCTCAGAGGAGACAGCATAAAAAGAAGAAGCGGGATTTGAAGAAGTCGAAGAAAACTCCAGAAGATTGTACTGGCAACGACATCGCTGGCAGTGAAGACGAAGACGAGGCTGAAGATGCAGCTGTTAGTAAGAGCTCTGGCGCCAAAACAAACCGACGACGTCGAGTTGTTACTGACAGCGATGACGATGACGATGAAGGCGAGTGGATTGTCCCTGAGAGCGACCGACAGAAAATAGATCTAGGCAAAGCCGGTGGAACCGACGATGAAGACGCAGAAGGAGGTGGTGATACGCTTGGCTCAGTTGACTCTGTGAGCGATGAATCCGGAGAAGAGGACGATTCCTTCATCTCGCAAGACAGCGCCATAAAACACAAAGCACATACAGCTAACGAGGAAGAAGCGTCAGACAATCAAAGCGGCAGTGAGGATGATGACAACGATTCGTCCACAACTGACGATTCCGATGAGTCTGTGGTGGCATACCAAGGCAAGAAGAGTATGCACATTGAAGCGTCAAGTAAGATTCGTGAGCTTCTTGCGATCCTGCACAGGGAGTCCCCTTCACACAAAGTCATTGTCTTCTCACAGTTCACTTCTATGCTCGACCTCATTGAACCATTCCTACGGCGGGACCGTTTCAATTTCGCACGTTACGACGGTGGTATGCGTAACGATCTGCGCGAGGCTAGTCTAGAAAAGCTTCGCAACGATGAGCGTACAAGAGTTCTGCTTTGCAGTTTGAAATGTGGAAGCTTGGGCCTCAACTTGACTGCAGCAAGCAGAGTTGTCATTGTCGAGCCTTTCTGGAATCCCTTTGTTGAAGAACAAGCTATCGACCGAGTACACCGTCTGAATCAAACAGTAGATGTGTTAGTATACCGCTTAACCGTTGACAAAACGGTCGAGGAGCGCATTATCGAGTTGCAGGAATCCAAGCGTAAACTTGCGGCAGCTGCAATAGAAGGTGGTAGCAAGAAGGGTATTAACAAGCTCGACATGAAGGACATTATGAATCTTTTCAGACATGATGCACATCATGACGCTTCACACGAAGATCCTAGAAACCAGGAATACCTTGTTCCGACGAAAGTGTTGAGCCAAGCTGAAGATGGAACCCAGTATGGCCATAGTACTGGAAGGGGTATCACACCTCCGAGGTTGAACGCGGCCAAGGACAAAGGCAAGACGAGGATGGCAGAGCATCCAGTCTATGGCAGGCGCTGAAAATGGAAATGTTGGTGATGATTGGGTATGAGCTCGCGATTTCTTTTGCATGGCCTCGGCGCTGTTGGATGTGGGATGATACCTCGATTTTTTTATATGGTGGGTTCATAAGGCCATTATACTATATACCTGTTCCATAATCTGTTTTATGATCAGTCGATCCGCCGTCGACTTAATGTTTTTATGATACAAAACCATGACACAGCCCCCAAGCTCGTCTAATCTCTTTACCCTGTATCGACACAGGAACAGAACGCCAAGGCCTAGATGCGGAACGAGCCCGTCTTCTACCATCCTAGTGTCATATAAGTGCTGTTGGTGGTGTTTATAGAAAATGGGCGCTATTCTAGTTCTCCCTGAAGGTCCCTTTCCATTCTACCCCGCCTGTCTTATCTGCCGGGTGCCGATCAACAATCGACCATATCGAAATCCATATGATACGAAAGCAATCTTCTCTGGTCGACGTTCGGGATATTTCCGTCCAACAGCATAGGAGCCCGGAAGCGGAAGCGTCCCTCATCTCTCCTCGGCTGAGTGGAAGAATGCAATGAATAACTAGTCGAGGAGGAGTCGCACCTTGTTGATTGTTGATTGTTCTTGCTACAAACACCAGTGATCACATCGTCTCTAGTCCATATACTGTCAACCATGTCAAAGAACGTAAAGGTCGCCATCACACAGCATGAGCCGGTATGGTTGGACCTTCAAGGCACAGTTGCGAAGACGTGCGCGCTCATCAAAGAAGCCGCTGCCGGAGGCGCCAAACTTATAGGTACCCATATCTCAACTTAAGCTATCTGCTTCAGACGTCTAACAGCATGCAGCGTTCCCGGAGATGTGGGTTCCTGGATACCCAGCTTGGATCTGGTATGTCACGTGGCCATCTCAAATATCATACACTCACCCATATCCATGGCTAACAGGCTTGACAGGTCGCGCCCGGTCGACTTCGAGCTCGGCACGCGCTACGTCGATAATTCCCTGACTGTAGACAGCGCCGAGATGCGCAAGATTTGCAGCGCTGCACAGGAGAATGCCATCAGTGTCGCCCTAGGCTTTTCCGAAAGAGACGGTGATTCGCTATACATCTCCCAGGCGCTGATCTCCGAGGAGGGCAAGATCACCTCGAAAAGACGCAAGATGAAGCCGACGCATATGGAGCGTACTATCTTTGGTGATGCGACGACGGATTGCTTAAGTGACGTTGTTGATACGAAGGACGTGGGGAAGGTGGGATGTCTGTCGTGCTGGGAGCACATCCAGCCGCTGCTCAAGTACCATATGATTGCACAGAAGGAACAGATTCATGTTGCGGCGTGGCCGCCGCTAGATGGCTTCGTTGATGGCTCGCCAGGGTTTTACTCCATGAGTGCTGAAGGTAAGAGCCCGTGTTCCCCCTTGGATTGAATCTTCAATCTCACCATCTAGGATGCCTCAATCTCTCCCAAAGCTACGCCATGGAATCGCAAGCCTTCGTCCTACATTGCACGTCCGCGCTGAGCGAGAAGGGGACTGAGCTTATGGGAACAAAGGGTGCTCCCATCATGGGCACCGCGATTGCAGGCAGCTCGGCGTTGATTGGACCTGATGGGCGTGTTCTGTCTGCGCCGAATTCTGAGCCGGAGACGCTCCTCTTTGCGGAGATTGATCTTGGGTTGGTTACGAAGACGAAGACGTTGGCAGATGCGTCGGGACATTACAGTCGGCCAGATTTGCTTTGGCTTGGTGTTGATGTCGGGCCTAAGAAGATTGTGAGATCGACAAAGACGACGTGAGGACAGGTTTTTTGTTTTGTTTTTTGAGGACGTGGCTTTTTTCTGTAGCGATTATATATGGTCTTATGATTAGAGAGAAAGACGTTGATATGTTCATTACAGTCTTGTATCATTTTCCGACGGCCGAGGTACCCCTGCTGTATCCTAACCGCTTTTGTTGTAGCTCGTCGTGTTCGCCACTCACTTGAACGCCAGAGGCAGAGGTGCTTGGCCTTTAGAGTCTAGAACGCGAACACTTCTCGGTGCGTATGGCCCCTGTTATCTTATTGATGCAGAATATGGCTCTCGATTATGGATCAAATGACAGAAGAAGTTCAGACGTGTCCCCACGTCAAAGTATGCGGCATGCGACTGACATGAACTGACAGAAAGTCATTTCACTGTCGTTATCGAATCTTCCACAATATCCGCCTCTCGAACCCACGGATCTCTGCCTCGATACCCCTCCCAATTGCTGATCGTCATGCATGGCTGAAAGGTTGTGCCCATCATTGCTTGTTGAACTCTGCCATGGTCACAGAAGTAGAGCCTACGCGACTGGCCCCTCGCGTTCAATTCGTTCCAAGCGCAGAAACTCGCCTCCCTTTGCCGAGACAAGACTCCCCACCTCAGCGTCCTGCAGATGTAGGGCCGATCCTCGACCCTGACAACTACAATCTACCTCTTGATTCTTGGACTGAAGACTATCACTTCAAGTATTACCCGGAGAAAGAGCACAAGAATGCACCTTCACCTGAGCCACAAAGTCCTCCTGAGTTCAAAGATGCATATCTCTCGCCAGTCCTTGCCCGGAATGAGAGACTGCGTCTGACCATATTATGGTACTACACTCGAGGACTTGAGGGTGATAAGGATTTGTTATTGAGGATCCAAGAAAAAGTCCGCCTGGTCAGAGAGATCATAGGCTGGGAGTTTGCATTGACAGGGCTTCTTGACAACGATGTGTACACCCGGATTGCTGCCGTTGGGCTACCACTTGCTATACTCCCGCGCAGAGAGAGCACATGTGCGCACACCATTAATCAAGACGGACTGTTTATGCTTACGAATATGGACGAGGACTGGCGCTTTCAGAAGTCTCCGCATGTCCAGATAGGAGGCCTTCGTTCGTATGCTGGATGTGCTCTCAAGATCGAGACTGAGTTCGGCGAGAAAGTTGCACTGGGGTCGCTGTGCGTGGCCTCTAATACTCCACAAGCACCTTTGTCACCTACCAAACAGGCGGCACTGGACAGCTTTGCTGATATGATTACGGCGGAGCTCGTTCACGCTGCGAAACTACGACGGCAGCGAGACCGTCATCATATGTCTGATCTGATTGCAAGGCTAGAAGGGAAACTGTTTCTTAACTGCGATGCTGAAACGCTCGTGTTAGATACCTTGAGGGAGAAATACCCTCACGCAGTCGTGAGCCTGCAGCAGTCTGGATCCGATCAGGTTGCATTGTCTGGTCGCGATGCCATACCGTACACCGACGTCGTGGACGGGGTTTATGAAGATACAGAATACCTGGAGTCGATTATTGCAACCTCAAACCACACATCTCTTTCAAGCCAAAGAACAGTCCGAGCAATCGTACGGAAGTGTCAGCAATTCCAGACTCCAACATACATGATCGTGGCCTCGAATGATGTTCAATTCGTTTTCGATGATGTCGACTCTGGGTTCGTGGAGCGATGTGCGCTTGCTTTCAGTACGTATCGACAGGAACAAGATCTTAACAAGGCACTGAAAGCAAAGGATATATTCCTCCGTGGCATCACACACCAGCTGAGAACACCAATTCATGGCGTCCTTGGGTCTGTAGAGCTTCTGGCTGAAGAATTGAAGGCGCGCAAACTTTTGAGTGATCAAATTGAGCAATTGCAAGCGCCATTGCAGGAGTTCGATGCTTCTCCGTTCATTCGTACCATCAAGTCCTCCGGCCGTGACCTAATGACTATCGTCGATAGCATGCTCAAACTAAACCGATGGGACGATGTGAGTCACAAACCGACGGTGGTCAGTCTTTCAGAGCTCCGAGAGATGGAAGTAGCCATCCTGTCGGACATCGCCCAAACTTTTCAAGAGGAGGCTATGACCGGCAAATGCGTCTTCTATCTTAACCAACTTCAACAACAATGTGCTACTTTGACTATAGATCTTGTGTTACTTAAAGACTGCCTACAACATCTGGTCATGAACGCGATACAGAACACTCAGAGCGGACTGATCAATGTCACCATATCGTCCTCTCCTGACTGTCAAAGTCTCATTGTCGATGTCGAAGATACTGGCTGTGGCATTCCCCAACAAGACCACACTAGAATCTTCGAGCCTTACGAGAAGATCGACCCTCACAGCAAAGGTATCGGCCTTGGCTTGACTCTTGCTTCGAAACTTGCAAATCTTATGGACGGTACCGTAAGTCTTGTGCAGTCAACAGTAGGCAAAGGCTCGCATTTCCGCATGCATTTCCGAAATCCTCGATTCGCCCCTGAAGTAAATCAGAATACGCCTCTCATCCGAACGCTTCGACATCTCCCCTCCGTCTATTCCCTACACTCTTCTTCAGGTGTTGTTAGCCAGCTTTCAGATCACTTTGCTCAGTATCTGCGAAGCAGAGGACTCGAGCATTCTACCAAGTCTAACGACTCATTGGCTATCATAGATTATACCGAGGACGCCGACAGCTTTGAATCGATTGTCAAGTCTCTCGATCCGATGCAGGTCGCAGTGTGTCTTGTACCATCTGGGAGAAGATATGAACACCTGGAACGTATACCCGACGCACGAAGGGTCGTCATACTAAGAGGCCCATATACGTCCAACCAACTGGACTGCACGCTATCCAATGTAGACTCCCTCCTCGCTCCGCCCTTGGAAACACAAAACGAGACAGTCGTCGAGGGACAGACCGATACTCAAAGAGTGGTGATCACGACCCCATCCTCCGTCGTCTGCTTACAAGAAGAGCATAAACCTCCTCCCGCACAGCACATCAATAGCCCAAACGCCATCACCGAAGTCACCATACAGGCCACCATCAACATCCGCTCCACTCCCCCCTCTTTCAGCCCTCCTCTTTCACCCCGAGAAACAGCTGAAGCCCCCTTTGCCCTCCTCGTCGACGACAACAGCGTCAATCTGCAGATCATATCCATGTATTGCAAAAAGCGCAAGATCCCCTACGTCACCGCAATCAACGGCGAAAAAGCCGTCGCCGCATTCTCAAATCCACGTCTCCCATCGCCGTATCAACATCGACGCGTCAACCTGATCTTGATGGACCTGCAAATGCCTGTCAAGGACGGCATCGACGCAACACGCGAGATCCGTGCTCTTGAGAAACAGCTTGGATTGCCGAGAAGCGTCGTTCTTATGGTCACGGGCCAGGATAGTCCCGTGGACAGGGTGCGCTCTGCTGAAGCGGGTGCGGACGGGTTCTTTGTCAAACCTGTTGCTATGAAGGCCTTGGATCAGGGTATAAAAGGCCATTTCCCAGAATTTGGTGGTGCGGGCGTGTGATGGTTAGGGAGCAAGGTATAGAGACGCGTACTAGACGAGTGCGTTATACCCGTCTCATTGTTTGGCATTGGCGCGGCTTCTTGATCGTATTCTGTTTATTCATGCATAGCGTGGTGCTTGGCGTATATGTTGAGAACTGTAGTATGTTGCTTGAGGCTGTAATCTCGATTCATCTATACTTGTCATGTGGACGGAGTTCACAAGCTCTCGATAGACCTTTCAAAAAAGGTGGTGGATTAATAGTGCTATCCTCGTCATCGCTCTACACTTTCTTACTACTCTACTTTTCCACAGTAAATAGTGCATATACCCATTTTCTTCTCTATCGTACTGGCGTATTGCTGCTACATGCACAGCGAATTCAAGCAGACTCATAAGCTCGAGACGTGTAGATTTTTGCTTCATTGGCACACCAGTATCATCATACTTTCTGCCCGAACCAGGCAGCTGCTATCATGTCTGTCCGTCGAGAGGAGATATACCGCAGAGCAGAAAAGACTCGCACGGGAAGTTTCATGTCGATGGAATGTACACAAGACCCAACAAGCCGTCGATAAGGCAGCAGTTGTAGAGTAGATTTGAAATGCGAAACTCGCGAGACCAGAGGGGGAGCAATCATACACCATAACCCAAACGTGATATATACCCACACCCCCAACGCAAGCGTAAAAGGACCCCACAAAACGCCCTTGCAAAGCAGGCTTAAAGTGAAAAGCACACCGAACGATGCCTCGACACGAAACAAAGTATGCCTTGCAATCACCATCATCATCATCATCACTCCCAATCGTCCTCGTCGCTTTCCTCGGCGACAACCTCTGTCTTCGTTTCCTTGGGACTGCCGTGCGCTCGACTTGTTGCACCGCTGACGACGTCGTACGAGGCGTCGCTGTCGGCTTGGGAGTGTTGATCACCGGATTTTCTGGGCTCGCTGGGCTTGAGAAGGGTGTTGTCTTTTTCGTCTGTGCGGAGGGTCTCTTTGGAGGCGGACAGGGGTTGGGTTTTGTTTGGGGTGGAGGATTCGTTGTCGTTGTCGTCGTCGTCTGAGTCTTCGTCCCATGCGACGTCTTCGTCTGGGGTGTTGGCTGAGGCTACGGAGGGTTAGTCAAGTGACGGTGAGCGTCAGGCATATGTGTGGATGAGGCATACCTTTGAGCATCTCTTTCCGTCTCTGCTCCTCGCTCTCAATGACGTGTCGCAGGAAGTAGTAGCGCGTCCAGAATTCGGAGTATTCGACCTTTTCCGGGACAAGCTTCTCCATTGCCCTTCTCAGGTCCTCGTATTTCTCCAGGTCCTTCGAGATCGTTTCGGTGTGCGCCTTGATATCGAATGTCTCGCCCCAAGGCACCCATTGCGGACTGACTGGGTCTTTCAGAAAGCTGTCGAGACTCGAGTGTATGACGTGAAGTTGTGCGTCGAAGCGAGTGGTATGGATGACGCGTCGGCCCTCTGCATCTTTGCTTTCAAATAGAACCTTCGAGTTGTCCGCTCCTTCGGACGTGTCTGGCGGCGCGACGACGACTGCTTCGCGGAGGTAATTCCGGATATTGCTCCCGAATTTCAGGAGGGCTTCGTCTGCGGCATCTTCGGCCTTTTCAATGTCTTTCAGTCGCTTTTGCGCCTCACTCCGGAATCGCGATAGTAAGCCGCCGGCCTCCTTGAGAATATCAGCCGGTAGAGAGTCTGGTCTGGCTGGGTGTGTCTCTAATGCCTCCTTTTGTTTCTGTGGCGCCGCCGGACTCGCTGCGGACTCGCCGTCGGCAGGTTGCTGGATTGATAGTCCTCGAGTTCGGCCGATGATTGATGTGAGGCCTTGCGTGGCCTGTTCACTCGCGGTGGAGTACTGCTTTTGGGCGCCCTCGTAGTATTGTTCACCCTGTTTTGGGAAGGTTAGACGATGATGATAGAGCGCAATTATGGATGGCAGCACATACCTGCTTCTTCACGTTTCCCCACAGCCCGCCTAGTCGTGCTGCCCAAGGACTGCTAGATATGGCCTTGTAGGCTTCCTGGACATCGTTATTGAACGTGCCAGGCGGTGGCCCCACTGCAGCGGTCGTCGAATCTCCCTGCTGTTCTTGATCGTCGGGAAAAGACTCCTTCTGGACACTATCGTATGCTACGTCCATCTTGTTTCGCTTCAAAGAATGTCGAATAATATGGCTATGCCCTCGGAAGGTGTGCACATAGGTAGAGTAGGGAGTGGAGTCTTGTTGACAAGGATTGAAGCCGTTGCTCTCCCGAGGCGTATGCGGGACCCTGAGCCAACGCACCAATCAGCGCGGACCAATGACGCTGCTAACAAGAAGGTAGCGCGAACTCGGGACATTTTACCACATTCAGCATTTATGGATCTCAAACGTAACTCGAGCAAACTTTGTGTTATATTAGTGTTCAATCTGCATCTGTTGTTCAACTAGTTGTATCATCGAATTCTCTTTGCATCATGCCAGATAACCATGTTGATCGTGACGGTCTGCTCGATCGCCAGATACCAGAGATGATACTCTCGGATGGTGCAGCATCGTCTTTGACAGCTCCTCCTCCTCCCATTCCACATTACTTGAGTGCTGCAGGACGAGCACAGTATCGTTTTGCAGTCGAAGGCAATGCCATCAGTATGTGAAATGCATATGGTAAAGCCGCAAAGACTTTGACGGTTCGCGTCAATCTAATGCTATCTTGCAGTTACCGGAGGTGCAGGAACATTAGCTCTTGAGGCTGCTCGGGCTCTATGCGAGCATGGTCTGGCGGGTCTAGCCCTGTTTGATATAAACCCAACGCAGTCTCAAGATCACATTGACAAGCTGAAGGAAGATTTTCCGTCTGTCAAGATTATGACCAAGTCTGTCAATGTCACGGTTGTAGATGAGATTAGTGCTGCCGTAGCAGACGTTAGACAGACTTTGGGCAGTGTCGATATTTTGTGCTGCTTTGCTGGTGTTGTAGGATGTACACATGCCATGGATATGAGTCCGGAGGAGTGGCGGCGTACCATTGATATCAACTCAACGGGCTCGTTTCTCTCTGCTCAAGCTGTTGCAAGGTAAAGTACAATACATACCTTTGGGGTCATACATATTGACAAGTCAGGGTCATGCAGGACCAAGGCACAGGAGGAGTGATTGTGTTCATCGCATGTTGGTTCCTCTGTCTCCTTTTTTCCATGTATGCATACTGACTTTGCCAAGCTATGTCCGGCCACAGAGTGAACTATCCTCAGCCGCAGAGCGCTTACAATGTTTCGAAAGCATCTCTTATCCACTTGAAGTCATGTCTTGCGGCAGAGTGGGCGCGTTACGGCATTCGGGTCAACTCCATCTCTCCTGGCTATATGGACACGATCTTAAACGAAGGCCCCGGACTGGAAGAGGCTCGGAAGATATGGGCTGAAAGAAATCCTATGGGCAGGATGGGATCTCCTCAGGAGCTTTGCGGACCTTTGGTATTGCTATGCTCCAATGCTGGGACATATATCAACGGAACTGATTTGCTTGTCGATGGTAAAATGGCCCAGCAGATTCAACTATACATGTCGACTAACGTGGTACTACAGGTGGTCAGACCGTATTCTGAGAAGCACGTCTGGGTTTGTTAGATCGCAGGTTCCTACATTACTCAAGATTGTACCTTACATAGCTTTCAGAGTTCCACACAAAATAGACAGTCGAATTTAAGATACAGACCGACGCCGACCTGAATGTTGGGTAGTGCCGCTCATGGCCTTCAACGGTTGCTCTCCTTTCGTATCACCTGCTACGTAAGTAGTAGGGAATGTGCTTTCGACAGAGATATCCGGTCCGGTAGTAGACTCTGCCGTCGACCCATTCATGGATATCATGGGGTCGCTTGTTTGAATCAAGGCCATCTTAAGCTCTTATTCCGGACTGTAGATAGCTGAAATGTCTTTCTCAGGTGGTAACTCCTAATATCGATGGGATAAGCCATGTGGTACATCTACCACGTGCCTCTCTTGACTAGAATCAGCATATTTTGGATTGCGGCGGGAAACCATTCGCAGCATCCTGATCCACAACTTGATCCTCTATCGCCACCAGCGGTAGAAGTTATGGATTATGCTTATAATCTGGCTAAAGTTTTTACTTGCATCGAAGAGAACGCGAAGACATTGCGCCATTTGCAACGGTAGACTACGGAGGCGAAACAGCTATGACCTGTGTAAGTCGTGATGAAGAAGAGACACGAATGGTAATATGAGATCGACAGTAAATCAGTCCAGATGACCAGATCTTGACACCAGAAAGAAAGACGACATGTTCAATCAAACACTATGAAACAACGCCACGAGAACTTAGCCAGAGGAACCAGCATAAAGTTTCAATGCATAATATCCGCTATACGAAAGGAACAGTCCTTTTCTGGACTAGGAGAGGATCATCGACATAGAATAGCTAACAGACCCTCCAAGAGCTTTCGGTCTCAAAAGACAAAAATCACCGGAACCTAACGAGCAGAACCCACGCTTTTCATAACACACACATCTCAACACCAGTCGACAAAATCGGTGTCCTAGTCAAGCCCAGATCCTACATTGCTAAATATAGAAGCCGGGGAATCCTCCACCACCCGCTACGGCGCTACCGAAGCGATATATTATGATGTAGATGTACATACAAATGCCCCCTACCGATCCTTCGTCGCACGACGCGCCACACCAGCCCCAGTGTAGTTGCGATACTCTGAAACCAGACCTCGAAAGAGATCCTGAAACATGCGTGAACTCCGATACAATCCCGTCCCGTCCGTCTCGCCAATCTTCGCTTCTGTCAGCCCCTTTACCGTGGTGATACGCACGCAGCACGCGATAATAACAAATACTCATAAACCATAATAATCACTTCCCTAAATCTCCTTCTCCTCCTTCTCCTCCACAAAACAATGGTACATACAATTACAGATTCCATATCCCGGTCGAGTCTAACCCAAAAAAAGTCCCCACACGCGGTCTGAAATCCGAACCTAAAAATCTGGGTCTAAATCTCCCGGCCCCACCCTACGTACCGTAACTCACTCACTAACTCCCTCCCTCCTTCCATCCCTCACGCACAGCAACTCACAGACAGCATCATCATCAAACCTCTCCTATCCTCTCATCCCTCTATCCACAATGCCATCCATCCATCCACGACATCCCCACCGCCCCGCCAAAGACCCACGTAAACAACCAAAGAAACACTCTTTTTTTTCCTTTCCCAACGGAGAACGGAGAAAGCCGGGCGGGAACATGCATGCATACGTAACCACTCGATCGGGTCCTCAGGGGAGAGGAGAGGAGAGAGAGGAGTGGAGGAGTTACAGCAATATATATCCTTTTTTTTTCTTCTCTCAATGCTCGTGGTTTGCTAGATTGTCGCATGCATGCTCCTTTTGTCGCGTTTCGGATAATTGTGCTAATTATATGCCGTGCCGTATGCTACATACATACATACATACATACATACATGCGTACATGCTCAGCCGCAGAATACCCGGCATGATGATGAGAACAACAATAACAATAACAACAATATTAATTGACCATGCACTATAACCTCCAAACACCCTCAACACACACAAAACCCACACACGCCGCAAAACACACATATCTACCTCCCTCCCTCCCCCCGCGCACATGCCCAGCAGCCTCTCAACCTCGTATCCAGCCACAGCCATATTCCAAGTCCCCCATCCAGCGTAGCGCAGTGGGGCTCCCTCCCCCCCCCACCCGCCGGGACTTTTCTACGTTCGTGGCTTCTGGTGGATGTGGTTGTGGCTTCTAGTGGCTTGCTACGTAGATCGGAGTGTGGGTGTTAGACCTTAGGGCTGAAAGAAGGGAAGAAAAACGAAAGAAGAATAATGTGCATGTATGCATGTATGCATGCATGGTCTGGCTAGAAGAGGGTGAGAGTGAGAGTGAGAGTGAGAGTGAGAGTGTCAAGCGAGAAACGAACAGGGGGGACTGCCTGGGGTGTTGGGTTAGCTAGGGAAGGGGTTAGAAGTCGTGCGAGGGCATGGAGGTACAGTATGTACTGTTGTATGTAGGCGTGAGGCGTTGGCTTGTGTATTCATGGGTCGTGGTGTGTGTGTGCGTTGTGTGGGTGATACAATCGGCATCCATCTCATCTGTGAGATCTTAGATTCTGTGTGACGGACGGGCATCCATGACTCGTGTTTGCTCGTGTTGTGCCCTTGTTTTAGGACTTTTAGGTTTCGTGTTTTGCTTTTGCTTTTTTTTTCTCGCCGCGTGCCTGCCGTTCGTGGATCTGGATCTGGATCTGAATCTGAATCTGGCATTTTGTACGAGAATTGTGGGGTTTTTTCTCGTGTGTGTTGATGATGATGATGCTGCTGCTGTCTGTTCATGATGATGATGATGACGATGACGACAATGATGAACAAGTAAACCACAACACTCGAGTATCCATGGCGAAAATAGGACAATCCGTAGTTAAAACGTCAGCTTTCAGTCGGTCGAGCTAAGCAATCCACCCAGCAATCCCCCATTGGCTACCAACACAAGCAGTATAATCCCTCTGAGAGGAAGCGAAAAATAGCCAGCTTAGACGGTAGGGCTATTATTGCCTGCCAGCCTTACGGCCGTATATCAATCCTGCCCTGCCCTGCCAACAACATCCATCCAGGATCCATCCAGCATCATCATCATCAAAAAGCCGCCCCATGAATGATCACCCAGGTCCCCGCACGTGCTTTGCTGACGCTCTAATACCGCTCTATTACCGCCTTACCGCCCCCAATTCCCCAATCCCAATCATGACGGCTGCAGTCATTGGTAATTAATGCTCTTTGCCGGTTTGACAAGGCGCCGTTTCTTCCTCCTCCCGCTCAGGTATGTGTCTGTGTGCATGCGTGTGCGGTTGTCGGTCGGTTGTCCCACAAACCACCAAAAGGGCTGTGATTGCTGGAAGACCTGTTTTGAGTAATTGGACAGTGGGGATTGGTGCTGACCTTGCACGTGCATAATAATGATGATGCCTTGCCTTGCTGTGTAGCTAAATGACGCAGTTGGCAGGGAAGATAGCAAATGTCACCCGATCGTAGTGTAGTGTACTGGTGAAAGAGTACTAGTACTAGTATTGAGTCTGTAAAGTAAGATTATACAATTCTTTGTGGGCCTGGGCCTGCCTGGGTGCTATGGTATAGTTGTATGACTTCTGAGCTACATGTACGCAAGTCGCTTGCGCCGGTGGGGTATATATCGAACCATGCGCCGCCATCATCCTGCATGCCGTGAGACAATTGGCCTATTATAAAATAAAATAAAAGAGATGAGCTGAGCAGTACGGCGCGCAAGGACAACGGTAACGAAGCTTGCCGACGCATGTTTCCAATATACAATCGCCATGAACGCCCCGCTTTGGATATAATAAACAGTGATAGGCTCCGTTCGTAAAGCCGCCGATGATCAACATGGTGTGCTGATGCTGGCGCGCGTGTCTCTTTCGATCGTAGAATGCATGATCCCGCTCGTGTGCAAATGCTGTCAGGAAATCGTTTACTGGCGTTCCAGGTACTGAGCAACAGCAACTACAATCCCCTCAAGTGTTGCTGATGATGACTCGTGCACCCTCTTTCCCAAGTACACCTCGCTCCCGAGCTTTGGGGCTCCGTTCCCGCCCCTTTTTCCGGTTGAGAAATCCGAGCATACCAGTCGGTCGTTGATCAGTCGAGGCCTCATTCTTTGGAGAGATCATGGCACTACTCTGGTTAGCCATCTCAGACCATGAACCTGTCTCGTTGAGGACGACTTGCACTCCTCCACCCATTGATGTACTACGCGTGCTGCCACGCTGTCTATTGATGGGTCTTGAGTATAATTGTTGCGACTTCTCTGCAGCTTTATCCGGGAAATAGTCCCTCTTTTCTTCTCGATCACGTGCATAGTCCGATCTGCCTCGAGTCGATCTTTGCGAGGTTGGCGAACCACTAGAGAGATGGCCGTGTGTTGGAATTGGAGGCGAACCATTGGGGCTTTGCGTGCGCGCGCGGTCCTTATGGGACGAGGTAGGACGAAGTCTTTCGGAGCCTTCTGACGTCTTGGATGCAGAATACTCATGCACAGGCGATGGTACCTGAGTCGGTGGGTTACTATGGTTGCCGCTGCCGTTCCCGCTTCCATTGCCTTCCACAACGACTGGTGCACGATCTGCACCCACGGTTGTATAGTTGAAAGGTTCAAATAATGATTCAATCATTTTGTGCAGCTCTTCGGCTCGAATTTCTTGTGCCGTGGCATCATCTTTGAGTTGCTCTCTGGGCTTTTGTCTCCGGGCGCGTGCTTCTAGAGGGGCTTCCTCCAGGAGCAGCTCTTCTAGATCATATGTAGCGTCGAAATTAGTCTTTTCGCTAGACGGGAGAAACACTGGTTCGTATTCTTTGCGCTCCAGAGCGTCAAAGTCCAACTCCCGGAAGAAGGGATTGTCAGCAAAACTTTCAAAGCTGATAGCTCCTATGCGCTTCTTGCGGTCTTTCTCCAGCAAGGAGCTGATCGCATGCAAGCATGGCATGGATACAGGAGGATTTGTGACCGGGTAGGTTGGCTCGCCCTTTTGAATTTTGGCAGATAATTGTTCGTGGTTACATGCTTCGAACGGGCGCTTCAGAGGGAGTATGTTAGCACATGACTTCATGATGAGCACAACTGACGAACCTTATTGTATATGCACTCGTAAAAGAGCACACCCAAAGACCACCAATCTACCTCGCAGGAGTAGCCCTTTCCTTGGTACACTTCTGGAGCAAGGTATGCAAGAGTACCAGACTTGCTTGTGAGTGGTTTGGCAGGTGTGAAGTCGGATGCAACATTCTAATTTGTGTTAGCATGGTGTGTATTCAATGGAAAAGTGGAACGCACGAAGTCTGCCAGATGCACATGTCCATCAGAATCCAATAGTACATTGTCAGGCTTGATATCGCGATGCACTATGCCTTGCTTATGAATGTAACGAATAGCACATCCAAGCTCAGCTATCCAAAATCGTACGGCATCTTCAGTGAATGTTTTTCGTGAAATATGAAATCGCAAATCACCGCCATTCATCAGATCGACTACAATATACCTGGAGACTTTGTTAGTTGACATTCTGGAATCGGTGTTAGTGCCATACAAGTACTCGATGTCCTGGAAACTGTAGCGCAAATTACACAGGAACGGATGATTGAGGTGTTCCAGCATCCGTCTCTCTCGTATTATGTTCCGTACGCTCTCAGACCGTACAACTGTTCCACTCCGTTAGCTTCTATGTATTCTTTTGCTTCATAGCGGGCTCTGGCAGCAACTCCCGTCCGAAAGGCACGGTAAGGAGTGCAGGAAGGACTGACCTTCATCTTTACGAATGTATTTGAGAGCGAATGTGAGACCAGTATCTTTGCGTTCTACGATACGGACTTTACCAAAAGCACCTTTTCCGACGACGCGGAGAAGACGAAAGTGGTTCAAGTTCACTGTGGAGAGAAGGAGGGTTAGCAAGCGTTCCCAAGGATGACTTCTGGTAGAAGGAAGAGCGAAGCAGAGGCAGCAAAGGATGGGATGGATTGTGCATGGACTTGTGGCGGACATACCTTCATCTGTGAAGACCACGGGCTTCCCGTTGGAATTACCCATTGCGTATCTACTGAAATAGATTGGTTCAAGTGTATTTAGATTGACATGAATGCCAAGCCGAGTATTCTGATCAACGACACCAAGCTGGAGTCGTGGAAAGAGATATGTGCCGGAAGCGAGGAGTGACGTTGAGGATCGAACAGGGTGGGAAGGACAAGGCGAGATATCGGTAGATTGGCGATCAATCAGACGGGTGTACAGACGAGGAGGGATAGGACCGTATCGAACGATGCGTGTGCGGAAGATAGAAGGGAATTAGACGAAGGCTTCTTCTATGCTGGATCTGGGCGAAAGGAATAGGAATGGTAATTAAGGGCGTTGAAGGAAGCCCGAGTATAGTGGGAGAGTGAAAGAGGAGCGAGTTGATAGCAGAGGAGGCTGAAGCTGGATAGCGGTAGGTAATTAGATGGGTGGGTAGAGCAGGTATAGGGAGAGAGAGAGAGAGAGAGTGAGTGAGTGACAGAGTGACAGCCTTAAGTGAGTGGTGCCAGGTGCGCGAATGAGTAAGTAAGTGAGTGAGTGAGTGAGTGAGTGAGTGAGTGAGGGGCCAGAGGGTGGTAATAATAACAATTGAGCCCTGGCCATGGGGTCAGACAGTGGTAGTCAGTGGAAGTCAGTAATAGTCAGGCTGCGAATTTAGCATTTTTAGCTGGCCTAGTGCCCGCTAACACGCAAAATAAGTCGCGGAAATGTTCTCGAAAGCCGCCAACAAGCTTCCACCAGCGCTATAAGGTTGGCTGGTCGCTCTCCTATCGCCTTTCTCCACACACAATCCACCCCAATCCACACTACCAAAACGCCTTACACTACCACACACACACACACTCTCTCTCTCTCTCCCGCCACCATCTTTCTGCCCTATATGGCGGCCCTACGTGAACAAATTACGGATTACTACCATGTTCAACAGTTCTCTGGAAATTCTTCTGCAACGTGCCGAATAGAACCACAATCGCCTACCCCTTTCTCTCGTGGCCCTCCCTCCCCTTACCGCTGGTCTGTTGGCCTGTCACTGCGGTCATTCCAAGGGGAACTCCGGCTTGCTGCATGCATACCGCATCATGCATCAGTCGCCAAGCTGCGCAAATGCTTCCACCCCGCTAATCTGTTTCCCCTTCTTCACGCGTTGTTGGAATTAAAAAGAAAGGCTTGTCCACTGCCGGATCCCAAGTAGGTGCTTCAAAGTATCGTTCATCAAACAGTCGTTTGTCGTTGTCCGGCTTGCTCGCGAGTCTGAAGCATTCGATTCACACAGTGTTGGCGGCATGACGCCGCAAACCTTGTCGATTGTCATCGCCACCACTCTCCCCCTTGTGCAGGCCCTGCGAAAACAAACCCCTGATGCCGACAAGAGCATTGGCCGTATGATGCGCGTTCCCACGTGTCCTAACTCTTGTCGGCCTCGGACGTATGCGCAATGCGGAAGTTTCATCTTCGCAAAGCAATGGGTCTGCGCTGACGCAGGATCTCTGAGAAATTGAAGTGGTTAAAAATAGCGACATGGCGCTCATCGGACGTCTTGAGCTAGAGTCACGCGTCGGTCACGTTCTGTGTTTTGTCTGGGTTTAGTCTCCTTTTCTGTCAAAATAGGAGAAAGTGAAGCTTGCGACATGCATTTGCAAGCCCACCGCTGTTTCGTGTCTGACGTCGCCACGGTCCAGGTTGATTATTATTACAGTCACTTTTGCCAGCCTTCATTCGCAGCTATTCGTTACTCCGTCTGACAATCTTAACAACTTGCATATCAATACGACTGCACTATAGATGCGACCTGGCTGCTATAGTCAAAGCTCGCTCTTTCGCGAGTCACGACAAATCCTCTGTTAGCCATCACATGAACAAAGCGCAAGAATAGAGTTTCGGCTCCCACAACTCACTGTGCCTCGAGTGAACAAGCCTCCTAAAGGACCCAGAACATCCAGCAGACGTACTGATCGCCTGTTCTACGGCCTATCGTATCCTTGATCCTCGTCTGATCGAAATTATTATGACTGCGTTCGGCTAACAGGCCTGAGCTACATGTGCACTCATGCTTGGCGCCTCAAGCTGAAATTCACTATAGCTACTAAGGTCCAAGTCTGAGCTTACGAGCTAACTGCTGCGTCTAGAACCCTCAACTGTCACGCCCTATATACGTTAGGCAAACTCAAGGATCTCTAGGATAAACCTTGATGTGCCAATGTCATTGTACTCTGCTCCATGGCGTCTCAAACTCGAATCATTGTCACACTGTCGTCGGCATCTAGATTCTTCCTTGAGTCGGCATCGGTACTGCTTAGAACCTCATGGCCAGATTTATTTCCCCACGATACACCGACTTTGCGTCGGAGAAATCGTTGGGCTGATGTGCACTCCCATGTGGCTTATAATGAATCAGCCTTCCCATCAATCAAACTTTTCTCCGACCAGATTCTCGCTCAACGTCCAGAGCCTCTCCGCAAATGTGGGGTCCACGGCATGGGGTGGAAACGACGAATCGACATTACATGCTGCGAGCACAGCACCATTGCTATCCGCAAGGCTTGGATCAAACGCACCCAAAAGATAGCTGGCTGAACCTTGCTGTACGCTTTTGGGAGGAACCCAGTCCGGGTTCGGGCTTCCATTTGGCATGAGCCATCCACGATCTATCATTTCTTGTAATGATATTTCTCTTGCAAGTCTTGTTCCACCACAACCTCAACAACAAAGTCAGCGAAGAAAGCACACTTAGAACCTTGAGCATGCGACATTCTCACCTCCTGGGTCGACACCAAACGAGCGAAGGCCCACTTTGCCGTACTTCCTCGCCAACGCGACTGAAAAGAGGAGATTCGCAGATTTTGATTGTCCATATGCGAGAAATTTCTCGTACTCCTTGCCCATACCGAAATTTGGATCCTCAAATCGTACCCCTCCTGCACGAGAACCGGCACTGCTGACGTTAACTACTGAAGCACCTCCATTCGACTTAAGCAAGGCCGGCATGATCAGATTCGTAAACGTAAAGTGGCCTAGATGATTGACACCGAACTGCAACTCGTGACCATCCTCAGTTGTCTGGAATGTGGGAGTAGCCATGACTGCCGCATTGTTGATGAGCGCATCGACAACCGGCGTCATATCGAGCAGCTCAGCTGCGGCCTTACGAACCATTTTTTGACTTGCCAAGTCGAGTTGCAGTGCTCTGATACTGTCCGTCTGTCCCAGGGGCTCTAGTTCTTGGATGACGGCCTGTATGTTCGAATGCGTTCGACTTGCGAGAACCAATAACTTTGGGGACTTTTTGAATATTGCTCGAGCAGCGTCGGCACCAATTCCACCAGGCCCAATACCGGTTATTACAACTGATACAAGTTAGTAGCCACCATCGTGAAGTAAATTGTGAGTCTACACATGCCTACTTTATCTTTGATACGATCTGCGAAAACATTCGCTATCTCATCTGACGTAGTTTCCCAATTGAAGCGACCTTTCAAATCCTTCTCACGCCAGGTGGACGCGGCAGCCGCCTTCTCACCGTCCGTCAAAGACATGGTTGCTCATATGTAGTGACCTGTCCTGAACGCCGTGGCGACGTCGCTGTTGCACGAGATGGGGATTCTCCTGAGGAGCGCGCAGACTCAAACGTTCTAGTCTTGTTCAAATCAACGAAAGCTACAATACACTCAATAGGAACAGCATCGCTTTATATACATCGCAGACGGCCGCTGCACGCTACGCCCGGCCTAGACAAAGTAATACGTGGTAGAATAGAGCCACCGGTTGGGCTCGTCCAAGTTTTCGTCTATACTTGCATCATCTCTGCCTCCAACAGTCCTACAATCTATGGCGCCGGCAAGCACACGCTCCGGGTCGTGCTCGCGTTCGCGCTCACGCTAGGTATTGTAGCTACCAAGCCGTTGTCGTAAGGCGTCCCTGTGACCCTTTCCTTAGTGACCCCTAAGCAACGGTGCAGTGCGTCTGTGCGAAGCGGCCTCCTGATTTCACATGTGCAGTCTTTGTGTTGTTCATCAGTCGAAGAGATAGCAATGACCTGTGGTCTCGGCAGTGTATTATAGAGGAGCGTAGTCGAGTCTACTGTTGCTGACTCGATGCATCGCCAACATGCACATTTCACAGATCAACAGGGGACGCTCCACCGCATCGGGTCTAGTTTGAGAATATCTGAGCACGGATATCTCCGGCCTAACCCCACGCCCAATAACAGGTATTGACCCCACTGCACCCGTGAAAGGACAGTCCACTCTGCGTCATTTCATGCGCGACCACCGTATTCAGTAGATAGGCGGCAGCATCTATGTGAACAGGTGTAAGCATTTATCGTGTTTCCTACTTCAATCATGCTCTCTCGATGATATCCTTCTCTGTCATTCTGTTCACACTCAGCATCGCTGTTCTCATACGCTTCGCCGGTAGGCATCAGCACCGTTGACGTAGCGAATCTGCTAACACTTAGTATAGCTCAACTATACACACAAACCCACATTATGCGTCGTGGCCCTCGTTTCGTGAATCTACAAAATAACGGGCCTCGCAATTTACAGACCGCACCATCCACCAGCGACGACTACGCGTCCGGTCCGTCTCCAAGCGACGTCCGCCTCGTCCGTGCATACCTCAAGCACCTGTCACTCCCCACCGAACTCGTACTCTCCATCCTTGACGAAGCAGACTATCGCCCCCTCCTTATAGCTCACCGAAACGAGAAAGTGGCACTATACTCCCACGTTTCCCGTAGCGGTAACGAAGGCGCAGCTCTGTACCTGACGTCTCCTGTCATCCCGGTTGGGCTCAAGAGAGCTGGAATCACACATGTTCCCAAGAAGATAACGTACCGGATATCAAGTCATGACCAGGGCTACTGCAGCGAGCCTGGTCTTGCAGGAACGTATAATGGGCATACCTGGTTCGAAGCGACTATTCTTCGCCCTCGGTCTGACACTGATACGGGTCCCGGGAGTGTTGGAATAAACTACCAACCGCTGGAAAGACAATTTCCCCGCCAGCCCTTGCCATCTTGGAAAAATCCCGGGGATGCAGCAGAAAGTATCCAGTCCTATGGTTGGGATTTCATTCTCGATGAGGATGGCAATGCCATATCTTGGCGCGTACAAAACAATTTGAGTGCCACTAGGTCGGATGTGGAACACGAGATTACATGGGAGAAAGGGCAAGAAGTCGAGATTATTGACCCAAGTACTAATGACTTTAACGGAAGAGGGAATGGCCAGGGCTTCTTTGACATCCTAAGAGAAGGTGATCGAATTGCCTTGTGGGCTCGTGCTTTGGTACGTTGCTTTTAATCCCTCTCTTCCCTCATCCACGCTCTATAGCACAAGCTGACAATCTGCAGTATCCTGGCTGGATCAATCACATCAAGGAAGCCAGCATCGAGATTACATATGACGAGCATCAGTGAAATTCTCAAAACCAGCCTACATATTCCGCTTTGGCAATTGAATGGTGAGATTCAGTAGTCTCCTACGATTGGGCAGACGAGCATATACAACTGTAAAGCTCTGTGGGAATATGGTAGATTAGACGTGACAAAGTTGCTTGACGGTCTTAACTCGTCTAGCTACGCTCTATATATATATAAGCCTAGCACTCGATAAGATTTGAGTAATGGGGATGACATACTAGAAATCCCGATGTGGGATTTCATCCCTATTATTTAGATCTTTTTAAGCGCTAGGCTTATATACATAGAGTGTAGCTAGACTAGATAGGACCGTTAATCAACTTTGCCACGTCTAAATCTACCAACAGAGCATCTATGACACACCCACGTGATGTCGACACACGTGCTTTGTGGGAACTTCGGTAGATTTGATGTGGTAAAGTTGATTGACGTATCTAAGTAGTCTAAATATCAACTATATATACAAGCCTAGTGCTGTGGTCATATAGTTGGTATATAGACTAGATAGATACGCCAATCAACTTTGTCACGTCAAATCGACCGAAGTTCCCACAGCCTTCATCCTTGATCGACCCGCAGCAGGAATATCGGATGGTAATTAATCACCCCAATTCGAACACCACATTCCCCTCGCGCCACAGTTGTACGGCAGGAGAACTTGTGCGTCACCTGTGTGACTGGTCTAGCAGATTATTTTCGACTCAAAAAACAATATCCGCTTACATGGTTGTACAAACATTGGTCCATCTTAGGTACCGTGATGAATATGAAAGATCTGCCCATTTCTCAACACCCGGTACCACTGACGTCTTCTTGGACGTCTCGTCATCAGGGCGTTGCATTGTCGTCGGTATAAGATGCAGCGGCCGCTATAAAACCTACAATAATTGAGTATGAGTATCACGGGATTATCAGAGTAGTAGGCCAGAGCAGCGTGCTCATTTGAAAACAAGCAAGTAATTTGGCATACATAATCACACGTCTTGCGTTATATACAGCTGATTTTATCGTGTCAACGACGGGGGGTGGGGGTAGAGCGGGGAAGGGGAGTAGTAAAGGTATGTATTGGGGGCATGATGGGATAGAATGCAAAACTTGTAGCGATGTATATATATATATATATATGAGACCAAACTCTGAGAGCATATCGTCTTTGGTCGACTTTGAGCATTGATATGTGTGCAGTGGTGGGTGGTGCGCTGGTATATATATATACATATATTGCAGTGAGAATCGTGAGATGTGTGGGTTAGTTAGTCAGGCAGGCAGGCAGATATGACGTCTACTTAATAGAGTATATCAATATTCTACTGAGTTTTGTACGAGGTTTGTATTAGAGGTAGTAGGTAAGGGGGTTAGCGTAATTACTGGTAGTTCTGTTCTCTAGGCTTCAAGTCCTGTGGCGCGTGTGTGTGTGGGATGACAGGAGTATATATATATATATATATACCACCTTTTTATTTGTGTTCGAGTTTTGTGTGTTTTGGTGCGGTTTGTGGCATCGTCAGGTGGGGAGGAGGTGGGAAGATGAGGTGAGGTGAGGTGAGAGACGTGTGATGAGGGTGGGTTGCGTGCTTTGGAAACCTCGGACTTGCTGCTGGGATCGTGGCTGTTGTTGTTGCTAATTATATTGTAATATAATACGATGGCATGCTCTCGTGGGTACAGCTGCTGCTTTTTCTAATGCTGTCTGTAGGTCATCCTCGTCCTCGTTCATCTTTGCGTCTATCTCTGCGGACTGTTCTTCAACCTTTGCGACAGCGCCCTCCCCGCCCAGTCCCCAAGACATAAAACCAGGAACGTGGTATATCTGGCTGGCACTGGCGACGTGCTTGCGACCAGGAGCGGCGAGTGCTGCATCGGATGCTCCACCGATGAACAATAAGTCGGGAGTATCCTGACAGATACGGCAGTGTCGAATATTGCTCATCTGAGAGAACTCGACTGACTGTGTCTGGTATCCATCACTTCGCAACGGTTTCCGATTTTTGCTACGCGCTGGTTGGTGGAGAAGCCAGAGGTGTGGTGGTCGAGAGCTCGAGCATTGGGAAGCCAAACGAGCCTATTTTTGGAAGCGTGGTGAGTGTGTACTCCTGGAAGGCCTTACTTGTTAATGCTCTGACTGTATGGTAGGATGGAGTATTTTCTCTGGTAATTGGACATATTGGGTTGTGCATGGAGATCTGCGCTCTGAGGTGTGAGTAGTCTAGGAGATGATCTGCTTGAGAGGAAGCTTTGACTGACTTTGGTGTAGGGCGTTATTGACGGCGTTTCTCCAGAATGGCTCTGGTGTCGCATGGTCGGAGGAGTTTGGATGGTGATATAGACCTGGAAATTGTGGGTACTATGGCCGTAGGGCTCTAGGTCTCGGTGTAAGTTTCCCAGATGTACATAACCATGTCGAACATTTTTCGCTTTGTATCGAGGTCTTAGTCTCTTTATTCGTGTCTAGATAGATCGTATGTGTTGCTGGGTGATATCCCATGATCAAGTCGCACTCAGTGCAGGCCGGGGTTGCCTTGTGCTCACAGCGATTCTCTCAAGGACACCGTCATCAATGATAATACTACAGTCAAGTAGACGATCCGTCAAGTATTTGTCGAAACGCTTTGGGACATACGTCGCGGTCACGAGCATTGCCAGTGGCCAGCAAAGAAGGCTCGCGTTTGTCACTGTGACTGCTTCCTTGAAAGACGTAGGTGCTTTGGCCATGAGTGGCATGTCTGTGGCGACAGGCCGCGAGCCGATAAGACCGAGCATGTAGGGTACGCTAAGGCAGAGTTCTTCATAAAGGCGACTGATCCGGGAATTGATGGTCTTGACTAGATCATGTTGATCGAAGCCCTGGGATCGAGAGAGTGCAGAGAGCACTTTGATCATGATGTCGTTTGTGATGAGCCGTATGACGCGGTACCGATTCCACATGCCTGCGTGACCGACTGTTGGGTATATATGGGCCATGTCGCCAAAGATGCGGTCTTTGGTCTCGGCCTGTCCATCGTGCTCTGTTGCATATGTGCTGTACCAGTTCTCCATGGGCAGATCCAACGCCCACATGGCCAACGTATCTTCAAGAGCCTGAGCTTCACTCAGGAGAACGCGGATGCTGTCCATCTTTTCGCAGCTGTCCGACAAGGCAGGCTTGGTAGAGTCGAGATTCAACGCCAGGTTCTGGCTTCTGAGCTTTGCGGCAATGACAAGACAACGGTCAAATTCCAGGGCAATGCCCTCTTCGCCAAATTGAGCCCCATCTCGCAATAACATTGGAACGGGCATGCTTCTGAGAAGCAGTGTCCGCAGGAGTTGTCGACGCACAAGCTTGTCAATCTGGAGGCTGACGCTCGTACGATCACTGTGCTGCCGTCGCAGCTTCAGTAAAGAAATGGCACCGTCGTGATGGGCGAAGCTTCTACTGGCTAATCTGCGAATATTGTCTTCAAGCAGTGCTTGCTTCCTGTCCATCATACAGTTCTCGTAGAAGGACAACAACATGGCGGAGAGTACTACATCATCATTCGTGGCGTCCTGCGGACTTCGGAGCGCGGTATTGGTCCTGGCCAACGCCTCCGCGTAGAATGCCATGCCGGCAGATAGAGCAGCTTGATTCTGGCGAGCTCTTCCAAATATAGCATGGGCAACAGCAGATACTGCTCGTTCCAGTATCGAAACATTCGACGAGAGTATCCACCCAGCGAACGCAAACCGCATATGACCTTGTACCATTTCAGGCATGCCATGAGGAGTCTCGTGATGCCGCGAAAAGTAGGCGATGGCTTGATCTTCTAGAGGTACATTCAACGCCGGTAGGATCGAATAGTTGTCAAGATCCATGACAACAGAGTCGACGGGCGTCGTAGAAGAGGTCTCGAAGATCACCAGATCCTTTCCTAAATTTGGCTGCTCGACTTGCTGTTCTACTTGCTTCTCTACAATGGAACTGCCTTTGACGTTAGGTCCACGAGGCCGCTTCCGCCGCCCGACAGCGTATTCATTTTCATTCAAGAACAGAAAGCTGTTCTGTACACCGTCACACTTGACTTTGGCCTTTTGACATCGATTGCATATTGGCTGAGCGCCGTCGCACTGGGTCATGAGTTTAGTATAGAGACATCCCCATATATCAAACAACTTACCTTCACCCGACGTTTACGACAAGTCCCACAGCCACGGGACGCCATGACATTGTGATTCCGATGCAGTGGAGTGGCTAAGGCACGAGACGGGAATGTTGTGAGTGGTGGATGGGTTGGATCGTCATGACAAGCCTCAATGCTTAAGCATGGTTGCCTGGTCCGAGCTTTGGAGCTTACTATCGGGTACACAGTAGTTCGTTAATTCTATACATTGCATCTATCTATGTCATCTTCTCCTCAAACATCATGGAATACCTCCGATAAGAAAACCGTCTACTACACGCTCGAGGCGACTCCTGGCATCCGGAAAAGTCCATATAACACCATCGCCATCAGGTTCCGGCAACCCCGGCGGTGGCAGCGACAGGCTCAAGAGTGCCCAGCGATAGGCTTAGCAACATATGGCTCTTCGAGATATCTGACCTCGTCATCAGTCAGCTGCAGATTGCCTATGGCACAGGCCTCATCCATGCGGTCCTGCCTCGTACTAGACAGTCCGACAATCGGGATTGTACCCTTTGCCTTGTGCCACGCAAGACCAACTTGACTCATCTTCCAGCCCTTCTTTTCCGCAACCTCCTGAACCCTCTTCACAATCTGCACATCTGCATCAGTCGCTCCACCACCCATCACCTTGTTCTGTGCGCTTCTGCCTGACTCTTCATCAAGCGGCTTCGCCAGCATACCGCCGGACAACGGGCTCCACGGCAGGATACCGACACCGGTCTCGTTGCAGAACTTGTTCATCTCGCGCTCTTCCTCTCGGTACAGGAGACTGTAGCGGTTCTGCATGCTGATGAACTTGGTCCATCCGTTCTTCTCCGCAATGAACTGCATGCGTGCGAATTGATATGCCCACATGGAGCTGGCACCAATGTAGCGCACTTTGCCGAGCTGGACAAGATCGTGGAGCGCTTTCATGGTCTCTTCGGGCTGGACCGTGGGGTCGTATCTGTGGATCTGGAGCAGGTCGATGTACGTCGTACCGAGGCGTTTGAGGGATGCGTCAACGGCGTTGAAGATTGCGGTGCGAGAGAGACCGCCTTGGTTGGTGTAGTCTTTGCTTGCTTGTAGCTGTCCTTCGTACATCCAGTTGAAGATGTCCGGCGTCTCTGGGACAGTTCCCATGATCTTGCCCAGGATGGTCACTTTGGAGCGCGGAATATCGAACGTTTTGAGCGCTTTGCCGACGACTGCTTCGTTCATACCGCTCGAGTAGACATTTGCCGTGTCCCACGTCGTCAGACCTGTGAAAAGTAAGCCACGTACTTTCGAGACCATTTGCTGATTTGTAACGTACCTCTGTCGTAAGCTGCCTTCAGGACCTGGAGGCCCTCTTCCTCATCCATCACCCAGTTTAGCCATTGTTTGCTGCCGATACCCATCGTTCCGAGGATGGGGCGAGAGACACGAAGCCCAGACTTGCCAACTTGGACATACTGGACTCGAGTTGCGTCCAGACTTTTCTGGAGTGAGTCCGGAACTGGTGGTGCATGGTGTGCCATTGCGTGTGTCTGTGAATGGTTTTCAGTTGTATGTGCGATTGGCCGAAGGCTTCAGTCGTTGATCAGGAGGTAGGTAACAAGAAGTCTCAAGATGAATGTTGTTTCCATTCAACCTGATGTCCTCTCATACTTTTATATCTCTCGTCGACACCTATGATGTCGACGGCTGCTCCTGCAACAGTCGATCTCCTACTCATCAACCAAGCCACAAACACTACATACTGTGACACTTTTGCCCAACAAGGCATTACAATCGACGTGGTCCGAGCAAAGATGCTTAAGCAGGACAGCCCGATCAGTACAATCCTCACTTCTCATTGGTCAGACTCAACCGACCGCTATGGACTTAACGAATACACCCAAAGCCCTCGCCGTCGCTAACCGCATATGGCGAAACTCACGAACACCACGTGCATCCTAAATCCGTGCCACCAAATTCCCACTGCTGGGATATTCGCAATCGGTGTCCTTTGACAGTTGTAGAGCTGACCAATAGAAAGATCATTTGAGATTCCCATTGTTGCATATCTGTTTAAGCAGGTTATGATTGATAAGCACAATGCAGCCTTGGAGTGAAATATTATTGTTAGAACTTCGTGCGAGGGTGCGCGGACGAATGTTTTGGTCCACATTTCATTCTCTATGGTCCCAATTTCCTCATTCATCTCGTGTGCTTGTTGATATCGTGTCGCCCTGTAGCGATGGCGCTGCATACATCCCTCTGACTCACATCCAACCTTGCTCGTCTAGACTTTGTAGAGGCTGCTGACCAATGCTTAGGTAGGATTGCTACTGTTTTACAAGGTGCAAGATGAGGACGTCCGAACGATAGGCAGGATCTTAATACGTTTGATGCGAAAGGCAGGATCTAATCGTAACGAAGAGGTAGCACATACAACCGACTATACAGCAAGGTAACAAGAACAGGCACACCCTGCAAAGAAATATCCACCTCGTCATAAAGCGCCGAGAGCTACGCACAACCTGTCCAGAAAACCCTAGCATTATGGTGAGAAGACACAATGACATCTGGAGTTGCGCAGTGAATTCACCAAGTGCGACTAGCATGAATCGACGCAAATACATACCCATCGAAGCGACATTTTTGCTATCCAAAAAGTGTAAAAAAAACCGTTCCGCAGAAATGCAAATTACGCGGGATGTTTATCCCACTAGGTGTAGGGCTGAATATTGTGTCATGCCGGAAGCAAGCAGATATCGAGGCGGTCCGGATATGCGCTTACCCCGGACACATCCCTGCCGGTGTGGATTAGTAGCTCAGGGCGGGTGTCACACAACATCATGGTGCGCTTGCGGACCTTGTGTAGACCTAGATTCAGCTAATTATGGATGGGCTACATCCATCTACAATGAATGACTAATTAGACTAGAGACGTCGGAATCTTGAGAAGGAACAGAGAGATACAGAGCGCCCCGCGTGCCGGGTATCAAATAGCTTTTAGCAGCGCCGCTCCCGCGCTCCAATGAGTGACTTGCGCTAACTTACGGCGTCATGAGCCAAGCCTAAGAGCTTCGAATCGATCGCGATGTGATGCGGCGGAAGCTGAGTTGTACGTATAATATGCCCGAGGTACTCTACTCTGTGCCTCAGGTCGATCTTTCTCCTCCTACCTTCTCCAGCTCCTGCACACCAGCATCTCGAAGCAATCCGTCTCTCGCCCGTCTAAGCATGTCTCGCAACATCGGCCTCACCAGCTCCAGCCTCTTCCAACTCCTCCCAGTCACCGCAACATGGTCACTCCCGTTTACGCTCTATTCCCTCCTCCTCTCCGGCCGTGTGGTCAAGATCCGCGTCGACAATGAACAGTGAGACCTCCTCTACGCATCACCATGTCTCACTCATGCTAACAGCCGCACAGATGGTCGGGCGACCGCCTGCAATCCATCCCCATCTCGTCGTCCTCTGCGTCTCTGCAGTCTGACCCTCTGCACCAATGCATTTCGGCACACAGGAATTTCCTCGAGAACGTGCCGTACGCCCTCATTCTCGCCGGGCTAGCGGAGATTAATGGTGCCGACAAGAAGTATCCGAGCATGGCGATGGCAACGCTTTTTGCATTGAGGATTGCGCATAGTGAGGCTGGCTTGTTGGGCAAGGACGCGATAGCGAACGGGAGACCGGTGGGGTATTTTGGCACGCAGGCTTGGTTGGCGGGAGTCGCTGCGTATTCAGCATACTTAGTACGTGGATACTGGGGGTATTAGATGAATAACGGACGATAGGAGCATGGCGAGATGGAACAGCAACTGGTTGTGGCAATATTATAGCCCTGAATCTGTTGCTTCACACACACACACACACACACACACCCTTAGTGCACAACACTCGCACGACCAGCAGTCCCATGCTCTTTACAACCCCATGATCGCCTTTTTCTCATAATGCCACCCGGCAGCCGTAATGGCCAGCACGACCGCACTCACGCCTGCCTGAGGGAAGAACCACTTCGACGCCGGCGGATCCACGGCCGCAACCTCTGGATACACCCACGCCATGAGCTGCGTGACCCAGTACAACGAGCCGCACACGACCGCGAAGCGTAGCTGGTGCAGCCTCATTTCGCGACTCAGAGCCAGCGCCTCTTCCTCGTGCCCCGCCGTGCTATCTCTACTTTTTGCTGCCTTCTTCACGGCCAGCAGTGGTGATGGTGATGCGTGGGTGTAGTAGAATGTGAGCAGCCCCAGGACTAGACCCATGGCCATGGTCTGGGCGTTGTGGAATTTGGCGTGTGGCAGCCAGAGCGGGTTGTAGATGTGTGTGGCGTTCCAGTCGGCGATGTAGCAGCCTGTGCTTGTTATGATTGCGGTGGTGGTGAGGAGGGCGCGGCCGAGGGTGGACATTGTGGATGGGTACGGTGGAGGGTTGGTGTAGAGAGAGAGAGAGAGAGAGAGAGAGAGAGAGAGGAGAAGATGCGATATTATGGGATGGGATAGTTAGTTGAATGGTGTTTCGGACAGTTCGATTATGGCCATATTACGGGCTCGGCGTTGGCAGACACGCGTCGGTGTTAAGGCGGCCGAGGGCTTGCAGAGTTCGGCATTATATCCGTGCGGAAGGCGGAAGCAGATTCGCAAATGCTTGATAACACTATATAATACCAGTAATACCAAATGATAATTACCAGTAATACTGTTGTACCAAGCGATACCTAAGAACGGCATTGGCTCTTCCCGCTCCCGTCTTCTCGGCTTTGGCTCGGCAGGGAGAGAGATGCTGCTACGTCATCCGGGTTTGGCCTGACTAAGTAGGTAACATCGTAACTTACATACACGGCTAGGATGACAGTAAGCGGAAGAGGCTTTATTATATAACATAGACAAACACTGACCATAGCAGATGCGACGTTCAGACTTGAATGAGTTTCATTATCAACAGTCTATCAATTGCAGACCGATTGTCTCAGCCTTAGGCAAGAATGTCGTCACATTTTAGAGTTCCCTAAAGCTTAGCCCTGCATGCAATAGCGCACAGAGCGAGATGGATTGGTTTATTGGGTCGAATCTTCCTTGGCCCACGCTTTAAGCACTTGGATAGACACGCACAGAGCCATGTTGTTCCTTGGTTGTTGTTTGTATTGTGCCAAAACACGAGAACAAAATGTTGGAAGAACAAGATTTGATTGCGGAGATAGGCTTTTATCTGCAGCTCATCCATGCATATATCTAATCATCCATGCTGCTTTCGTGCCATCCATGCTTCTCTCCCCCCCGGAAGAGCAGGCCGAATCTCTGGTGTCGCTGTATTAGCGCGGCGCCGCCCTGAAGCAGTCTCGAGCCAGCATGGATCTTTTCTCGTCACGGCCTCTGCCGCTCAGTAATTAACAGTAATCATTCAATAATCCCCATTCCTCAATAATCCGCTTTGTCTCACTCCAATATTCTTCACTCTTTCTATCGTGAAAAATCCATTCACTGGATTCGATGCGTTGATTGAACTCTGAGCTTACCAGCTCTTCGCCATTCCGTCATCGCTCCCTGATCTTTTGTTGTCTTACCGTCCGACGAGCCCTCTTTTCTTTGACCTGATCCTGCGTAAACGTCCCCAACAACCATGGCCGATGGGGATCGCGTTCATCGTGTCATTGGTCCACATACAACCACGACAACGACCACGACCACCACCTCCATTCCTCTCAATAACAATAATACCAACTCTCGCGCTGTAAACCGGACCGGCAATTCACAAACAGACCTCTCAACCTCCACTTCTACCGAAGCATTTCCGTCTCTCACTCCACAACCTTCTGCCACTCCAGCTCCTCAACCACTGCGCGATCCTCTTCCTGCACCTCGACATGCTCGTCGTCATCTGCTGCGACGCGCCCCGAGTATTGGCATTCGCAGACTTGACCAGCCTGCTGTAAATATTCAGGACTATGCACAGCTTGATGGCGTCCAAGAGACCGATTATGGCAGGCGAAGAAGCAGCTCAGAGCCACAGAGGCCACAACACTTGACAATTCCACAACCTGCGCTTGCAAGACAGCGGACTGTGGAGAATGGCCCTCGTATGCCTACGGTAGCAGAAGGTGCGTCCTTGGGACAGACGGACACGAATACGCAATACGCTGCAGTCAACCAAGGTGTCTCCGGAAATGGACCTAGTGTTACTATTGAGGATACAGATATAGGGAGGAGTAGATCCAATACGGCGGGGAATGGTGGCCGATCGTTCTTCGGATTCAGGCGCGGAGCTAAAAAGGAGAAGGCTGCCACGGACGAGGACGATCGTTACGAACACGACGTTGTCGACATGCTCGATGTCATTGGTACGCAGAAAGTGATGCGGTAACCACATAGTACTAACAACTCGTAGATCCTGAAGTTTCGACCTTATCAACTCTCACAAATGTTCAGAACTCTCTCTTTGTACCTGATCTCGGACGTTTAGTCAACAGGCGACCCACGTATACACTTAGACGACGAGCAACAGCCGCAACAGATCCAGAAACAGACACTGATGACGACCGAAAACCGGTCAGGCCGGACTACGCGGACACTCTTGGCCGCACTGTTTCACGTATCATGTATCCGAACGAGCAAGATCAGCAAGAAGATCAGACCACTCTTGGACCAAACTTGACACGAACACACACGTCAGCATCAATATCTTCCCAACTCACCGACTCCCACTATGCCGTCTTACCACATGGTGTCGATCTTGAAGGATGGAGTCAAGATGACAAGGATCAGCTCAATGATCGCGTGAGGCACATGCTTCATTCCCGTAGATCAAAGTTCAAACGATCCATGAAAGGTTTTGGGCAATACGTCCGAAGACGTGAGTATGTACTCCACTGGTGTAGAGCTTTACTAATGCACATTGTAGCTTTGGGATTTCTGGTCACTTTGTACGCAACACTTATTACTCTATTTGGTCTAGCGTGGGTTCTGTTCTTGATTGGCTGGATCTATGTTCCGGACAATCAAGTCTATGTTGTCCATATCATCGACAGCGTTCTTGTAGCTCTTTTTGCTATCATGGGAGATGGGCTGGCACCCTTCCGCGCCGTCGACACGTACCATATGATCTTCATCGCTCACTATCATCATCTGACCTGGAAACTGCGACAAAAGAAGAAACTACCGGATCTCCAGGACCACAACGATCTTCCCAGTCAAAGAGTCGATAATGTAGATCTCGAGAAGGTCGATGAAGACACCCCTGAATTCTCTGTCCTTAAACCTGAACAGCAGAAGAAGTTGGACCATCACGCGTACAAGTTTGCTCGCTCGCACACTTTTTACAAACCACATGAAACCGATACTCATCACGCCTTTCCTTTGCGTCTTCTCATCGCCATTGTCGTTTTGCTCGATTGCCATTCCCTTTTACAAATCTCCCTTGGTGCTACGACTTGGGGCATATACTATAAAGACCGACCCTTCGCCATCACCACGGTCATTCTCTGCTGCTCCATCACATGCAACGTCACCGCTGGTATTCTCATTTCTGTAGGAGACCACCGTTCGCGTAAAAAGGATGTTGTCGAACGTATGTTCCGCCAAACTCTCACCGAGGAAGCCATGGCTAGGATGGCTCACAAGAAGAAGCGCGAGGAGAAAGAGGCGCGCGAGAGATTTGACCGCGAGCAACTCGAATATGAAGCCACTGAAGGCGCAGAGGCAGAGAGGCGTGCCGCCGTCGTGCGTGCACACGAGAAGCTGGCACAGGAGAAGAAAAAGAAGGAAGAAGAGGAAAAGGAAGAGGAGAAGAGGCATTGGGAGGAGCGCAAGGAAGAATTCAAAGACCGCTTCCGACCCAGCACAGATGATCACAAACGATCACGGGCCAGCATGGACGAAAGACGGACACGACCGAGCATGGACGAGAAGCGTTCCTCCAAGGCACTCGATCGGGGTGAATCGTCTGTTCCTTCGAGCCCGACTACACCGGTGACGGCGAAGGTTAGACAGAGCTTGGATGAGAGGATAGGTGCGGACCAGGAGGGCAAATGGCAAGCGTCAAAGGAAAAGTACGGTGTCAGTCGGAAGAGCCTGGACGGGGCGAATAAGCTGTGGAAACCGGCTTCGAAGTAAGGTTTTGCGTCTCATGTTTCTTTGGGCGCTCATCATCAGCATAGCAAGCGTGTCTTTGGATCTAGAGCTAGATGATATCCCTTGTAATACAGTCCGTTTACTTCTCATCACTGTGTGTCTCGTACGTTCCTGGTGTGATACGACTATGGCTGCTTGGTGTCTTCTATGGTACACATTCAACATAACTTTACAGTGATTGTAGCACCGTGAGTGTTTCGATATAAGCATCACACTGCATGCCACACCTCACTATAGGTATATGTATACATTGCTCTCATTCTTTTATCTTTCCTATATCATATATAATGAGAGAATATAGTGAGCATTTCAGACTGATATGTAGATATATATCGAGAGTGAAGAAAGATTAGACTGTTATAAGATATGAATGGTATATACCTAACACGGTGTTTTTCTCCTGTAATCGTCAAATTATAATTTAGTTATCTGTTCTTAGATATATATGATTCATACGCCGCATTATTATATACCGTCACACATTCAATTCCGCACCTACCCATCAAAACCTCATAAAATACATCATCGAAACATCACCACATCACCACATCAAGCCCGCTCCTCCTGCTCCTCCCGCTCTCCCACCGGCCTCACATCCCACGACCTCTGATATCCCTCCAACACTCCTTCCCCATGTCCACCACTTCCACCCCGCCCCTCACAATCCCCCTCCACAACAACCACCTCCGTCGTCCTCCTAATCGCCGTCCGCACCGGCTCCCCCACCACACCATCCCCGCTCACCCCCGACCCCCGCGCATGCAAAACCCACACCCGATACTTCCCCACCAACCCCTCACCACCACCAACCTCACCACCACCCCCAACCCCCCCCGACTCCGCATCGGAGCCATACCCGCGCGGGGCTCCAGGAAGTAGCGATGTGGGCGGCATATGCTTATTGTTAGACGAAGACACAGATGGCCGCAGCGCGGCACCGAAATACGCCCAGATGGCGCGGCAAAGCGACATGTTGGTCGCGACGATGCCGAGGTGGATCTCGGTGTTGGACCAGAGGGCTGTGACGCCGTAGGCGTAGGTTATGTCTGTTGGGGCGGTGGTGAGGGTTGAGGCGCGGACGGCGGCGCAGGATGTTGCGCTGTTGGGGTGTTTGGTTGGATTAGTTGGGTGGTGTGTAGAAAGGGGGGAGAAGGGGAGGGAGACGTACATTAGGCCCATGGCCATGAGGCCGCAGACGGCTGCTTTGGTGCGCAGGGGCATGTTGAGGTTGTGGAGGAGGTAGATGGGGAGGAGGGAGCAGACGAAGTCTGAGAAGACGGAGTATGCTGTTTGGGAGAAGGGGGGGTTTGGTTAGTTTTGGGGTTTGTATGGCTTTGTATGTATACGGTGTATAAACGGGAGGGGACGGACAAGCCTGCAGCCAAATCGAATTAATCCGCACCTTCGCCGGCCAACACGAGCCGGCGGCCGGTCGCCAGAACGTCGCGACAGGCGAGCATTCGGCCAGCAAGACGACGACGCAGAGCAGGTTTGTCAGAAACAGGCCTGCGATGAGGGGGTAGACGATGCATTTGAGCGTGCGCGTGCTCTTGATGCGCAGCAGGAGGATGCAGATGGACCATTTGAGCAGGCAGAGCGTGATGAAGAGGAGGACCTGGCCGTAGAAGCCGTACATGTTGACCTTTTCCTGCTGGCCGGTGGTGAGGTACCAGCGGTGCCGGCCGTAGCCGTATGTGGCGCCGGTGATGTTGAGGGCGGAGCGGACGGTGGCGACGGTGACGGTGGCGAGGATCGTCCAGTCGTCCCAGCCTGTCACGCCGTTGCCGCGCCGGACGATGAGGCGGAGCGCGGTCGTGAGGAGGGAGAGGGTGTTGAGGATGGAGGTCCATGCTATGAGGGCGGGTCCGACGTTGTGGTCTGGTGGGAGTGGGTCTGGCGTGCTGGCGTCGAGGGTCATGGTGTTTGTGCTGCTGTGTTTTCTGTTCTTGATGCGGTTCGAGATGAGAGCCTAATAGCTCTCCTGTCTTTGCCAATGGTGCTCGTGGGAAGAGTCGCAGGGCACTTGGGAATGCGCTTCGGGTGCCAAAGAGCAGTGACGAGATCTAATGGACTGTCAATCCAAAGATAGTATGAGTTCCTGTAAACAATGATTAGAGGATGGCTTGAAGGAGCCTAGGAATAGAAGGCGAGCAATGATACGTGCTGTCGCGTCCTTTGTATACATCTTGGGCCGTGATAGGATCCATTGGATGTATTTTGACCGATTCCCTTCATGCATGACAGAATCCTATTCACATACCCTGAAGTCTCTCTTTGATATTCATTGGGACGTAGGAGGAGCGAGAGCCGCGTAGTCCATGGCCATGCTTTCGCTTCAAAGTCTTCCCATTCACAGCCAATCCTTACATCTCTTGCCTGCTTCCCCGGGACAGCGACCAGACGTTTGGCTTTACCAGAGTACCGGGTGGAATCACCACAACTTCAGACTTACCAGACGTGAGTTGACCTACCTGCTTTGGGATAAGGTCCGATCGCCATGTAAGCGAGCGAAGTCGCAATTCAGAAAGTTCTTGCAATCCATGGTGTGGGGAGCTTACAGGAACATGCTATAAGCGGTGCTGACTCGAAGATCCCGGGCGATAGTTGTCTCATCTATTGCGTACAGGGGATCAAACCTGCCATTGCCGGTCCCTTGACTCGTGCGAGTCTGGGACGGCTCGGGACGACTACGCAAGGCGATAGTCTACCGAGATTTATACCGGTGAAACGCATACTGAGATGGAGAACCGATATCTTGGGTCAGGTGGCAGCAGGAAGGCCGATTATCAATGGTCTCTTCGTGATTCAGGCATGGGTTTTGTTCGGTGCGCCATGAGTAGGTCGCCCCATACAATACACACAAGCCTCGCAGAGAGACAGCGGGTACGTGCATGCAGGTATTGCTACAATCTTAATTTGTACAAGGCTCGATAGGCATGATTCGTCTGCCGAAGTGAGAGGAGGATTCCGTGCAGAGAGAACAAGGGAACATCAGCATAAGGCTCTCGGAGCCGGCACTAGCTCCGGCACTAGCCCCGGAACGTCCCCCCTGCCAAGACCTCGTAATGGGTCGTCCGTCGTCGTCCGTTGTCGTCCGTCCTGTCGCTGCCCTTGTCCATCTGTCTGTCCGTCCGTTCAGTGTGTCTTCAGCCTCCACTGTTCGTCTTGCCCATCGCCAGCTGTGCATGATGCTGCCCCACTCAGTCTAATTTGTATGAATTTGCACGCACACCAGATGTGTCGGCAATTGAGAGCTTTCGAATCGCCTATGTCTGTGATGTTTTGATGGACAAGGCCCAAATACGCCCTCTTCCCCAGCGAAGAGGGTCGGCTGTGTCGAGCATTTCCTCTTTTCTGGTGTGATACAACGCCAGATCTTACACATCTGCAAGTTCTCAGACGCGCTGCGTGAGAACCATCCCAAACGGGTCAATATGCGTGCTTGCACTTCTGTCACGCTGCTGCTCTCTTTCATTGGTTCGCTCGTCGAGGCGACTACTTGCTCACAAGGGGCTACAGACTATGATTTTGTATGTGATTACTTCCTCTTCTACATGTGCAGTTCGCACGATCAGAGTCACGTTTGGTCATCTAGGAGTTACCTAACGCATTTACTAGATCATTGTCGGTGGGGGCACCGCAGGCCTTGCCGTTGCGTCTCGCTTGAATCAACGACTTCCCCATCAATGCACACTAATAATCGAAGCTGGACCTGATGCTGCCTCAGAACCCCGGATCAACATTCCCGGATATAGAGGCTCCACCATAGGCACTGTCTACGACTGGAACTTCACTGTAACCCCTCAACCCGGACTGAATGACAGAGCCATCGCCCACCCGCGAGGAAAAGTGCTCGGTGGCAGTTCTGCTCTGAATCTTATGACATGGGACCGTGCAAGCGTCGCCGAATTCGATGCCTGGGAAGAGCTCGGAAACCCAGGGTGGAACTGGGAGTCGATGTACGCCGCGATGCTCGACGTCGAGACATTCAATCGCACGTTTCTGGGACCCGGACGGTATGGCGACGAAGGGATGGGCGACTCAGGCCCGATTGACACTTTCATCAATGAGCAAGTGCCCATCCAGCAACAAGCCTGGATCCCAGCCATGGAATCGCTTGGCATATCGCAGAATCTCGAGTCTCTGAATGGCAACCCCTTGGGCGTCATGTACCAGCCAAGCAACATCGACCGCTCAACATACACACGCTCGTACAGCACATCCTACCTGCCTCTTGCCAACGCAAACCTGCACATCCTCACAAACACCACCGTCGCTAAAGTCCTCCTCTCCTCACCAGGCACATCCAACACACCTACCGCAACCGGTGTCCTCACAACCACCAATCTCACCTTCACAGCACGCAAAGAGATCATCCTCGCCGCCGGCTCCTTCAAATCCCCTCACCTTCTCGAACTCTCCGGCATCGGCAACACGTCAATCCTCACATCCGCCGGCATCAAACCCATCGTCTCCCTCCCGGGCGTCGGCGAAAACCTCCAGGACCACATCCGCATCCAGAACTCCTACGAGCTGAAGCCAAACTACACAGGCACCGACATACTGCGCTTCAACAGCACACGCGCCGCCGAAGAACTCACCAAGTACTACGCCGGCGAACCAAGCCTATACCGCTACACCGGCAGCTCATACGCCTTCCTCACCTGGGAGGACGTGCTCTCCTCAAACTCCTCCTCCCCAACCTCCCCTGCAAACTTCACCTCCCTCACACCCGCAGACATCACCGACCTCGCTCGCTCCTCCACCGACCAATCCCCCGCCAGCCGCACCAAGCTCTCCTACCTCACCGACCCGCATCTCCGCGCCTCCACCCCACAACTCGAGCTAATCTTCTCCGACGGCTACACCGGCGCCGTGCCCTACCCAGCGCCCAGCAGCGCAGACTACGGCAAGCAATTCGTGACCATCATAGCAAGCATCATGCACCCCTTTGCGCGCGGCAGCGTGCACGTAAACACTACCAGCCCCTCATCCAGCACGCCGTCGTCGTCGTCGTCGTCCACACCAGCAAACCCGGTCATAAACCCGCAATACCTATCCAACGCATACGATCTCACGGCCGCGACGCTAGCGAGTCGGTATATGCGGTATATTGCGTCGACGGCGCCCATAGCGGCGGTCTGGCAGGCGGAGTTTTATCCGGGGAGTGGCGTGCAGACGGATGCGCAGTGGGAGACGTATGTGAGGCAGAATACGGGCACGATTTACCATCCCGTGGGGACGTGTGCGATGCTACCGAGGGGGGACGGAGGGGTTGTGGATAGTGAGTTGAGGGTGTATGGGGTGGAAGGGTTGAGGGTCGTGGATGCGAGTGTGATGCCGGTGCTGTTGAGTGCGCATGTGCAGACGGCGGTGTATGGGATTGCGGAGAGAGCGGCTGGGATTATTGCTGCGAAGTGGAGTGGTGGGGATTGAGTCTTTGGATGCGTGAGATGGATATGTGGTGATAATGGAATGGGGGTTGAGGTGGAAGGTCGTTCAGCGAGGTGACTTCGTATGGCGCAGCTTCATACTTATGGCTTGGTGTAGCGCTTCATGGCTGTCGTTGATTAATTTATATATACTTGTGATGCTAGGTTTGTTGGCTGTCTAAAATAGAGTTTGAACGAGTCGTGTGCTGTTTACATGATGACCTCGTTCGCGACATCCCTCTTGAGCTCTTTGTAAGGCAGACAAACACAGTTCTGCACTCTGACCTCATCCCCAACGGCACACTCTTTACCCAAGATAGTGACGCTCTGCACTTTGACACCGTTCTTCACGATACTGGTACTATGACTTGTGACTGGCGTGGGCGTACCTTCTACCCGCGCCCAGCATCCGACTTTGCTACCCCAGCCAACGATTGAGTATAGCACACATGCATCGTGCTTAATCTCTGCATCCTCGAGCACGATAGAGTCCTTGATACGGACGCCGGCTCCAATGTTAGCACGCGGGCCGATAGAGACGTTAGGCCCGAGCTTTGCCGTAGGATCGACATTGGCAGTAGGGTGGATGAAAACAGGGGGCAGGATATTCGCCGATGGTGCAGCGAGCTCTTCGGAGCCATTCTGGAATGCCTTGGTAAGATACAGGGCATTTGCGGGGACGGCAGAGCCCGCAGTCTTGATTTGTCGCCAAAAGTCCTTGGTCTCCAGGACGAAGAACTGGCGACTGTCCGCTACGCTCGAAAGGATGTCTTGCTCGAGGCGGATCATCTGATCTTTCTCATCATCATCATCGCCTGGGTACATCGAGGACTCCAAGTTCTCGGATGATGGGTATGAGAGCAGCCTGGGTCGCTCGGTCCTGCGTTTGATGGCGGAGCGGATAGCGGGGAAGATGCATTCCGTTGAAAATAGATATACGCCACAATTGATCAGGTTCGAGATATGCGACTCTGGCTTCTCCACATAATGCAACACGCGCTTCGTTGGTGGGTCCGAGACAATGCATCCAAAGTTTGTTGCGGCTTCGTTGCTAACTCTTGTGCCCAGAATTACAGCCTCCGCATCTTTGTCTTCGTACAGTTTCAACATCTCTCCCAACGGGAATGAGCAACACACGTCCGCATTGAGCACAAAGAGTCGATCTGGCTGACCCTTCAAAATCTGATCACGAAAATGATATAGACCGCCGGCGGTCCCTAGGGCTTGGTATTCTCTCAAGTACTGTACGCGAATTTGTGGGAAGGATTTGGAGGAGTCCTTGATAAAATCGCGGAAGACAGACTCATCGTAGTAGCCGACAATGAAGACTTCTTTAATTTCGGGGACCTTCGCAACCGCGCGAAAGCAGTGTTCAATGATAGGATGGCCGGCGACGTCGAAAAGCGGCTATGAATGGCATATGTTAGCGGTACGTCATTATCAATATCAACGTGGCAGGTCCTACTTTTGGTACGTCAAGTGAAAGTGGTCTGAACCGAGTGCCTCTAGACGGCCCGCCGACCTGTATTGTCAGCTCAATATACTCCTGCGTAAAGTAGGAGTTCTACCAAAATGACAGCCTTAGTTGACTTCCCACCTTTGCCTCGGTGGGGTATGTTCAGGCTCATTGCGACGAATGAAGTTGTGGAGAAACACTCAAAGGTTTAAGCAGCGTATGGTGTCTACGTGATTAGCTGAGAGTGAATTCAGATTAAGGCTGAAGAAGGTCAAGCAAGCAGATGTACCTTACAGACAGTGTTTGCTGATTGTTACTGCCCAGGCGGTGTGACGCTGTCCGTGCCCGCAAAAAGCTACCTAGGTATCTAATCCTAGATTCTAGCCTAGCCTGTTTTGGCAAGCCGCTACGACGCAACGACACTTCACTTCGACCACCGAGTTTAGGCTTATTTAGCACTTCACACATAGTTGGGATTTTGCCTCAGTTCGAAACACTATTTAGTCCGAATTACCCCACATCATTGAGTCAATATTGTGCGGTTCGTATAGAGTATGCATAGGACTACACAGCAGCCTATCACATACCCAATTATTTTGGCCACTATAGAATGCGAAAAAGGAGTTCCATAACATAGCGTTTTGGAGAGATAGCTTCACCTTCTCACGAGATACTATGTGACTGTTGCAGTATATGCCGTGATACCGGGCTTATCCGGTTCACTTGCTTATCATTCACTTTAAGTGAACAATGCCAGTCCTCTTGTCGCGATGCTAGGCAACTAATAATAGTATCCTGACCGTCTGACTCCAAAAAACACTCATCTTCTTGACACCTTCGCCCGGTCAGCTTCTCTTTACCTCATTGAATACTGTCTCATCATCAATCCCCTCAGTACTTTTAAGTATGAGAACGAGAAGGTCTAATCTACCTCAAGACGCAGACTCCTCTGTCAGTATCACCGATATGTCACCATCAACCATTTCACTGCCGTCAGTCAGGTTGTCAGTGCGCCCTAGGCCCCAAGGCTCCAGCACAACCAACACAGGTATCAGTGAAGTCGCAAACGCAGAGCCCCGAAAGAGTGGACAGGGCGTTGAGGCGATGGGCCATGGCGTGAAGGAGCTTTTGTCCGCTATAAATAAACTGGAAGAGCTCGGGATGGACAAGCTTGTCGTGAACCTGCCAAAGATCGTTGCGATTGGCGATCAGTCCGCGGGCAAATCGTCGACAATTGAAGCCATTAGCCAGATTCGCGTCCCAAGAAGTACGGGAACATGTACACGATGTCCTTTTCACCTGAACCTCACACATGTGGACGATGGCCAGGGTGGAAGTAGTTGGTCGTGTACCGTTGAAATTCATCACAAGTACAGTTTCGAGGGTGTTCAACGCGGTCGAGCAATGAGTGGACCGTTCCCGGGCTGGCGACTTAACCATCAGCCTCTTATAACGCATTTCCAGAGGACGCACGATCAAGATGCTGTGGAGGAAATTCTGCGTAGAGCACAGTTTGCCGTCCTCAATCCCAACACCGACCCTCGAAAGTATGCCGAAAAAATTGAGGTTTCAACTTCACTCGCAGTAGAATTCTCACCTAATCCGATCGTCATCAATATCACTGGACCACACTTACCTGATCTATCCTTGGTAGACTTGCCAGGTGTCATCACGCAAACAGAAGATGGCAAGAACACTCACCTCCCCAAAGTGGTCCAGAATCTGGTTAAGGACTACATTACTCCCAAGAATACAGTCATTCTTTTAGCATGTTCTATGGAGGGCGACATTGCCAACTCCAACGCGTCGAGCTTGCTCAGAAAGATTCGAGCGGAGAACAGAACTGTGGGTATTTTGACCAAGCCAGATCGGCTTCCGAAAGGCGACCCTGTAGACCTCTGGCAAGCTATTCTGGCTGGTCGGAAGTATCCTCTGAAACACGCGTATTACGTCACCAAACAACCTTCGCAGGCTGAAATGTCGTTTGTTGACCACGCTCAAGCGCGTCGTGATGAGGAGCACTTCTTCGAGTCTGAACAGCCGTGGTGCACTGAACTCGCGTCTTTCAGCGCCCAATTTGGAACCAGAAAGCTCCAGGAACGACTATCAGCACTACTGGCGTCGACCATATCTGCAAAGTAAGCCGTGATACCCCTTCTTACCTTATAGAATCATCGCTAATTGGAATAGTCTACCGGAGATCCGGGCTAAGATCGATGAGCGGATCTTGGTCATCGACAGGGAGCTCAGCCAAATACCCGAGCCTCCATCAGCTAACGCAGTACATGTGGTCCTAAGTCATTTGGACGAATTTGTATCTGCAGTGAGCACAGCCGTTGATGGCCTGTCTCCAAAGTACATGTTTCGAAATGAATGGAAGGATATTAAGAGCATGTTAAGCCAGGACCTCTTTGCATTGAGACCAAAGCTACGCATGGTATGTGCGGAAAAGCCAAAAGAGGAGGGTGCCAATATGAGCGTGATCGAATTGTCGGATGGAGAGCCGGACAACGACAGAGCTCCAGAGCCAGTGACCCCGAAGAAGCGCAGATTGAACCAAGAGGCCGTGTTCACCCCCAAGCGAAGCAACGCAGCCGTTCGCGGTATGTCAGACTTGGCGAGAAAGTTCTCACCTGGTGAGATAAAGAAAATCATCAAGCACCATTCTACATCCGACATGCCGACGGAGGTAGACCCGAGGGCAACAGAGTTCCTCGTGTTAGAATGTTTGACACACTGGGGCTTGGCCTCGTCACGACTGTTCAATGCTCTCAAGCGATCTTTGGATGGGACGATGAGGCAGGTATTTGAGGATGTATTGGGTAAGTTTGCCACCACAGAACTCTACACAAAGACCTGGGATCACGTTGAGAATTTTGTATCTCTTCACTTCGGCCTACAGTTCGGCAAAGGAGAAGGTGCATGTGACCGACTCCTCCAATTGGAAACATACCGTCCTCTCACCGAGAACGAAACTGCATGGAAATATAACCGAGACCAAGAACTGGAGATTTTCCGTGCCGCCAGATATCGCCATCGAGCAATGGCGTACTTCGATAAAGTGGAGTCCTCCACTGGTAAACAGGTCAAGCTGGTAGATCGTGAGAGGAAGATTGAGAATGACGCCGCTCTTCGATCACAGCTTGGAGAAGATCCCGACGAGGTCGAGGTCCAGCTCATGGCGAAGGTGAGGGGATACTACAACATTGCCTCTAGTCGTTTCTGTGATAATGTCTGCATGAGCGTCCAAGGTGAACTGTTCAAGGCACTTAGAACTGGCCTAAAGGAGGAGCTACTTGAAGGTCTCAACGCCACGGACCAAAATGCCTGCATCCGGTTACTTGCTGAAGATCCAGAGCGCGAGGCACGCCGTCAAGATCTGAAGCAGCAGCGAGAGTCTCTGACGAAAGCGACACAAGTGTTGGACAGTCTGACGCTGAAGTATCGTGACGACAATCAGTCAGACGCCACCATGGAGGCCGACGAAGTCGACGAGGATGAAGACAATATTTCGCCTTCGCCGTCAAATGCTCGCGCTCGTCACTGTGCCCATCGTGCATCTGATACCGAATCCATGGACATGGAAGCATGAGAAAGTCAAAGCCAGTGATCAGCTTCACTCTACACTTCCAATTTCTAGCATTCATAAACCAGGTTGTCTCCCACCCAAAGCTTCCCCACTGAAACGTTCCTGAGTATCTGAAGGACCATGTCGCAGCGACTTTTCTGTGTCTTGGAGCATCCCCGTTCTGGATACGCATGATCGCTCACCATGGATTTCTATACGATATATCGATGGCAAGGGCGCTGTTATATGTTCATAATTCTTTACTTGTCGTTATCCGGCGATCGTTGTCCGCCCAGCCGCCATGGTTGGATGTCTACAGCTCAAAAGACTTATGTTATCCAAGCACCTCTTGTCTAGCAATCCCGAAAACCTTACGTAGCAATAAGAAACAATAGATACTTACCTTTCCCAACCTACCCCGGCATTTCCCATCGCACAAGAATCCTCCTCGTCCACGCCCTTGAGACTCGAGTACAAATACTGTCTGACCAAACACCACCCCTCTGCCCGCTTCTTCCTTCTCCATAGCTCATCACTTGTCCAACTGCACATCATCCAGCGTATATCCCCCGCGCCGCAGTGCGAAGCTACGTACGAGGCTGAATCTGAGCTCTGACCCGTTTCCCCATCTCATGCACTAAGCAATTTTAACGTCGTAGATCTCGCAAACGGCTCGACGGAACTCTACTAGCGCGTGTCGATCAGACCCTGCGTCCGCATCTTGGCGGACGGGAGTGATGTGGTGGAGGTGCAGATGCTACGAAATACGAGGAGGAATCGGCGCAAGTGCCGGCATTCAGGAAACGGGGAGGTGAGGTCAGATAGGGGTGAGACTACTGTAGCTGACTGTTCTATTAGGCGAATATCTGAGAATGACTCTAGCAGAGGTTAGTGGTTTGCAACGGTTGGGGGGTGGAAAGATCTGCATCCGGATGGTTGACGATTGCTCCGCGCGGAGGCGGAAGTTTTCTCATCCATGATGTGTAGAATCTGTATGCGATGGAAGTTTGCAGGACGGTACCGAGCTCAGCCATGCGTTGATGGGAGATTTAGGATATGATGATGGCTTACTAGGATCTATTGATGTCTTGATAGCTATGAGAATGAAAACAGTAAAAGCGCGATGATATAGGTGTGAATATACAGTTCCACGGCCGCACAGTTCTATGCTGAGCGACACGCATGCCCAATCTGCCCTTGAAAAAGTATGTTGTATGTTGTATGCGAAAATAACCCAAGGTGTGTCAGTGATGTAGTATTCGGGGCGTGCGTGTGCTGTTTGCGTCTTTCATTATCCCTCAACGCCAAAGAAACTCGTTCGCTATGCTACACTGCAGACCAGCTGCAGTCACCTCACCGACCAGGGTTGTGGCCCTGGGCGCGGTTCCAGTACGCACGACGCTTCCTTTCGCGTGCCACGGCCTGTCTCCGTTCGTCTGGGTCCGTAGTATTCTTGATCTGTTGTTCGTGCTCCTTTCTTAGTAGCTTCTCGATATCATGGCCATGAGCACTGATGCGTTTCATGGCGGGATCTGGCTCTTCCATTGGCTCTTGGTCTTTACGAAACATGTCGGCGAAGAAGCTGTTACGGTTACTGATGCTACGTGCCATGGAGTCGCGGTGTATCGTGGACCGGCGAGCTTGGGACATGCGGCCGCTGTTGATAGAGAGTGCTTGACTGATGCGGTTCTTCTGCTTGGGATCGTCGAAGCTGTCTGCTGAGCCGTAGCTTGGTCGGGGTGACGATCTGTGTGTAGAGACTGAAGTACGACGGGAGCTCTCGATAGACTCAACGAAGGATGGTCTGCGGCTGCTTGAGGCTCCCGAGGCGGTTGAGCTATCATCAGACGTATCGCTGTCGAATGAAGCTCTCCGAAATGAATGCGAGAGAGTGGGATTATTCTCGAATCTGCTCATGCGGTTCGTCCGGGCCTTTCGAATGGCTTCAGCCCTGTCCATATCTGCAGCAGTAGGTAGCCTCGAGATGGTATCATTACTGCGAAGAGCCTCGCTCATTTGGGTGATCTCGCCGGACCATCTTTTCTGCTCTGCTCGTGAGATACGGTTGGCACGAGGTGCTTCTCTTTCGTCCAGGGCAGTGGAACTACCAAAGCAACAGAGGGAGAGAAAGCTGGACATTGAATGAGCGTTAGGGAGGCTGTTTCTAGCTCACTGGAACAACAGAAGTCCATGAGGAAAGGTAGTAGATAGGAGATGAGACAACTCTGCCATTACTGGGTATCAGCTAGATATAAAGTCTCCGTCAGTCTACATAGATTTAATGACATAACGAGCATTGCGGAGTACGCGGTGGCATAACAAGCTTTCGGACAGGGTCAGTAGTGCAGCTAGTGCCGGGCTGGAAATAGCAACATCATCGTGCATTACGGGATTGACGAGAAGTACTGGTTAGTGCCACGGAGGGAATATCAAAGGATTCTGGGAGTGTTCCTTGCAGAACATCAATGCTTGTTTGGGCAAGATTCAACGTCCAAGGGCTGGGCGTTTCCGGGTAGGCCGGCAGCCGGTATGAGAAGTACTGCGTCAACTTTCCCTTCTCGACTACACTACCTCATGTATACATCTATACTTTACTTCTCCGTTGCATACAATCACTGTGTCTTGTAGTAGGTAGTGCTCATCTCGGTATCTGCTTTATCATTGATTTTGTTGCCTGCGCCATGAAAGAATAACATTGTTTATTATATTGATCCTATGCCGAATGATACGCATACGTTCGGTCTCCGAAGACTACTCCTATCAGAAAACATCCGCTACGATACCCGCAAGGCTAGTTACTTACCATGTGTCGTGAGGGTAAGCTTCACATGATTGATCCTCTCTTTGTTCGTCGAGACCTGCATTTCTGTTTACATTTTACGCTGACTGCCATCTTCACGGATCCAAGAAGCGGGAATAAAGGGATAAGACTATGATTTGAGATAAAGTTGATTCATCGCGAGTATCACCGCTGATGCTAGCGTATTGCACTGCTAATTATACAGCTTGCCATAGCATTCAATGACCTCGGCGGACCGAATTGAGCTCACAGTAGCAGTTCGAGTAGAGCACCTTCTGTACCATTGGTAGCATGTAATGGAGTCTATTGATCAGGGACGAATTCTCTTGGTAATACTGCGTAGTACCTGGCTCGTATATCTGAGATTTGGCTCCGCATCTGATTACACTGTCGACGATGGGAGCTCGATATGACCAGTGACAGGTTTCAGGAGCTCTGGTACTATCACAGAAGCATCGCCCTGGAAGAACCAGTCCATGCTCGAAATCCTGCCCTGAGGTATATCTCTCTCGTCCATGTTGATTGTAGCAACTCTTGCACCTTTGTCCCGTGCACAGTCTACATACCCGGCTGCAGGATAGACACTCGAACTTGTGCCAATGACGAGGATCAAGTCGATTGGTTCGGGATCCGATAGAAACCTATCCACGTCGTCTAGGACGTTTGATGGTAGCGATTCCCCAAACCACACCACACCAGGCCTGAGGAGACCTTTGTTACATTGTGTGCACCGAAGCCCTCCGTCCAGAAGTGCTTTGAAGGACAGATGCGGAATCTCGACGTCTGGATCAGAGATATCGAAGATGTTCGGGAGCTCGAGTAGAGGGATGATTGGGTCTGTGAAGTTCTGCTCTTTGTGCCTACAAAAGAATTCCGAACACTTAACCTCGGCAAGTGAGCCATGAAGAAGCTTGAGAGACTCCTTAGGATGGTTCGCGCGTTGAGATAAACCTAGTAATGTCAAATATGAGTTCGTGAAAGAGTACAGAGACCTACCATCAACATTCTGCGACAGGCACATGAAGTGCTGGTTCTTCCGTGCAAATTCCGCCAGTGCGTAGTGTGCTCTATTTGGCTGCACGCTCATCGCCATATGCCTTCTATAAGAGTAGAATTGCCATACAAGACCCGGATCCCGAGAGAAGGCACCAGCTATAGCCGGTCAGTGTTCACATCGTCACAATTCAGAACGGCGCACGCACGAGTAGCCAGCTCTGTGGCATTAAACGCTGTGGAAAGTCAGCACAAACACCTTATCCCCAGCTGCACAGTAGACATGTAGAGTGACTTACTCCTCCACAGTCCTCCAGCGCCTCTGAATGTTGGTAGACCTGATGCAGCTGACAGTCCAGCCCCGCAAAGCGCCAGCATTCTCTTCGACTTCACCAGATGCTCATGAAAGGATTGCAGTGCAGCTTCATTGATCTGTGTATGTGTTGCAAATGACATGGTTCTTTGTGTTATGTAAGATGATATATAATGCGAAGGCTGAATAACTCTCATGGAACGACTTCTGGTCGTTGGGAGAACTCGCAGGCAGGTGTTCGTATTTTAGGCAGCTATTCTGCATCGGAACTTGGTTGTTTCCGTGTTTGCATCATCATGACATGGAGTTCATTTGCAATAATACGTTCATTGAGAATGCTGAACTGCCAAGTACTCTGGAATATTGATTCGAAAAAACCTGATGGTCATTAGAACGATGGAGGATGAGAATGCATTTGGCATGTTAAAAGTGGGGTGATATGTGATGCCTCAGGCACCCAACAGGTGTTTGACCAGCCGGCTGCGCGAGTCATGTTCCGATGCCGAACCGATCTGACGTCTCGTCTCGAAATTGTCAGAACATGCTCATTCGCGGCGTTGTTTGTCTGTGAGGATGCGAAGGGCCGCACTCTGTGCACTCGGGAGAGGATTCATCCAGCCCGTATCACGATCAATCACACGGCGTCCTAACCTGTTACCCAAAGCTGTATTGGCGACGAACCAGCAAAGAACCCTGACCCAAGTTTCCGCTGCGGACCTTCAATTTGGACAGCCTTTACACGAGACACATCCACATCTGCTGAAGCCTGGAGAATGTAACTCATGATTGAGTCCCTGGATGCCTATTGAGGCTAACCGTCTTATAGTAACTCCTGGCATCACCGCACTTGAATATGCCGAACGACGCGCGAACCTCGCTCGCCAGCTTCCCACAGGAAGCTGTGCTGTATTGGCTGCTTCAGAGCTAAAATTCCGTTCTGGGGCCGTATTTTATGAGTTTGGCCAAGATACAGACTTCTATTACTTGACTGGTAATCTGCGACCTGGCTCGCGCTCACAGACTGGTGCTGAAGTGAACGCATAGGATTCATGGAGCCGGAAGCTTTGGCAATCATTGGTGAATACATACGAGAACTATAACACTAGCACACCCTGACAATCCTCAGAAAAGACGGGCGAAGGCGACGAACATACTTTCCACCTCTACGTACGTCCCAAAGATGAGCATGCGGAAAAATGGGAAGGCTTTCGCTCAGGTGTCCAAGCCGCCGAAGACGTCTTCAACGCTGACGAGGTACCATTCCCTCTCTCTATTCCACTTCGTCGCTAATTGCACCAGGCTGGCGACATAACCCGCATCTCGAAATTCCTACCCAACATCCTCCGCCGCTCCACCACCGTATACACCGACCTGCCAGCCCCTTTCAACCCTTCCTCCCCCTTCGGCAAATACATCTCTGGCCATACCAAATCTAGCTCCTCAGGTCTTCCCTCTCTCCTCTCCGAGCTCTCCCGCTCTACCCTCAAACCTTTGCGCCCGCTCCTCAACAACCTGCGCATCATAAAGTCCCCTTCCGAAATAGCATGTATGCGCCACGCCGGGCAGGCGTCCGGCCGCGCCTTCACAGCCGCCATGCGGCAAGCCTTCAAGGGCGAGAAAGATCTCTGGGCGTTCCTCGCATATAAGTTCAAGACAAACGGATGTGATGGCGAAGCATACGTGCCTGTCGTCGCAGGCGGCGCTAATGCATTGAGCATACACTACGTGCGCAACGACGCGTTGTTAGATCCAAAACATCTTGTGCTCGTAGACGCCGGCGGGAGCTATGGTGGGTACATCACCGATATCACCAGAACGTGGCCTGTAGGCGGAAGATTCAGCGACCCACAGCGGGAGTTGTATGAGGTCGTCCTCGGCGTACAGCGCACATGCGTAAGTCTTTGTCGTGCCGATGCGCGGCTCTCGCTCGACCAAATTCACCGTATCGCAGAGAACGGGCTCAAAGACGCCCTCAAAGGCTTAGGATTCGAAATGGGCTCCGGAGATGGTGTGTTGAATGAGTTGTTTCCGCATCATTTGGGGCATTATTTGGGCTTGGATATACATGACTGTCCGGGGTATACGCGAGGCAAGGCGTTGGTTGAGGGACAAGTTGTGACCGTTGAGCCAGGGATTTATGTGCCCGACGATGAAAGGTATCCGAAGGCGTTTCGAGGAATTGGGATCAGGATCGAAGATAGTGTAGCAGTGGGAGAGGAAAACCCAGTATTACTGACGACGGAGGCAGTGAAGGAGGTTGTCGATATTGAGGCGTTGAGGGATTGAGTTGTTTGGGTATAGTGAGGTGTCGGATGAAGTGTAGGATAAAAGTTTTACATGTACGATATTGTATCTATGTATGTAAAAGAATGGACTATGATGTATATCATCACTGAACCTTTCAACGGTGTCCGTTCTGCGATATGTTTGGGTAGTATGTCGCGAGTAACATGCGCGATAGTGAAGAGCGGTGAGAATTGAGCTCACCACAGAGTTCGTGTACTGGTATACGTGAGCACGAGGATGTGAACAGAAACAAATAAACCTGCAGGCGTGGACTTGAGCGAGAGGATTGGAGCACCAAGGTAGGGATGTGCTGGCATGAATGCCCAGGCTCTACTGAGTGTTGTGTTCGGTCAGAGCTATGGCATCATGAACGCGAAGGCAGGCAGCGTGTGCGAGCTCAGACACTAGACCTCAAGAGCAGCATTATGTATGGATGGTATAGGCATCAACAAGCACAAGGACCAATGAAGAGACCAACAATAGATAGAAGAAGAAGAAGACAAGATCAATTGATAAAAGCAAAACTATATAAGTAGACAACCTCAGAGGTGAAGCGTGCGATTCCCGTATCTGAACAGCCCGTGAGGACCCTATCAGGCCAGGATATCCACCTTCGGCGAGCCGAAGCTCATCTCATTTCATCACAGGAAGTCAGTGCAGAGCCTCTTTCTCCAAACCCACCCTCGGGGCCTGGATTGAACCTTCACCCCTTTCGTCGTTGGATAAATCTCTTTCTCCCAGCACACATCGACGCCTCCACGCCTTACAACTCCGCGCGCTCCTCCCCATTACCAGCGGTATGCCGGCTCAAACATTGCCCAACAGGACTTCACACCGCCAGGAAGCCTTTACGACACTGGTATTCCAAGCTCCAGGCCCGAGATCCAGCCTACCCCTCCCTGCTCCGCTTGTCGATCCGATCTTGTCTTACCCTCAGCGGTCGGTGATCTGGCTTCTTTAGCGTTGGGGGATGAGGGACTTGAACTTGAACCTTTTCCTTGGGTTTCCTTGGATTTCCTGGTGTTGCCTTGGGTTGCCTTGGTTTTACCTTGAGTTGCCTTGGGTGGATGGTGGGGACTGGTGATGTTAGCAAAAACGAAATGTCAGTGACAATGACTTACCTCGTCTCTGTTGCTTCCAAACTGGCAACAATAACATCGGCCGGTGGGAGGCTCGTTCGAGGAGCATGCGGCGGGCATGCCATTGAGAAAGGAGAGAGGAGTGTCGAATGTGCAAAAGAGATAGACAGCCAAGACTGTACAGAAGGTACATACAAGGCATGTCAAGGAAACCAACTGGGCGGAGAAACCAACCCAAACTGGCGCTGCGATAGATGCTTGTGAACGGTGAAGTCCACTCATCACTGTCTCAAGACTCGCAACTTGATGTGATCAACCCCAGCACAGGGGCACATCCAGCGGTGCGCACCTTTGTTCAACATATCCAGAGAACCGACGCCCTTACACGCCGAAGCTTTCGGGGTCCCAGTGAGCCGGACGCTTCCATTGCGGCAAGCTGCCCAAACCCTCCCATGCGTTAAGGGCGGTGACCGCGCATTCCATCTCCGCAGGCGTGTAAGCGGGTGCCTCGACGGGTGCAATATTGTCTCCAATCACGCAGGACGACGAAGGGCAGACGCATTGTTGGTCGAAGAGGCTTTTTGAAGATGTTGGACAAGGCACGCGATAACGCAAAGAGCTTGCCAGACACCGACTGATGGAAACACATAACACGATGCGATCAACTTGGAGAGCATCATGTCGCAACAGCCGAAGCTCTCAGATGTGGTTGTGGAGAAAAGGAAAGGTGGGAAAGTGGGCGAAGTGAGCTGTTTATATAGGCGGACGCCAAGCTTCGCACAGGCCAGGCCATCACAGATTTGATGACGATTGACCTGATGACTGGGACAGATTGGGGACGCTAGCAAGAAAAGTGAATGGGAATGACAGCGAACAATAGGAAAGGAGCCTATTGAGGCCCATCGCATGACGTCGTCAAGTGGCCTCATGTTACACCAAAGATATCAAAAGGGGGTCCTCAACGAAACAAGTGAACAAGGTGGGATATATTACGTTTCCTCTACTTTTTAAGGCGACAGTCATCTGCGCAAACCTTGAGATCCGTCCTGAACCAGTCGCCGACGAGGCATTGTCACTCAGCGCTAGTACCAGCTTTTCGTGGACTGTCGGCGAACACGTCTCTCCCAGAGCCACCAGGACCAAGTATCCTTGATCCTATCGTCTGTGTCTTTGGCGTCGTCAGAGGAGTTTGTGCCCTACTGTTGCCTCTTTCTGGAGTCTGCAGTCCAAAATCACTCATTTCACGTCGTCCACCGCTTGTTCCGGGTCGGCCTGAGTCTTGACCTTGAAGTCTCCAGCCCACCTTGTTTCCCTCAATATACAATTCTTGGATCATCCTCTTTGTTATGCCTGCGTCCTCGAACTCGCGCCACTTGCGCCAAAGCCTGAGTGCCATATATGCGTCTTCAATTGAGTCGTGTCCAAGTTCCTTGTCGTTCTGAAAGTCTACCGTTCTGAAGAAGTGCCACGCAAGAAATTTGAGTTTAATCAGCCGTTTTGTCTCCTCATCATGGAACTTCTTAACAGTGTCAAAAACTTGCGCTGGTGGTATAAGGATGTTGATTGTACGGAAGTCTTTGATGAGACCGTGACCGATGAAGACGCACCCCAGATTCAGGAGAAGCCATAACTTTTTGTATATAACTTTAAGAGGCACAGGCGCGTGTCTAGAAATGTTAGGGTTTAGATCACCTTCGTGGATGCCAGACCATTCTGTCAAGTAGTCCGTGATAGGCTCAGTGACAATCACATGGTCATCAATGAATGGCACACCTTCATCGATGCCATCACCTCGCAGTACTGATACTCGTGCAAGAGCTAGTCGCTGAGGGCGGGAAATCTGTTTGGTTCCTTCTGGTGTGATCTCGATCTCTTCCTTGCGAACCTCGACAAACTCAGCATCGATGGCGATGGGCATGCCCTTTCGTGGGTATTCAGTATGCTGATCAAGTAAGCGAAACTTCTTGACATCCTGTTCTTGTCTAAACAATCTGGTCAGTAGCCTACGCTTCAGATAAGGTAAATAAGAAGTACCTGTGCGACCATGACTGAAACAAAGCGCTTGTGTCGAGGTTCTCTTTCCATCCATCGTCTACTTCATGTCTATATGATTTCCTTTGGTATGCCAGTATCACTGGAAGCTTTGATCTGGCATCGAAACGTAGTGCCTTTGCAACAGGTATTGATCTTACGTGGTGATCATTGAAGAGATACCATTTGTTTTCCAATCCCTTCTCAGCGGAGGAAGGGCTCACTGTGTATGATCAGATTAGATTCTTGACCGAATGATAGCTATCTTACCATTGATAATTGACACAAGGTGCTGTTTTGGTGCCTTATCGGGGGTTACATCGCACACCACCCCGATCAGCTCATACAACTGCATGTCATGTGCACCGCGCTGCAAATGGGTCTTGATGTCATTGCCCTCAAAGCAGAAGAACTGGCCCTGCTGAAGAATGACGCCAATCTCCTGTGGTAACCAATTCGGTATCGTCCACAGCGATTTTGAATCCTCATTGCCACTTCCAGCTTTTGTATTGACCAGTAAAACGCCTGGGATGTCTGTAATATTCTTGAGACGATTGATAGACTGATACCGTCGACAAGTACTGCACCATCCTCGACTAGCCGTGGGTCCTTCAACACTCAGCTTAAGAATCTGAGAAAACGTCATGTTTCGGAGTGTGCGACCGGGGCTTCGGCGAGTTGTTTGAGCGTACGACAGCTCTTGCACCATGGTCTTCGAGACACTCGGATTAGCGCTTGCCACCTTGCATACCGAACAGCGCATGGTCTCTTGCATAGGCAGAGTGAAGATTTGTTCTAATGGGGAGGCTCCGGTAAAAATTCGTGCTGCATCGAGTACGAAGCGTTTGACAAGAAACCCGTTAAGAGCTTGAACCATAGAGGCTAGGTGGTTATTTCCCGAAGCTTGGATCAGTATTCCAGCCGCCCGTGCTTCTTGAAGCGTCTCCATAGTTTTCAAAAAGTTACTCGGATGACAGTTGGGTGCATCCGTCTTCTCCAGCATATCGATGAGATATCCTAGCTGACACAAAAGACACGTCTCATATAAACACGAAGATGCAGCATGCCAAAGAGCCGCATTTCTTATCCACGGTACGAATCTGAAGAGCTGGAGGAGCGAGTTGGCGTAAGAATTATTGACATGAGTCTCGAGACCTGGGTATGGAGTGGAATTCCAGTATCTGAGCAATGTTAGCAGCTGTTGAGACTTCAGCTGAGTAGAGTAGACCTACCGGAAGTCATAATCTTCAATGCCAAATCTGCTGTACTGAATGTCCATAGGCTGATAGATACGTGAATCTTCTTTCCCATCTTGCCCATCTTTATCAATGATGGTTTCAAAGGTTTCGCTGCGCCTCCTCTCGCTGTTCATTGAAGGCGCGGTCCTGGCTTTAGCACGGTCACTCAAAAATTTAGGAACTGCCATAGCCTGAACCACTCGATGCGAAGACCTTGTCTTCTCCGCCAAGTTCCTCGGCTTTGACTTGTCAGGATTACTTGTCCATCCTCCAGACTTCACGGCTTGCGTGAGAAGTGTCTCGTCGATTAGTGGCGGTGGGGCTCCAACTTCGTATATAGTATGGCCCGGCCAGTTGGATAGCAATGGTCCTCTATACACCGGCACTCCAATCTTGTTCAGCGGCTCATCCCATGACAACTCCTGGGTTGGTATCTGATCGTACCATTCTAGCTTGCCATTACTATATTCGGAAATGCGGAATTTTGAAGCTGACCCATGAAGACGTAACTGTCCATAAGTATCGGTGTAAGCAATTGATTCGCCCGCGGCTGATAGCTCAAAGCATTGAAGGTAGACCTCATTGAAGAGTGGCAATTGATGCATGCCTGTTGCACTGGAGGAATTCACATCGACCAGTTGAATATACCCGGTGTGGGAGGCAATCATAGCGCTCGCATGCAATCTTGGATGCATCCGGACAAATCCTACAGGAAGAGTACATGAAATGGGCGTGAGTGGCTTCATAGCCTTCATGTCGAATACGTTGGCATGACTGTCGTAATATGGTACCCCATCCAGCCCTCTTCTAGACCCGCCGCAGGTGATGACAAGGTGACCGCTTGCATCGATATCGTTGACCCAACCGCCGTGAGCTTCCCATTCCTTTTTGAGTTGGAATTTACTCGTATCGAGGAAATGAACGTTTCCAAAGTTCGTACAGGCACAGATGTACTGGCCTGTACTTTTCATCCTCGTATAGTGTGCTACCGCATTCATCTACAATAAATCAGCGACGTGCATAGCAAAAAGTCTGAGCTTACCGTTTGAATGATAGATCCCTTCTCAATATCAATTACAAACATGGTATCTTGTTGTCCCGCAACTACAAGCTCCTGCGCAGCCTTAGAAGTAAAAGTCATACAATGGAGGTCCTCGAATCCATCGTACCTGTTAGTTTGATCAGCACTGTTATCGCCAAGGAAGGTGTCGAGGAAGGCTTGAGGTTCCTTACTCGAGATGCCATTGTGTTACTCCGCGTCGATTCGACAGATGTACACTCTTTGGAGATACCGATAGCACGCCTTTGTCAAAGACCAGAATTTGTCTGACAGACTGAACCTGTTTTATTTGGTCCCTTATAATGTCCCTATGCGCCCGGAACCTTGTGTATGCGTGGTATTGTCGGAGATTGTCGATATGAAACGATGCTACAGTGCCCTATGGGTAGGAAGTCATATGAGCAGTTTGCCCCCTGAGTACCCCCAGTTGGAAACGTACTCACGCGGTCGGTCCCCGCCCATAGTAGCTCCTGATATGGATCGAGCGCGATCGCAGTAGGTTGGGGAGAAGTGAAAGCAGTTGCATGCTGTCCGTGAGGTGTAGGAGCAGCTAAAGGAATCGCCGCAATCTGGAAGATGGTTCCGATACTCAGTAAGTTCTGCCTGGTAGCTTGATGTGTGTGTATGCTCGTACCTCTCCCCAGTCTCCGTCCATGCTCGCAAGATATTCACCGGGCCTTACTCATTGTATATGAGGGATAATGGGAAACGATTGGTGGTGTACAAGCGAATGGATCTTCTGTTTTCCTTGAATTGATTGGGTGGGGTTAAGAAAAGAATGCTGTAAGACTTGCAAAATGTTACGCGGTCAACACGTCCCGACGATAGAGTTCACTGGCCCGGCGAGAAGCTCGAGCGATGGAGGCCCCCACATTCGGCGCCGGCGCTTGCTCTATCAAGCGTGCAAATACGCCAGGCAGTAAGGCATTACAAACTGATACAGTGGCGCGAGTCATGTTCTGCGTCATGGTCCCCCGCGCTCTCTTTTCCATATGCAATGTGAGGATACTGAAACTGTTTACTAAGAATTCAATACAGCCCCCGTAGAGCTCACCAAAACACGCGCATAACCTCTCTTTCTTCGTTTAATCGACCACTCAACTCAGCTTGCGCATCAAGCATGGCGAGCCACAGGCGCACGAAAGACATCTCGTACGATGAGGATGATTTGGACGACTATGACGAAGACTATGGCGATGGAGATTATGGCGAAGATGGTGAGATGAGCCTACTTCAAAACTCAGCCGACGCTGACCACGATCGCTATATAGGCATCAGCGCATCGGATCGAGGTATGAGACAAAACAACACCATGAGTGACCAACATCAGCCCTCAGTCTAACGAGGCGATCGCGCAGAACAACTCCGACAGTGTACCGTAAAAGTAAAATCAGCATTAGGCTCAGAGTACATAATCTCGGATCAAGAAATTCAGGAGGCATTGTGGCACTACTATTATGATATACACAAGTCCATCACATATCTGAAGAGTATGGACATATCGTATATGCGATAATACAGTTGCTAATGTCGATAGATAAGCACGCGACTCCGACCACGAATCTCAAGCAACCGAAAGTAACAAAACCGGCCTCTAAGTTTGACCAAGCAGTGACCGCTGCGGCAAGGGCGGTTCCTAAAGCTATCAAAGGTAGGTCCAGCACTTCAAATTTCTTCTCGGAACGAAACATACGTCTTCAATATAGCCAGAGCCTTCACAGACGCGCAGGCCACACATGTACGTCTCACTACCGCCTGGATCAGTAATATATATTCTGACCGACACTCCCTAGATCCAGTACCTTCGACCTCGTATCCGCTTCCGAGGCCGTTGCCTGCTACATTATTGTATGCTGTTGATGTGACAAACTTTTTTGAAGATACTCCGTGGCTCGCTGTTCCTCCTCACAGAACGAGCAACATGATCATCCAATCAAAGGTTCCTCGTGGCGGTCTACTCGGAGGTTCATCCAAGCCTTCCAAGCTGGCCGCTCTCGCAGCTGCAAGGAAGAAGAAGCAACAGGAGCAAGAAGAATCCAGATCGGGTACTCAGAATGCTACCAGAGAGGCGGCCCGCGCCGTGTCGATGCTTGATCGCCTTGGGGACAAACAGAAGCCGTCATCTGATGCAGCTATCGATATGCTGAAACCGCAACCCATTACCGTAGATAGTGAGGTCATATCTCAGCAGAAACAATACCCAGTCCGGATTAAAAAAAGTCAAAGCCCTCCTCCAATACAGGTACAGCCTCGGACGTCGGACGAACAGCCTCCTGAACCCGAATTCGAAGTTTCTGATCTGGTCGCACATCCCTCCATATTTGCTACGACGGTAGCTGGGCACCAATCCAGCCAGATGGATTTTTTTCCTTTGCCTCATGTTTCCAGCGTGTTTCCATTATATGTACCCCGAGAGGAGGCATTTGCTAAAAGTAATCCATTCCTAGGACCAAGCCCTGACGATGTCGTAACGTCCGCCCAATCACAGTCCAAAGGTTCGATCCAGCAGTAAAGGTCTGAAGAATGTCCACTGATATTAATCAGGAAATCTTGGCAAGAGCACAACGTCCAAAGTTGGGGACGCGAGCAACGATGCCGGAGGTCTCGCCAATGGTGTTGCAAAGATCACTGTGGAAGAATCTGTGAGGATCAAAAGCAAAAACCTCGACGTTAAAAAAGAGTTCGAGAGATCGAACATGAAGCGAGCAATGAATTTCGTTGTCATTGGTAAGAATTTTGAAGTTTAAGTTTCTGAGCCATGCTGATGAATTTTAGGTCATGTTGATCACGGAAAGAGTACACTGATGGGTCGACTACTATATGATTTGAAAGTTGTTGACGAGCGTTCACTATCGAAGTTGAGAAAAGAGGCCGAGACCATTGGGAAATCGTCTTTTGCTTTTGCTTGGGTTATGGACCAAACGTCAGAGGAACGCGAACGAGGCGTGACTGTCGATATAGCGACAAACAGCTTCGAGACCGACAGCACTCGGTTCACGATTCTTGATGCCCCAGGACATCGCGACTTTATCCCAAACATGATCGCGGGTGCGAGTCAGGCAGATATCGCCGTACTCGTTATTGATGCGTCGACGAACAGCTTTGAATCCGGGCTCAAGGGCCAGACGAAAGAACATGCTCTGCTTGCCAGAAGCATTGGCGTTCAACGTCTTATCATCGCCGTCAACAAGATGGATTCCGCCAAATGGTCTCAGGATCGATACCAGGAGATCTGCCAACAAATGTCAGCCTTTCTATCGTCAGCAGGCTTTCAGAGTTCCAAATTTACATTTGTGCCTTGTGCCGGATTGACAGGCGACAATGTCACTAGACAGACCACGGATGAAGCAGCAAGGTGGTACAAGGGCAACACCTTGATCGAGGAGCTAGAAGCCTCAGAGCCTACTGTTCGGTCCATGAGCAAGTCTCTCCGCATGACAGTTGGCGATGTCTTCCGCGGCGGTATCACAAACCCCGTCTCAGTCTCCGGTCGAATTGACTCAGGAACCCTGCAGATCGGTGATTCGATACTAGCCATGCCCAGCGCGGAATTAGCATTTATCAAAGGGATTGAAATTGACAATGAAGGTGCAGATTGGGCCGTCGCTGGTCAGATAGTCACACTTCATCTGGCGGACATAGATCCTGTACACTTACGACCGGGCGATATCATCTGCCACACTACAGAACCGGTCCAAAACGTAGCACACTTTACGGCAAAGATTCTTGCATTTGAGCATGTCATGCCAATGTCCCTCAACGTGCATCGTGGTCGACTGAATATGGCTGGCAAGGTGACAAGGCTGATTTCAACGCTGGACAAGAGTACAGGGCAAGTGCTACGGAAGAAACCGAGGATCCTGCAGCCAGGTAGCGTGGCAAGGGTCGAGGTAGAAATGGAGAAGTCAATACCTCTGGAGGCAGGTATCAGAATAGTGCTCAGATCAGAGGCACAAACGATTGCTACAGGACTGATAGAGAGTGTAAGATGAGACCGACTTTCGCGTAAAGTGGCATTATTTGGCGTCATTCTGGGCACAGCATAGCGTGGCATCAAAATTAGATGAGAGACAGTTGAATCAAGCCATAGATGCTCGAATGGCACGACCGTTTGCTTTTCCATATTGACGCCATAATCCATATCTATGGCCTTACCGGCACATCCAACGCCAGCAATGCAGAGTAAAAGTGAACACGGCATGCTCTCACCTTTTCTTCTTTGATACTACTTTCTCAAATCCATCTTCGTCAATCTCTGGGACGCGTGGATCTTTCTTGGTTGCGTGTATAAGCGCAGGCGCCTCATCCATGTTTACATCATCATCATCACTGTTGTATTCATCGCTGTCAGCCTCCTCTTCTCTGTCCTCAACCTCGCCCTTTACAATTTCCTCCCGTCCCTGCCTCTCGGTCCACAGCCTCTGCCACTCATCCACAGTCGCGAAGATACCTTCCGTGCACTCCTTCCACACTTTCAGGATATTTGCTACCACTGTCTCTTCACTGTCGTCCTCAACGTCCACATCGAATTCCGCGGACATGACGTCCAGCAGCATGAACTGTATCTCATCGCCGGGCGTGGTGGGGTCTTTCAGTAGTTGGTCGGCGATGGCACCCGCGAACCAGTCGCGCTTTTCAGACGTGTTGCCACCGCCCCAGCCTTCTTGCACGGCTTTGGTGAGGGCGCTCCATTGCGAGAGCGCATGCCATACTCCGAGGCCAAATTTTTCCTCGAAAAGTTCTGCGGGGTTTAGTAGAAGACGCTGAGCAGATGTAAGATAGACGAACTCGGGTCGACTTCGTTTACAACTGGGATGGGTTGCGGTTGGGATGGAGCATTTTGTGTTGCCATGGTGTGTGTGTGTGTCTGTGTGTGGTTTGCTGAAGTTGTCGCAAATTCATGATTTCGATGCTTTTTAGTTATCGATAACGCTGCGACGTCTGGGCGGTGGGGAGACTTTGGGCTTCCGATTGGCCAGCGCAGACTCGCTATCACGTGCAAACTGAAATGCGTTGCTCCGCTCAAGACGCTTTGAACTCCTAGCGGTCTTGAGACGAATGTTCTCAATTATAGTTAATTATTGTAAATAGTTTTGGTAAATAATCATTAATTAGTTGGGGTCTAGGCACGTTGAATCTATCTCTCCGACGGCAGCGTGCCACGAATATCTGCATCTATCTTGGGATCTTTATCGATGTACAACCTAGGATATGCCTGATAACATGGGTATTTTTGCTTGGCAATGACCTACTCATACAGTATGATTCCTCATTGTTACAATCTGCGAGCGTTACGTTGGTGGCGCCTCCTTTGGGCAGTAAAGTAAAAGTTATGCATCCGTTGATGGATCTGCGGTACCTAGCTTGTCCTCCCTTATCCTCCGGCTTAGCTCTCCAAACGTCAACCCAAGCTCCCAACCACCGGCAAGAGTAACTAACGTCTCCGTCTCTGATCTCTCGAACATGTTCTCCTTCTTGTCAAAACATACCTTTCTGTTACGTCCCTGTCACACTTTTCTAGTTGGGAGTCCAATGTGTATCGTCTAATTGTCTCTTTATGTTCCAAGCTCCACCCGAGGTCGTCATCAGAAGCTGTGTCAGCCGCACTCCACAGTAAAGATCATGGTTCTCAATACGCTCACGGTAGCCTCTTCTGTTACTCCAACTGTGATTGAAACTTACTTTAGTCATGTCAGTAGACTATATTCATCGATGTCTGCTTAGTATTAATGTTATGTTACTTTAGTACCTCAATCGCAAGCCCCTGCGCCAAAAGCCCACGGCTCACATTTCATATCACGAAGGCCTCGAGCTCATTCGCCGCTTTCTACATCATGCATCTTTTCATACCGTCGAAGAGATTCAGGCTTTTACGCAGCAATGGGTGCCCGTACCGCATTGGATTCAAACCGATACAGTCGAGATCTCAGCTGAAAAGCTATCGAAAGCTGCAGAGTTGCTATGCGCCCAGCTTGGCCCAGAAGGCATCGAACAAGTCGGAGGCAAGAACTGGTGGCAATGGCGCCGTGATGGCAATCCATTGAAGGCTGAGTGGATCGAGATGCGCAAAGACGCTACTGCGAGGAGAAAGAGCTCAAAACCTCACGGAACTCGAATCATGATGTATGTGCATGGTGGAGCATACTATTTTGGCAGTGTAGATGAGCACAGATATCAGATGCAGCGGCATGCAAGAAAGCTCAAGGCGAGAGTCTTGGCACCGAGATACCGACTCGCACCTCAGTTCCCTTTCCCTTGTGGGTTGCAAGACGCCATTGCCACGTACTTGTATCTTCTTGTAGAACACGATCCTTCCACTATCATCTTGGGCGGGGACTCTGCAGGTGGAGGTATGGTCTTGAGCATGCTCGTCACTCTACGAGACCAAGGTATACCACTACCGGCTGGAGCAATACTCTTGTCACCATGGGTGGATCTGACACACTCATTCCCAAGTCTTGGTGGAGATGGCAAGTTTGATTACATCCCTGCGCATGGCTTCGTCCACAAGCCTTCCTTGGCTTGGCCACCTCCTAACAGCGACGACTTGAAAGCGCTAGAGAAGGGTGCAGTAGACCCTAAGAAGGGGGCTGCATCAAAACCCGCGGACGGAGAAGACAAGAGGGAACAAAAAGAAGCCGAGAGGCAGGAAAAAAAGGATCGCACTCGCGGCTACTCGGTCAATGAATCCTCCCAGAATGTGAGCGACCCACGTGCTGCCGCCTTTGACAATCACACCCCGGCGGTTGTTACTGAACCTACTCCCAACGCACCGCTAAGCATTTCCATCGATGGAAAAGTCGTCGAGATCAAAGATCAGATTCAGATGTATGCTGCGAACCATCTCATCAACCATCCGTTGGTGTCACCCGTTCTACAGCCAACATTGGGCGGTCTCCCACCGCTACTCGTCCAGGTCGGCGGAGGAGAGCTACTTCGTGACGAACAGTTGTATCTCGCGCACAAGGCAGCTGCCCCTTTGAAATATGTTCCTGCACCAAATCCACATATGTCAGCAGAGTGGATACAGGAAAACCTGGCAAAGTACCGGTCAACACTAGTTCAGCTACAGCTGTGGGATGACTTGTGCCACGTCGCGCCAACACTGAGCTTCACGCGGCCTGCGAAGTACATGTATAGGAGTATTGCACAATTTGGTGCTTGGGTGCTCGCTCGAGCACAGCAGACGTCGATCGACATCATGGACGATTCTTCCATTTCTGTAATCAGTACGAGCACCTCAGACGAGCATTCATCTGGAGATGACGGAGAGCATGTGAAGAAGCCTACAGAGGCGCAAAACGTTGAAATCATTGCCTCTGCGGGCCTAGATCCCCGACCGGACCACGTGGGAAGAGCAGGAGATCCCCTGCCACCGTTTGAGAGGCATATGATCCGCCAACGTATCGATCGTAATGGTCTGATATATCCACTACCTCCTGCTTCTGAAATTCCAGCTTTACAGCTAGAGTCGTCCGAGATCGGACGCATCAAAGAAGGGCCAGTGAGAAAATGGATGGGAGCGCAGGAGAAGTGGACAAAGAAATTTGCTCGACAAAAGCTCAACGTGCAAAAGAAGCGGTTGCAGGCTATGGCCAAGGGATTCGAACGATTTGAAGGAGAGCAACCTCCTCCTACCGCACTTGCTGGTAGACGTGCGAAGGGCATGGACAAGCCAGCGAAGAATAAACGCAGTATGGGCATGTCACTTTGGAGCTTATGGGGCAGCAAACACGACGAGACCACCGTACGTTTCCTGATACTAGCATCACAATACCATAGCTCACAAGCATACAGATCGAGCACGAAGAAAAGGCTGACATGGACGGAGTTCCCACTATTCCAGAAGATGGCGCCAATGGTGGCGGCGGTACTGTCGCAAACTCGACAGGCAAGTCAGCAGCACGCAATAAGTCTCGCTCTAAGTCCCGCCCTCGTCGCCCTAAGATTGGCGCGAGTGTCGGATCGCATCGCTCTAACGTGACAGATCAAGGCCAGGGTAACGAGGGGAGCGATGGACAAATGGTAGCCGTGCAGAATACTCCCTCACACCTTTCTCCGTCTGGTTCGCCCAACGCGTTTCCTGCGATATCTCCTCTCCCAAGTAACGGACCCGTGGTACCTGGCACTGACACAGTTGTCCCTGACAGCAACACACTCAGTACTCGACCGACCAGGGAAGGCGTCGCATACCCGTTCAAACTCAGGCTTGCAAAAGATGGCGAGCCCGTAAATGCGAGCACGTTGACATTACAGAGCGTCCAGCCACTGGACGAGAAGAAAAACCCTAGCGCGTCTTCTCCACCAGCTGAGTCTTCAGCTTTCACGGATCCGGAAGAGCAAAAGGTCATACCCATTACTGCTGGAGCTATGCAATGCACTACGGAGAAGGAGAACGAGGCTCCAGAGAGACCTCAACCAGAGAGGTTCGTTACCGCGCGTGAAATATAGACGCTAACGAAAAAGAAATATCATCATAAGTTATAGGATGGTGAGATGAAAGGTTGGCTCCTGGAGGGCCGCTACACATCTGTATATACCAGATCAAGAATATAATACTGAATGCATAAGTGTTCCCATGTTCACTACTTGGACTATCAGGGATGCTCTGAGGACTAATCTTGATGTTGGATTCGAAGGCTGTGGCAAGGTACAACTCACGTAGGTAAGAATCCCAGCTCTGTAACTATTTTGCATTCGTTTCTTATAAGTTTGATGATCTGGCTGTTCAGTGATGTTTTGGTAGCAACGCATTCTGGACAAGTAGAGGATACACGCGCAAATTCGAATGTTTGATCTACCATGGCAACTTGTTCTTGTTCAGTCAATGATGATCATGAGTGAGATGAAGCTTCGTGGATATGGGCTGTATTGATCTAAAAGGCATTTAAGACTAGATCGCACAATGGTAACCCGGGCGACGCGATGATACGGCCAGCGCATCTAATATCAAGCTCGTTCTGGGGTCCTTACAATGCTGGTTTCTTCCAAATCCTCCCAGTCTCCGATATTAAGGGCGATTTCTACGCTTGGTTTTCCCTGCAAGCGGTGATATAGGCCCTGCCAAATTGTTTCCGGTTGCTCATCGATCATAGCTTTGATATGGTTGTAGATCTGGTCACACATAAGTCAGATCTCAACGTGTTGAACTAAAGTGCACAAGTGTTTCGACATCGTGATGTTGACTTACTCTGGTAGCGGGTGCACCCTTCTTGAGAATAATGACGCATTCTATCCCTCTGCCTTCACATCACCTTCATTGCCTCGATTACCCTCATCATTCTCATCAACTTCTTCCGCAGGTGGGATAGTAGAGGATAAGGGGATAGATCTGCTGGCAAATGGAGGGCTATAGTGTCCTCTAAAGTCTTTGAGGGATTCCCTCAAAACAAGACGTAAATTTCCGCCGTAAATTGTTCGGTTTTCGGACTGGGTGTTTGTTAGCCACTAGTCAACTTCGCTCTATATCAGGTCTAAAGCTTACAGATCTGGGCAGTGGGAATTGGAAAGTGCCTCGGACTCTGATAGCATCATCGCTAGGCTCCTCTGCGTGGGTTTTTGTGTCAGCCTGTCCGCGGTTTAGCAAGCTCTTTTTGTCGCTTTCCATCTTGGCAATGAAGAGTAGAGAATGTTAGAGCAGAGAAGAGTGCAGTGGAATCGATTGATGTCCCTGCCTGTGGTCATCTTCATACTCTTTTTATATGCCATCGTAGCCAGATCACACGTCCTTGATCTAGGTTGTCTCTTACGTATGAAACCTTCGATGCCATGTCACTCTCGTCAATCCAAAAATGAAGACAGTCGTACAAAGAGATCTCACTTTAGAGGGTCCGGGCATAAAATTCCTTGCCTTCGTTTCTTTGATCGTAGCGATGATCACAAGGGATACTGTGTCGGCATGAGAGACAGTATGGAGACCATGGCGATATGACTGAGAAATCAGGAAGCCGGTCAAGGTACAGACAAAAGACACAAGATGCGTGGAGCCTGTTAGACGTCATTTTTCAGTATCAGCATTTCAGTTTCTTTGAAGATCGAAGACTCCAGGCATGTTGGCGTGTCTCTCAATGCCATGCCGAAAGCGAGTGAGGTCTCAGGTTCGACACTTGATGGCTCTACGCAGTGTACAGGGTTTGCCGCCTTCGACAAGAAATGTGAGACACGATCATCCACCCAATGCACATTCCTCGATGCTCTTGTTCAATTGTCAAAGTATTTGCTGTAGGATTTGAGAAATGAAAAATGTATGTATGCGTATGTCCGTCACCCGAAAGTGTGTTCTTGTGTTGCATTCATCATTTGTCGTTTGCGAACTAACAGTGGGATACGACTTTCCGTTATGTCTTTTATTCTTGTTGTAGTTCGTCGATATGGTTTTCCCTCACGTTCACAATATCTAACTCCATATTGTACACGTGATATCATATTTAAAGTCAAAGCATGTTCCACGTGAAGTTACAAATACGAGGCTGGTTGGTCCGAGGGTCACTAATTAGTCCTAGCGCCGCTTGACCCCTGGCCTGGGCTGTGAACGCCACCGGAGACTTTGCGACCAACACCACAGCTTCATTGTCTGCTCATCGACACGGTCACGCCCATGATGGATGGCACGACCACGTAGTGTAGGCCTATTCTTCTTCGAGACACTCTACGTTACTGAGTTGACGCTATTCGGTGTATCCAACTCGGATCCATATGAGTCGGGAACTCGATATATTCGACTTCCAAGTCTAGACGCTGCCAAGCTCCTTCCGCAGGTCAGCTCGAAAGCCTCCTCGCGCACGTCCAATCATTATGATTCGCGACAGTGACCCCGGACCATTTAAGCGAAGTCAACATGCGCTGTGATACGAAGGGGACGCCTCCAAAGCCAGGCCTGGCCGGGCTGAAAAATATGAATATTGGCCATGTCGCTCTCACTAGGGTTGTCACGGCCACTTCCCAACCATGAACCACTACGCAGGACTTCCTCAAGATGAGGCCAAAGACAAACCTCAGGTTGAGGCCAATGCCATACCGCCATCGCCATCGGAAACAGCGCCCAGTGTAAACAGACCGAAGCAGAGAGGCTGCTGGCATGGGTATCGGAGCATTGTGAGCAAGTTTTGGGTCTGGGAGGTGTTCTGTGCCGTCGCATCTCTTGTGCTCATGGCCGCAATCGTTGGACTGCTCTATTACTACAATCAGAAACCTGTGTCGGAATGGCCTTATCGGTGGAATATTAACTCTGCTGTTGCATTGCTAGGTGTGTGATAATCTGTATGGAGTGCGAAGTCCAATAGGCTAATGATGTACAAGTCGTACTTATGAAAGCTTCTATGCTCGTTCCAGTGGCTGAGTGTCTGGTCGGTCCTGCTTCTATTACTCTCGACAATTTTCTCATGCTGCGTAGGGTCAACTGAAGTGGTACTGGTTCGACCGCGGTGAGCGAACACTGAGCGACATCGACACTTTCGATAGTGCCAGCCGAGGTGTGGTGGGATCATTAGAACTGTTATGGACACTGAGATTTTGGTATGCAGTCAATTATGGTAGTAAAGGACGCATACTGACTTCAGTAGGCATCTTGCTGCTGTTGGAGCAGTGATCATGATCGCGTCGCTATCCATTGATACACTCACTCAGAGTGTTATCGGGACTCACAGCGATCTCACATACCTTAACAATTCTGCATCATTACCAAGGAATAACATGTACCTCGACTTCGAGAAGCTGTATACGGGCGAGGAGCTTGGAGACCAGATAGCACCTTCGGAGGTGGTAACCGGTCTCCTACTTGGTTATTCCTGGATAACCGCAATGAAAATCAACGACACCAACATCGATATTCCTATCAATTGTCCCACTGGATATTGCGAATTTGGAAGATACCAGACAATTGCAATCGGTCACCAATGTGTGGATCGTAGCAGCGAAGTTTTCTTCAATGAGACGGTCGGCAAGTGGGCATTCGAGGACTTTGTAGGCCTGGATCCAACAAATCAAACAATAGTCTCCGCCAACATCTCCATATATCCCGCTCCTGTCAACAAGGGCTACACTAATTTCGGACCGCTGCTGTCGCGAACACTGGTTATGTTCAACGATACGACTGGCACAAACCAACTCCCTATCGCAGTCGAATGCATCATGTACTGGCAGATAAGCACGTTCGAGACCAGTGTCTCAGCCAACGTGCTCAATGAGACTGGCGTCATCGCCTACGTCAATTTGACAGAAGAAGCACAAACTCAATACGGCCAAGCAGCAGGAATTCGGATGCGTCCCGCCGAGTGCTGGGTCAATGATACACTCATCGAGAAAGCCGATGACTTCAATCTCGGCGTCCCAGAGTGTTCATTCGCAGTGGGTCCTAGAGCGCAAATCGGGCTGCAGAACACGCTCCAATCGTCCACGTTCGGCTTGAGTGGCGAGATACTGTACTATCCCGAAAAAGAAGTATGGGGCCCGGCAAGCCAATTCCTACTCAACGTCTTCTTCTTCCAGGAAAGATTGAACGTCACTGACTCTACATCAATGCTGAAATATATCAACACGTTGTGGATGTCCATCTCCTGGAGTCTCACGCAGACAATTCGCCAGATTGACCTCACAACTTCCGACGAGCCAATCGTCGGCTACGCCGCGCAGGGTAAAATGTACGTGCATGAGGACTACTTCGATGTCAATTGGCAATGGCTTTCCGGTCCCATATTCTTAGTGTTACTGAGCTCGGTGTTTTTGCTGATTACGATCTCAACGCACAAGACACACAAGGCGTGGAAGACGTCGAGTCTACCGTTGATATTTCATGGATTGACAAGAGAGCATCGGATGGCGGTGGGTGAGCCGGAGAAAGTGGTGGATATGATGGAGTGTGCAGATGAGGAGAAGGTGCGCCTTATGATTTCAGAATCGGATGGTGGTGTGAGGTTGGTGAGTCGGAGCCGACCTGTGAGCGCCTAGGATTGGATCGAGGATTTGGGTCGATACTGTGTAGCGAAGGAGTTGCTGTTGTGTTTCGAATAATTAGATCAATGCATTCTAATCTTGCCCCACGATGTTACTACACAGGGTCATGTTATTTACTTTGTTCCTAAGCAGCATCACTTGGCTTCGAATTGGTAATGTATAAATCTTCATTCTGGGTCACTTCGTATCCAACTCGTACAACTGGAAGTGAAAATGAACAGTGCATATCGGTGCTATCTTTCACAGTTCTGAAGTAGCACCATGAGAAACGTCTGCCGTCATATACGGACGGTCAGAAGAGGGCCTCATATACTGCAGTAGTATCGCTGTTCCCACATCAGTCTCTCGGGCTACTCTCTGTGTAGATATACCATGAGCACCAGACAACCATTCTTCATTCCGGTAGCACATGACCAGAATAGTGACAGCTATAGCTTCTCCAAGATTAGTAAGGACGATCACGTAACACTCCGACGTTCACTATTTGGCGCTTTATCTACAAGACTAACACCACACCGTAGTCTGGTGAAGTGGCGGAGCAACACTTCCTTTTCTCAACTATTTTCTGGCTGGACTTGATCTATACGAATACGACTGCAGGGGTCGGAACTACAAACTGCATTCGTCTCTATCTCGTCGTCGCCACAAGATAAAATAAATCCCACGAATACCTCAGCACAGTGTTTTGTATGAGGTACCGGTTCAGATATTCTTTATTTTAGACCTCGCACAATATCGCCCCAATCCTTCAAGTCAGGGGTTAGGCAAGCCGCGAACGAATCATTTGTCCACCCCCTGAGTGCCATATATTCGAAACTAGGTTGCGCTGAGTACATAGACTGCACAGCTCCTAGGCGCTTGTGATAGTAGCATCTCACCCGAAATAATTACCTATTCCATGTTGTAGCCTAAATACCGCCTAATGATACTCATACCAACACTGCTCCACCCGGCAGTTGCAGCTGCTTCAAGGTAACATGAAGCTAATTGCCGGTGCTTGGATCAGTGTTCATTGATTCGAATGAACAGCGGTCGTCTGGAATATGCACAGACCCATTACGTGTGTTACTCCCAAGCACTCATGTTGCGTCCTAGAGTCGTGATTCACTACAAGACTTCACAAAGTGAAACCAACGTGCTGGGCCACGTGTGACCGAACTACCGTCGTCTGAGTTTGAAATTCCACAATGCTGCGACTGAACACAGATTTTCAATGTGATTGACTATTGACTTGGGCGGTCTCTCTCGTTTTCTTCCAAACATTGGTCTCGCTATATACATGAACCTTCGCCGATCTGATAGTACACCCACGGTTAGACGTCGAGTTTCCGTCGGCGATGTCGTCCAACGGACCGATGCCGCCAGGCATACCAGGTGTAGTCTTACCACCGAATGTGCACGAGACGCGAACTCTTGAAGCGATTGCATCGATGACACCCTTTGCTGCTCTAGCAATTCTTGCAGTGGCATTGCGGTTCTACTCTCGCAGATTGATCAAAACCTACTATGGCCTCGATGACCAACTGTGTCTAGTAGCCTTGATCTTCTCCCTTGGTATTTACGCAAACGCATTGATGAGTATGGCCAAGACAACCGCTTTGAGGGACAAGCTAATGCTCCACAGTGGTATACTATGGATCTGGCAGACATCTTGCAGTTGTATCCATATTCGACAGGACTGCTTACTTCAAGTGTCTGTTTGCGTTCCAAATCGGTTATGCTCACGCAATCTTCTTCAACAAGATTTCTATGTTGAACCTCTATACGCGAATCTTCTCTACAAAAAGCTACAAGATCTCGGCATGGGTGGTAGAGGGTATGGTATTTGCTTGGTACATCGCGGTAGTCGGTGTCTCTATATTCAGTTGCTACCCTATACAAGGATTCTGGAACAAAGCAATGGTACCTCCGGCGAAATGTATCCGGACGAAGTTGTTCTTCGTTGGAAATGCGATGCCAAACCTTGCTACGGACATGATCATCCTTATCTTGCCCATACGTGGCATTTGGGCCCTTCGACTGACGATATCTCAAAGGATCTCATTGTCATTTTTGTTTCTCTTGGGCAGCTTGTATGTCGTTCCCACAGCCAACACTTACCATTCCTCTCTCTGGTAGAGCTTTGCTGACCATTCGAAGGATCCCAGTTGCCAGTGCGGTACGCTTTGCTGCACAGTTCGGTGTGGATAAGACAGATTTCACATGGACCATGCACGACACAGTCATCTGGACATCGCTACAAACTAGCATTGGGATAATCTGCGCTTGCCTACCAACGCTTCGCCCACTTCTACAGAAGTTCTTAACCAATTCTAAACGCCGTGGCTCTGAGCAGCACCACGAGATGTCAAAGGGATCAGGGACTTTTGGCCCGTTCTTCAAAGATCCGTTTGAGATGGTGACAATAATATGCGCGGATGATTCTGAAGCGGCGCCACTCGCACCACCAGGTCGCATACGGGCGGAAACGCAGGTTGAGGTTGTTTACTCTTCGAAGGACAACATCTGACACGGTCTGCGCCAGATTTGAGCAAAGACCCTGCTGTTTCATGCCCTTGGCAGCAATGTGGGCCATCCAGTTTTCGATGCATGGCATCCAAAGTTACAAACAGAGTGTGGACACAGCTACAACACGAAGCGCTACGTTACGGCGGGCTCAGTTCAGTACGGAGTCTTTATTTAATTGTTGCAATCAATGGGACTGTAGTGCAGCGTCTTGAATACTGTGCGCAACAGTTGTTACTCGGGGTGAAGGAATCTTGTCCTGAAGGGCTAATGAATATACAATACATCGGATCTCTATCCTACAATTTAGAGATCGCACTCCGGGCGTTGCAGGTAAATGTTTACAATTTAACGGTCGTGTAGGTCTAGACTTATTGATCTAAAGATTATAAAATCATATCTCCTGAACAGCAAGCTACTTCCTATATATGACACCGAGGAATATGGTCACCAAAGGCGTACCGGTACATCTGGGAAGAACGGCCTCGCCAGTTAGCTACTGCCAAATATTGTAATTCACTTCGGCTGGTGCGTCTTGCACACAAGAACAAAAAGCCAAATAATGTAACAAAGTCGCTTAATTCACCCCTTTCGTATATGATTGATGGTCCAGCTTACAGAATATATACCGGCAGTCTTGTATTCATCAATCTCCCTGGCAGCACATTCAAATCACCGTCCTCATAATCATGCAATAAGCCCCACAAACCCATCCTCCACATCAACGCCACCCAGACATCCTCTCTCAGTCTCTTCTTCTCTAGGGATATTGAATGCGCGCTTGCCGGACTGTAGTAGCTACCTGACGTTGTCCCAGTGCCACTGTTCGCCGCTGCAACAAGGGGACGGATCTCATTGAAGTAGTGCTCGAACAACTCCTGTTCCGTATCACAGTCACGACTCGACAAGAACGATTCGAGATCATCAAGCTGCGCTAGCACAGTGGTAACATGGGAGCCTGCGACGCTGATGACGGTAGCTTTTGGTTGTGCCAAGAGCCATTCGTCGATATTGTCGATTGCATCGTGGACTTTCTCGAGGAGGTCGATATCGATCTCATCATCTTTCGTTCGCCAGACATCGGTGAGGTCTTCCCAGGCTTCTATGATACTTTGAACCTGTGAAGATACGTGTGGAAATGTCGCGAGTTTGCGAATCTGTGCGATGATTTCAGTTACAATGGTTAGGGCGCTGAATGCGTCGTTCCAGGGATCTTTGGTCGGATTGGGAAGCCGTCGAAATGAGGATCCGCGAATACGAATGTTCGTGGAGAGCATAGCTACGAGCTCGAAGGATACTAGGTAATATGAATACTTGTTCCTGCAGATAGCTGGGTAGCTTTGACTTACCAGACCGGACATGATCACGTCGCTTGAACCACTTCTCGATTGTATCTTGCTTGCACCCGACAAGCTGTAGCGTACGACGAATCTCTTGGTCTCCACCAAAATTCAATGCCAGATCATCATACATCGTCTCCACACACCCGAATACGAGCTTTCGTACGTTGACAGCGGGCATTGTTCGTCGCTCTCCAAATTCCGTCATGCTGAATACCGAGAAGCTCACCCCGAGTCCTAGCCCGACATACTGCGACGACGTCAAGATCATTCCGTTTCCTTCCGCACGCAGATTGTCCGTGTCCGGATCAAACGTGCGCCACCGCATCCCCAGCATGACTGCCAGCTCCGCCAGATGACTCATCGTTGTCTGCGCATACGGCTTCAGCACACTATCTGGCATATAATCCCACGAGCGCTTGCGCTTCTGCATCTGCACGACCATACTGTAATCGGGCGCACCATACTTGATCCCCTTGGGCGTCATCGCATGCTTCGCATCCCACGCACGCCCGGCCCTCTCAGCACGCTGCAACATCGTCAACAGCGAAACCCACGTCGCGCGCTCGTCATCGATCGTATGAACGCGCCGGAACCGATTCGTGGTGTTCGCCGCTTCACGGTCCTCGACTTCCTGTGCGCTTTCATCGATCGTGTTACTCGCGACGTAGCTTTCGTCAGAACCGTCAATGTTCGTAATTCCGCGGCCTGGTACAGGGCCGCGCTTGTTTTCCGGCGTGCCAACGAAGAGGACTGGGGTCTCGAAGAGTACTTCGAAGCGCACTTCGTTGAGGCGGAAGCGCCGCCGTGTGCTATGGGCCCAGTGGCCCATGACGGGCTTTGCACATTTGCGGTATCCTTCAGCAGAGGCGAGGTATTGCTGGAGGGCTTGGGCGATAGCGACGACAAATGCGATAATAGAGATGATAAGCGAGACGATGGCGATGATGTTAGAAGTGTTGTCGGGGGCTTCGGATGCCATTTGGGGTTGGCCTGAATCGGACATCTTCAATGTTCGTGCTCTATTTCGTGACTCAAGCTGTTCTCTCTTCTGTGCTTGATTGATCGATGTAGCGATTGAGGCGCGACGAAGCCTGGATGTAGGGAAACGACTGAATAGGAAAGCGGGTTGGGGAAAAGTAATAGAGTCGTAATGTACTATACGGCACTTCCTAGCTCTTGGATTCCTCTATCGTCTCAGATCTAGAAAACTTGCGACACAAGGCTGTTCAGGCATCGCGGAGAAGATGTCATGTGTACAAAGCCTTGTGAACATGGCCATGAAGTCCATTTCTATTTAGCTTTCAGCTGAGGAGATAGGTGGACGCCACACAGCGATCCTTCGGGGGGGGGCTAAATCTGGACCGTTGTTGAAAGCCGTGCCGCAAATTAGCGCTATTAGGTTATTCATATTAAATCTCGTGATCCGTTCAAGTATCGTTTATTCGCTGCTATTTTTCGACGCAAATTGATCTATGTTCCAACGACCTGGTTCTTGCGGCGTCGTCCTGCGAAAGTTTTTGGTACTGTACGGGCGGTTGCCTCGGGCCTGTCCGTCGTATATTCACGTTGCGCTTGTATAGATAGAGACTAGCGTACCCCTTAACTTGACCAGCTTGTCGCCCAGTGGGAACAGGTGGAGTTACAACTTCAATTCTATTGCTCATGCGAAGGAGTTCTGTAAGTCATCGTATGGAGTAGGAAGACATAGTAGAGACGGCAACATATCAGAATTGAGAATCGAGGCCCCTGACATTCCACAGTCTACTAATTACTGTATTCGTACAACAACTTGATGTACACGTGACAGAAATGAAGGGTCATTTCTTCTTGCTTACCCGCGCCGCAATGCTGCCAATGGTTTGTTTCTATTCCTGAGGATCTCAACTTAGATACTATTTACAGTTATTGGAACATCTAGTACACTGGCACGGGAATCGAATCCAGAGTATATGTGAACGAATCAACCGAACTCTGGTCGTAAACACAATCCATATTCACCCCGTCAGTCCAGTACGGACGAAGAGGATATGAGCAGATCTTCCCCTTCGCACCCTTGTTAGCGCCAGACTCAACAGTGGCGTTTAGCAGCGTCGGATTGACACCACCTTCGACCCACTCGATCAGACTACCGAAAACGTTTTGCGGAAACGGCGCTGGTTGCGTCGTGCTAGGTGCGCAATGACCAGCCCCTGGGATGAGAAACAGCCGATACCAGTCGTCCAGAGCGGCAACACTGTCGGTGTAACTGAGCTTAGGGTACATGACTGAGCGCACGGATTCATAATAGCGGACTGATGAGGCAGTCGGGACACTGTCATCGCTTTCGCCATGGAAGTGGATCACTTTGCCACCAGCAGTTTGGAAGTCCTCGAGATCAGGCCATGTTGTCTCAATGCTGTCTTGGAATTTCTGGAGCGCTTGAAGCATCCAGCTGCGGAGTTTGTCGTAGTCCACTGTGCTGAGGTCAATGCTTGTAGTTGCAACCTCATTGAGGAGATAGTCAACAAACTGGTTACCGATACCAGATGCTGAGACGGAGTAGCCACCAGTTGTGGAGTTGTAGGTTGCGGCAGCGTCGCCGAACGTTGCCACGGGCTGAAAAGGTATGTATACCTGACGACCCTTGGAATCACGGAGTCCATTAAGTAGGATCTTTGCAATGTTGATGGCTCCGGCGGAGACTGTTCCATTGACGGCAGGCGAAGGTGCTCCGCCACCCATCTGGCGCTTTCGCTTGCCAGGGGCACCTCCACCACCAATTCCTCCTATTGTAGCAGCACAGGAGTAGGGTCTACCAAGAACCGAGTCGAGGTCGAAGTGTGTCTTGCAAAGATCTGTACGGCTAACAACACCGTCGACAATTCCATCAAGACCATCACATGCGGCGATCGTGGCGTTGTTGATGGCTGTGAGTTCACACTTCGAAGGTGCATAGTTATTGAGCGTCTCAGCAACTGCTGGGAATAAGTGGTTGACCTGCTGGAACGCTTGTCTGAATGCTGGGGCTCCGATAGCCGCACCGTCAAATTGCGAGCCAAACCTCTGAACCTGACTCCAGCCCTCACGACCACCCTCGGAACAGCCTTGGTAATACGAGTAGAAGTCTTCGATGCCGTAAAATTTGCGAGTGAGTTCCTTGCCAAGCACGCTCATCTCGTGGATTGCTTTGTAGCCGAATGCGTAGAGAGCGTCGTAGTTGAGAGTCCCATTTGCCTTTAGCAATACATCAGTCAGTTGAGCGCTCCAGCTTCCGAACCCTCCATCCGTTGTTCCAGTCGCAGCACCAAACACGAGACCTTGGGAGAGACCTCCGGATCCAGATGAGATGGAGAAGCCGCCACCACCGGATGATAGGTACCGATTCTGGAACTCGCTAGGCGCTGGGAGCCAGTACCACAAATTTGTCTGCTGGGAATTAGCATGGCTCTCACAAGGTGGAAGTCATCTTACTGCTTCGCCATCGCTGCCATCATGCGTGTAAGAGAATGTTACATTGCAGAAGTTTAGACCACTTCCAGCAGGATACAAATTGCTTGATGCTACGGAGTAGTTTGTGACGGTGTTTGTGGTGACTGAGTCGACGTTGATAGTGATACCAGTGATGAATTCGCTTGCAGGCAGGACCGACTGAACATAAGAGACAGTGCATACGCTACTGAGACTGGAGTTCAATGCTGCAGACACGCCAACTACAGCCATGGCTGACAATGAGATGATTGAACGCATATCAAACACAGTTCGCCCGTGAAAAGAGAGCTAGAAGGACTGATGACGCGATGGCGGTACGGTACGAGATGTGCGATATGTAGAACCATACTTATATACTGATGCTAATTATCATCGTGCAAGACGAAGTATCACTATAAAGTGATTGTAAAGTGGAGACCGACGCGATGTCTCGAAACAGGAAGGCATAGTGTCCGTGATGATGTTTGTGGAGAGGCGCGCGTCGTGGATAATTAATTATGATGATATATAGTAGAGCGGTACTAGCCGGAATAGGCTAGCTCTCCACGACCCCTTTCGGATCCAAGTGTTATGCGTAACAATGTCTCCACACGTTAGTGGGGATGCCCTCGGTTCGCGGTGATATACTGTCAGGTACAGGGACCATGTAGATGGGGACTGGTGACGAGTCCGGTGATGGGAATGAGCTACTTTGATGGAGTTGACGTAGGTACATAATTAGATGGAGGACGTGGTTTAATGATGGAGAAGTCGGAGGCTGGCGTGGAAGCGGCTTGGCGAAGACCAAACCTCGATCATCCCATTGAGGTTCTCGACGCCACAGTTGCACACACTTTATCGAGACCCCCGTTCCCCGTTACATCCTTTTTCTCTCTTCTCTTGTGTATTCATGCTTTGATGGTCTGTAAGCGACAGCATACTACCGCAGACCGTAGCTATGCTCTTCTGCGTTGTACAGTCTTAACAGCTACTAAATACCGGATGTGCACATGAGCATGGTTCACGACGCAAAGGAAACCACTACTAGCGTCATTCATGCTAACCTCGCCTCGAGCATCACGTAACTACTGTATACATAAGGGGACAGCCAATCAGTCAATATAACCCGTAAGACAGTGTTGCAGATGGTTCTCGAGTCTAATATGGCCGACTCATGAAGCATGATCGACGAACGTGTCGTGGTATCGCCTCGACGCCGTATTCGCCCCCACGGAGGCACTCTACGAGATGCAAGTTGGTGCTGAGACCACGAGGCTTCCACATACACGACTTCGCAGCCCAGATGAGCTGCTTCTCTTCAATATGGTACCACTCTATACCGCATTTCAAGCTTAATTTTCGGATGGGCCAAAAGTCTTCACGTTTTGGTCATCGCTTACAGGCGGTTTCACAAACGTTTATGTGATACGTTCCAATAGCTGACGGTCATGGAATTGGATAATGGAACAGCTGATAACACTGCGGTCGTACGGAGTGCTATTTTCATCAACAATATAAGGCGCAGCGCAAGGCTGGCGAATCACTGGCTGTTGTTACTTCGAATCTGGGAGGCCTCAGTAGTACAGGACGGATCGACAGCGCCAAACGCCGTCAGCTTATGGGGGCTGAACCCAACCATTTGCTGCTGAACGGCAAGACCAGGGCGGGCCGTTGCCACAGGTATTGGGGAATACATCTTACAAATGTTCCAATGAACCCCTCTCCTAATACTCCTCCTCTTCTCACGCGACAGAACCAACTGAAGATCGGCCGAGTCCACGGGGCTATTTACTTGGGGCCATTTACTTGGGGTCATTTACTTGGGGCCATTTATTTGGGGGCCCTTTGTAAGAGAAGACCGTTCGCATTACTGCCTACCTCGCTAAGGCAGCCTCATATACGAGGCCTCTTTTATCATAAATGGCTGGATGGACACCTCTGCCGTCTAGTGATCCGGCTCACGAGGATTCCCTTGGAGATCTGGGCTCTCCAGGCCTTAGCTATGATGATTACAGAGACACGATTCCGCTCACCGAAAACGACCAGTTCTCGCGCAGACGATCTTCCCAATTATCGCCGACGAATGAAGATGGTCTGGAAAGGCTCAAAGACCGTTCATACACCTCTGCGTCCGCGAGAAGTAGAAAAAGTCATTACTCAACATACTCCGATCTAGACAATCATCAGCACGTATACGACTACCGAAGGACGCGCAATCAGATATTCTTCAAGGGCTTTGGGGAACTCTTACTCACACTCGCACTATGTGCATCTATCATTGGGGCACTATTCTTATACCAAGGACGTGATGCGAGGGACCCGAAGCTATTGGCCAAGTCAGACACGAGAATATTCAATGCACTGATGATAGGATTATCCCTGGCGCTTGGTTTCAACCTTGCGTCATCATTGAAGAGTTATGCGAACATCCTCCGATGGTCTCTGCTAACACGACAGTGGTTCTCTCTCGAAGTTTTCGATCTGATCCTGGGCTGTGCTGGACAGACGAAGCTCATGGAACTTGTATTCGTGTCTTGGCCCTGGCCCCGTGTTGGCATGATGGGAAAGTATCCTTCCAAACGCATTTGGGCTATGGGCCTTTGCTGGCTCACGGTGAATCTGAGTGCTCAGATAGCTGTTGCCGCTCTATCTCTATTCTGGCCAGCGGAACCTTCCAAGGATGGAATCCTTCTACAGCGTGGTAATGTCTCCGTTGCAAACTTCGATCGCTGGGTTGCTGGCTACCGCCAGAACGAGCCTTACATCGATTTTGCGGAGCAAGGCGCGGCTGCCAACGATTGGGGTCGACAGGCGCAAGACTACAAGGAAATGCCTTACACGGGCTTCGAAAACGAAACTGACAGCTCGGAAACTGTCTACTATAAGAGAGATGGCTCAGAAAGATTCTGGGAATACCGCTTTGATGACCGTAGCGTGAACAACATGCATCGGTGGACGAACCGGTACATCAGGGCCAGTGCTACCTGTCAGGAATATGAGGTGCTCGAACAGACGAGCAACTGTACGTGGACAGATAGTGACGACTACACCCACGAGAACGTGGACTGCTTCTGGTATACAAGATACGAGGGACAGCCAAACTGGTCCTATAAACTACCGCCCTATTCCTGGATGGCAGGTGCTACCACGTATATGAGTGAATATCCCGACGGACCCACACCATGTGGAGATCGCTGTGCACACATAGCTATTTACCAACCCAAGGGGGGAGAGATCATCAGAAATGCTTTTGTCGAATGTAATGCGACTCTCAGCGAGATCAAGGACCATGACTCTACTGACAATGACTTCACGAATCTACCTAGCGATGTCCGAGAGAAAATATACATGAACAAAACTACTGCGGCTTTTGGTGCAGGTGCCATTGGGTTAATTGGGTCTTCGCCATGGGGCGCATATTGGGACGCTGTGCAGTACAACCCTGTGCAGCGATGGAGTCCAAACGTCACAATCACCGCACCCATGATGGAAAACTTCGTAACGCGCTTTGCCATCGGTGCCGTCGCTGCATTCAACGACCACGGCCCACGTCTCATAGTTCCAGACCAGCTGAACGCGCCCATGCAAGCACAAACCCTTCAGGTCGACTGGCTATGGATATACGTCCTCGTCGGCGGTATATGTGGCATCCAGAGCGTCAGCTTGGTGCTGCTTATGATATTCGCAAACAAAGCCATTATCCTGGACGAAAGCTCATGGAGTCTGGCGAGATTGCTAATGCCTGTGGTCAAGAAGCTAGGTTCTGAGGGAAGCACCATGTCGGGGAAGGATATCGTTAATGCCAAGGTGTTTGAGGGAGAGAAAATAGCATATGGCGTCAAGACGACAGCGCATGGTAACCGAGTTGATATATTATGGAAAGGCGCAGATCGGTTGAAGCGGACAAGCTTCCAGGCGGGGGTTTATGAATAATGAGCATAGGGGATAGTACAGCATAGTGATTTAGCATACTTTGGACCAATCCGGTCGCCACAGAACTTTTAGCTTCAGCTATTCTAATTTTACTCTCGGTTGAATGAGTTCTATTGTAAAAAGGATTATATGCAATTTCGGTCATATAAAACGCAATAAACTTCAGTCGTAACTGCTCGACAGGACTGTCACTTGCTTAACATACTCATTTCACCGTTCTAATCGGCTTTATTCAAAGCTGTTGACAACTGTATTCATTAGCTACTAGGTTGGCATTAAGAGCCACTCAGCATCATCCTTCTATAGTCTCTTTTTCTAGCGCAAGCTACTTTGGTTCTGCTTCGATTAGCATACCAATTAGATTTCGGCAAGCAAACATGTGTCATATCGCCCAGGGGAGCAAGTTATTTCGACACATGCAGATGTGCCTAGTATCAAAAAACGAAGCAGATAGAGATGATATTGGTCTACGTTTATACAGCGATCAGCTCAAGATTAGTTCCCACGCTCGTACCTCTGGATGTACATTCTAAATGGTAGAGATCGTCTCAGCAATTTATGCTTCTTTTGATTATGCCGTGAGTAAAGCCACATGAATGTACTTGGGGGAACTTCCGAATCTTACATTGGAATGGAACAATCACCCAGATTGACGTCCATCCTGTACAATTACTGTTATACAGAATAGTCGTAGATTCATGTAGCGAAAGGTAAGCCATGAATACGGCACGAGTAGTTTAGACAAAGACATGGACGAAGTGTAAGTAGAACATTTTCATAAAGATTTTCATCATACTCAGTCTCATAGAGTCTCTATCTAAGTGTCATAAACAAATGGAACATTGTAACCTCCCAAAGGTATCATTCTGTCCAACCTCGCGCCTCGGCGCGGGTGCGTATCTGGCGTCCCCAGCCGATCTGACCGAACGGTCTCTGTCCTCGTTCTGTGCAACTTGTGACCATATCAAATCGATCCACGTGCGTTGTTTGAGTAAAGTTCAAGAGATCGAATTACTCGATCCCCAACATGAGAATCATCATTCAGTGACCACGAACAAAGTCGTTGATCTGGCGAAGCAAGTACACCGGTGCATGCGCCTCCTCGGTCTCAACGTTCAGCGAGTAGTTCAATTGTGCGCGCTTGTTTGCACGGTGCGTGAAGCTCAAGGCGTGGTTGATTTGCTGAAGGAGGTGGGCGGCAGGAGGTGCGGCGGCGGTGATAGGCTCTGCAGTGTCATAGTCGGAGCTGTGGAACGCCTTGTTGATCTGCTGGAGCAAGTGTGCGGCAGGAGGCGCGGAGGCCGTGATCTCCTCGGCAGCAGACTTGTCGGTATGGAAAAAGGTGTTGATGTTACGGAGAAGATCGATAGCTGGGGGCGCGAGTTCCGCCTCAACTTCTGGTTCCGTAGCAGCGGGAGCGACCTCAGGCTCGACAACCTCAATGCTCTGGCGACGGGACACAGCGGGAGTGTCCATTGGCGTGGGGGCTTGAGTGAGACCAGGGGTTGGCATGATGGAGTCTACGGCAATAGCGGTGTGGCGCTTGATGGATGGTACACCGAGGGCTTGGTCGCGGGAAATGGATTTAGTGATTGCATCGTGAACCTGTTGAAGGAACAGGGGCGATGCGTCAGGAGCGGTCTTGACTTTTGAGAGGTCCATGGATGTGCGAGGGCTGTTTTCAAACATGGAATCTGTGATGACCCGGGTAAGGGCGAGAGGAGATTGGACGGCGGCCATTGTATGTAATGCTGGCTATGGGAAAGTTGTTTTAATGTTTTGATGTATCAAAGCGAAGCAATAAGCTTGATAGTAGATGATAGAGGTGTAGAGATGTTGTTGTGATGTTGTTTGGATGCTGTGTTGTGATGCTGTATGAGAGATCCGAGAATGCTCAAGAAGATATATACAAACACACAGGAGTCCGTCTCCGGACGCAGAGGCCAGCAGCCGCAGACCTCATTTCCCACCGATTACCACAAATAGCTATTTCGGGCACGTTGCCACACACGCATGCAGCAATACGGGCGAAAGAGACATGAATGATAAATTTCTCAGCTGTAGTTGCTCCGGCTCCGCCCGCCAGCGTTCGTCAATGATTCAGGGTTGATCCGTCGCCGACGGTGTGCAGATGACCTCGGCAACGCTGTAGGGCTGGTAGTGAACATCACCCAGCCCAAGAGAAGTATCGCGCACTTTAGCGGAGCCTTGGCGTTTACCAAAAATAGCAATCAACACCAAACGGCTGGCATCTGCTGGCGGCGTATTCGTAACAGCCTTGCGAATGTCGAGACGCTACTACAAAGGAGTCGTCTAAGGACGCGCGTTCTTGTGTATCTGTTTTTAGAAATGCCACATGAGCCCGGCATGAGAAGTATTACTCTTGGTGTAGGTCGAGAATTGTTTGCGAAATGTATGATTGTCATGCCGAGGCTGACAGCCACCTGATCATGGAGACCAGGACAGCATCGGAGACGGAGACGGAGACGGCCATCCACGAAAATGGTACGGGTCTCCCACCACGGCTGTAGTCAGTTAGTCCTGCAAATCTTTTCAGGCAGATCACGTTGTTCATCCCTGAATAGAACCGTTGGGACTTGTTTAGATTGCCTCCATTGCTGCTTCCGTTCGCAGGCGATTGTCGGGTCTCGAGGGTTTTACACATCTAGCATTTGTGGCATATGGGCCGTTCCACGCGCGCTGGAACACCCGCCCGCTACCCGCTCATTGATCATCAGGGTCGTGGCAATAAGACTTTTGATGCTGACTCTTGGGCAGAGCGTCCTTGAGTCTGTTGCTGTCGATGTAGTATACATGCTCAATTTCTGGTAAGCTCTGTTGGCCGGCTCCGCTGTTGCCAATCCATTGTGCTCGGCTCTCGCGCATTCGAACCGTTGCCGCAGAAATTGTCCACATGAAGGTTTCATTAAAAACCTCGTTAGCATGCTTTTAGCTTTTGAGTTTTCTGCGACTGCTTTTCCTTGTGGCACCCCTGGGCAGTTCGTTGAGCTCCTCACTAATTTCAGCTTTGCGTTTTTTACTCTTTAGACCGTCGGTTGGGGTGTCTTCTTCCTGCTTGTCTTCGTTATCGCCGGCCGACTGGTCCACAGCATCCACATCTTCCTCTTGACCTTCAGCATCAATATCCACTTGTTCTTTTCCCAATACCCAGGCAACCCTTTCCGCGTCCAGGGCACTGACATTCAGCCTCTTCTTTAGCAAGTCGAATTCTTGAACCAGCATCTCATAATGCTTTGCGTTATAGTCAATCTTTCGCTGCCAGCCGCGTGTACCCGCTTTACCAGGCTTATCCCATAAACACCATCGAAAGAGCTCGTCAGAAAAGAAAGGTATAGCATCTGGCCGGTATATGCTTAACAGAAGACTTCCAGTCGCCGGCCCAACACCGGACAGCCTTGTTACAATGGCCAGCGCTTTAGTAACGCTTACATCTTCGCTTTCGAGATCGAGATGGGCGAATGCCTCCTTCGTGGTCCTCTCAATAGCCTCGTCACTATTGCCACGAACAAGATTCAATAGCTTTGGACGGAAGGTACCATGTTTGAGCTTCCATTCGACAAGCTGCACTACCTCGCTGGGATCGAGTCTGCGGTCTGGCCGGTGTGTGAGAGCTTGTGGTAGCGTGCTATAGCGGAAGCGATCGAGCTCAAGTAATTTTGAAGGCACGTAGGTTTCGTATCGTGAAAGAATATCATTGAAGGTTGCAAGTGCAATCGAGTTCGTCTCATATGACGGCATCTTCAGTCTAGGGGTGCGCAATTGCTTTGCGCCAGGCATTTGAAGCTCCGGCGAAGCTTCCCCACTGCCCGGCTCCACATACCAGCAGTAGGTCCGAGCAAGCTACGAATCCTGTCATACGAGACACCTCTCATTTCAACAATGCCCAACACCACCGTCTTCGTACCTTTTAATTCCTTCGTAGTTGACCATCAATCAACATCACTGCCTTTAACCTGAATTTGTAGCGTCCTTCATTTTCCAATCGCCAACATGCCCAAACTCTCTCCCCTCGTATCAGCCTGCGGCATGGCCCTCACGCTCAATTGCGTGTCCAACGTCATAGCCCAACGCGTGCGCGCATATCGCAACAGCGAACCCTTCGTTTTCGATTCCACGCTCTTCCTGCAATTCCTCGTCGTCGGCGTTATCACCACGCCACCAAACTACCTCTGGCAAGGCTGGCTCGAGAAGACGTTTCCTGGCTGGAAGCTGGTTGCTAAGAGCGATGTGGAAAAGGGCATGGCTGGCGCAGACGTCGAACTAGACGAAAAGAGCGAGAAGAATGAGAAGGGGTACCAGCATAAACGAGACGAGAGCTTTGGAGACAAAGTTAGAGTACGAGACTGGATGAACATTTTTAAGAAGTGGTTCACGGATTGCATCACGCTTGGAGCTATCTTCAACACGGTCGCGTTCCTGGTGCTGATGGGGATCCTAAAAGGCAAAAGTGGGCCTCAGATTATGACAGATATCCGCACTGTGAATACTCCCTTCATGTTGCGAAGCCTGCAGCGCACTGACGCCTAGATAGGAGACATGGAAAATCATCTATAATAGCTACAAAGTATGGCCGATCGCCAATTTTGTCAGCACCACATGGATTCCGGTCGAGAAACGTATCGTTTTCCTAAGCTTCTGCGGTGTCCTTTGGGGGATTTACATGAGCATTGTCGCTGGTGACTTGTGATTATGAACCAATCTTTTTAGTATCACAAGCCTCATGCGGCGATCTGGAGATAGTATCATCAAAGCTGTATTAGCATGTCATATGTGGGTATCGGATATTCGAGCTACATAATCGACAGGACGACACCATCATTTACATCGTACCGCACAAACACCTATGTTGGCCTTCCGTTCTTATATCAGGAGCCTTCCGTGCCAATTCGATAGAGCTCTAGCTTTAAAATCATGGCGTTTAGACCGATCAACCTTGGTCAAAAGAATGACTTAATCGTCTACTAGATCACATCAGTGGTTACAAACGCGTCTAACTCTCAATCTGCAAGCCGTTCGACTTCTGTCTTGCGGCGCTTCCGTGTTCGCCGTTCGAGGGCCGAATTTGATGGCGACTCCTGGGGTGTGTCAATTGTGTCACTGAACAGCTCAGAATAGGATTCGAGATCTTCGATTGCCGTCTCTTCGAGTGCGAAGGAGAGCCCTGTGTGTAATTGGGGAGGTTGTGATGTTACTGGAGTCTGGCTAATTGCAGGCTGCGGAACACGCTGTGGTGGATTGTAGGAAGCACTACGATTGTCCACAAGATTTCGGACCACATCTTCCACCGTCGATAGGGCTTCCGCGGTGCGTTGCGCCTTGATCTGGACCGGATTGTCGCAGGCGGGTGAAGAGCTTTCCGATCGATCAAGCGCCGAAAGAGGACTCCTCTCTCGGACCCTCGAGCGTTGTTGGAGTATGCTATCAAGAGAGGGGAGCGGTGATGACTTAGGAGCGGAGGCATTCGGAAGCACCTCGGTCTTGCTCGGGCTCATTTTACGATGTAGTATTTTGTAAGGCAATTCCGCCACAGCTGTGATGCCCTTTGCAGAGCGAAATTTGATGATGATTTCAATCCACTGAGATCCGAATTGTTCTATCTTTTTCGGACCGATACCCTTAAGTTGACTGAGATGTTCTAATTTGGTGGGCTGGAAAAAGGCAAGATCCTGGAGAACAGTATTCGGTGCGACCATGAATGCCTTGTGAAATCCGTGCGCTGACTGCTGCTTGAACCGACAGCTTGCTAATTCGCCGTATAGCTGGCGCTCTAACGGAGTCAGGTCCGGACGAGCGTCCCTTGTTTTCTCCTTGGGCTGACGTGCTCTCTCCTGCGTGTTCGGGGCGCCCGTCTGCGGTTGAGAACCGTCTTCCGTCAGATTAATCACCTGATGTTGTTCCACGGACGACTCTCCGTATATCTCGGCTTTCGGCGGTTCAGGAGCCGGCCAAAATTCCTCAGCAGACAGAGCTGTTCCCCCAGCCTTCCCCGGCATCAGGCGTAAGCCCTTAATACGAGAAAGTCCACCCAGAGCGTCCGCATCATCGCACAGAAGCGGTAACCCGGGCACAGGGTCCATCTCCGTCCTCTTCGCGTCCATGCAGTGATATAACACGAATCCGGCATATGCATCGTTTGCAGCATACTTCTGCTGCTCGAAGCTCAGCGGCCGCGGATTGTTCCAGTGGCTCGTCCTCACATTGCCCTTGTAAAGCTTCAACCCCATGATTTCTTGGACCTGTGTGTCAAAAGCCACGAGCTTTGTGGATAGCTCCTTTAGCCCCTTCTTGCGCTTCTCCTCGTCCGTCGTGCAAAGATGCTTTCCGCCAAACTTCACAAGCCGATATAGCCGGCTCAATTCAAATCCTGCGCGTGGTTTTAAGTCGAAAGACTTCCTCAGACGGCTGAAGTCGGCATTCATCACCGCCACACCAACCTTCACAATCTTTGCACTTTCCAAAATAGTCCTCAGTGTAGGCGCAACGATGTCCGCTACAGTGCTCCCTTGATGAGCTGCAACGTGAAACACAGCGATTTTGCTCTCACACGCAAGCTGGATCACTGAGATCTCGTCTTTGATCGTATGGCGGCGTTTTGGATCGCCTTGCCATTCCATATCGAAGCCAAGGATGGGCTCGTTCATGAACATCTGCGCGACTTCTTCAGAGCGTTTTAGGCTCGTGCAGTAGAATAATGTGGGGGATTTACCGCTCGGATAGCGGAACTGTGAGTAATTAAACCAATCGCCGAGCTTGCGCGGGCGTTTGCATGTTAGTGGCCATTTGAAGGTATATCCATCGTTGGTTGAGGAGGTTGATGTTTCTGGGGCATTAGTCTCGACGAGTGTCGTTTGTATCATCTTGGTGCTTGGAGGGGAGGGCCCAATTTCGGGAGGCTCATCCAAGGCTGCCGATATCTCTAAACGGATCCAAACGGGCAAATATATCCAAACTTGCAATGGCTTTTCTATGTCAACTTCGACGATATATGAACGTTGCAACGCGTCCAGTCGCGTGCCTGTTGAGTGGCCTACACACAGTAAACAGAGTGGCGATATCGGCCAGAAATCTCGAGGTCTCTATCAGCCGCGATTAACCGCACATGGCACTCTTGAGGTCAAAGAACGATGTCTATTACACCCTTGGTACAACTAGACACACAAATATCGATGAATGATGTTGTTGATGATTACTAAGTTCAGGTGGTGAAATGAGGGAGCGTTATACCAGTGGATGCCTTGGGCTGCCTGCTGGTGATGCAAAGCCACTAGTCCATGCAAAGCCACTTCCTTCTTCAGCCACCATCAATCCTTTTCCAACATCATCCAATGATCATAGCGCGTAGCCGAGATCCTGCAGCCAAAGTACCGGCTGCAGAGTTTGCATCAGCACGACGCGTCCTGTGTCTCGGCTCCAGCACGGTCAAATGTGGATTATGACGATTCATCACACACATCAAATAGCGACGTTGAGTACGAATACGGCCCTTCAGTGCTAGAGGTGTCATCCATGCTACTGTCTCGCTTAAGTGATGCGGCACTGTGGCCCAGTCACCGCCAGATATACCGAAAATAGCATCCCGGCTCACCAATTTGGCTTCTCAAGTTTAGCAGGATGGTTTGACTTTCCACGTCATATGAAAAGCGCCGAATATTGATGTATTCTATTACCATTCTGAAACAGGCCCAATCAGATCATATTTTCAAACATTTGCTGATTATTGAGTCGTGTCGTTGCGATTGGCTGCATACACACATGTCGTTCTTGCTGAATACTTCCAGACGATGATGAATGCAATTCCATGATCCATGATGAGGAAGCCAGGGCGGGTGCAACGTTGATCCCTATAATACTGCAGCTTTGTCTGGCGGTGGAGCTTGCGGCACAGCACCATGGCTTAAATGATTGTTCATACAGTCACAAAGTTGCCGGATCTCTATGATAGTCAAGGGTCTGGGTATCAGATCTTAGGCCTTGCGATGCACATGTAGCTTCACAAGAGGCTCTCTCGGCTGAATTATTGTGGTCTCATGTCGTTCAGAAAAGTGCTCAGAAACTAAACAATATAGCCCATAACATTTACAACACACTGAATACACTACTCTCAAGCCTCACGTACGGCGTGTCGCTACAATGTTCAGCTTACCCTGTTTGGAGAACCAGAGATTGTTTGTTGTCCATGGCTCCTCGTGTGCCATCTTGATGTCAAAGTTCAACAGCACAGTCGGAACCAACTTATGCAGTTCAGCCAAAGATATCTAAGATTCTGGTCAGTATAAAGGTTCGGGTCATCCTTGGACAATCTCGCTTACATTTTTGCCAATGCATGTACGCGTACCAGCGCCAAAATGTAACATGTGCTTGTCCATGTTGGTCGCATTTTCTTCGAGCCATCTCTGTGGTCTAAACTGATCGGCATCTTCGCCAAAAACGCCCTTGTCATAATGGATGACGGCTGCGTTTAGTCCGACACGGTACCCTTCTGGAATGTATGTGCCAGCAATTTGTAGACCACCCCGGGGTGCGTGGCGCGGCATCGTTAATTGTACGCTGGGATGAAGACGCATTGCTTCTTTAATTGTAGCGCATAGTAGTGGCAGCTTGTTAGCTTCAGCAAATTGGACGGGGTTACTGAGCTCGCCCTTGGCTGCAGCTGCGTCAAGTTCGCTCTGGGCTTCTCTCATGACTGCTGGATGCTTCATCAGGTAGTAGAAAGTGGCCCTCAGGGCTATAGCGGTGGTATCACTACCAGCGAATCTGCAATTGTTAGCTGGGTCTACCAAGGATTCTCCACGTCTTACAAGGCGACATATGCCTCAAGCTCAATCTCATGGATCCCGAAGTCGAGCTTTTCACCCTTCTCCCTCATAATATCGAAAAACTGTTGCAGTAGGTCCTGTCGTTGAGGGACTCCAGGGTCTTTGCTGACCTCAAACCTCTTGGCTCGGTCTGATACACAGTGTTTTGCGGCCTTGACAATGTGATCGATAGCCTTGAGAGCATGACGCGCTGCAGGAATAGTGATCGCTGAGCAAAGAATCAAGGGTCGGACATAGGATGCGGATACTGCTGTGACGCAAAGAGGCGGCATAAGGGTATCCAATGATTTGATCCAGGAGTCATGGTCTTCACTGTTCTTCATGAAGCCAAACTGATCCGCGTAGAACAGCTCTCCGATGACGTCGAAAGCATACCTGACTTGTTAGTCAAACGCACATATCGACCGGAGCTTTCTCAAACATGCCATTGAGACCATTCACCAAGGTCGAACACTTTCGCTGCATCCACATACTCCCCCAATCTCTCACAGAACAGCTTAGAACACCCATCAATGAACTTCTCACTTTTGAGCACGCTCGACAAGGAATACACCTGGTTCACGATCCTTCTCCGAGTAGAATGCACATTCTCGTCCAAGACGGAAAAGTAATCTGGATGCTTGCTAATTCCGGGATTACCCCATACTGAATAGAAATCGCTCTTACGGAGAGGATTCTGGGCGCGATATAGCATCTTGATGGCGCTTATATCCGCGCAGGCAACCTCATTGGGAGCAATGCGAACGAGTGGGCCATGCTGGGAGTGTAGCCGCCTCTGCGTCTTCTCCATGTCTCCACTCAGGATCTGCTTCACGTACCAGGCCCGGCTGATAGACGCCCAGAACGGCCCTGGTATCGCGGAAAGCGGATGTAGGGTCCTGGCATACACGATCCATACGACCCAGTAGGCAACAAAGGCACTGGGTAGAATGACGCCGAGCCATGTCCCGAGGGTGTAATTGGGCACGAGGGTGAATAGACCCATAATGTTTGAAGTTGTACAAAAGCAAAGAAGGAAAGCGAGAGTCGCCAGAGATGTGCGGGCAAGGAGAGCAATAATGGCGAAGTTGGCGGGCAGTCGATGCCGCAGTTAATATACGCACCCAGTCCCTCGGGCTGAGTCGCCGCCCTTTCTGCAACAGGCATCAGAATCGCAAATATGTCGAGGATGTTCCTTGAGACGCTACCAAAGGAGGATGTGACAATCTGATGCCCCTGATTGGCTATCAGACGCTAGCCTCTGCGCTTGTTCGTGGTTGTACATAGTACCCATCACACGCCAGCGTCCGCTGTGATTGCCGCAGCTAGTACACACGTACCCACACCTAGTACTACATATATGTCTCTGGCTGAGAATTCGAGGCTGGGGGGCCTTCTCTTGGCTTTTTAAACAGGGCTTATTGATAATTGATCCTCTGATAACGATCTGATTAAAGTATCGCAGCTGAAGAAAGGCTCTACGAACGTCTACTTACACATTTCCTGGTAGTATGCCTGCATAAAAAAACGAGGAAGAAGACGCCCCGGTAGCTTCAGCTCATCACTCAAGGGTTTACATTCCTAGCTCATAGTACACCCACGCGGGACAGGCTACGCGATACTGGAAAACGTGTCGCCAAGCGGCTGTGTGGTACCAGACGTGTGGTCAGCCCCAAGCAAGCGCCGCTACCTAGTCCTTGTGTGAAGAAGGACTCCGAGTTGTGCTTCCACGCCGCACGAATCAGGGGCGTTGTCGGCCGAATGTGACATGGCTGAATTGGTCCTAAACGGACATCCGAGCTCGAGGCTTTAGTGGGTGCGGACAAGGGCACTGCAGAAGGAATGGGTATGTCTTTTTACTAGTGCGCTAGTCGCAGAAGCATTATGCATACTATAGTAGTATGGCCGGTATGAGAGGGGGCGTAATACTTGACACTCAGGCCAGTTATCAGCCAAGGGTCATTCTGCTTCTCTCAGACCATACTTCCTTCAGGGTCTGCTAGGATCCGAATCTAAGTGCCTTATAAACAAACAATAAATTATGAGTGAACAGCCAAGGGCTTGCCCCACTATACCGAGTACTATGTATTCATCCGGTTAGCATAGTACGTAGCCCAACGGCCCGAAGCCGTTGTCAGTCAACATAGCGCCCTTGTTGCCTTGATCGCAGACATGACCGTTCATTCGCCCTGCCGCTGGGAAGTGGCCACTGGTCAGTGATGACTTTGACAGTAGTGACAGCAGTCCTATGTGTCCACTCATATGAAACAGCCGTATCTCAGGATACCTGTGATGAGGCAGGGGTTGATAGAGGGATGAGAGACTGTGGATACCGCAGTGCTGCGCACGACTCACGGGCCACGCCCAACGTCCGCTCTGGGGAACTCGCACAACTTCGCACCAGATTAAGGTCGACCAGCATCCCCCTGTTGCTGCGACAAACTTTCCCCCGGCCCGGCATGCTTCCTGCACGAGCGCAGAATTCTTTCTTTGAAAATTGCGTGAGTCTGGAATACCACCTCGAGCACTTGTCGTGCCAGGTTGCTTCCTTTGGCGGAGAAAGCAAACATTCCTAATTCGCCCCTATCGGATATGCTTCCTCAATTTTGTGGGCTTCTCTGACGCACCATCGTACATGTCGACAAGTATATACTGGACTCCGAGCTGTATATATTCTCTCTCCGGCACCAGCAGGTCTTGTGTTACCGGAGAAGCTTCCACGGAGCTTCGTCATTTAAGGTGCTCTTCAGCCTCGAAGCAATTGTCTCGCACTGCTATACCTTCACTCTCTGACTCATTTTCGTTTGTTCACTCACAATGAGGGCTACCAATTTTATCTGGACGCTTGCTTTGGCACTGGCAGTTCAAGCACAACAACTATCTCCGTGCGCGGTAAGTATACTTCCATCCCAACCTGGGCGAGCTTTACTAAATAATAGCAGACAACATGCTTGCAGACATCTATGTCTCACAACACCACTTGCGGGCCTACAGACATCCCATGTATCTGTTCGGATACAGGCTTGCAATCTGCCATCGAAGTCTGCGTCCTCTCAACATGCACAATCAAAGAGGCTCTAGGTATGGCTTACCATGCCTTTGTAATGCCGAGCTCTAATTAACACGTACAGTGGCCAAAAACTCCAGCATGACCCTTTGTGGAGCACCCATCCGCGACCTGACAGCCATAACACCCATCGTCACCGGCGTGTCTGGCGGTCTTGCCGTCATCGCTGTCTCAGTACGCACATTCTCCGTTGGTAACATGATCCACGCCGACACTGTGTGCGCCATCATCGCCATCTTATCCGCTTTTCCGATGGGCGTCCTCGAGATGATCATGTCCCACGACGGCTTTGGACGCGACATATGGACCCTTACTCCCGATAAGATCACACGTATCGTAAAATTCACCTGGCTCACGGAGATCTTCTATTTTATCGCTGTGGCATTTACCAAGATGTCATTCCTGTTCCTGTATTTGCGCATCTTTCCGGCGCAGCATATCCGGCGGGTTGTGCATGTCCTGATTGGATTCTGTATTGCGTACGGCTTGAGCTTTACCATCGCCTGTATCTTGAATTGCTTGCCGGTCACGTATATCTGGAACAAATGGCACGGAGAGACCACTGGGACTTGCATCAACTTTAACGGATTTGCGTGGGCGCATGCGGCCATCAATATCGCGAGTGATCTGATCATTCTCTGTCTGCCTATCCCGGAACTGCTCAAGTTGAGCATGAACAAGAAGAAGAAGTTCTATGTCATCATCATGTTCAGCATGGGCTTCTTGTAAGTGACCCTTCCCTTGTCTGATTTCTCCTCACTCTCCTAATCAATATCTTTTGCAGCATCACTATCGTCAGTATCATTCGCCTGCGATCTCTCATCATCTTCGCCACCACTCCAAACCCTACCTACGACGCCGTACCCACTGCATACTGGTCCGTGCTCGAGTGCTATGTTGGTATCATCTGCGTCTGTCTTCCGTCCATCCGCGTGCTGCTTAGCCGCGTGCTGCCCTCCATCTTCGCCTCTACGCAGCCCGAATACGAGTACTCGGACACTCCAATCAAGAGCTCTCGCAAGAAACCTTCGCAACTCACCGATTTCAGTATTACGAAGACCATCGATGCGACTGTTACGAGCGTGCCGCGCGGTGATGGCGAGCGGTTTGGTGGAGCCGGATTTGTGAATGAAAGAACGTATGGGAACAATTACGGAGGGGTATATGGCGAGGATGGGCTGCAGCTTGTAGAGTTCGATGGAGTGAAGAAGGCGTTCGAGGGCAAGGGAGAGAAGGGCGACAAGGGCGAGGGAACGATCAGTCTGGGCGACCAGGCAAGTCGGCGGAGCAGCCAGGGAGCTACGGAGGAGGAAATAAGGAAATTGTGAGTGTTGTGGACGGAGAACTCGCGCAACTTGCCTCATGAGTTACGGCCGTCATGACTACAGAACTTGTATTTCAATTGTGTATATGCGCCGCCTTGAATTGCGCGCAGACACCCCCTTTGTACTATATGCCTAACGGCCTACCTGGAATGGAAGACAAAACGTAAAATAATTGTTTATTGAGTTATGATATTTTTACTGTAGAGACAGAAGGCGGCTCACGGATGCCCTCATCATCAATACTATCCTAATCGATCGAAACCATCACTCATCCTCGATCGTCTGATAGGAAACTGGAGGTATCAGCGTCAGGCCTACCAAGCAGGCATCCCTTGCCGCCACATTTGCCATTCACAACCACATCAAAAGCCGACTGGCGCTCAGGGTACGCGGCACCCACGATTGCAGGGCGTAGTTTCACCAACGTGCGATCGCAGGACTACCACGGCAATCGTACCATTTGCCGCGGTCGTTATCAGCCAGCACGAGGCTAGACCAGCAAGTAAACCACCCTGGTCCCTGTCAACCTTTTGGAATCGGGCCGTGCGACCGCCCGTGGGGATCCATTGTGACACTGGAACGAGATCAAACCAGCCCGAGTACTTCTTTTGACGCCATAGCTTCGTATCAGGTAAGTTGTTAGTCCGTTGTCATCCTGGTAGAAGGATTGTACTACTCGTCCTAATGACCTGCCCCGGCCCTCCCGCGCTTAGATAACGACCGGACCGTCCATTACGTTTTGCGACTAACTCTTCAGGCCTTGGACATCACGTAGGACAGTTTGCTGCAGCAGCAGCAGCAGCAGCAGGGGCAGCGTCGATGCTTCTGCAGTCAGGGACGGAGAATTATGATGCAGGTCTACAGCAAAGCCGCGGCATGCGAGATGGTGTACAGGCGGGCGGACATCCCACAGCACCACACAAGGCTGCCCGTAAGGTAAGAGTTAGCGATGCTGCAGTACTGGCGGTAATTAGTGGACGTGTGATATTGCCGAACCCTTTCGTCGGAACCGTCTAAACAAACTGGGGAAAGACGGGAAGTCGGGGGAGGTTGGGAAGCGGTCCGTCCAGAGCCAATGCAAGCCTCTTTTACTAGGATTGTTGTGGTGATGGTGTGCGGGACGGAATCTAGCACTGCCGTAGCGCACCGTAGCCTTTATTGAAGCGAAGTAGGGCGCCTGGACGGGAGCTGTATTGAATAGGTCGGATCACGAACATGAGATTTGGCGATATTTGTGGATGGACTTTTGTACCGGCCAGTTGGTGAACGGACATGGTTGATCGTGCATACATACTCCACTGCACGATCGGTTTGCACTACAGCAGTTCCGACGCAGCATCTTTCCAGGGCGTTGGAGCTGGATGAACGACTGTAATCTTCTAGATACAGTAATTACGTCTATGATTGTGTCGAAAGGAGAGGAGTGCATATGCAATACAGGCTTGAGTATCACTTGTTTGTTCAAATGCGTATGTGTGGCGTATCAGTATCACAGCTAGCGCGAAATGCAGCTTTTCATGATTGGAAGTTAGAGCAGATCCCTAGTAATTACTGAACCGCTTCACTTTCTAGTCCTTGACAACGGCCGGGGCGGCCCTCGGCGCGTAGATGTCCCCGATATGGGTAATGCTTCATGGGGACTCCCTGTAATACGGTGCCGTTGCCATTGCTATCGAACTGCTCCGCGGCGTGGGATGAACGAGGATGGTCACAAGGCCGTATACCAGCACTAAGGGTTCGGAACGACTGTTCCTTTGCTGGGAGAGTCCGTTGATTCATGAACCTCGAGCTTTGGTTGGAACAATCGGAGAATGGGTGCTAGCTCCAATTGAGTGTTGCATACGTTAGGGATCCTACAAGCTGCTCCCCGCAAACTGGATAGCATCCCCCATATCACTGAGCATGCGGGCATCATGAGATGGAATCATGATGGTTCAGAGTGAAAAGAAGATGATAGTTCAGAGACGACAGAATACAGAATAGATGTTATGGATCGTATCTGGACTAGCGTGTTTTCCAGCTGAGCAATGACGCGCCACAGGGTCAAGCTTCCGACTTTTCACGACAACAAAGGCATGTATCTTCACCCATGACATGTTCTCAGTCTTGTGTGAAGGACTCATGCTAGAACTGCGGATGCACCGACCTTGCCAGAATGTCCTCACCAGATCTTGGCCTTCCAGCGGATATTGAGGCTCTCGCCAACGCTCGCTTTGAAGAACTCCACGCCAAGGGTCGCATTCTGTATGAGCCGACAGTCCCGGAGTATCTAAAGCACGAAGGCTTCCATTTCGAATTCCGAATATGCCCTTTCATCAAATCGAAACCCATCCAGGGACCGGACGATGATGCACGAGACAAGGCCAAAGGACCGTTCGTGAACCCAAAGTCCGACGAAGTTCTCTGCATATTGCACAACTCGACCGGCTGGACGCACCGCGTGATGCTCAACAAATTCTGCATGTTCAAGCCGATGCTACTAATCACCACGTATGATTTTGAACTGCAGAGTGATCCTCTGAACAAGAGCGATGTCGTCGCGCTCTTCACGACCATGAATTCCATGAAGACGCCTCAACTAGCCTTCTACAATTGTGGCGCACACTCCGGTTCCAGCCAAGGGCACAAACACATGCAACTCTTCCCCAAGCCCGACGAAACCAAGTTCCCGCTCTTCCCTTCCCGCGCCCATCCAGGACACTCTCCGCATACGCATTGTAGGTGAGCATCGCATCGTACCCGGGGACTCAAAAAATTTAACTTTTGGACACAGACATCCAGACTGATATAGAGCACGTTCCGTTCATGCACTTCGTCAAACGCTTCCCTAAGGACGCCGATATCAACGACGTCTACGCAGCATACAAGCATTGTCTCGACCAGTGTCTGGAAGCACTGATTGAAGCCGGTCAAGGGACAGATCACAATGTCATCATGACCACCGAATGGGTTGCGCTTATCCCGCGTGCTGTGCAGAAGAATGACGGACCCTGGGGCGCCAACGCCATGGGCATGATCGGTATGATCGCGGTGCGTGACGCCAGTGAAAGAGAGCAATGGGCCAAGCTAGGCTACTCGGATTATCTGCGCCAGCTTGGTTTGCCGCTGAAGATGTTTCCGACGGCCGAGCAACGGTGGAGGTGGCATAATGCGGTTCGCCAAGAGGGCCAGAAGTGGACATACGCTGGAGTGAGAAGCGAGAAGTAGTTGGAATGCTGCGCAATACTTGGGCTGGGCTCTTGGAAAACATAATGAGCAATAGCGAGTCGTGAAGACGGGACAGGACGTCCAAAAATAGCCTAACCAAACTTTATGATAGTAGACTCGACGGCGGTCTGGAGCTGAATTTTCTTCTCCAGTCTAGTCAACCGTGATCCCATGTCAGCTTTTCATGGGCAGTAGTAGAACACTCCGACTAGAGTAAAAGGAAAGTATAAACCACCTCTTTTGTTACCTGACGCTTGAATCCCAGCTAACAATTTGGACAGATACCCACGAAAAAAGAAAAAGAATGATGACAAGAGTGGGACTTGAACCCACGCCCCTTTCGAGACCAGGAAACTGCGTTAAGGTGTAGCCTTAACCTGGCGCCATAACCAACTCGGCCATCTTGCCTGATGAAAGTAGCGAGCAAATTATTCCTCCTATGAATGAGCACGCTTGTGGCAGAAAGCGACTGCAGACTACCTGCGCACCTATACTTTAACTATAGCATATTAATAAAGCACTTACTACGCATGCTGTCGTGTGCACCACAGTGGCACACACCTACACTCCGCAAACCATCATCAAAATTCAGCTTGTGCGCTGTGGGTCCCCATCCCAAAACGGCAATCCAACGAACCCCCCGAAGCGAACATCTAACCCACAGTCAAAACACCACCTCCAACAAAACAACCACCACAGCACTCATTATCTTCATGTCGAATCCAAACCTACCCCTCCGCCACCCCCCTCACCAGGCCCTCTCCTCATCCCAACCAAACACAACCCAGGCACCCCAACAATCCCAACCTCCACCCTCCCATCAACCACAAACCCATGCCTCGCATACACCGCCTCGCCATCCACAGTCGTATCAAGCGTGATACTCGCTCCCACACTATCCGCATACCGCGTTCCCTCGCGGATTAGCAGCGATCCGACGCCGCGGCGCTGGAACGCGGGTGTTACGGCGAGGGAGCGGAGGGCTGGGGTTCGACTGGGTTAGCTGGTTGGATGGATGGATGGCACGGGGGAGGGAAGGGGAGGTGGCGTACTGAGGAGTTTGCCGGGGATTCGGCTGTTGAGTGATGCGCGGTGCGCGGCTGTTGTGCTGTCGATTTGTGCGATTAGGGGTTGTGCGGGGGTGTTGTTGTTGTTGATGCTGTCCTCAATCGCAGCAGCATAAGAATACGACCCACCACCTACCTCCCGGATATCCCCTCCATCTCCATCTCTCACATCAGCACCAACACGCTCCGCTCTCCGCACCCACACCGCAATCCCAACAGGCGTGTCCGACGCCGTCTCAACGGCCTTGGAGACCCAGGATCCAGGAGGCAAGCTGGCGAGGAGCGCCTGGAGCTGGGATTCCGCGGTGGCGCGGGTCTCGGGGCTGTTGGGGTTGGGCCAGAGCGCGGATATGTAGATGGAGCGGAAGTCGTGGGCGGGGAGGGTTGAGTTTGCGGAGATGAGGATGTTGGCCCAGGCGGTGAGGTCGGAGGGGGTGTTGTGGATGGGGTGGAGGGTGAAGGGCATGTTTGGTGTTGTGTGGTGATTTGGGGGGGTGGATGTTGAGGGAGGGGTGTTTGGGTAGAGTGTATGGAGGTGTGGTAAGCGGATTGGATATCACTCTGATATGGTCCCTGAAGATCGGCTAAGCCTGATTTGGCGAGCACGATGTGGAAGGCTGAATGCGATGTCGTTTTTGTATATATCGTTGATCAAGCTGACGCGATTGACCAATATCATCAGGACGCTTTGCACGGGACTTACGTTGAACAACGACACTATCGTATCGTTCATATTTAGGGGCTCACAGTATCGAGACATGATGTAGTACCTCAGCATGATAGTATCATCATGCAAACGATGGATTAATCTTACCCGCCGCTCTCTCCAAAACTCTATGTGGAAGGAGGACCTCATAGCAATGCCTGATCCATTCACACACAATGGGTCTCGTGTCCGCCGGATCAATGACCTCTTCAATGCCGAAATTATTCGCTGCTCGCACAGGGTTCATGAGCCTCCTGTACTCCTCATCAAGTTCCTTGTATCTACTCGCCGCAGCTTCCTTCCCTTGGGTTTTTGCAATCTCCCTCAACTCGTGTGAATGGCCGACTTCGATACCACCTGCAAGCGGGAGACTGCCCCATTCACCAGACGGCCACGCAACTCGCACGCGAGGATCTCGACTGTCGACCATGATGCCAGCGGCGATACCGTACGCTCTACGTACGATGACGTTGAAGATTGGGATCGTCGATGTGTAGTAGGCCATTGCCAGGCCAACACCGTGTCTCATTGTCGCTGAGCGTTCAGCGACAGTGCCGATGGCAAAGCCAGGCGCGTCCACGAATTCGAGAAGCGGTATGTTGAAGATGTCCAGGAATTTGAGATGCCTTGTCATTTTGCGGGCTCCAGCTGCGTCTATGGCTCCGGCGTTGACCTCACAGTTCAGCGAGACGATGCCTACAGGGTGGCCGCCGAGTCGTGCGAGTCCTACAATGGCTGTTGTGCCCCATAGGGCTCCGATCTCGAACCAGCTGTCCTTGTCCACGACTGTTGTGATGATCTTCCTCGGGTCATACATGCGTTCTCGTTTGCGCGGTATGATCGTGCGTAGTTCTAAAGCTTTCCGGTCAATGGGATCGTCGCTGTAGCCTAGGACAGGAGGGACCTGAGTGCCATGGTTCGGAAGGTAACTGAGGACTGTACGTAGCTGCTCGAAACATTCCGCCTCGTTCGCTGCGAGATTGTCAATTGTGCCGTTTGTTGCATGCATCGCGGGCCCTCCGAGATCTGTAAAGCTGAGGCCCTCTTCGAATGTGGCACCTTTGACTACCTCGGGACCAGCATTGAACAGCGCACCTACATCGGCTGCCATTACTGAGAAATGACACGATACAACGCGAGCAGCTCCCAGACCGATTGCTGGTCCCAAGCAAGCACCGAGGTTTGGTATGCCTGCGTTGAGCTGTTGTGATATAAAATGCCATCCGGGCATAGGAGGGACGTACGAGAAACCGTGCTGTTTAATGGTCGTCACCGACCCACCACCCGACGACCCATCAACCAGTTTGATAATTGGCAGCTTCATTGAGAGTGCTAGCTTTTCCATGTACACCGTCTTCTCCCAGATCGCTCCATCGGCATGTCCAGCACGGATGGAGAAGTCATCAGCCGTAAAGAGTATCTTCCTCCCCTTCAAAGCACCAAACCCCTGGACATTATTGGACGGCACAAAGTCAACAGGCTCCTCTTTCAGGCTAGTAATCTGCTTCCATTTCACAGTCCCGCTCACACTCCCTACTTCATAGAATGATCCTTCATCGAGCAATTGATCTACTCGTTCGCGCACATGCAGCTTGCCAGCTTGTTTCTGCCGTATATACCCCCTCTTGCTTGTGTCTGGCTTCGCGGCACTGTCCCTCAAGGTCTTGATCTGGCCCAATATATCCGAGTAATCAGCAGGTAGGTCTGAGTCTGACTTCTTGCGACGACTTCGAGGGACTTTCTTCGCGCTGCTGGACTGGGAGACGTGGTTGGCGACTTGGTCTAGGCGGTCCTTGGCCTGGGACGTTGAGCTCGAAGCGCGAGCACTCTGGTCGTCAGCACTGTCTGAGCCCATTGAGGATCTGCCAGCGAACGCTTTCGCTGGGTTAAGTCTCTATACAGACGAAGCGGTACGCCTGGGACGTCGCATCACCAGAAAGTTCCCGTTCGGACAGCTGCTGTAACAGCTTCGACCCGATTGTGCCGAGGCAAAGACCCCAGCGTCATTGCGAGGGGTCGTGCACTCCAAGTCTGAAGGATCACATTGACAGACTTGTCCTTGTCTATATGATTAGTCTATACAGCTCACACCATGCGTATACTGAGTGTGAAGATGAGAAGATACCATTGAATGCTGACGTGAATTCTGCGTCGGTCAAAGCTACGCGACTTCCGTATCGATAGAGACAGGTCCGTGCATCCGAGGACCAAGATGACTGATTCCAAACGCCGTCCGATCAGGAGACTACTGGTAGCAAATAGGTTTGCATCTCTTTATTTTATAAAACACCATTCCTCATAAGCTAAACAAGCAACAGGGGCGAAATTGCAACGAGGATTCTTGCAACATCACGAGAGCTTGATATTGAAACCTTTGCAGTCTACACAAAGGGAGATGCATCTCACACTCGCGGCGCAGACCATGCCGTGGAGCTATCTAGCCCAGCTTCTTACATGAGCATTGATGAGATCCTTGCCGTGGCTAAGAAGCACCAAGTCGATGCCATCCATCCTGGCTATGGCTTCCTGTCAGAATCAGAAGATTTTGCTGCCCGGCTGTGGGATGAAGGCGGGATCGTCGTCATAGGTCCGGGCCCTGAAATCCTATCACGTACTGGAGATAAGCTCAAGGCGAGAGCTCTAGCAGAAGAGTGTTTGTCTCAATTGTAAATTCAAATTATTTTGTATCTGCTGACTCGATGTAGGCAACGTTCCAGTCTGCCCTGGTATCCTCGATCCAACTGACAATGTTCAACATATCAAGGAGTTCGCATCGAAGAACGGGTATCCAGTCATGGTAAAGGCTGTGGATGGTGGTGGTGAGTATTCTAAATTCATGTATTCGATGAAGCATCATTGACCTCTTTTCAGGTGGACGGGGTATCCGACTCGTGCGGAATGAATCAGAGCTCGAGTCCAATGTCAAGCGTGCCATTGAGGAAAGTCCTTCGAAGAAGGTTTTCGTAGAACGTGCCGCAATTGACGGGTTCCGTCATATCGAAGTCCAGATCATTGGTGACGGCAGTGGCAATGTTCAACATCTCTGGGAAAGGGAATGTAGTATCCAGCGTCGTTATCAAAAGGTCTGACTACTATGGCTCGTAGATATGTGCGCGGCTTATCAGGCTACAGATCATCGAACAAGCACCTTCCTCATTTAAGGACCGTGCATTGGCGGAGGAGATCATACAAAGCGCCATGAAGATGGCGAAGCATGTGTGTGACAAGAGCCTCACGTTCAAACGGCGTAAGCTAACTATCATCAGGTCAAGTACCTCAGCTTAGGCACTTTCGAGTTCCTAGCTAATCCATCGACTGGAGAATACTTCTTCCTTGAAGTCAACCCGCGTTTGCAGGTCGAGCACACCATTACGGAGTGTATCTCGCTCACAGATCTCGTACGCGTGCAGCTACTTATCGCTCAAGGCGCGTCCCTTGCAGATGTGAACCTACCAGATGTTTCCCAGTCTCCACCTCTCCATGCCATTCAGCTTCGCATCACGGCGGAAAATATACAGAGCAATTGGTCACTCAGTATCGGAAAGATCCAGGACTTTCAGTTTCCCAGCGGTAATGGTATACGTGTGGACACACACCTGCTCAACAAATACCAAGCCGTCGTAAGCTCAGACTTCGATTCATTAATAGCCAAGCTCGTGGTCACCGGCTCTACATGGGAGACCGTGGTGCGTAAAGCAAAGCGAGCGCTGGACGAAACACAGATCAATGGCGTACATACAAATCTTGACGTATTACGCGCGATTGTGGCACGGCCAGAGTTTCTGCGAGGCGAATGCGATACGCAGTGGCTCGAGTCGAACTCAGTCGCTCTTCTAGACGAAAGCAAGAAGATATCTCAGTCCTCTGTGGCACATAGCACACAGCTCTCGTCGAGTCACGCCTCATCAAGTGCAGTAGCCTCAGCTGGCAATATGCTGTTTCGTAAAGGTGATGCCTGGTCACTTACTCTTACACCTCGAGGGCAGAAAGTCGATAGTGACCAAGCACCGCATCATTTAGAGATCGCACGAGTGCTGCGCAATGAGTTTCCAAGCTCCCTTGCAGCGGAAGTGGTGTTTACCACCCCAGGCACCAAGTCGTCGCAAGCAAAACAGGTTCAGTACGCAATGGAGCTCTCGTCGACGACAGCATCGTCTGCAGCGGCGACATCAACACATCGTCGTGGCAATCCGAGTGATCCATCTCACGTAGTGATTCCGTTTCCCGGGAAGCTCGTCGAGGTGCTCGTGGACGAAGGAGACGAGGTGCACAAAGGAGATGTGATTTGCGTGGTTCAACAGATGAAGATGGAGCTAGAAGTGCGATGCAGCCGCTCTGGCAGAATCACATGGATGCTGGAAGCTGAAGAGGGTGAAGAGATTGGCGAAAATACGCTGGCATGCATTGTAGAGCGACAAGAAGGTGCTCGGCTCTGAGAGTGAGGCAGTATTAAGATTTGTACGTGATGCAACGGGCCGTCTGAAATGACGGGAGCAGGGATTGGAAGCCTCTTACATCGTAGCTGAGATTGAATCTGGGGACGAATGATAAGCAATTTCAAGGCTCCCTGCAATCAAAGCATAAAGATGACAGCTTCACAGCGGGGCTCAGTGCTCAGGGCTCGGGGAGAAGCGCGGGTGTACGAGCTTTTTTTTTTCCACCCGGTGACAGCATATATGCAAGACAAGAAGAGAGTGAAGAAATGAGTGTGACAAGTGTAAAAGGTCGTGTCTATAGTGATATCCATGACATGATCAAGTCAAGATAATCATTTAATATGGATTAATAGACTCTTTTTCTTTTCAGGTCCGAAGCGATGGCGCTTGATGGCTGGCGCTTAAAGTAGAGGGCCAAAGGGCGGTCAGAGGGGTATCTGGGCGCCCGGGACTGCCTAAATTCTACTGTGTGTGGGCTGGCTATTGGGGGCCCTTTTGCCCGGTGCAGGGCCTTTTAGGTGCGATTGGGCGCCACTTCTAGCGGGGGTACATTGAGCTCGGGGCTGATGATTGGGGGGCAACAGTCAACTTAAGCTGTTGCTGTCAACCAACCAGCCGCTGTTCTGCCATTTTCTGCCATCTTCTGCCATTTTCTGCCACTCCCCGCCCGCCGCCTGAAACCATGGCGTCCCCCACATAAACAGCTTGGCTCCCCCCTGACTACTACGTTGTTGTTTCGAAACCGTCCAAAGAGTGCTTGTCGCTCTCTCCAGTCGTAATTATGTATTATGTTGCTATCCAATGGCCTATCAATCATGATCGAACAATGGTCACTGCTGGCTGGCCTGCCGCCCGTGCTCCGTGCTCCTCCTTAAGCAAGCTTGTTAGTTGTTACTGAGGTAAGGTTCCAGAGAATTGCCACGCGGTGAATGACTAAGGACCGCCGTTTGCATCGTCGCCTGGTATATTTACAATCTGCAACCGCTTTTCTGTCCTCGTACTTTACCTTCACCTTTCTCCCTTGCCATGTGGCCTGTCTTTCTTTACTGAAGTCTCTGCATCCGCATCTTTTCTTTCACGTTACAGTCACTCTTTTTGCCTTGCAAGCTTGCCTTGCCTACTTTCTTTCCACTGTCCATCGACACTGCTTACCCGCATAACGCTCTAAACGACCTCCTGGGAAGTGACCACTGCACTTAAAACACTTCCTACTCAAGCAATTGCCTGGAAGCCTTCTCGACCGACAGCATGAAACAATCCATCATTCATCCGGCTCTGGTAGCCTCTGCTCTTTTTATCTCTTCCTGTGCTTCTTTGAAGCTCTCCGCTACCGATGGAGGTGAGCTTAGATGCTGCCACATCGTGCAAAACTAATATTTTTTCCAGAGTCTGTTCGCAATGCCGCTGCCACAGTCGCGTATGGCCTCATGAGCCACTACACCAACAACCAATCGACCACCCCTGCTGCTGACGTTGGCTCCTTTGTTTCCCCCGAGGGTGTTGACAAGCTGTATTGGTGGAACAGTGGTGCCATCTGGGGCGGAATGGTCGACTATGCCATGTACTCCGGCGACAATAGCTATGTTGAAGCGACCAAGCACGCCCTTGCTGCCAACGTGGGTGAGAAGGCTGACCTAATCATTGAGTCTAAGCGGGGAGAAGAGGTGAGATGCACCGATGCTAGAGCGGAGAAGTATCCATGCTGACTATGGATAGGGCACTGACGATCAAGCATTCTGGGCTCTATCGATGATGTCCGCCGCTGAGTCCGGCTTCCCTGCTGCAGATGGTGCACCTGCATACATTGATGTCGCTGAAGGTGCTTTCAAGAGCATCACCTCCCGCTGGGACACTACGAGCTGCAACGGTGGATTATTCTGGCAGATCTATGCTGACAATGCCAACGGTCTCAAGTACAAGAACAGCGTAGCCAACGGAGGTTTGTTTCAGCTTGCCGCCCGTCTAGCTCTTCATAAGAAGGACGACAGCTTCGCCAACTGGGCTGAGAAGGTATGGGATTGGACCACTAAGATTGGCTTCATCGACTCGAACTATGCGGTTTATGATGGTGCCGGGACCGAGAACGGAGCCAACTGCGCCAAAATCGACCACAACAGATGGACATACAACCACGGTCTCTTCACGTACGGCGCAGCGGCCATGTATGCTCACACGGGCAACAAGGTTTGGCTGGAACGAACTCAAGCACTTGTCAAGGCAGCCGATTACTTCTTCAACCACCACTCTGAAGCGCCTGGTGTTCTTGCCGAGGTCGTCTGCGAGCAGAAGACCTGCAACATGGACCAACAGTCGTTCAAAGCGTATCTCTCTCGCTGGCTGGGCAAGACCGCTAAACTTGTCCCTGAGACTGCATCTACAATCACCCCATGGCTCAAATCTTCTGCTGAGGCCGCAGCTCAATCATGCTCTGGTGATAAGAACCAGTGTGGTACAAAATGGTATACCGGCGGTTTCGATGGTCTCCCGGGCATCAACCAGCAGCTTTGTGCATTGGAAACCATTCAATCACTGATGCTATCTATCGAATCCAAGGGCGACCATGACCAAGGCTCGGATGCCAAGTCCTCGATTGTGCCCACCCCATCGCCCACACCATCACCAAGCCCGGCAGTTCCTGAGCCATCGATCGTCGCGTCGTCATCCCACATTGAAGAACCAGTTCAGTTTGCCCCTACTGCAGTGGACAGCATCGCCCCAACCCCAGCTGCACCCACTCCATATGCGTCACCAGCGGTCCCCGCTCCTTCAGAGGCTTCTGACTCGGTCTGCGAGGAGCCTGTTGTCGTCACCGTTACTGAGACTGGAACAGTGACTATGACTGTAGAGCCGACTGCGGAAGTACTCCCTACGTCCGTTTGCGAAACTCCTGTTGTCGTCACGGTTACTGTCACTTCCAGTTCATTTGCGGGCGTGGAGCCAACTTCAATCATCAAGCCGACGACCGCTGTTGTATCGTCTCATGTTTCGGCACCGGCGGCGCCAAGTAGTCCCCCTGTTCCAACTGCAGTCGTCCCTCCTGTTCCAGCAATGCCCACCTCAGGATTCGTCGTGCCCACAGGCCATGCGACACCTTCACCATTACCATTTGACGGTGCCGCGTCGAAACGATCAGCTGCCAGTGCCGTTTTCACGGTCGCGGTCGCTGCTTTGATGCTCTTCTTGTAAATACATTAATGGACCAGCGTAAGAATATCTGGAAAAGGTCAGATGGCTGATCCTAGCGGATCGTAATGTACAGACTGCCGGGAAGTCAGACGGAGATTGGAATAGGCATGTGACACGCTGTAGCGATAGTCGAAACCACGCATAACACAGGAATTGCAACCTCTGTTAATCATCAACATTGCATGCCCTCTTGTGTGAATTCTACGTGCCCATAGTCTGACATGAAAGGTGTTGACTACGTCCTCGAGTGGTCGTTGGTAAGTACCAGCTTGCCAGGTCAGCTAGATCAATCGTGACCTTGGATGTACTTATGTAATTCCTGTAAGGTATATATGATGGATCACGTGATGTGTTATATGTTGTATGTTTGTGTTTCTTTATATTTGGGTACAAGTAGAGATGTGGGCTATCTAACTTGGTAGAATATGTATCTAGGAGGGATTTGGAGTTGATGTAGAAATAGTCGTACTAATACGTATACTCACTCTATAGTAGTAGTTATATTAGTATTTATTATAGGTAGACAGATTCTATGTCTAGAGCGAGGTGAGAATGACTTGCAGGTCGTTATACGTGCTGGTATAGCTGTTTATGTAGTAGCTCTTTGGAGTTGCTTTTGTTAAATGAAGATGGTCCATTCAAAATATACCTCCTCCATCCACGCACCCCTACACCACACTCAACTCCCCTCACCCAAACGGCTTCCGCCCCCAGACAACACAAACAGTCCAATAATACGTATTCCTCCCATCCGCCAAATCCGCCCTCACACCCCCAATCTCCCCCTCCACCCGCCCCTCATCCCACCCCTCCAACCCCGCAACCCACAACCCCCTCGCCAACCGCCCCACAAACCCCTCCATACCCGCCCGCACAAGCAACCCAACCTCCTTCTCCCTCTCCCCGCACGCCCACCCCCCAACCGGCACCATCACATCCCGCATCCCTATCTCCACGAACCCCTGCGCTTTCATGAGCCCCGGCAGAACGAGCCCGACCTGTGTGTCGATACCGCTGTTTGCGCTGGCTTGTTGGCAGAGGGCGCTCCAGCGGTGGAGCGCGGATGCGTCGGTTGTGTGGTGGCCTGGGATGTAGTCGATTGGGTAGAGGGGCTCGGCGGCTTGGATCCAGCCGCCGGGTTTTGTGTGGGTCCAGGCGCGGTCGAGGAAGGAGGGCCAGGATGGGGTGGTGAAGAGGAGGGTGTGGGTGTGTGTGAAGTCGAAGGTTGGTGGTGGTGGTGGGTGCTGTGTGGGTTTGGGGAGTGCGTTGGCCTGGGTTTGGTGGTGTTTGGTTGTTGGGGTGGTGGATGTTATGTTTGGGGGAAGGGAGGAGGTGGTGGGCTGGGTGTTGGGGTTTGGGCTTGAGGTTGTGCTTGTGCTTGTGACGTTGCATTCTGGGTTCTCGCGTGCGAAGTCGATGGCCCATGGGCTTGTCTTGGTGCTGGTGCTGATGTCGAGGACGGCGGTTTCGGCGCCGGTTAGGGGGGCTAGGTAGAGGGCGCCGCCGAGCATGAGGCGCCAGATGCGGTGCTGTAGGTCGAGGTGTTGTGTATCCTCGTCGGCGTCGTTGGGGGGCTGGTTTGCAGAGGCCTCCTCGTCGGATGCTTGGTGGGAGGGGGTAGGAGTGGTTGTTGTTTGCACGGGGTCGGGGACGGCGGCGGGGTTGATGGCGTCGAGGTCGACGTCGAGCTCTAGTCCGATGATTGACGCGGCGCGGTTCATGATGGTGGTGGTTGTGGTGGTGGCACTACCCCTTCTTGTTCATCACTCTGAAGGGGATAGAGGCGTGTAATGCAAAGTGTAAGGGGATAGCACGCTTCGAATATAGAATGTGGTGATGCGACGTCATCGCGGAACAGCGGGCACTAAGCTAGCTTGCACCGGGTCTGCCGGGAAAGGAAACTAGGGAAGGGAAAAGGGCCGATAAGGTATACTGTAAGTGAATGCTTTGGCGGGTCTTAGCAAGCATATATATGTATCTACTATGATGTTTTAATCCAACATAGCATGTGAGAAAAAAGGGAATGGGAACTGATGATGAAGTGGTATGTCAAGGAGCCCAAGCGCAGTAAAGTAGTATGATAAGCAGGTGCCAGCACCTATCCATTTTGTCCTCGAGACACTAGCCGCTAGCAGTCTCCAAGTCCAACTTCAGGAGTAAAACAAGACTACTTGACTAAATCACGATTCCATCGTATATCTGACAACAAGATGCAATCCCCCTCTATGGTAGTAGCGAAAAGTGTTTTATTCTATGCTCCGTCTTTTTTGCCTCGACAGCCTCACGAATCCCCCTAACTTTATCCTTGTACTCAGCATTCTATAATAACGAGTCAATTCTTGTTTCCAACACGTTGTACTTGGGGTATACTCATCACATATTCGCAGACTCCAAAGTCGAGGTCAAAGTCCAAAACATGAACCTCTGTGCACAACTGTACGCCAGTCCTGATGTCAGCTTCATTCGGAACGTGGACGGAAATCGAGACGGAGACGCCAGGGCACGCGGTCTTGATGGTAGTTTCGAGATCGCGTTGGCAGCTCCTCTGTAGTAAGTGTTAGGAAGAATAACTTTGCGTGTTGGACGGAGCGATAATATACGGCAGAGTCGACGTCGTCGAACTCGACGGATAACATGGTAGTCTGGTGCATGCTGGAATGGAGTCTTTTGCGCTTTGAGTGTTTATGACTTGGATTGAAGAACTCTAGACAATTTCTAGGAATGAGTGTTTATGAAGTTGATCAGCTAGATTTCTATGTCTCTTCGTAGTTATATATCAAGCGTCCGTCGACATGTTACATGTTTCCAAAGTGTTTAGCACAAAGAGACGTAGCTATCGGATGAAAACATCCAAGTGAGATGCCCGTAATAGCATCATGTCCTTCTGCAGCGCAACATCGACATTCCTAGACACATATTTGACATCGTCTGGAATGAAATCGCTCAAAGAGCTCATGCTTTCTTCACGAGAAATCCTTTCACGACTGTCATCCTAGAAGAGACATCAATCATGATCTGTGTAGAAGGCATGAGGAAGTCAAGCTTGCACAGGTAAAACTTGAACGCACTGCATTCCAGGAACATGTGATCTCTCTACAGAGAGTACGATCATTGGATATGCTACCATCCCGCCACTCACAGATTCTTTGATCTTCCATATCTTCTTCCCGCGAGAATACGGCACCAGACCATAGACATTTCGGAATGCAAGTTGAAAGAATGCCAGGTCAAGACGCAAGATGGAAAAAGCCATGAATTGCAATTCGAAAATCCGAAGTCAGAAATGCGATTATGTAAAGAAAGCACTGGTTGAAAAACCAGACCCGGAGAAGGACCAAGGAATGCAGAATCACCCAGACCATGAATCATTCAAATGTCAAAGAGAGATTGTAAAATCACAGCATAGAGAGAGAGCGACGGAGACAAGATTCATTCGTTCATTCACTTAGCAAGGAGCTCTCGGTAGTCGGGAAGCGAAGCAAGGGGCGCACTTCAGCTTCGGGGGGATTGAATGCATTGGACATGGTTTTCCCCGTGTCAAGCTTTTCTAGGAGTTTGCTCCAAAGGACCGCTTGGAGTAAGCCTCAAGTGTGCTTCTGCGAGAGTAAGTTCATAGTCTAATGCGCTATCAGGTGATAGGTAGAGCTGCCTCGCGCCTCGCCTACTTGTGTCTCATCCCTTGTTCTGTTCCGTTCCTCCGTAGCTTTTGCGTATACCGGTCATGGGCTTTAGCATTTAAGCGTCGATGACCGTAGAGTATCTATGTTAAGGTACAGCCGATAATGTGTTGAGAAGAACGAGACTTACTTTTGCTCTACCTAGAGGATCTGATGTCCTTCTCATGGCAGGGTGTAAGTGACGGACTCAAAGCCGCTGACGGCAGCAATTCCTTGGTGCCCTTAACATGAGCCTCTGATCAGGACCTTGTAACGATACACCTCTCCTTCCTGAGATATGGAGATTTTAAGTCTTCGATGCAATATCTCAACTCACTTGACCATCGTATCATGATATAAGAGGGTGCTGGTTGAACGAAAAGTCTACGTTCAAGCTCGAGAATGGTTGGTGCATGCAGACCCAGGCCTTTGGTTGCAATCCTTGTTTGCACGTGTAGGAGTGACATTGCGCGAGCTCACTGTTGGAACCTGCATCCTCGAAATCTCAAGCCTTACATTAGAAAACATCTATTCATCTCTGGAGCACTCTGCTATATGTCACTATATGAGTTCCTAATGTCCTTCCCCTGGGCATTCCGCTTTAGGCACCATGACTTTTTAACATGGATAGAGGTTATTTAGCGGAAAAAAAGACTAGAATATCATCATTCCTCAGATTCGCTTCGTCGCTTTGACCCTGAGAACCCTTTTCTCTTTGTTTGAGTTTTTCAAGCAAGACTATCTCCTTAGAATTTTTATGAGATTCTAGAAACCTTTAAAGAGACTTTACTAAGATAAAAATAAATCTCTAGATAGATCAAAGATAACTCCAATTATTTATTATATCTACTTTTCATACTCTTATATAGTTACGTATAGGTATAAAAGTAGAAAAGAACCTCTAGATAGGAAGATTGGGGTGAAGACGCGCGGGTACGAGTGCCAAGAGAATCCGTCTGTAACTTTTTCAGCGCGACTCTTGGCACGCGTCGCACGTATAACACACCACTTTTTCTCTTATTCTTAAAACTTACATTTTCCCTAATATCTCTAGAACTAGAACTCTAGGAAGTTTTCTAATTATATATAAATATACCCCTATATAGTCTCTTACTTTCTATATAAGAAAATTAATAAAAAAAGAATAGACTAATTAGTTATTCTAAGAAAAGCTCTATAAAGTAGAGAACTATTAAAGTACTAAGGTACGTAGTAGAGAAAATAAGAAAATAGAGATTTTCTCTATTATCTATCTCTTTAAGACTCTTTAGTCTTTAAAAGAACTTAAAAAGTATTCTTTAGATATAACTAAAAGTATATATAATCTTTTAATATCTTCTAGAGGCTTAATATTAGGGTTATTAAAGGAAATAGCGGTTTTTAAGAATAAGAGAAAAAGTGGTGTATTGCGCGCGCGACGCGTGCCAAGAGTCGCGCTGAAAAAGCTACAGACGGATTGAGTTCAAGGTAAACGACGATTTACCCGAATCCTTAAGTCCCCCTCCCCCCAATCTCAAAAAAAATAAATTTTCAAAAATATTGAATTATACTATATAATCTAACAAAAACTCTACACTTTCAAGCAAGCGGCACTAATGGTGTAAAGTCATAAACGCGCAGATTCTTAACTGTGATCAAAGAAATTCCATACAATCTATGGTGCCTACAGTCCACCGGTTCGAATCCGGTGCATTGTAGTTTTTTTTTTTTTTTTTTCATTTTTTTCATTTTTTTTTTTTATTTTTGTTTTTGGATTTTTTTATTGAATTTCGGACGGCCTTCGATTTCTAGGCTGGTGAATGTGGTTACTAGTAGTGTCTCTCTGTTAAAGCTGACTATGATCGCACTTTATGCCTACCATTATCTTACGTCTTTTCAGCTAATCGCTCTTTTGACATGGGTCGTTGAGAGCTTTGTGAGCACCTCCTTCGACCGCTTCAGTCTTTATCATCAGCAGTAGGTACACAATACATCCCCGGTCGTGTATCTCATATGGCTCTGACCCGAGCAAGTTCTTTCAATGCACCATCGCTCCATCCTATCCTAGCTCATAGAAGCGTTGCAAGCATAATAATCCATCCAAGCGCCCTTTTTCCATAAGCTTGTAGCATCACAGACTCATTATTCTGTAGGTATGTATGCAAAGGAAGAGGTGTGAGCTATATAAGAACCCACATTGTATACAGGTGCAAGGTGTTGTAGTGGTGCGATCTGCTGAGCGAAGAGCCATGAATATATGAAAGACATGCCTGATCGATGTGGTGAAGACATGTATATGCGTAGTTTGAGAGTGGAAGCTGTTTCTTCTGGAGGGCAACGACACGCTTGCTTACAGTGTACAGCGTTGACTACAATAATCCGTGCTACCGAAGGCGGCTATGCCAAAAACTCGGCAAGGGTTAGAGGCGATCATTGCGAAGTGACTTCTCCACAAGTCTCGAGCTAGGTGGAGAGCTCTGTGACGTGGATTGGACTTCGTGAGTGTATGGAGTGCAATATAAAACGCGTCGTATGATCACGCGGGTATTGAACGGTGGACTCTCTCCATAGATTGGCTTCTGACTCTACTTCGGACAGTATGTTCCAACCTGAGTTATTACTTCCGAGAACATAAATATGCTTCTTAATTCGACTTTTTAATCCTCCCCTCTGCGTCGTAGAAGATCTCACGCACCTTAACACTCCGAAGATGATTCTTCCCACCCGACAAACTAGTATCGTGATAGAAAAGATACCACCTCTCTTCATATTCTACTATGCTGTGGTGAGTCGTCCAGCCCTGCACAGGCTCCAGGATCCGGCCCTCGTAGGTGAACGGCCCCAACGGACTGTCCCCGACAGCATACACCAGGAAATGGGTATCGCCGGTCGAGTACGAGAAGTAGTACTTCTCCTTGTACTTGTGCATCCACGCTGCTTCAAAGAACCGCTTATCGTGGTCGTCTGCGGCGATGGGCTGCCCAGTTTCGGGTGCTAGGATCTGGAGCTCCCTGACTTCGGAGCTGAATGATCTCATATCATCTGCCAGCTGGGCAACACGGGGGAACAGCGCAATCTTGCCCTCCCCAGACGGCTCCTGGGCACCTTGCAGCGAAGGATCAAATGCTCCAGTCTGCCAACACTGGAGCTGTCCGCCCCACAGGCCGCCGAAGTACAGATACGCATCGCCATTCTCGTCTACAAAGCTGGCTGGGTCGATGCTGTAGCTTCCTCGAATGGGCTCTGGATCAGGTACGAACGGTCCTTCGGGCCTGTCACCCACTGCGACACCGATGCGGAAGATGCCCGATTTGTCGCGAGCAGGGAAATACAAGAAGTACTTGCCGTTCTTGAAGGCGGCGTCGGGAGCCCAGAGCTGCTTGCTGACCCATGGGATCTCCTCCATCTTCAGGACCACACCGTGGTCAGTTGCAGGTGATGAGATGGTGTCTAGGGACAACACGTGGTAATCGACCATATCGTATTGGTCGCCATTGTCGTTGTCTTGGATATCGGTTGCGCGGTCATGCGATGGATATATGTATATCTTGCCATTGAAGACGTGGGCCGATGGATCTGCGGTGTAGATATGCGTTACGAGGGGTTCGTCGGCGTCTGTGATCGGTGTAGACACCATGATGACCTGGACTTTCTTTCTGCGGATCTGATGGTGAGGATTGCAAAATTATCTACGGTGGCAGAGTTGGGTTAATAGCATAATCAATCGTGCTTTTGAGCCGCAATCGGCACCTCAGAGATCCATTTAGCCGTTTAGCCAGAGACATTTGGTGACTTAGCCTAAATCGGTGAGATACTCCATGACAGCTCGTGGCACGAAAGAGATGGTTTCGTCTCTGCTACTCTTCTCGCAGTAGTACTATGCTAATGCTACAGACATAGGCAAGTTTTTAAGATGAACAACCGATGAGGAAGGGTTTCGTGAATGAGTTGCAGATTGTTTCGAGGCGGAGGAAAGTAAGAAGTCAAGGAGTGGGCCCGAGCTCCTCTTGGCGTACGCATCCATCTGTTCCTCCATCGATCGAGACGAGGATTCAGTGTATCTTCTACCTTATAATTCATAGACTATGGGTTGCGGTTCATATCATGTCATATACGTGCTTATAACTCGTAGAATATACTCATAGTTCATTTATAGAGTACGTATCTACTAACTGCACTATCGGTTTCAAATTCCTAGTGTGCATATTCTGTCATATCAGATCAGATTATACATTCTACTTCGGACCTAATAGATAGACTAGTAGATATCCTAATTTCTATAGTCTTCTATGTAGTATACCTTTAGATATTATTCTTTAACATTTCATTTACAGAAGAGAGATGTTATGTCGATAGACTGACTCTACATTACTCATTTGTTTTTATCTCAGAACTTGAATCTCCTTATCATATTATCCCATATCTTATATCGTAAATATCATATCCTGATATCCCCCGTCTTATATCACACATTCTCCATCCCACTACCAAAAACACCATTTCAACCCACTCTCCTCCCTCCACCTCTCACCCCCAAAACCGCACACAAATACCCCCAACCTCATCCCCATCCCCATCCCCAACTCCATCCCCAAACCCCACCAAACTATGCAGCCCCTCCGCCTCATAAAGCTCTCTCAACCGAGCACACAGTACCTCCACTTCTACACCTTCACCACCGCCACCACCACCCAAAATCCCCTCTCTAACCCTCTCAATCTCAGCCAATCTCGCATTCGATACCCCCTCCGGGGAAACGCAGCGCGCGCACGTACATGTGAAGCCGAATGTTTGTGCGAGGGAGAGGGTGCGGTGGGGGGTTGGCGTTAGGGGGTGGGAGTCTGTTGTTTTGCTTTTGTTATTATTGTCGTTGTCATTAGTAGATTTGGGATGGGATGGGATGGGATGGGATAGATTAGGGGGGTAAACAGAGGGATGGAAGGGGGTTATATTGAGGAGGGAAAAGGGGGGGGGGGTAATCGACGTACAAGCAATCGTAATCTCCTCGCCTGGCGCGATGGGCCGGACGGCGCGGATGGTGTGTGTGAGGAGAGGGGTGTTCCAGGTGTATATTGCGCTGTTTTGGTGAGGTTAGTTCGTTCGTGTGTCCGTTTTGCTTCTACATGACCAGCCTCGACGAGCGAAAACACCAAGAAGAAAAAAAAAACAGAAACGAACTCAAAACTCACTTCGGCCCACAATCATGATTAACCCGACTCGCCCCCAGCAAAACCGCAACATGCATCTCCCCCCCGCCGTCCCCAACCCCAACCTCAAACCCATTCGTCGCCACCACATCCAACAACAACAACCCCCCTTCCCCGCCTCCTACACCACCAGCACCCCCAGTACCACCCCCCGCAAACCTCCTCGCCAACCCCCTAACCCCCCTCTCCACATCCCCACTCAACCCCGCCAGCGCCCTCCCAAACAACATCTCCAAATCCTCCTGCGCAATCAGCCTCGTCACATTGCGCAGCGCAAGCAGGACGGGCGTGTGCGTCATGACCACGTCGCCGCGGGAGAGCGGGCCGCGTGCGAGGATGCCCATGCCGCGGCCTGGGAGGGGGGTTTCGGTGTATACGCGGTCCTGTTCTCGCTCGTGTTGATGTTCCAGATGTAACTGCGAATCCACACCCTCGGAGAAAGCAGGCAGGGCGCGAAAGGCGGCTGCTAGGGCGGGGGTGGTGAGGATGGCGATGCCGCGGCCGTGGGCAAAGGATGTGGATGTGTAGATGCAGAGGGGGGAGTTGTGGAGGGTGGGGAGGGGTTGGGTGCATGTTGGGGGGGAGGACCAGGGTGTTTGGTGGTGTTGTTGTTGTTGTTGTTGTTGTTGTTGAGGGGGATTTAGGGGGATGATGGCGGGACAGGAGGGGTGGAGGGGGTTTTGGAGGGGATTTTGGGGTGGGCATTGGGGTTGTTTGGGGGGGAGGGGAGAGGAGGATGGGGATGATGATGATGATGGGGATGATGAGGAGGAGGAGGAGGAGGATGACGAGTATGATGGGTATACGAGGAGGAAAAGGGAGAAGGAGAAGAAGAGGACGGAGGAGAGAATCATTGTTGAGATCGATCGAGAGAGAGGAAATGAGAGAAAGAGGTATAGAGATGTAGCGACGAAGAAAGAGAGAGAAAGATGGACGATCTACGCTGAAGTCGTTGAAGTCGTTGAAGTCGTTGAAGTCGTTGAAGTCGTTGAAGTCGTTGAAGTCGTTGATATGGCGTTGGTGATGATGATGATGATGATGATAACTTGGCCGATCTTGAAACATATATGACACGCGCGTTGCGCCCGCGCAAGGTCGGGAAATGCTAAACGATCCTGGGACAACCAACAGCTTATGTTGTTTCGTACATTTTAATCCGCGATGGATGATGAAAAGCTGGCAGCATGATGGCAGGACGCGATAGAGTGCATCATCGGATGTAGTTCTTCTAATTACCTAGCTCTTAGCCACATTTTATTCCGCGAACATAAGAAAACATGACACCAACAACAAGGCCAAGCCACCATGTCGATAATAAGATATCCCAAATACATAGCAATGAATAGATAAATAATCCTTCGACGGATCTTGAATTTATTAGATATTTTTCCTATGTAGTCTAATTAGAGACATCGCTGCTGTCGCTGCTTTACCCCTCCCAAGTAATATGTGTCCGAGCTAAGCCCAGGTAGGTATGGAGAAAGATGTCGAACTACATCCAAGGATTGTACCAAAGCAGACTAGCGCGCGGTGGCCACAAGCTGTAAACAACCCAAATCCAACTCATCCGCTACGAACACCGTCGTTTCCCTGCACCGGGCACTCCAAAGTTGCAAAGTCAGACAACGTTCATCCAGAGCATCCAGAAGTAGATTTTCCACGATCGAGGATCTAACATGAGCGGAGTTAACCGTGGGGTCGTCGCGGTACGGTACACAGGGAGAAGGAGAAATAAAGAAAGGTGGTGGCATAGTAAATGATAGTACATGTGATGGAAAACTGTCCATGTACATATATCTACTTATGGATTCTCTTCGCGGTTTTTTCTTTTTTTGATAAAATCTAGTTATATACATCTATACCCATCTCTCTATGCATACCATGTATTGTAAAGCAAGTTCCGGCATGTATAGCGTGACGACAGAGGGGGATAGAGGTCCTGAGACTGTGAAGATATAACCAACACGGCGAGATGTGCTCGTCCGGATATCAAGCGCTGCAGGGGCGTCTCGCGCGGCTATTGCAGCGGACTACTCGGTGAGCTCGGCACTGTCCGGCTCGTTGGATCTGGTGTACGCGAATGGCGGCGCATCATGCTCGCGACTCGGTCTTAAGTGCAATATCATGGAAGCAAGGACACTCATAAACGCGCGCTTGAGTCAGATCCCCATATATTGGAATCTCCAGTAGCCACAAACACGTGCCAATGAATCCAAGGTGATGATTGCTTCACTAACATGTGTCTGTTGGGACGTGTTTGGGTCTTCTGACCCGATCTCTCAAGCGTCCTATTGATTGGAGCCAGCCGTCTTAGTTGTCAAAACGCAATCGTTCAACAGCGCCGAGGTATCGGCGTCAACCGGTTGAAACACGCAAGTGAACCCACCGCGATGGAGAGAATCGCGTGGGATCCTGGAAAGGGACTGCGCCGCACGGAGGAATACCCGTCTATCCATGCACTGAATTAATGCGCGACCAACAGACAAGGAACGCACATCTGGGTACGTCAACGGCAAGGAACAATAGCTGCTCATTTTAGCGCTGCCTTGCTTCAATCGCACGGTCATGACCCCCAACCGGTCTACTCGTCTTCGCTCAAAGATACGAGACATGAAGATCGCGTTTTGCGACAGACCATTCTCTCCCGTACAATGTTTGAGTGACTCGCACGGCTGCCACCTGCCATTGAAACGTAGACTCATTGCGCAATCACTCCAACGTCCTGAATATCCTCGCGCTGTTCAAATTTCGCCTTTTTCCCGATAGCGCCCCCCGGATGGTTCCGCAGGAATACGTCGCGTGTAGCGCCCTGGTGGAGCGCATCGGCTGCCGCAAGAGCTAGCATATCACCGACGGCCATGGCCACAGTTGTCGATGTTGTCGGCGCGGCCACGCCAAATGAGTCTTCCTCACGCTCGTGTATAGGCGCAGGGAGGACAATGGCATTGCTGCGGTCATGCAGCAGCGGGCAGGCACCAGCCTTTGTATGTCCTGTGAGCGCAATTACGGTCGTCGCTGCAGGGAGGTGGGGTAGAATGGCTAATAGCTCGGGGGTACGCCCGGAGAAGGTTATGAAGAGCACAACATCGTCCTGCTGGGTGTAAGCGACAAGTCTAGTCTAGGATACAGTTCGAAGTCGGGAGCACACACAGGCTGTATATCACCCAGGTCGCCATGAATAGCTTCGGCGGCGTGCATGAAGGCGCAGCGAATGCCCAAGCTCTTCATCGTGGCTGTCGTCTTCATACCGACAAGTCCGCTCTTGCCAATGCCACATACGATGATCTTGCCCCTGCTCTGATGTGCGCGGACGACCGACTCGACGGCCTGTACGAGGCCATCGCGCGCGGCGGGGTCGGTCTGATAGAGACGCGAGACATGCGAGAGCGCAGTCGCCTCGATGGAGAGCACGTTCACGGCGGTGGTGAGAATGTGCGACGAGCCAGCATCGGTCGCGGACAGCGGAGGGGTCACAGGCCCTTCAGCGGAGCGCTTCCTCTTTTGTGGCGGTGGAGCAGGGGGTGGAGCTGGAGCTGGCGCCCTGGCAGCTGGTGTCGCGGAAATGCTCGCAACAGGCGAAGTCTGGGTATTATTATGCATGACTGGGTCGTACAGGAGAAAGTCTTGGAGCGTCAAGAGGTTGCTGACTTGGTCCTTGAGCCAGGCTCTTATGAATGAGCTGAGTGAGCAAGCGGCGGAGCGGAGCGATAAAGGCCGAAGAGTGCCCCATGCCTAGAGATTTATAAGGGCAATGATGACGGAATTCGTTGCGTGTGGAGTCGTCGACGCTGGCCAGGATTAGGGCCTAGAACAGAAGAAGCTTGGGTGGAGCCATGGTTGCGCGCGGCCAGCGACAGACGAGCCTGTTGTTTGACCTTTTTTTGCCGCGTCGTCGTTTTGGGCGGAAGAAGCGCGATATAGAATACGTAGTAGGAGGGTGGTTGGGGTGTGTGGTGTTTTACAATTTGTGGCGGCGTGGGCAAGCACGGGCGATAGTGGTAGGGAGGTAGGCAGCTGCAGTGGCTGAAGGTAGCTGGCTAAGCACCTAGATTAGGCAGGTCAGGTCAGCTACGTTTAGGGGGGAGATGATGTCGCCAAATAGGCAGGTCAAGCTCGCCAGATAAACATACTGTGTCACCAACCTCAGCTGGACCGTCGCTGCCTTCCAGAGTTTGGTCATTGAGCCGCGTCAGATAAACAACAACAGTAACGAAAAGGGGTTCTTTCGGGTGAAGTCGCGATATCGTCATCGCCTAGCGTCCGTTCTCCCGCCACTCTAGAAAGGGACTAATGCCCAAACCGTGCTAGCTCATTCTCAGCGTCAATCGAAGTTGGCGCCTCAGGCCACAGACTGCCGTTATTACCCGTTACCCGTTGCCCTGCACGCTAGACTAGACGCATCAGCTGCATTCCACACCAAGTGCTTATTACTATATATATGAAGTGTTGACGTCTTTGATATTAAGAGAGGCCTGTAGGAAAGCAGTCAGTCAAATGGACATGTGTTTCCTAGCAGCTCATGTCGATGCGTCACATTGTGTGCTTACCTCAGACCAAACGCATGCTCTCAAACACCACAGGTCCCTTTCAGCTTGAACCGGCCAGGATTGGCCTTCTTAGTCCTGCAGACGGACAGATCATGGACATGCTGGACCTAACAAGGCATTTGCTTCTGACACGGACACCCAAGTGACAAAGGTCGAGTCGACGCCGCCCGCTGAGGCTTGCAGGAGTCCGTGCCCCCAACTACAGTACTCCATTGGAAAATACCTTACCATTCAATGCGAATCACGTCCCGGCTTCTGCTGACTCGTCCTTTTCCTAAATGCACATCACTTTCAAAATTCTGAGTCGAGCTCTCCATCTGATTCATCTGACCATCTCTACTGCAATTCGCAATGGACGTGTAATAACAGGACACAAGAGTGTCATGCCAGACTAACTCGGGCCGATCAGTGAACGAGTGTTCGTTCGCAATTAGTACTCCTTACGTTTTCATGACTCGACGTCGTCTACGACAGCACATCCATTGTAATCAGAGAGACGCGAATGAGTATTCAGGGGCCATGGATCCAGGCTGGCCCCCCTGACATGCCCACTAGCTTCAACGGTCCGCAACGTTGAACCAGGTAAGGTCTGACTGACATGCAAGCATTGACTGTTCGGCAGCATCCGCTCTGATCTTGCGGAAATGTCAGCCATGACCAGCCTTTCATGCTGATCAGGGAAGTAGTAGTATCCACCAACGTGTACAGTCTTGATGCACCGCAAGCTCCATTCTACTCAAACTGCCAACGCCCGTCCGTAGCCCGTGTCAATTCTACCGTTGACATGTGAGCTGGGAGTTACATCAGTGCGGCTCTCCTGCTACAGACCGTTGCAGAAGTGGCAAGCTCAACTCCCTTCACGTTTCCTGCGGCTTGGTGACTGTGTTTGCAATTATGGTTCGCGCATGTCGTCCAAGAGAAGAGACCCCAACCTTCTCCACATTTTGCCAAGGTCGAATGTTCCAGGCGTGGGTCGGTGCAACTGTATTGCATGTACTATGGACGAGTAAGATGCGAGTTCCATGTCCGATCTCAGATGTACTGTGTTGAGCCAATTGCATTTCGTACCGATCCAAGCAAATTCAGACCGGCGCCCGGGCCACAGAGCGCAGTCTTGTCCCGAGAGGCAGCTGCTGTGCAACGACTCGATCATGACGAAAGTGATCGAATATCTTCATATGGCCTCCAAAATTCTGGATGCGGTGGAGGGAAGTCACCAGTGTCATGTCAGACCAGGTTGCTGGACACACTTCTACGCGGCTAGCCGTTGGGGTTAGTAACGATTGATCCATTGACATGCATCGTTATCCTGTCGAACACAACACCACTGCATCCGGCGGACGCGGACTACGGGTAGTTCTGTGCAACCGACACCGAGCGCATCAGAGCGATCCTTCCTATGCAGAACTGTTGGTCTAGTACGGCTTGGGAGAGATGGTTCGTGGTTGGTAGTGCTGGCGTTCCCTGCAACGAGACACGGTCCGACTGAGGCTGCAAGCCATTACACTGGTCGAGCGCTTGCAACGCCATCTCAGGCATGGTGGTTCTGCACGCTGTTTCGTTGTCTTCCAAGCGGTCGGTTCTGCTGTCATTGCTGCCCGTCGAGCTGAATACCGTGGTGCCAACAAGCTTTTGCCTCACCGCAAAGCTCCTCGAAGCCGCTGACGGAGAGCTCAGAGCCAATGATTTCGTCTGCAAGATGCAATCATACACTTCGATGATGACCTCGTGTGTGCAATGTCATGATGGAAGTATCGTATGACGCGTGGGCCTGGGCCAGCTGAGTCATCTTCATCCATGTGTTGCGCGCATCTTCTTGCTGCCTACAGGAATGCTTGCATCTCTGCCGTCGACGCAACCGTCGCAACGTATGGATTGGCCTCCGACACTATGCCACGTGGGAAGTGCTGTCAAAGGGTTGCTGCCAAGCTCAAACAGGAAATATCGTCGATAGCTTCCGGTCATGCCTTGCCACTGATCAGGAGGAGTATCCGGGGAATTGAACGAGGGTATGTCTAGCAACATAGCCGTACACTGGAAATCCAGAAGGGAACATCAAACTTTGACCGCACTAGAAGGGACACATCGCACACCCGTTTCTCGTGCAGCTTCAAGGACCAAAATGCTCACGAATGTGGTGATTCGAGCTACGAGCTACGTACTGTCGCTCTTGGTATCTGCTTACCGACTTGCGCTCTTTACCAGATCGAAGGGTGGTATATGCAGTCATTATCGGAAAGCCAGGAGTGCAGTCCACGAAATGCGAGCTGCCGAGACAGCGTCTGGCATAGACGCGACAAAAGGCGCATAGTACCAAAGACCAAAAGATCTAGTTTCGATGTCATGTGTCACGAGTAACGTATGATACAGCTCCTGCGATGGTCTTGATTTCTTCAGCATGTGAAGTAGTATGCATCCCCAGGTCTGCCCTAGGCCGATACCTCAGATGGTGTCCAATCATGCGAAGGCACGACTCAGCAAGTGTGCTGCCGCACCTCCATCCGAAACAAATGCTCACATGTAGAGAAAGAGGACTCAGCAGAAGCAGCTTTGAAACGACGATGCCAAGTTGCCCGCATCGGCGCTGATGTTTGGGCGCGGCAACTGGAGGAGCTGCCTGCTAGGCCAACCTGACCAAGAACGTGCTGCAGGGCTTGCAGGTGATGGAAGTGTGGTGGACCAAAATGCGCATTGGTATGACGCGAAAGCCTGGTTTCCGTCTTGATGTGTTCCGGTGGAAACGCTGCTGAGGGAGGGGGTAAAAGGTACAGGGCGGGCTGTGGAGTGAGAGCTTAGTTGTCGTGTGCCGTCGGCATCTCGAATACGGAGGCTTGTGCGAGTCACATTGTTGGTCTTTGAAAGCAGGTAATTAACGGCCCATATCAGAAAGTCATATCCAAGCATAGAATGATAGCGGGGAAACGGCAGTGGGAGTTCCAGTGGACCGAGTCAAGAGAATGAGTGACTTATTAATTAGGTGACGGGACCGGAGGTAATACTGGGACGTCCACTTGCACGCTAACCAAAGTAAGCTGGTAGCTGGCTCAGGATGATGTCCACCGTGACATGAGTGTATATTTGAGAACAGCAGTCAATCTCATCAGAGGGCAAGCTAAATACGACAGGTCAAGTGGTGATATAATATATATCTATAGATGTTTATTTGCTATATAGACTAACGAGAATGGATCTACAAAGGAGATCCAGATATCCGAGGCGTGATCCGTCCTATGCTACATAGTCCATCCGAGCTATCCTGTCGATGTTACCCTGCGCCTATTACTTCGAAATAGTGTAAACACCCAACTCCCCATGATAGCATCCCCTCTAGACATAATCCATACCGAGAAAAAATACTTTGTCAACGACAGCATCGGGATCCCAAGACCATTGTTCATGGCAGCTCAAGTGCGCTTCAGGTAAAGAGCAAGCCAGCCGAACAGTCTGTACCCTGCAATGATGCCAACGATGATGCACAGATACTTGCCTTCCTGCCCAGTCTTGTAGCCATAAGTATCGAGCACTCCTTTACCATCGATCTTGCACTGGTCAATCAGATCTGTGACGTACATGCATTGACAGTCTCCATTTGCAAGGCGACCACAATCGTAGGTTCGATCCTTGAACTCATTGACCAACATGCCTTGGAAGACCCATCTTTGGTAGTCCATAAACGAGAAGGCATACTTCCAGAACACATTGAGCTCCACAAGTGGGACTAGGAAACCGCCAACACTCATCCAGAGGCCATTTGCAAAGGCGGTGATGGCCAATGCCACGACGAAGATGTTGGTCAAGCTCGAGATGAGAATGACGAGCGACTCTGCAGCGAGCAAGTCCAGAAATAGGTAGAGAACCCACATCATGAAGCCGGTGGCGGTGGGCTCGAAGTTTGACAGCCAGTAAGAGATGGCGGAGAACAGGACGGTGATGAGAAAGAGAAAGGGCAGTCCGGTGATGAAGTTTGCAACCATAAAAGAGGTTGGGCCATACAGTCCATTTGCGCGCTCTTTGACAAAGAGGCTCCGGTCCTCATGAAACGACGGAATGTAGGCGACCGCCATGAAAGACATAAAGGCACCTCCAAAGAAGATGGCATTGATAAAGGACTGGATGTTGTGTTGATCGGGAGTCAAGCGCAGCCAGACGGTGCCCATCATGACAGCCAGACCCATGTACATGCCAACTCGGATCCAGTAGGTGACCAGATCTCTCCGGCTCTTGATAAAGGAACGATGGATGAGAGTGAAAGGAACCATGTAGGCGCTTGGACCATCCTGTGTAGTCACTTCACACGTACAGGTCTCTGCAGTTGCGTGGAGAATCTCGTCAACAATGACGTTTGCATTTGGAGACTCTTTCCATGATCTCTGTATCTTGTGAAGTTCGAGCGAGGCCTGGCGTGAGTTTGGCTCAAAATCGACATTGACCAGATCAAGCATGAATTCGGCGGGATTCATGTGGATAGGCATGGGTCTGCCAAGGTTGTCAAAGTAGTGTTGCACATCCTGAACCAAGCCGTTGAAGACAGTCTTGCCCTGCGAAAGGAGGAGTAATCGATCGAAGAGTTGGAAGGTGTTTGTTGAAGGCTGATGGATACTGGCAATGACGATGAGCTAGCAAATGTCAGACATGCTCGTACGATTGAGCAGTTGAGGACAAACTTTGTATTTACGCGCAATATTCTGGATGTAGCTGACGACCTCATAGCTTGCAGTGGAGTCAAGTCCAGAGGTGGGCTCGTCCAGAAACAGGATCTTAGGGCTCGTGATCAACTGGCTGGCGACGCTGAGACGGCGCTTCTGGCCGCCGCTGATGCCCTTTTGGACGGGACCTCCTACGAGAGTGTTGGCTTGGTTGAGCAGACCAAATGAAGCTAGTAACTCTTCGATTCTGACCATGCGGTCCTGCTTGGAAACGGAGCTGTAAAGGGTCAGGATGACTAGTGTGGAGTGACGTGGTGAAGACGGGCATACCTAGGCAAAGACAAACGGGCGGCGAAATGGAGCGTTTCCTTGACAGTCAGGGCGGACATGAGGGAGTCGTTCTGTTCGACGTAGCGACCAATTTTGCGAAACTCGCGACCAGTTGTGTGGCGTCCGTTGATGAACAGGCGCTCGTGAGTCTCTCCCTTGATGTGCTCGGTGCGACGGGCGAGTACGTTGAGAAGAGTGGTTTTACCAGAGCCGCTGTGGACGACTTATCAGCAAAGCGGCGCAATGACGAGTTGTAGAAAGACGAACCTTGGACCCATTAGGGCAAGCATTTCACCTAGAGAAACAGTATCAATATGCGAAGTCATGGGAGGCGACGAGGGATAACTTACCAGCCTTGACGATCCCATTGATGTCGTGCAGAATGTCGGTTGGGCGCTTGAGAGTGCGATCTTTGACAGTGACAGTGACATTCTCCCAGCCAAAGCTGCGGACAGAAGAGTTTGTGAGGTTTATAAAGTCGCCCGAGGCGAGCTTCTCCATGTCGTCCATGGAGGACCACGAAGAGTTTTGGCGCGAAATGTTGAAAGATTTGGTGGGACTAGCCCAACTTAAGGTAAGAGGGCAGATGAAGGGAGTTTAAAAGAGAGTGTAGTTGTCTTGTACGGGAGGATACAAACTTAAGTGCAGCCAAAACTTGAAGAGGAGGACAGGATGACTAAAGAACGGCGACCAAACTTGCAAAGATGTAAAGAGCAAAAAGATTGCGAAGTTTGTAATGAGAGGAAATCGAAGCAGAATATCAAGGTAGATTTCAGAATAATTACGATTGAGCAGAGAATTAAGGTGTTGAGGGTGGCGAAAGAGGGAACGGCGAAGTCAGTGAAAGCAACGGCGAGCAAGATGGATGAATGACAGGGGATTGCGGGGAAGGCGAGGGGAGATTGATCAAACAGAAGATAAGCGGCAAGAACGAACAAGACAGCAAAGCCAGAAGGAGCAATGGCATGGGACTTGTCGGCAGGAGTGGAACAAATGTGAAGAGAACGAAGCGGGCCGTGTTGGGGGGGTTATAACAAGAAAGTGAAGGTGGTGCAGCAGGCAAAAGCAGAGAGCTCTAGTCAGACAGTCAGTCAGACAGTCAGACAGTCAGACAGAACAGCCAGGGGTCAGAAGGTGCAGTAAGAAGCAGAAGCAGAAGCAGAAGCAGGCGATATCTTTGATGAAGCAGCACGGAGAAGGGATGAACAGCAGAAGTAAGTAGTGAAGAAAGTGAAGGCAGAACGAGAGTGGCAGCAGGCATGTCCAGCACGGGCACAGTGATTCAAAGAGAAGAAAGCATTTCTGGACGGATGGCAGATTGAAGCGACGGCGCCTCAAAACCCAAAGCAGGCATTAGTTGTGCTGAAAGGGCAATACGGGCTGAGTGGGCTGACGGGGCTGTATACAGACAGCGCACATGTTGAACGTAATGAGCGGGCGTTGTAGAGGGCAAAAGGATGAAAAGATGGAAGAATGTTGGCAACGGCGAAGGGAGACGAAATGAGCAGTGCGACGTGGGCTGAAGCTGGTAATGGTGGAGGTGTGTACTCAGTGGTGCAGTAGTGTGTGTGCAGTGGTTGTAGTAGTGTGGTGGTGGTTGTAGTGGTGGTTAGTAGTAGTAGTAGTGGTAGTAGTAGCAGTAGTAGTATGTAGTAGTAGTAGTAGTGGTAGTAGTGGTAGTAGTGGTAGTAGTGGTGCAGTCCAACTAAGGCTCGACTCGAGTTGCGGAGTGGGTTGTTAAAAAGAGAGAGGGGGGAGGGGGTAGGAGAGGAGGGTGTGTGAGTGAGGTAGAGAGGTGGTAGGTACTAAGTAGTAGTAGTATGTAGGTACCTTCAGGGTTAGTAGGTATAGGTAGGGTATGCAGGAAGCAAAGGCAGGGAATCCCTAGAATAGTACATAAGATAAGACGGGGCGCCGGGGGGGGGGGGTTAGAGTGGCGGGAGCTATCCATGTTCCAGTACCGTAGGCCGTAATTATTAGTTGCACAGGTCGGCGGCTGCAGGCTGTTTTGGCGGGGTTCGCTGCAGGATTCCAGAGCGTATTCGGAATACTGTATGCAGTATATCATGTCCCATCAGCATTGCTCGCCGCCGCCTCCGTCGCTCATCTCCATGCCGTGCACGGTCGACAGAGTTGACAGCTCTCTTTTTATGATATCTTTATTGATTAGGGAATTAAAGGTATTTGATAATTGGGTTCTACTTTGTCACTTTTGAGTGAGTAGATGCGTTTGACGCAGACTTTACTATACCAGTTGTGGTCATTTGTCTCAGCCCACGACTTTTGTGTCCGTGTTTGACAGTATGGCGACGCAGCAGTCTGCTTCAACCATCTGATCTGCAATCTACCGTGTGCGTGACTCGTTGAACTGTCAGATTCCACGCCAAACATCATCAATCAATCTCTCAGGCACACAATCCTCTCATGACCCTTGACTGGAAGTTGCTGGCATGGATACCTGGAATAGATAGGTACAGGTGTCGGGTCAGGGACATACATCATGGATGTAGCTTACCTCAATCAAAGGTACCTCGTCGGCTAGTGTCCAGGAATGAATGAGACCAGTCACCCAAGGAATATCACCCCCCCCAACCCCCTCCCCCTCCCCCTCCCCCCCTCAAACTTGGTCGCAGATCGATTAGCTTCATCGCTGCAAGGGTGCGTGCAGATGCGTCGTTGCAGATCCGCGCCTAACGTCCATCCTCTAAACGTTAATCATTCAACGTCCAACGTCCAACAATCCAATTGAATAATCGTGAATTGCAATCTCAACTTTGATTACCCGCTATTCACAACAATACCAACAATGCCTACAACAGTCTTTGTCACTCTTTCGTCTTGCTTGTGCCTTACTCACTCCCTTGAGCCCTAGACACCCTCTCGCCAACTGTCAGCTGCCAATCCACCTGCACAGCCCTGCCATTCCTGCTTACAATATCCTCTTCACACTTTACCTTGACATCACATTCTACCTACCTATCTACTACCTATCTACTCAACCGAGATCTCGCGTCAGCTCATCATTGCTCATCATCTCACCTACCACTACCAATCCACTATTCTCCCTTGCCTCCACTACACATCTGTGCTCCCGTTATTCAGTCTACCCATCTTACCACATCAGCCTTGTTCGTTGTCTCCTTTCCTCTCTAGCTCCATCTTATCCATCTTCCGCCCTTCTCTCGGCTGCTCCCTCGACACACAATGCCTCTTACATGTCAATCTCAACCCTCATATCCATGCTTCCCACTCATCTGTCACCACTTGCCCATAAACCCTGTCCCGCTGCCCGCTGTTCGGCGTGCTAGAGAGCCCAGAACTGCCGACCAGATGTCCTTGACATCTACTACTCTTTGGCCACCCGTATCCCCAGTGCATGCCTCCATCACATATCTGCCACTTGACTTCCGCGAGCCCGGCTTGTGGCTTTGGTCCGGCTCGTCTCTGTAACCTATCTGGACTCACTCCTAATTTTCAACCGGTCTGACACGTTCCAAACCGGTCTCTCTGCTCTTGTGCTTCCTGTCTTGCCACACTTACCCTACATCTCTCTTCATGTCTGCCATCTCTCAACCGTGTCTTGACCGACACCGTACTCCCTCTGTGCTTCAATTGCCACCCACGCCTCCGGACACACGCTTCGTCAAGCCAACCGATCTATCCATACCCTTTTCGCGACTGCACACTGTAAATATTTGCATTGCGCTGTTTTCGGAAGGTCCCGTCGTGACTACCTCACCTCTATCCTGTCACCTCTCAGTTGTTCTTTCCCAATCATCCCTGCTACTCTTCCCGTCTCCTTCCGCCCGAAACTTCCATCAACATCACTACCGGATCGTCCGAGCCATCCTTCACCCGTCTGGCCTCACCTGCTTTTCTACCGGACACGGGCCTTCACAAGCTTAAACCACACCCTCTCAATTCCATACACTTCACCATCCCATCCTCCATATATACCACCATCCCATCCTCCATATATATCACCCCTCTTCCACTCCATCTCACGACCACTCCTGGTATCATTAGCCACTCGCTCTCTACCATTCAACGCGCTTGACTTCTTGACTGTTTCCATCACCTCTCGTTTCTGCGTCTTCTGGGTCTTGAAGCTGCACGGTCACTTCTCTTACCTGGGACCATCACATCATTCTCACTACCATACATCTACGACCATGACTGAGTGCTTGGTTGCCACGACGACGCGTCTGGAGAGGTATCGCATGACCATGGATCAGATTCGGGGAGAGGAGTATCCTATGATGGCGACAAAGACCTATCTTGATCATGCTGGCACTACCGTATGTCACTCAAGTACCTAACTAGGTAATGCCCTGAGCTAAACTGCCCTTTCAGATTCCGGCAAAGTCAATGCTCAAAGCTACGTACGAGGACTTGGTGTCTAATCTCTATGGCAATCCGCATTCGGAGCACAATGACTCCGTGCGCACTAGCCGCAAGGTCGACGCTGTTCGCCGACAGACTCTTCGTTTCTTCAAAGCCGATCCTGCCCACTTTGATGTCATCTTCGTGGCAAACGCTTCGGCCGCCATCAAGCTGGTTGGCGAGTGTTTCCGGGACGCTTCTGAGAAGAAGAAGAAAGGCTTCTGGCTCGGTTATCACCGTGACTGCCACACCAGTGTGGTCGGTCTACGTGAGGCAAGCAAAGGCCGTCACCATTGCTTCAAAGATGACCGTGACGTCAACCAGTGGATCAATGCTGGCGCTCAGTTCAACCGCGATGCTCGAAGACAGCGAAGCAAAGATCAGCTCGGACTGTTTGCATATCCAGGCCAGTCAAACATGACAGGTCGTCGTCTTCCTCTTTCATGGTGAGCTTCATCACTCTTTATTTTCATGGCATGTCGTTGCATTTTCTGTTTCGTTAGAGTGTGAGCATATGCAGTGCGACCGGCCCGCTGCACTTCATTCCACATATTGTCATGGCGTTCGTCATGCATCTAAGATCTGGCACGTGCACAAGCCCGTGCCTTGATTTGCCTCTCCCTTGTATACGTTTGCTGGCGACCCTGAACAGATCTGACGAGAGCCTCCAGGTCAGAGAACATCCGCGCATCGCACTTGCAGGACAACATGTACACTCTGTTGGACGCTGCAGGGCTTGCCACCAGCTGTCAAATTGATCTGAGTGACCCCAGACGTGCTCCTGATTTCATGACCGTCAGCTTCTACAAGATTTTCGGTGGCCCGAATCTCGGAGCCCTGATTGTCCGAAAGGTGGCTGGAGATGTACTACGCTTCCAGAAGGACTTTGGCGGTGGTTCAGTCGACATGGTCATTTCCATGGGTGCCACTTGGCACGCAAAGAAGAGCGAACTTCACGATCGAATGGAGTACGGTACACTGCCCTTTCAGAGCATCATCCAGCTCGGACATGCCTTCAATGCCCACCAGAAGATATACGGCAGTATGGATGCCATCTCAAAGCACACCACCTCCCTGACTCGACTCCTTTACAGGGCACTGACGTCGCTGAGACATTCCAACGGCCGGAACATGGTCGTTGTCTACAACGATGTCCAAGACTATGCCTACGGAAATGCTCTGCTACAAGGTGGCAATATCGCTTTTAACCTGATCGACCAAGATGGCTATCTCGTCGGCTACACTGACGTTGAGAAGAGGGCCAACGACTACAACATCTCGATCCGCTCTGGAAGTCTATGCAATCCCGGTGGTTTTGCTCATTACCTGAACTGGTCCCCGGAAGAGATGAAAAGGGCTTACGAGGCAGGCCATCGCTGCAGTAACCCTACTCAGCTCATGAACGGCAAGCCAACTGGCGTCGTGCGCGTCTCTCTTGGAGCTATGAGCAATGTCACAGATGTTGACAAGTTTATCTGGTTCATTCGAAACAACTACTACAACATGGCAACGACGAGTACCGCTCGCAGCCACCCGATCCGCCACCACAACTCGTGCAACAACCTCGGCATGTATTGTGACAAAGCTGTGGACTCTGCAACAGAAACACTTCGCTCCTTCGATCTCGCCTCATCCAGCTCCGAAGATGATCCTATCAAAACCCTTCGCGCGCGTGTGTCGCTCGCTCAACTCCACCGACCTTCTACGGCGCGCTCTTGGGTCGGGAACCAATTCTCCAAGCTAAATTCCCGATCCAAGATGCCAACCAAGATAGCGGCATAGACTCATGCTGAACATTTCGACTTGTCTACTTATAATATCACTAATCCTATATCCCATTTGTGAGGCACTTTGCCAATGAGCATTCCCCTTTCTGCATGAAATGGCACGTTTTAACTTGATGTTGTTGTTCTTCCCACAAATGATGCATATTTGACTCGCTGATTTCATCTCCTTGCTGTCTGTCATTCTCATGATGAAGGTGGAGGGAATGGGGGCGTCTGATGGTGTCACACGAGTGGTGGTGCTGGACTACTGCAATACACCTTGCGCGCAGAGGACGAGCGGTATTCGCATTTTCCTTCAATAATTTTTACGCAAATCTTCTCATGTGTTTACTGAAAAATAGCCGCTCGGAACGGCTTTGTGGGACGGGTAACGGGCAAAGATGTGTTTCACCATAGATACCCGGAGTATTTCGCTAGTAATGTCATTCGTGTCTATCATAACACCATCTTTTCACTCTCACGCACTCATACGCCCACACACCCACACTCACACTCACACTCACACTCACACCTCCGCGTCTTTCACGGCCTGCCTGATCACGTCATGCCTGCTGCGTAATCCTCTCGTGGAACAACCCAGACATGTGGCCAAAATAAACAAACTATGTCCGCCCTTCCGTTACTCTCCGCTCCGTATCCCACCCACCCAATTCATCACGACGACGACGACAACAACAACGACAGCGACGACAACAACGACAACGACAACGACGACGACAACGACGACAACGACGACGACAACGAATACGACATGTAGACTACGTGTACACTTAACTCCGTGCGTGCGTGCGTGCGTGCGTGCGTCCGTCTGTTTATCCGTTCTGCGTCTCCAATTCGAAGGGGGGACATGGGATATCTCGTCTGCTTTGAAAGGAGAATATATAATCATGACTTTATTCTGCCAGTTTCTTTTTTTTTTTTGGGGGGGGGGGGGGGAAATGGTATCTTCGATCTCATGCATTTGTGATCCTGTACCCTTTTTGGCCTCTTTTCAACCTCTTTCCATCCCATGCACTTTCCAAACCCCTTTCCAGTCCCCTTTCCAATCCCGTACCCTTTCGATACATCCAGCCATTCATCTTCATCCTACGTATCTTCTCTTATCTTCTCTTATCCCATCCTGTGCAAGCTCTGTGCTGACATGACGCTTTCTCCTTCATGACTACTTGGTGCTCATGCCTTCTGCTCATGCCTTCTGCTCACGCTTTCTGCTCACGCTCTGTGATTTGTGACTTCTTTGTCGGAGAGACTGCGTGGAGACTGGTTGGCTTTTTTTTTTTTTTTGGTTTTTCCGTACTTTGGTAAAAAGACTGCTTGTGTTTGTATACTTCCTGAAAAGGGAGAGCTTTTTTTCATACAACGGGGAAAGAATGCCTGTGATAGTGATGGTATTTGGGAGTGATGATAGGATGGAGGAGGGTATTTGAGGGTGTGAAGGATGAGGTCTGGTGGGAAGGATATGTGGTTGGAGTATGTGGTTGGAGTATGTGGTTGGAGTATGTGGTTGGAGTATGTGGTTGGAGTACGTGGTTGGGGTGCGATATAGGGATACCATGTAGGAATACGAGGTGAGTACGAGTACGTGGCATGAATACGAGGTAGTAATAACACTTGAGAAGTAAGAGTGCGCAGGTAGGTCAGTCATCAGCCATCAGCCATCCTCCTTCAGTCATCAGTCGTCAGTAATCAGTAATCAGCCATCAATCATCAATCATCAGTCGTCATCACAGAAACAATATATATACACATAACTACCACGAGTGCATGGTTCCGAGAGAAAGGTAGTCAAAAGGGATGGACATGTATAGCAAGGATTAACATATGCATGCATGCATGCATGCATGATAGCTATAAGGAATTATACGGGCATTCATACGAGGACTTGTCAGAGCCTGCGAAGACGGTGGGAGTAGTTACGAGACGATGGCAGTCAACCGCACGATGGTATTTCCAAGACAATGATAAAGCTAGACTACCATGAACTTGAACCACGAAGTGCTGGGTCGTTAGTAGTGTAATAGAGCGATGTGAGAGTACATCAAACACATACACGATATCGAAACCATGGACTCTGTCGTGCGATAGGATCGAGCAGGATATTCCATAGCATGGCGTACCACATGCCTACACCTACAGCTACATCTACACTGGCATCAATACCATACCTCACCATATTATCGAATCCTTGCCTACGCAAGTTTATACATGGTGTGTATATAGAATATAGATAAATAGAAACGGCGCTACATGAAATCTCGCACGACGACGAAGAAGAAGAAGGAAACCATCGTTGGATGACTATTTTGTAGTAGCAGTAGTTGTAGTTATAGTAGTGAGTAATGTGTATAGGTTTCGCTGGCTAGGTACATGTGTGTTTCTATATCTACTACACCCTCCGATGATTCCGGGTTGGAACATGGGATGACTAAGGCGCATTAAGGAGAGAAAAAAAAAACAATTCAAGACTTGGATAAAACATAGGACTAGAGCAGAACGAAGAGATACAAAGCAAAAGTGGGGAGCGGAAACTACAGAACGGGAGAACCGTAAGGAGAGAATTGAGAATAGAAAGAGAAAACGGGGAGAAAGGGGAGAAAGAAGGGAGCGGATTTCAGAGGACTTTTTTGTGTGTCTGTGTTGGAATGTTGGTATGTTACACGAGCGATTCATGGCATTGCTTCGTGGTTGTTCCTTTCTTGTGTTTATTCGTGCTCATGCTCATGCTCATGCTCATGCTCATGCTCATGCTCATGCTCATGCTCATGCTCATGCTCATGCTCATGCTCATGCTCGGACCAACATCAGCACTGCCACTGGCACCAAATCTCCCCTCCCCGTCCCCGTCCACGTTCCAAGGGCCACTTCCCGGCCGAACCAAGAAAAACATAAGAAAGGGGGCCCGAAGGAGGCCAGGCTCTTGCAAGTCCCTACAGAGAGTCGTACAGATGAAAGAGTAAGGGTACGTGGTATTGCTGGCTGAGTTATGTGCCCGCTCTTGGGGATGGTTGGAATGCTGCTTGGATTAGGTGGAAAGCGAGCTAGGGACAGGATGGGACGTGATGCTCGTGGTGAGGAGTGGGGTTTCTATGTGTCTATGTGCAGAGGCGAGTGCGTGGATGGAGGACACCCATTCGTATATGGAGAGAGAGAGGGAGAGAGAGAGGGAGAGAGAGAGGGAGAGAGAGAGGGAGAGAGAGAGAGTGTGTGTGTATATGTGCGAGTATGCGTGAGCGATACATGCATGCATCATCGTGAATATCCGCTCTTGGCTCTGCGTTCCCACGTCTCTTACACGACACGCTTCGGACATCGAAGGTCTTGCTATGTGCATCTCTGCCTGAACGAGTTGATGTATGTATGAATGAGTGAGTTGATTTACCAAGCACCCAGTCTCCCCACTGATATATCGCCCCATTCCACGAAACCACACGCTCACTCCGTTCCATCTCCATCTCCATCTGCACCACTACACTTTCGCACATCTATATGCTCAGCCGTGCACATTGATCACCGACGCTTCGCATAAGTCTGATCCGCACTCGGCTCTATCGTATGGCATGCATAAATATGTGGAAGCGTCAAAGCCGCAATAAGAAATTCTTTGGAGTCTATAGTACCAGCGCGTTATCATGATATTCGCAATTTCTTCTCTTCTCTTCTCTTTCCTTAACTTTTCCATCTCTCTCCTCTCCCTCCCAAGGATGCAGCTGACTGGGGGGATAATTCCCGAGTTACCCAGACTGAGCGCGATGGACATTGACGCTCTCGATTGACCACCTGCCCACCTGCCCGCCTGCGCAGCAACCTCCCCGCCCCTCCCTTTCATCTTACCCAAAAGCCTCCGTCCTACCACCCACTTAGCACCCGCAGAACCGTCGTCTCCTGTCCCTACCTCCCTGCCCCCCTAACCCCCGGAACGCATCACGTACAAGCTGATCAGCATACCCGCGCCACCGTCCAACCATACACCCCTCCTTACCACTCAATGCCAGCACGCGCTAGAAAGTGTCATGGCCCACAAAGACCGTGCATTGAGGCCGGCAGGGTGAGTGTCAGAGTACAGCAGAGTTGGGGAGTTAAGTTTGTACGAGGGAGAGTGTAAGGGATGGAGGATACAGACTGGAGATGGGGAGGGGGGATAGGGAGGGTGCGTGGGATGGTGGGTGGGTGCATCCCTTGCTTGCGTGCGCGCGGTGGTGGGAAGGGGGGAGGGGGATAGATCTGGGGGGCAAGGGAGAAGAGGGAGAGTGGGTTGGTGTTGGGAGAATCGGGCAAGGGAATAGAGCATGAGCGGACAGACTGGGCGGTCTTGGTGAGGATGATGGATGCAATACGCGCGACTGCGTAGACGGAACAGTACGAAATAAGAGTGTATGTGATGTACGAGCGGCAAGGAATGCACTTGATCAAAGGAGCATCACACCAAACAATACATGCCGAGAAGGTTCAGAGTCACAGACACGAGTTCATCCAGATACCTTGCTGCATACAACAGATACGCAACAAAGGTCTCTTTTGACGGATCAACACGTCGCTCGCTGGTGGCAGAACTACCCGCCTCTACAAGAGACAAAGAACTGCAGCTAGCAGTGCAGCATGTTGACTGTCTGAGCGGCATCAAAGTACCCATGTCTGTGTTTATTGCAAAGAAGAGTCCATGCATACGCTTCAAACAAGTAGGTCTACGTATCGATCCAGTGAAGTCGTCTGCGTGGTCCTAAGACCAGGCCCTTACATCCAACAAAGGAGCACAATGAAGTCCGTTCCATCTCATGGAGGCGATAGGGTGTATTGGGCGGAAAGAGGGTATTGGGAGAGCGCTCGAAGTGTGGGCGGGTGCTGTTGAGTACGGCATTTGCAGCAGTGACGATGACACCGTGATGCATTGCACGAGGTGAAACCAAGCCTTCATCATGACAGCCTGGTCAGATGGGAATCCTCGGGCGTACACATAACCCAGCCTTGGAAATGAGCTAGTTTTATGTCCATCATAGCGTTCGTCCGGTTGCGAGAACCAAGCTATGTCAACACAGGTAACGCTTTAGGACGGTTTCACAGCCTAAGATAACCAGAAAGAAACCCCGAAAGATATGGTTCGAATCATCATACAACGCTATCAATCATGTTTCAATCTTCTCTCGAACCACGATGCTGACTTCAAGCGTCGTCATCACAGCGTGGGTCTAGTAGCGTGGCGACTGGACAATGAACAGACTGACTGCATAGTTGTATCTTGGTTCGTCTATTGTGACTTGGTACCCTTGGAAGCAAATCGAGCTACGAGTCGCGTGAACTTTGCACGAATGAAACCTTTCAGCCCTCCAGGTCCCACGCTAGCAACCTCATCTGCTGCAACAAATCTACGGACCAACGGGTTGAAGATGCTCCCAAAGCCGAGCGCCATTACAGTACTCGTCAGGATGATGACATTATAGGGCATGCTAAAATCAGGAGTCGGTAAAGGTAAGAGAAGACTCGTGGTGCGAAGGTATGCACCGCGCGACGCTTTAGCCTCTTTAGGCGACAGTAACCTGATGACTGCTGGTGCGACATCAAACCCTCGATTCGCGTCAGGCGGATACTCTGTATAGCGCAGAATGGCTTTATCAAAGTCATATGTTAGCGTGAGCGTTGATGCTGGAGGCACGGAAAGAAGTAGTTCCAAGTGGGTGCCTCGGTGGCGGTCGACAGCGGGACGGTAGTACGTTTCGACGATAGGATTTTCAACGGCGCCAGATGTGGCGTTGGTGGCGGAGGAACTTGATACAGAGGCGTGAAGAGTGTGGAGGTACGGTTTCATGAACCAAGGTAGGGATTCCAAATAGACAAAGTCGATGGCGGAGGTGGTTGATGGATTGTTGATGACTGCTTGGACACTGCCGCGTTCTTGCCCATATCCGTTGATAGAGCGGGCGGCATAAAGGTGTGGTTGTGGAAGTGGTGTATCGACCAAGAGGGTCTGATCGGGAAGTTCGAGATCAAAGTCGTCACCGTCTAGGTAATTTGTCAGTTTCATTGTTGAACCGCGTTCGTTAGTCTTGAAGACTTACTAGAAAGCTTGTAGCATCGAAGGAAGCCATCCTCATGCCTGTGCTCGGAGAAGCTTGAGGAAGTATTCACCCGCACTTCACGTTCAGGTGGGACGTTGATGCAAATTGTCTCAGACCCTTCACCGCTTAAATCTGCCAAATGACAGGAGCCCTTGATGGGACGTCCAAAGACCTCCGTCAGAGACCAAGTAGGGTCAGAGGATCTGTGCAGGGGATAACATGCATCGCCGTAAGCGCTATAGTGCTTCGAAGAATCGCAGACAAGATCCTCCATCTTACCAGGTCTTGGTATGGGATTTTCTAAACTGTGTTAGCTGGAGGGCATGATATGAATATCTTGCTAACCTCGTGGCCGCTTAGACCGTTCGATATCAAGTACCATGTCCACGGTCTGCTCCATTTCTAGGATACATTCGGATCCATCAGCCGGGCATACGGGTCTGACATCGATGGACATCGTCTGCCATGATGCATCAAACAGCTTGTGTCCGTCGAACAGACTCGAAATGCCAGCTTTGCCCTTACACGGAAGGAGCTTAAGAAAAGGTGTGAGATTCTCTGTGCACACAACCTCGTGAGGTAACGTGCCATGTAGTAAGTGTAAACTTGACAACGAGCTCTCTGAGTGGGAGCCTTCGGGTTGGAACGACATCACAGGACGTATCGTCTTTGTGGAATCGATGAAGTTGAGGGACGCACAAAACAGGCCGGAAAGAGTGTTGGTGAGGGTGAGCCATTGGGCATTCGCCCTAGGATTTCATTAGCTGGGATCTTCATGTTATATCGTTCATGCACACTGTTCTTCTGAATCTGCCTCAAGCCATGCCCATAGTTCTACTCCAGTTCCCCCCTCCCTCGCACCATTCCATGGAAGGGCACCCCAGCTCTCCGCATCCCAACGTCCAACGCTAAATCGAAGGTGTAACTCTTTCGTGTTAGTGTGCTGGAGGATTTGACCAAGCGAACGTGGGAAAAGTCTGAAGTTCTGTTGGTCGAAGGCGCTTGCAGATGTGTTGCTCCGAAAGTTGAACGAGGCGAGAAGTGCGGACTGCGGAAGAGGTCTCAAAAGGAGACGTTCATGGTAGTCGGAAGGTCCTGCGCCAGCGTATGCGGCGTGTAGAGGCGCAACTAGAAGAGTGAAAAGGAAATGAAACAGCATTACGGCCTTCCCGCCGACGCTGTCAAGAGAAGAATCACTTCGATTTAACGAGTCGTTGAGCCTATACTCTCTTGCATGCTATATAACATGTCCAAGCTCTCCACGTTCATGACAGACGCGTCGGCTGCACTTCGGAGCTTCGCGCGCAATCTTATAGATTTCTCGAACACCCACAGAGGTCATATCAGGTCGCGAGCTTTCATAACGGATAGATTGCCTAAAGCTCCACAGTCGAACCAGAACCGTCTATCTAGATCTCTGAACGTAATGGCAGCTGAACAGCGTAGGCTGCTTGGTATGTTTCTGAACTGGAAGCTAGAATGTTATGTAGCAGCTAACAGAATTTCCAGAGCAGCTTATGGGCGAACAGCTCATGGCTGGCCCGGGTCCTCGCGCACCCCAACTTGCTATCACGGACCCGAAAGTCTGTCGCTCCTATCTCGCAGGAACATGTCCTCATGACCTATTCACCAACACGAAGCAAGATTTCGGACCATGCCCCAAAGTCCACAGCGAGGCGCTGAAGTCGGAGTACGATGGAGCAGATGAGACGCAGAGGAGGAAATGGGGCTTTGAGTTCGATTACCTGCGCGATATGCAACGCATCATCGACGACTGCAACAGAAGAATAGACACGGCACAAAGGAGGCTAGAGAAGACCCCGGATGAGATCCGGCAAACAAATCTGCTGGTCAGCAATCCCCATCTGCATGGTTCCTACTATCACTAATCCTACAGCTCAAACAAATCTCGGACCTTTCTCAGACAATCGATTGTGGCCTCCAGGAAGTGCAGATACTTGCTGAAGAAGGCGCCATAAACCTAGCTGTCACCGAATACTTCAAGATCAAGCAAGCAAAGCAGTCCAAAGAAGACAGGGAGCGCGAACTCAAGGCATTATCTGATACATCAGGTCCATCTGGACATCAGAAACTTCAGGTGTGCGATGTTTGCGGTGCTTATCTAAGCCGTCTCGATAATGATCGACGTCTTGCCGACCACTTCTACGGCAAAATGCACTTGGGATATGCGCAAATGCGGAAGACTTACGAGACTCTACAGAAAGAGCTGAAGGGGCGTGCTCCGCCTCCAAGAGAGGATGTCAGCGGGAGGGGCGATTTCGACAGCCCGTATGGCGACAGAGGCGGATGGGGCGGTGGACGTGGAAGAGGTGGTGGCTGGGGTCGTGGTGGAGGCGGTTTCAGGGGAGGTAGAGGCGGCGGTGGAGGCTTTGGTAGATACTGATGGGCTGACATTCAATCTTCTTCTTTGGGTCTGTACTTAGCGAGGCGTCCTGGAATGTCAGTATGGGGATTTGAAGGATGTTCATGTCCTACAGCGGATGGGAAGACATTCTGTATATGATAAATGGCAGGCATAACACAGCACGACGCAGAGAAATGCTCTCATCGTCTAGCTTTTTCAATCTGTAACCTCCAACTTTAGTCATCATGGAGACTTGTAATGCATTACAGTATTATACGTTAAGTCAGTATACATGCAACATTAAATAATATCGGGTACAGCCGTGTGATTGGACGGCTCACCATCCGGATGAATATGACGTGCACGGTTCACCCACCACCGCAAGGCGAACCCTGGCCACACGTTCGACCACGAACGTATGGCGGCCAAATATTTATCAACTTTACCACACGACACCATAACACATCGCTTTTGAAGATCGCTGACACACATCCATATCCGAAGTCGCAAATAAGTCTTTCAAATAACTCAATCACCCTACTCCAACAACCCCTACTGCCATCGTGCAGACATACTCCACGATTATGTCTAGACGACCCAACCCTGCCGCTGACCGCGCGCAACAGAATACCCAGACTCTCAAGAGCTTAGTAAAGCTAGAAGCAAACAAGAGCTGCGCAGATTGCAAAAGGAATAAGCGTATGCATTGCGCTTCAAGTCATGTGGAAAAATACTCACCAAATTGGCAGATCCAAGATGGGCAAGTTGGAACTTAGGGGTTTTTGTTTGCATACGGTGCGCTTAGTAGACCACTGGATAAAGTAAAACTCGCTGACAGACCGCAAAAGATGCTCAGGTATACACCGAGGGATGGGAACCCACATAAGCCGAGTAAAATCAGTCGATCTAGACTCCTGGACAGACGAGCAGTTACAAAGCATGTTGAAATGGGGTAATGCTAAAGCCAACAAGTATGTACGGTCCCACCGCTGTTATGGATCTTGACTCACAGACTTAGATACTGGGAACACAAACTCGCGCCCGGGCACGTGCCTGCTGAAGCGTATGTTGAAACTTATGAATGGCAGCCCCCACTCTGACGATGGAAATAGCAAGATGGAGAATTTCATTCGAACTAAGTATGAGTCGAAACGGTGGGTCATGGAGGGAGGTATCCCAGACCCGGCCACACTTGGAGGAGACGTAGACGATGATGTTGTATGTACCATCTTCTTTCTACAGTAGACTACTCCTGTCGCGGTTGTTGCTAATCGAATTCATAGCCTCTCAGTGTCGTACAAGAGAAAGCTAAGATCGAACGATCGACTTCACTCAATGCCGCGCGCGCTCCCACGGGTCGAGTTCCACCTCCCTCGAGACCCCAGCAAAACATTGATCTTTTCGGCGACGACCCATCACCTGCCCCTCAGAGACCAAGCACTACAGGACCTCCGTTGAATGTGCCCCCGAAGTCGGAAGCGGCTGCACCTAAGCACACCAAGCCAGCAGACTCGCTTCTTGGATTTGACTTCTTCGGAACGCCTGCTGCTGCACCGCCCGCGAGGCCCTCCAGCCACTCTGCAGCTGCTACTGGACCCTCCATACCATCACGGCCGGATCTGAAGCAGTCAATCCTTTCTCTGTACGCATCAGCCCCGAAACCGGCACCACAAGTGCAGCCTCAGCAGCATGGTCAGACGGATTCCTTTGGTGGACTCATGTCTGCCGGGCCTTCACAGCAATCGCCGCAATCGGCAGTTGGCCTCAACGATGCATTTAGCAGCCTTTCATTTGAGTCCAATACCACACAACAGCAGCCGCGATCATCCGCTTTTTCAGGCCTGGCTACTTTCTCTAATCAGCGTTCTTCGCCGGCCCCGTCAGCTGCGCCCGCAGCTTTTGGCGGAGGAGGCGATTTTTTCAATGCCCAGCCGAAGGCGACAAAGCCAGCGAACCCTCCACCTCAACAACACAATCATCAATCATCGAAGCAGTTCAGCAACATGAATGACCTTTTCTCTACCCCAGCTCCAGCCGCTCAACCTAAACCAGCACCTAAAGCCACCAGCGGCATGGGGGACCTATTTGATCTGACCGCGCCTACATCACCACCTGTACCACCCAAGCCAGCTACTCAGACCTCACCACATACATACTCCGCTTTCAACCTATCTGCTCCTGCTCAACAACCACAGGCTTCACTGAAACCACAACCCGTGACCTCGCCAAGCTTCTCTTCGGGCTTCAACTCAGACCCCTGGGGCACGAACGATGCATGGGCGAATAGTAAATCCACTACTTCTTCCCAGCCACCATCATCCATAACTAAGGTATCTACTACTGATGACTTCGGAGGCTGGGGTAGCACCATAACCCCTGCGAAACCAACATCACCTAAGGTAACTGCGGACGACGACTTTGGCGGCTGGAGCACCGCCCCGCCCGTATCATCTGGTTCGAATAACTTACCAAAAACCACTGGAGCTTTCGGTGCAGGGGGTGATGATCTTTTCTCAAATGTGTGGGAATGATTGGAAGGAAACCAACAAACTCCATGTACTGGGGGAGTTTGGAGCATGATAAGTAGACGTAGTAGAGTGGAGTATACCATTATGACATTTGAACATTAAGTTGCAAGGATACTTGCCAGGGTCGCTGTATAAATATATAGTCGACATATCAATGTTCAAGTAGAACGCTCGCAGCACGCTCCCACCGTGAACTCCTAAATCAGAGAGCGCGCCAACATACTCGAAACCTAGGATATTGGCACACTTAACCCACTGTTGATCCAGCACGGCTCCCCTTCCTCTTATGTGCCCCCTAGCCCGTAAAAAAGCCCCATATCCACCATAGCAATATCACCACGACCGAAATAATGCCCGCAAGCTTAAAGATGGCGACTTTGTTTCCTGACTGTGCCATACGACCCATACGTACGGCGGAAGTCTTGAGCGAGGTGGAGAAGTTTGAAAATGTCTCAGACTACGTGTGTGCACGTTAGCAACTGTGGGGCCCAGAGATGTAAGGCCTAGAGAGAGTATGTATCGTGGAGGAACGTTTGGAAGGCGAGCCTCCGAAGGGCAGGATATATGACATACGGTGTTCTCAATGACCCTCTGGTCGCGCGCTTGGTCGTAGATATCGATCGTTACGCCGCGCAGCGCGGACACTTTGTTGGAAAGCTCATCGAGGGCGGAGTTATTCTGGCGCTCGCGCTCGTACGCCTCGGACATGGTTGTGGCTCGGATCGTGCAGGTGTTTTGTGGCGACTTTATGAGATCATGTATGTGGTGTAGAGTAGTGTGATCTGGGGGTAGAGATTGCGATAGGCAAGATGCGAGGGCAGTCGCTGGGCGTTGGTTCAAGACGAGTTGCTGGATGTGACTTGGACTGAGGTGTGATATGGATCCATGCGTAGATTTGAGAATCCGTCTGTAACCTTTTCAGCGCGACTCTTGGCACGCGTCGCGCAAAGATATTAAAGATTATATATACTTTTAGTTATATCTAAAGAATACTTATTAAGTGCTTTTAAAGACTAAATAGATAATAGAGAAAATCTCGATTTTCTTATTTTCTCTACTACGTACCTTAGTACTTTAGTAGTTCTAAGGTAAGTTTTAAGAATAGGAGAAAAAGTAGTATATTGCGCGCGAATTCTAGAGAACTAGCTTAATACCTCATGTCGTAGTCTAAAATCACGCATAACTACTCATCCGGTAATTCTCATTGGTAATTCAAGATAGATAGGACAGGGATTACTTGAACACTACCTAGTCTCTACAATGGCCTATAAATAAATACTAATAGGAAGGTTAAGATCTTGGTGCGGCCCCTGTGGCTAAGATTATTCCTATATATTTATACTATACGGGCCCAGAGATAATTCGAATAGCCTTCCCCCTACACTCTCATCTGCTCCTAACTATTGAGGAATGGTTTCTCTTACGCTCTTCGCTGTCCTATTTTCGATATTCTTTCTATCATGCATTACTCAGGCTTATTATACTTCTCACATTTCTCACACACCTAATCCCGACTCCTACTACATACATCCTTCATGTCACGACGAGAGTGTCGTGATGGTTGCTATTTCAGAAGCAATTTATATGGCACGTCGGAGTGTCGATCGTCTAGATTCGATACTCACTCCCGAAGATCAGTCGATGGCCTCCGAAGAAGCTGTTGTTATGCGCGAAATACTTGACTATACATTTGGCATCAACGACGATAACTGGTATCTTACCCGTCAAGTGCACGAAGCCATGAGGTCGATCGCATCTATGGAACGCACTTGGGATTTAGACGCTAGCAAGGTGCGCTTCTATTGCGATAATGATAAACGCTTTGTTTCTCCACCCGAAGAGGTGGTACACAGGGCGGATTCACTGGGCAATATATTACCATGGCGCTCTTGGTTGAATCGCTCCAATGCCTCTCGCTACTCTTATTATTTCGATGCCGAGCAAAATAGGGATGGTACTCAGCCGTGGCGCTGGAGAAGGGGCACGCCACTATGTCGTAGTCGTGTTGACGAACATGTTCGGTATATCTGGCAGCTGCAGTCGTACCCATTTGCCGAGATTGTTCTTTGCCCCGTGTGGCCCACGCGCTCCAGAGTCTCATCAATCTATAATCTCTTGAAGGAAGTGGATGGGAAATTAAGCATGGGGCTGAGTCTTTCTGAACGTCAAACTAGTAATCCCAGTCCTACTTACCTTACTAATGGTGGCGAGGTCTACTATCTATCATCAATGCGTAGTCTATCACTCCTAAAAGACTGGGTACAAGTACGGGGTGAGTTCTAGTTTCTTCTGGTAGCTAGTCTACTAATAATTGGATATAGAGCCTAGAGCAAGTGACGGGGATGACCATAAATGGGAGGAGGTGGTCGTGGAGCCCCCAGAGAGAAAATTATCATCTGTAGCAAATTATGGTCAGTCTGTGTACCTAATTACGCTTACTTACTAATAATAGCTTAGCATTCTTCGGCTTACTTACATTCCTACTAGACTACAACATCAAGCTAAGTCCATTTAAGAGTCAAGCTATGGTCGGGGACTTAGTCCATTTTGTAGACTCAGACGAGTCAGACGAGGAGGAGTAATATAGAGGAATGCGATGATCGCACAAATATACTCCTATCTTAGACTACGAGCCGCGAGTGCTGTTCTACAGTCACCCCTGGACATCCAGATCTATAGTGGCACGTACTAATGAGAAAACAATATCTCAACGCTCGAAAGACCATTCATTTTAGACTCCTAAAAGTCTAGAAGTGTACATAATACTATAGCTAGCGGAGCTCGTGAATATATATGTCTTTAAACACTACTATTCGTATGTCTCTGAAGATAAAGCACAGCTTTATATCGCTGCTCATGAATAAATTCCTTCTCTCTAGGTGGACAGAAGATTTATAATAACATCACCTATAAAGAAACATGCACGTGTTCATCACGAGGTACCAGTCTGAGTTCGTGGCATGCTTGTAATTCATTGTCTATGCATTGTTGTGGAATAAGCTACACATGTTTGACAGTCCTCAATCCTGGTACCTGCTCAGGAAGTCCGTCATCGCCTCCTGCATCTTCCTCCCATCTGAAGCAAGATCTTCCTCCTTGCGAGAGTAATAATCTCTCTGGTTGTCGATGATCACCCGGTGCGCCTCGATTATGGCATGCAGCAGTTGGATGTGCTCCTGCAAACTTCGTATAGTATGTGGGCGTCTCATGGGCGGGACTTCTGGGAGTCGCTCCAGGAAAGGGTTCTCTAGATCAAGTTCTCGCTCGATCGATCGAGCCACGTCCTCGGAGCTAGTGGATGATGATGAGAGCTTGCGTTTCTTCACGGGGAGTTCGTCGACACGGCGGTCTGCAGCCGGAGAGGCATCATCACGCTTCCGCTTGCCATTGGCGTTGTCAGACAGTGAGGTCGCTTGGCTGGGAGAGGACTCGACGGCAGAGTCAACGGTATCCACATCGGGAGGAGGGAGGTGAGGTGAGAGTCCATGACACATGAGAGCGAAACGCTCAATTTCTGCTCCGTCAGCTGGTGGGGTTTGTGTTCCACTGTGCTCGTGGAAGAAGGTACCTGGCACGAGATTATCCAGCTCTCTGGGTGAAATCTTGCGCTGTTTTGTCTTGTTCGCAACGGTAGGTGGTGACTTTGAAATCGATTTCTTCGAGTTCGAGGTCGATTTCGACGTGGATCTGGACTTAGACTTAGACTTGGACTTGGACTTTGCCAGAGAACCGCACTTCAGTGCTGTTCCGGGATTGTGACCGCTGTTTGCAGGCTTTGCAAGGATCTTCTGATCTTTTGTTACATCCTCATGTTGGATGCTGAGATGTGGCTGCTCTATAGCTGCCTTTGCTGCCATGGCCCTCTCAGCTGCGTCCTGTTGTTTCTTTTGCATGAGCTTCTCGGTATGATGTAGTTCGTGTAAGGCCCGCTCGACGTCATTGGCATTGACCCATTTGGGTTCAGGCAGGCCTTTGGCGATGGCTTCTTTCTGGCGATCACGTTTTCCTATTGTCTTCTCCCATCGCTGTCTGTTGGCAAGCATGATGGCCTCGGCAGCTTTCGCACGGCGATCAGAAGTGAAGGAAGCGATCTGGGCTAGAGCCTGCAGTAGAGCAAAATCCCAGAATTTAGGGGCACGGGGCGAACAGACAGCGGTGTTCAATAGTTCTTCGACGGGCTTTCCCCAATGGCCGTTGATGATGTCGACACACCCTTCGGGAGTGGCCAATGGATCGAAGTCTTCAAGATGCTCAAGAGGGTCCCAATCAAGGCCGACATCCTCTTTCTTGATGAGGGGGTCTTCATTCGACTCATCCTCGAGTTTGACAACGACCTCCTGGGTCGCGTTCGATGCAATAGCAATAGAAGTGGAAGGGGATCCAGATCCAGATCCATAGGGAGTAGATTCCTTGGGATTGATAGATTTAGACATGGTGGCAGAAATTTCAACCTTGGAGTGTTAACGAGAGATTGCCATTTCAAGCGATAAGGACTTACAGTCTGCGGGAGGCAGGATTATAGAAAAGTGTTCAATTTTGAATGTAGCTTCGAATACTCGACGAGGAGAGTTCCTGTGACAGAGACCTATAATGAACGAAATGATCGTCAGGCGTACAAACAGTGTATCTTCAGCAATCGAGTGGACAAGATGTTTGCCGATTGTGCAGAGACGACAGCGTTGTGAACGAGAATCTCTGCAGATGGTGATTTTTGGGTAGGTGCAGGGGAAGGTGGGTTGATTGATCGAGAGAAGGTTATGGTAGACAGAGATCTTCGATGATCAAGATGCGTGCACAATGTATACGGAAAATAGGTTGAGTACCGAAGAAGGATGCGGCGATGTGCATCAAGTGTTTTGAAGATGAGAAGAACCGGTCAGAGATTTCGCGTTGCTTTATACAGGCGAAATTGCAGGCTCGGGGGTTGGTGCGTCCTAAGTGATTTGGAAGTGAACAATAGGAAAAGTGGTCGGCGACACACGCAACTAGGGGCTATTGAGCACATCTCCTCAAACACTGCTTTTCAATGACGCAATTGTTAGCCATAGACCGCCTTACGAAAAGATGAATTGTGTAAACGAGGCGTGAAAGTGCACATGCACTCCTGAATAGGCGGCCTGGACCAACGGGCCCAGCTCAGTGTTGATTGAAAGTCGAAGACAAAAGAGATAAGAATAGAGGACTGTTATGATCATACTTCTGAAAGACCATGGGACATTCCGGTAAATGGGAGGACTCTAATACGATATATCATGGTTCTCAATGCTCCAGGTTTGATACAATAAAGATGATCATTGGATTGGGGGTCGAGACAGAGCAATGACTGGAAACCGCATGATCCAGCGAGAGATAACATGGTTTATCAATTCTGCCCGGAGTCGTTGTTGGCATAACTGTGGTTGTACTGCATCGAAGCATTGTTGTGAACGTTGACGATTTGCCAAGGCTCCTGAGTGACTTGAAGCAACCTGGAGGCGTAAGCCTTGATTATTAATTACAGTAAGGGTAAAAAAGCGTGACTTGGTGGGGTAATGCCATCCGGATCCATGACTGTGCCACTGCGGCTGCTGCTGATGTGGCTGGAGCTCGGCTCGGTTAATGCATCTGATCCCCCTCACTTGCCTAGGTATAGGTAGCCTACTGCTCCATATTCACTCTAGGCGTCTAGTCCCAATGACGACGATATGTCTTCTGATAGCGGTTGTCTTCTTTCGCTGACTCCTCGCTGCTCGCTGACATTATTTCCCCCTTGAATTCCAGTAGATCACGAAACCCTTCTTACAATGCCTGCTGGTATACGCATTGCGCCGAACAAGGCCACACGAGCTCTTAACCTTCTCCGCACCGTTCAATATACCCACCCGCCGTCATGTCCGTGTCATTCGAATCCTGCACATCACCATCATGGGGCAATACAGGAGGCGAGAAGGTCTTTGGCAACGCCAGTTGATTTCTCACAACAGAAGGAGTATGCTTTCGAGATGGCTGCTTCTAGCATCCGCTTCGGACCTGGCTGCACCAAAGAAGTGGGCATGGACTTCAAGAACATGGGCGCCAAGAAAGTCATGATCGTGACAGACGGCAATGTCAGGAAACTGACGGCTATGAAGCAATGTGTTGAGGGTTTAGAGCGTGAAGGCATTGCGTATGAGATATTCGATAAAGTTAGGGTCGAACCGAAGGACAGCTCGTGAGTGGTCAAGCCATCTTGAAGTGATAGGCCTTGGTACTGACTCTGATTAGGATTCGAGAAGCTATAGACTACGCTAAACCGTACCAGCCCGACGCTTTTCTTGCCGTTGGTGGTGGCTCTGTCATCGATACTGCAAAACTCATGAATCTTTATACAAGCTTTCCACAAGCCGACTTTCTCGATTTCGTTAACGCACCCCTAGGAAAGGGCCTTCCGATTACAAGCAAGCTATTCCCCCTCGTCGCGGTCCCAACGACTGCTGGTACGGGGTCTGAGACGACCGGCACAGCGATTTTTGATCTTGTGTCGAAGAAAGCAAAGACCGGCATTGCACACAGAAACCTAAAGCCTACCTTGGGCATATGTGATCCACTAAACACTCGGACTATGCCTTCAGCGGTGCACGCATCATCTGGTCTCGATGTACTGTGCCATTCGCTGGAGTCTTGGACGGCCATCCCCTATCACGAGCGAGTGCCACGACCTGCGAATCCTATTCTGCGCCCTGCATACCAAGGAGCCAATCCTATCTCTGATATATTCTCCCTTCAAGCTCTCCGAGACACCGTAAAGTATCTCCCTCGCGCAGTTAAAGACCCCGAGGATCATGAAGCTCAGTCTAAGATGCTTCTCGCTGCTACATTAGCCGGTGTCGGGTTCGGAAATGCTGGTGTGCATCTGTGTCACGGCATGTCGTATCCCATTTCAGGCCAGAACCCTGGATACAAGCATGCAGGTTATCAGGTAGAGAATTCAATCATTCCTCATGGTGTCAGTGTAGCTGTCACGGCGCCGGCTGTTTTCAGGTTCACTGGAGCTTCAAACCCAGAGCGACATCTTGCAGCCGCCGAAGTCTTCGGTAAAGATATCAGCAACGCGAAACTTGAGAGTGCAGGTGAGATCTTAGGCGAAGCTCTCGCTGAATTTCTCGTGAGTCTTGGTGATCAACCACGCGGTTTAAAGTCACTTGGGTTCAACCGGTCTCACATCGATGGGCTTGTCGAGGGAACTTTACCGCAGGCCAGAGTTTTGATGCTAGCTCCAAACTTGGAAATGAGAGATACCGACATAGAGAGAGAGCAGCTACGTGGACTCTTCGAGGACGCTCTGGAATACTGATGAAGAAAACAAATACTAACTCGGAGCATATTGAGCATCCCATAACCCATAAGCGCAAGGAAGCCTTAATGGGGTATCGGAGTAATTTTGGTCACGTACAATCCATTTATTGTCTGATACTTTTCTCATGTATATAGAAGGAAAGCTGAACCGACGTACCTAGGGACTTACATTAATTCAGCATGCCACGATTTCAATAAGGAGTTTGCACTTGCGGACCAACGGCTCCTCGATGTATAGGCGTGGGGAACTATCCGGATGTAGCCTTTGACGTCTTAGTGCCGATCTGCGAACAATGCATCCCTCAATCAGTACCTCAGATCCAACAATCCTCTATATTATAGAACGAAAAGTATCCCCTCTCGTTCACTTAACCACCTCCTACAACATAAACTCAACGATGTCACTGAAGCTTATATCCGCAACGTCCTCCCACTACGCCCGCAAAGTCCGTATTGTCCTCGCCGAGAAGAGCATCCCCTTCGACCTGATCACTGAAGTTCCGTGGAACAGCACCACCCAAATACCCCAGCATAACCCACTCGAGAAGCTTCCCGTGCTCATCATCCCCGCAGATGGCGTCCCAGGCCTGATTGCTGGCAGTGGGAAACAGGTGTCAGTCTCCGAATCGCACTTTATCCTTGAATGGATCGAATTCAAATTCCCGGCTCCCAAGTACCCATCTATGCTACCTGAAGATGGGGATCAGAGACTGGAGGCGAAGGAAATTGAGGTCGTTGCGGATGGAATGTGTGATGCGTTAGTGTTGAGGTTTTTCGAGGTGCAGCGGAAAGATCAGAGTCAGGAGTGGATTGCGCGGCAGATGCGAAAGGTAGACGGCGGTATGAAGTGGCTTGCAGGCAGAGTAAGGCCAGGTAAAGAGTTTCTGGTGGGAGAAAGGTTTGGGTTGGCTGATATAGCGGTTGGGGCGGTGTGTGGGTATTTGGATGTGAGGTATGAGGAGTATCCGTGGCGGGCGAGGTATCCAGACTTGAGCAAGTATGTGGACACATTACAGGACAGGGAAAGTTTTCGAATTACAACGCCGAGGGCACAGAAGTTTGTTGATAAGATTGTTTGAGAACACTTGGTTAGTTGTCTTGACATCAACATACGCCCCGAGCATGCAACGCACGTCCTCCAGTGTTCAACCCAAAGCTACGTTATATTAGCAGCACTTAGATCGGCAAAAGGCTAGGTATAAATACTTGAGGGTATCCACAGAATGATGAATATATGGCTTCAGCCCCACAAGGTTTGCTTGAATCCAAAGAACGAGTCGACTTCAATTAGGACTAGTCGCCATCAGTCGCACCAGCAGGCCCATGGTAATCTGCGCAAATGATACAATTGGTTCCAGACGATGTTCCACGAATGCACAACCAGAATGCATCGAGTGATATGTTCCGAGATGGACAACTGAATTCATTCTCCAATGAGATCACAGCTTTCTGTGCGGTAAAGGTAAATCGACGGGTTGGATCTAGGGCTATTATTCTGAGTCTTGAGCCTATCAGCCACGAACAGCTAGAAATCGGCCTCTGCCAGGTAGTAGCTGGTATTCCGAGATCAACAGTCATGAACATCTACAAGAGACTCAGTTTCCATCCCTTGGACGCATTCTTAGCCGCGAGTCAATGAAACAAGCTTGCGGCAGATGTTCTAACTAGTGAGGCCAGGATTAAGTACTGTTTGTAACTTTATATACGATAAATCCTACCAAATGACTTTATAGTACATGGTTATAATTCGTACCTAGTCGTCCGGAAGCTATCTTCAAGATTACATGTGAGATTTAGCTGATGAGAACAGTCTTATTGTGGTTCGAGTTGGCAAGTAGCATTCATTTAAATGGCTCAAAAGCATACTTAGTGTGTATTAGAGTTTGGAGATGCAGCTTGTCCAGCCGATGAGGCACTCCTTGCTCATGACGAGCTGAAGCATAGTACAATGTGATAAGGAAATCCTATCGTATATTTAGAAATATCTCGACTGAGAATTTAGCGTCGTGTAAATCACAATATGAGTCGTGTCCTTGGAGCTGGACGTAATGAATTTGAGTGAATCCTACTTAAATTCCTTTCCCATTGTCGGTTGTTGGATACTACGGAGCCATCCACGCTGAAGTTTTGATCACCAGCGTACAAGCAAACACCCGGTCCATTACCTACCTACTTAGCTCGTAAGTCTGAAGTGATTTCTTATTCCGTTCCATCAAGTCCAAACTAAATTCAGAGTACGTACAAGGGCTACGCCCACAAACCTTCCGCTACCACAACCACGCTGGTGCCGACGAACTATTTCCCCCACACTGACATTTACAGTGACAACTACAAGTACACATATCACTTCGACAGTTAATATCGTCGGGTGTTTCGTCGCGGGTCCGGCTTCTGCTCGATGACGTCCGCACAATCCTAGGCCGAGATCACTTGCAGCTGTTGCTCATCAGAGCAAAAATAATGCCGACATCATGCGGTGCCTGCACGTATCCAGCGTGATTCTAGATTGCATGGCATCACGAGTTGTGTTCTGCTGCCGCAGGTCAGGCATGCGTGAGTGTCAACTGGATGCTCTATACTGGCAACACCATGATATATCGTGAGGCTTTTCTTCGCCTTCATCCCGCTTGTTCATACCCATTGCGGACGCTAGAGACTAATGATCTAACCCCAGGATGGCACCAACCTGGTACTCCGTGGACGTTAATGCCGCCGTAAATTCCCCTTTCGGCCGACCGAGTTTATGTGGCTTATCTTTTCACTACTTATCATTCGCAGCTCTCGGCGTTTACGTATCCAGCATTTAATAGTCTGCCTTGAACGGGTGGACTTGCATCTCATAAAGGACCCTTTCGTTGATGATCGGGCTGACTTTTAGCTCGATAAGCCCATTTTACTCACCTCTATAATTATGAATAGTAGCTCTATCCTACCAGAATACTAAGATACAAATATTCTTATATATGTTCTACTCCCTGTAAGTTCTAGTGAATTATATGATTAGTGAGGCCCTCGCCCAAAAGCGAGCGATCCACAACTTTTGCAGATCCTTGTTGATGGCGAATTAAGATCGTTAAGTGACTGGCCTAGTGACGAGACATGAGTTGAGATTATCAGCGTTAGGTCAACCTCAATCGTAGCTGTGCATCAAGCTATACTACTAATTGTGAATCCCTGTTTCCCTATAGGGCTCGCTTTCGAAACGCGAATACGAAGCCAAACAGTTGCCTCATATCAAGACCGCGCTACTTTCAAGTCAAATAGCCGTCATTTCGCTTATCATGTTTTAGCATGATAGATAAGATAGATTTTAAGAACTTCTAAGCGCGTCTAAGACGTATATAGATTTCGTGGAAGAGTTACGTATGTACTTCCATTCAAGTCAATATAAATCAATCCCACTCCGAGAGTCAATATTCGATTCAAACATATTCATGAAGTTTATAAAGGATTCAGTACTTCAGTTCAACTTAGCTTGAGACTCAGAGTCAAATGAGTGGGGCTGATTGATAGAAACTCTGCGCACAGTCCATCTGCAAGTATACAAGAATGAAGGCTACCTACCTTGCCCTCAGCTCCCTGTTCCATATAGCACAAGGCCAACTCGAGGAAGGATACTGGAAAAAAGCAGGTCCCAATGACTGTAAGCCAATAACCAGTAGTGGTATTGGCGTACCCTGACGCGTCTCAGTTCGTGGACCATGCCCAATGATGAACACGTTGGCCAACCATGGCTTCCTACCTCGAGACGGCCGCAACATCACTGTCGAAAACGCCGTTCATGCCCTGGTATCAGGCCTAAATTTTGACTCATCGCTGGCTGCGATAATGTGGCAGGAAGCAGTCATTGTGCCGAGTGCAGTACTCAGAGGGTGCTATATTATCTACCGAAGGGTCTGTAATAGAGCAAAGGAGATAGAAATACTCTCAATAAGTCTTTAATTAAGTACTAATACCGTTATACGTGATGATCCTCCTTCCTCTAGCTATAAATAATATAGAAGGAAGAAGTAATATATACTAAGCTTCTAGCGTTATATGATAAGGCCACGTGACTTAGCTACTTATATAACCTTATATAACTACCTATAGCATCTGCCCTTCCACGCTAAATTTCGTCCCGAAATATAAATCCCCCTCCTACCTACTAGTTAGCCGTGTTATAAGTAGTCTATATCGATTCCTTATCCTTGACGAAAGAATTTCCGTGCTTATTTATATTATTCTATAAGTTCTATTCTAGCGTGTGTAATGGATATAACCAAGGTGTTACTACAATAGTAATTAAGATATATTATAATTTAACTTAGAGAGAGTAGGGATAAGCTATATAGTTATAGCTTTAAGTATAGTCTTAAGCGAGGTCACGTAATACCCCTATACTAGTCTCTATCTATCCCGGCTCTATTATATAATACTAGAGATAAGGTAAAGCCGAAGTCTATAATATACCCTTATTCTCTAGAATCGTCCTAGGGACCGGCTTAGTATTTTATATAATAATAACCGGCTCGGTTAGATCTTAGGTTTATAATCTTTATATCGTACTATATAATAACTATAGGACTATATATTCCTTCTAGTAAGGTGGTAGCTTTTTATAGTAGTATTCTAGCGGTTACGTAGTAGAGGTAGATTCTTTATACTACGGCGTTATAGGTTATTAGGTCGCACTATAGTAGTATATTATAGTTATATTCTAGTAGTCACGTAGCGGAGGTAGGTTCCTTATATTATAGCGTTATAGATTATATAATTATAAGGTAGTAGAATCTTATAGTTATATTATAGCGGTTATATAGCGGAGATAGGCTCCTCGTATTACGGCGTACCGCGTTAGGTTATATAAAGATAGGGTAGCCTACGCACGAACCACGTGTCCCGTTTTATTATTATCTATTTTAGAACCGGCTACTCTCTAGGCTAGGGGTTATATAGTAGTAGTAGGGTAGCTTACGCACGACCCGCGTTTATTATTATTATCGTCTATTTTAGAACTAGCTCTACCCCGGTCTATACGATTTTCCCTAATATAAGTATATAGGTTCTATACCTAGCGACTTTCTTCTTCCTTAACTACCCTTATATCTACTATCTTAATACCGCGTAGTAGCTGTAAGGAGGCGGGCTCCACGTACCAACCAACTACACCAAAAGGACCGAATCTTAAAGCTACTGCTTCAAGGGTGGAGTACACTACTTATATACAACTACTATATACATGTAGAATTAACTGGCAGGCCACGTGCTCCTTATGTGCCTAATAGTAGCTACTATAATATTAGTAAACTTATATACTATCTCGCAGCTTCTATACTATTATTATAAGCGCTCTAGGCCTAAATAGTTCTATTATAGAAGCCAGCGCCGTCTCGGCGGTGGCTATAGATACTAGAGATTAAGACCCTAACGATTATCACGCGCCTAGGCGCTAGAAACTAGCCGATCGTACCGTGAGTAGGTCCTATCTCTATACCGTTCCTTATACTAACTAGATAGACTATTTCTTCTACCGTACCCTAATAGGCTAAGCCTATTTACTATATAGGGCTATATATTATAGAGGGTAACTCGTTAGAAGATAAGTATACCGAGTCTATGTACTTTATATATCGTATATATATAAAGGCCCTAGAGAAAACTAGGGTACTTAGGTATATACCATCTCTATACCGTGGCGGCGCCTACTAATCTTAGAGCGTAGCTATAAGCCTAGCCGCGGTACTAACTATATAAAGTACTATATATCGAAGGGGATCTACTTATAGAATACTAAGGAGCTTACTATATACCTAGCCTTATATAAGGCGTAGAGTCGTCTTAAAAAGTTTATATATAAGTTAGTTAATAATAACTTTAGCTATATAACGGACCGTAGTAGTCGCGGCCTAGATCTAATAAAGCCTTTATCTGGTAAGTGGCCGCGTATAAACTCTAAGTTCTACTATCTATATAAGGACTATAAGTCTAACTTAGAGATTATCTATATCGCGCGACGTAACGCTAGTATCGTTAGTTAGACTTCTATAATACCTTATTATAGCGCTATAACGTCGTTTAAGCTACTATATTACGGTAGTAGTAACCATAGCTAGATTAGTAGCATGATTTACTAGATGAATTAGTACGTATTCTATAATAAGGCCTAGATAGATAAGCTACGCACTAGTGTCGGCACCTTATAGATATATAAGCTTTATAAGCCTAAATACCTATTCTAACACGTGACGTAGGGTACTATATAGTAAGTCGTGTCCGGGTTAGCCTATCTAGCGGAGCTACTATCTTACTACCTTATTACTTAGGTAGTTATAGAGAATAAGGAGCCCTTATTAGGTAGTAGCCGCTCGCGCTAACTCTAGCCTATAGGCCATAGGGAGTCGCCAACTCGGAGCTCTCGCTATCGCCCTATTAGGCCCCCCTAGCTCCCTATTGCCGCCCCTCCTTATAAGTTCTTACTATCTTATTATTAGCCCCGGACCCCTCCTTACTACCGTGACCGCTCCTAGTTCTATAAGTATTATAGCCGGTCCTCTACCCGCTATAATTAGTCTCCCCGCCGTTATAACCGGTTATATAACTATTATAACCGGTCGTACGACTATCGCTATCGCTCGGGTAGCCGTTGGCACCGTTCCCGCGAGAATCATTAAGTATTACACCGCTATTAGTTGCCGGCCCGTCTCTACTATAACCCTCCCGCGGATAAGTATAACTTACCCTTACTATCTACCTAGATTAATAGCTACTACTATTATTAGAAGACGGTCTAGGGGAGGACTAGGTAACTAACCTTATATTAGGATTTACGGATAAGAATAGTACTAGCCCTAGTACTATATAAACCTAGGGTAGAGCTAGGTAAATAACCTTTTTATATCTTAAGGCGGGTGTTAGTTTATTATTAGGTTATACTAGGTACTAGCGTTTAGTATTTATTTCTTTCTTTCCTAAAATCTCTACTCTTATATTAGGTTATTGGGGCTACTATAGACCTATAATAGTAGAGTAATATTACTACTTAGGGATGCGTTAGAGTCGTAGGCCGTTATATAATTAAGCGTCGCCATATCTAGACTCGAACTAGTCTAGCGCCTTAGTATCTTCTACGTCCTTAAGTAGAATCTATATTAGTTATAACTAACCTTTCTACTTTACGAGTACCTATTACTTATTCCACCCCTATATATTTTTTATATATAGGATATCCTTAACCTTATACTCCGCGATATCCTCGTCTACTTTATTAAGCTTAAGCGCCGGGCCTAGGCGGGTATTAAGCTACTCTTAGCTAGATAGAGGGTCCTCTACGGCGCGCTCGATAAGGCTTATATAGACTATTTTATAAAGGTCTCCGGAGAGGTTAAGGGTTACTATTAAGAGGGTAGATTAGGCTATAACCCGGTATTTTACCTATAGCTAGTTAAGCTTCTAGCTTAGATAGTTAGTCTTTATATTCCGGAGGGAGAACTATACTATATTACTAACCTTAAAACGCTCGGCCGGGTGTCGTAACCGGTTTACCAAGTCTTAGAAGCGCTACTCGACCTAGGTAATAGCCGCTTAAGCTAAGGTAGTGCCGTCCTAAAGATATTTAAGGAAATTCATAGTCTAACCTTTTACTAAGGTCGTAGAGGCGTTAGAGAGTAGCTACTATAGTAATAGTTCGACGTAGTATCCGTTTAGAAGTAAGTTTAGTACTATACTAGTTACTAATAAGATATAGTTATTAAGGGCGAGCTAATATACTAGGAGATATTCCGGCTAGTTAGTTTACTTAAAAGTTACTATAATACGTAGTACGGCCTATACCTTCTAGTTTATATACTTAGTACCGCTATCCGTCTACGGGTAGTAGGCTATAGAGAGATTCTAGTATATATCTATTATAGAGTAGAGGGTTATCTAGAACTATCTAAGCTAGTCTAAGCCCCGGTCCGTAATTATTAACTAGGGGAATCTCTAGAAACGCTACCACGTGTCGCGGAACCGCGTAGCGTAGTCCTTAGCTACTATAGAGGTTATCGCCTCTAGCTAAATAAACTTTAAGAGCCGGTCTATAATAATAAGAAGATATTAGGGCCGGGACGGGTCCGATTAGAGAAGGTCGGTTATAAAATCTATAGAAATTTAGGACTAGAACTAGTCTAGCGTCGGAAGAGGCTAGAGAAGGCTAGGGGCCTTATATTAGTTTACGTGGGCCCTATAGTAGTTATAGTTTTATATAAACTACTAGATATTAGTCTATATCTACTTCTAGTAGTACTCCCGCTAAATAGCTATATAAGTCTTATTCTTACTAGAATAGCCCGCGAGGGGGGAGATATAGAACTTCTAGATAATAGTTATAGTAAGGGGTTTCTACTCGGGTATCTAAATAACTCCCCGCTATATTAGTATTCCGTATACCGATATAGCGTAGTCTATAATCTATTTAGTAGTAAGCGCCTCTAGTAGAAAGAGACATGCCTCGTCTACTACGGCTCTATAGCGGGCCTAGTATACTAGGACTAACTAAATAGTCTAGTTCTAGAGCTTCTAGAGGTAGAGATTAGTAAAGATACTTTATCCCTAGAGGAGATAGAACTCCCCGGAGCGGGTACTTACTAGTACTATTCTAATAGTCTATAGGGTTATAAGCCGTCCCCTTAGAAGGGACTTTTTAGATAAGTTCTAGTTATAGTAGCTTAGGGTATCCGGGCGGGCCGCCTAGAATCCCGGCCGGTATATAAGATTATAGTTAAATAGTATAAGCTAGTCGGACTATTATTACTACCGTAGGATAAGAAGATAAGACTTAGTAAAGTACTCGAGGTTTTTATAGTCTATATAGACCGTAAAGGGGTAGTAGACGCTTCGGAGCTTAGGTTCCTACGTCTAGAGATACTAAACTACTATAAGAAGCTCCTTATTATAGATTATATAGTTCTACTAAGCAGCCG